ATATTTTATATCTTATTATATTATTAAGGTACTAAGACTAGACCTTAACCTTTACTCTCTATAGAAGAAGTTATATTTTAAAAGCTTTAACTATAAAGAAATAAACTTTATTATACTCTAAGGACTATCTTATTACTTTTTATCTTATTCTCTAGTATTATATCTATTAATTTAGTAGTTAACTAAGTAGTACTATTTAAATAAGTCCCTACTTTATTCTATAACTAAGAGGTATATACTTTATTAAAATAAGAGACTTTCTTAATAAGTAATTCTATATCTCTAGTAAAGATATCTTCCGACTTAAATAATCCTATAAGTAATAGCTTATTCCTTAGTATTATAAACCTATTATTTAATAGTTTATAAGCTCGATTAAAGATATTATTAGAAGTATTTATAGTTATATAGCTTATTAGTATATCCTCTCTAACTTATATTTCTAAGGTTAACTAAATAAAATAAATAGAAGTATTAGTAGTATAAACACGATTAAATATAATATTAATATTATAAGTAGAGTTCTTATAATATTTTATTTCGATTTTTATTATACTATTCAGGTACTTAAGAGATAAGTTAATTAGCTTAAAGCTCGTTAGCTCCTCTTACTAATTAACTAGCTTAGATACTAATATAGCTTTTTAAAGCTCGAGAGTATAGATAGAGTCTTTAAGTAGCTATCTATAGTATAATATCTTATAGGCGTAGTTTATTTAATAGCCCCTTAGAAAGGTAATAATTAGAGGATTTATATAATAATAAAGAATACTAATATCTTTGTATTTAATACTATATTAGATAGTAAGGAATAGTTCTATCTCTTAAAGATATTAATATATAATCGTGAAAGTTAGGTCTTTATATTTAGTACTATTAGGATATTTACTATTCTATATATTTCTTATAAATACTTAAAGTTAAATAGACTTAATAATAAATAAGAACTTTTTAAGACTAAGACTATTAATTATTAAATTAAAGTTCTAATAATAAGTTCGGTTTATCTTAATATTATCTTGTAATTTATCTATTATAAAAGCTTTATAAAATAAGGCTAGAACTCTAGCTATAAAGCTTTAAGTAATAAGAGACTCTAAGATATAATATTTTAGACTTTCCCTAGCTATAGGAGTTTAGCTCTATGAGCTTATATTACACTAAATTATATATATATCTCCTATAGTCCCAGGAGCTAAGGATTAGTATATATAGATAATCGAATAAAGTAAGTTTATTTAAATATAGAATTATATAGTAATTCTAAAGTACTAATCACGATAGTTATATACTTATCTTATATGCTATTATTCGTCTTTTATAGACTTAATATAATAAGCTATAAGCTAATCTCTATAAAGAAGCTAGAGCTGAGAATTAAAAGCTATATCCGGATCTAAATACAGCTACTATTAGAATATACTATTATAAATACCTATTATACCGGAAATAGTTCCTTTATCCTTAAAGATAGTACTAAATTAATAATATTTAGTTTTATAAACCGGAAGGCGATTAATTCTTAGCAGATAAGGGAATAAGCTTTAATACTTAGTATATATAAAGTTAATAGCTATTAGATATAAATACTAAATAGTATCTATAAGAAGGAAAGTTATAATCTATTCTTTAATTAAAGGTACTAAATCTAGAGATCTAGTGCTATATAATAATAAAAAGAGAGTTATTATTATAGGAAGAGAATAGTCTATATTAGTAATATTAAGGGAAAAGATAATATTCTTCTAATCTAAGAGAATAGTTAAGTTATATATAAACTAGGTTAGCTTAGTAGCTAGTAGCTTTAGATAGAAGATAATTACTATAGTTATTAATAATTATTAGCGCTTAATATACTTAAGTATTTTATCTTACTTTATATCTTGGAAGTTAATATTATTATAAATAATAATAGTCTAAGGATTTCAGCTAAGTAATAGTAATTATAACTATAATAAATTAGAATAAAAGTAAATTAAAGTAAGTAATTAAAATCTAAAAGAGTTAGTATAGTAGAAGACTTAAAGTATTATAGTAGTATACTAGAATCCTTACTTAGGAAGTAAGTTAAAGTAAGTAAACTAATAAGAAAGTAAGAGGTTATAGAAAAGAATATAAATAAAGTAAGACTACACTTAGCTAAAAGTAAATTAAAGTAAATAAACTAATTAGAAGAAAGGGTTATAAATAAGCTATTTATATTAGATAATACTTACTCTTCTTATAAACGCCTCTAATATAAATCGAGATTAAATAAATAAATTAGTTTAAGCTTACTTTAGTAAATACTATAAGGTCTTTTATTCTTGAATTCCTAGTCTAATAAGTATAATATATTCTAAGGCTAGATAAAATCTTAACTACTTATTATTTTACACTAGATCTAAGGAGATATAGATCTAATAAGAACTAGATATAATTAAACTAGTATTTAGACTAAATAAACGAAATTATACTTGTAATTATAATAATAGTTCTCTTAAGTAAAGATAGCTTAGTACTTCTATTCTAATTATACTCTTTCTAATATACTTACTAATTAAGTAGTAAAGATTATAGTAAAGTAGTTTATAAAGAAGTAGCTACCTAAATCACAGATAATACTCTATTAAAATCTATTTTATCTATTACTTATTTAATATTAAACTAACTAAAGTACTAAATATAACGAAGTTACTAGAACTCTAATACTAGAATATCTATTTACTTTAAAGTAAAAGGAGCGATTATTAAGTAGCTTATAATATTATAGAATATATTATACTATTTTTTAGTTATTTATATTTGTTAATTCTTTAGTATATATTAACTATTATCCTCTAAATAGAATATATTAAAGAAATTATAAAGACTCTATCTTTTATTACGAAGAATTCCGAAAACCTTATCTAGTATTAGACTTTTAATATTCTAACTTAGCTTTCTTATTCGTACTTAAGAATTACCTCTTATATTATCTTATATATTATCTTTAGAATTAGAGTTATTATTAAAATAAAGTCTAAGAGGAGTTAACTTTAGATTAGAAAGCTTATTAGTAAAGTAAGGAAGCGGATTAGATAGTAGATTAGAGAGATCGCTTTTAGTATAAAGTGTATTTAGAGATTATAAGACCGGCTATATTATAAGTAAAGAAGGAAGTAGTTTAAGACTAGAGTATAAAGTTAGTAGTAAAGAAGAGGTACTTAGGTTATAAGCTATACTAAAGGATATAGCTTTTTTAATTTATAATTAATTATATATAACTAGAAGACTTAAAAAAAACTACTATAGAAAGTAGATAATTATAATATCTTTTAAATACGCTTTTAATAGAAGAAATTAACTATAGTTAAAAGGATAAAGTATAGCTTTAGAGTTATTATTATAATATTTGATTTCTTCTACTAAAGTAGTTATGTAAGCTACTAAAAGAATACTATTTTCCCTTAGACTCTCTAGTAGGAATTTAAAGCTCTACTCTCTAATTAGCTTATTTACTTGAACTTACTCTAATTTACTTAGTATTATACTAACTATAGGTTATGTAGGGTAGCGCGCGGAATTACCACTAGGGAGGGTCTGATTTACCTGAGATAATAGCAGCAAGGGTTAAGAGACAACTCACCAAGCGGTCGTGCAGATCGTGAAATTGGAATCAGATTCAGCCTTGTTCAGGAAACAAAAATTGGGCCAATTCGTCCCAAACCTCGGAAACCCACAAACCGTTCGCAAGCGAGCATCCCCCTGTTTCTACAAGGGCCTTCTCAAATCTCGAAACAGGAGATGATTTGAAGTACCAGAAAAGCGCAATCATAGCGATGCTAAACTGTGCGTCGAGACCTTGCAATGGAACGTTTCGCATTGATCTTTAAATTGTTCTTTCCTTCGAATTTGCCCCTATTTTAGGTTTGATCAAACGTCCCTTGGGTGACAAGGTTCACCCTCGAAGCGACTTTCGCGAGGCGAGAGATCAACAGCAGGTAAATGTACGTCCTTGGCTCTCTGTTCATCGCATCATAATAAGGCATGAGTAACCTTCGGCAAACTTTCATGACCTTATTTTGTTGCTCTTGATCAGATACAGGGCTTGCGACAAATCCAAGAATGATCCTTGGTTCACAGGCCAGCAGATCACGATGGCTATCCACGAAACCACACCGCCTTGCACTAAAAACTTATTGTTCATTTGGTCATGCGAATGTTTCTCATTCGTCCGATGTTTGTCACCGTCTCGCTATCTGTAACTTCTCAGACCATTTCTTCTCATACAGCCTTTTTGCGTCCTCATGTTCTGTCGCAGCATGCCGTGTAACACTCTGCCTAGAGTTTCCTCGTTCAGCATGCACGTCGAGTCCTTGCGATGTGTCCTGTCTGACAGCCTCAATTGCTTCAAATTGGAGAGGCTTACATATGAACTTCGAGCACAATCGATTTTGTAAGGCGAACGATGGTCAGGTCTTCCACATTCCCGACAATTGCTTATTACTATCTGACAGATTTCAGCACTACCAACTGCCGGCATGTTAAACAAGCTACTCATCTGGCAACGTTGATGTATCTCCTCTCGGGGCATCAAAGATATGCAATCTGGAGTGTACTTTCTCATCTCCAGTACCACTTCGCCCAACTGACGACTGGAGAATGGTGAGATAAATCTCCTTTTGACGTGGTTACTTCTCGCAGATACGACCATGATCTCCGAGGTGACCCGAGTCTCGAGCGAGAATGCCCCCTTACTTGCAGCACAAATTTGCTCTCATCCAGTTGCATGTAGAAAGCCTTGGAACACTGCTCAACAGCCATGTAAAAGTCGTGTCATGAGAGGGATGGATGTCTTCAGATGAATGCTGGATGTTAATCGTACTCCCCTCACATTTCCCCAAAATCGCATCAAGACGAGTTCAGCAAACTGCCTCGAGCCTCATATGGATGGCATAGAATAACCTACCGAAGGTTGAGCAGGTGAACATGAGTAGGTCAGATCTCATACTGTTGTAGTTGTTCACCTGTTAGCCCCTTTATTTTTCGCTTAAGTCTTTTGAACCCCCCAAACCGTTCAGTTCATTGTCAACAATTGCAGGGTTCCTACAACGGAATTAATACATATTTCGGATATATCAACAATCGAAGGAATTAGCAAGTATACTGTCTCTACATAAAGCCAGATATTGCTACATATCTTGCAGCTTACAGCTAGCAATATGTCAGAGGACCATGACGGCAGATCTTGTTAAGCTATTTCGAAACCTACCTATTCGGGAATTCGTTGTGGAAAGATCCACAGGGCGGTAATGCAGCCTTGATGCTGGGTTGTGAGATCACACGCGCACTGTTCAGCTGGTCGAGCTGACTTGCGTCCAGCTTCAGCCGAATGTGGCAGGTCAAACGGGCATTGGCATCTGAGCCTAGTTCATCATTCTTGAGCATGACGAGTTGAAAGGATCGAACGCCAAATAGTCATAAAATGCAAGAAAAACTCACCCGCATCCTCTCCGCTATGTAAGCCGGTACCTCCTTCGCCAATCATTGATCTCATTATATTACAAATCTCATCGAGCCAAGGGGCGAATGATCACCTGAGTAAATACTTGGCCGTAGGAGTATGACCTCAATTCCAGAAGCAAAGACATAGTCGTGGGGTAGTTAACAGAACCTGAGAGACGCACATGTCCAGGGCAACTCACATCGACAAAGTGCATCTTTTCTATGGATTTCAAGTAACTCAATCCAGAACCCCCAAGTAACCTAGTTGGTATTCACCGCATTCCATTACCCAAATCAATCCTCGAACGCCACTCCACATGCTTAATGTCAAACCAGACACTAGCCTTTGGGAAATGCCTCAACCCCCATCTTCATGCAAGGCTGCGGAAGGCTTGAAAATATGCACTTCCGCAGCAAGAACAGGCCACGGAGGGGAATCGCTCAAGAACGAGGGACGTCCGCCTAACGCCCTGCTTCTATAACTCCTTTACTACTACCATTCTCGAGCCCAGGTCCAAATTCCATTTCTTCTTCCTCACTTTCATCATCCTCGGCTCCACCGAGCATAGCTATCTCCTCCTCCGATCTTGCACTTTCACGTCTCCCGAACATCTCAACATCTGTCCCTCTCTCCCCAGCAGCACACTCACTCTGTCCTTGCCCTTGCGCCTGCCCCTTCTTCACAGCAACGAAAATCGCACTCCCAAGAATCAGCCCACTCCCCGCCAAACTCCACCACCCAGGACTCTGCCCAAACACCAACTTGTCCAAACCCAACGCAAATAACATATTCGTATAAATCATATTCGTCGCCCTCGCACCATTACCTCTCCCTCCCGCTGCAAGTCCCCTCGTTAACAGATACTGCATGACGAAACCGCAGACACCAAGGAAAATCAACATGCTCCATTGCCGGAGGCCGGCGGGAAGAGCAAAGTGGAGCGTGTTTGAGAGGTGGAGGGGTTTTGCGAGGGAGAGGGCGAGGGTGGATATTACGGTGCAGAAGATAGAGAAGTAGTTTACGGAGAGGAGGGGATGTGCGCGGTTTCCAATCCAGCGGATGGATGTGAAGGCGCCAGCGGAGCCGAGGACGCCGATCATGGCTATCGCTACGGCGGAGAGGCGTTGAGAGGATGTGGGAACGGGGAAGGAGGACGGATCTGTGGGATCTGTGGATATTGTGGTTGTGTTGGAGGCTGTGGTGAAGTCTGTGCTGGAGCTGGAGCTGGATGTAAAAAATGAGGTGGGACGGGCAATGAGCACGACGCCGAGGAGGGAGATGCTTGAGGCGTATTGTGCTGATCTAGGGAAAGGCTCGCGGAGGAATAGGTAGCAGCCATAGCTTGCTACGGAGGGAGCAAGGAAGGTAATGACGACGGCGTCTGCCACAGGTAGATATTGAAGTGAACTGACATTATATCAGATGGGCGTCCTATTCAAAGGTGTTATAATCTTCTCAAAACTTACTAGTACATCCCAAAGATCCCAAAGAACCCCGTCAAACTTCTAACACACAGCAGTCCACGAAGTCCTTTTGCACCAAGTGGAAAGTCAGGTACCTTGCCATACCACATCCATGCGGTACAGAAAATGGCCGTAAGTCCCTGTCTCGCAAACAAGATCTGAAAAGGATCCATTCCTTCCCCCTCAAGTTCTAAAAGCCTTGTTGTGACATTCATCAGGGCTCCGAATAACTGGGAGAATGTCACAAGGAAAAGACCTTGGTTCTGATCCCAAAAGCTCCACAGAGATTCTCTCCACGTTCTCGGCGTGGATGGATGGCCTGGATACGGCGACACACTTCGATTCCTACTTCCGCCCATTGACGAGATTGTACTCATTGACGACCTCCGTAAAGCATCAGGTTCCAACAGCGAAGCATCTGCTCCCTTCGATGGTTGAGGCGAGAGTAAATTTCGGTTCGCTCCATTGTTGCCGTTGCCGTTCAGAGCCAGGTCAAAATTAGACGGGATGTTTTGGAGAGATTCTAGGTAATCTTCATCATCGTAATTGGACGTAGAATTCTGATTGAGTGGCGCGTAGCGTTGTGACATGATCACTGGGATTCATTGCAGAAGCCAACCGGCCAATAAAGAACCCCGATGCGTATGCTATGCCTATTTAAGTCTTACAAAGATGCCTGTGATATTCTTGCAGGAGTAAAGTACGTGGAATCAATGAGATATGGTAAAATGAACGACAAAGGTGGAGTTGAGGAGAAGGCGAAATGTCAGCCTCGAAGATGGGGGGAGCTTGAAAGACAGACAGGTTGTGTCACACTGGACTAAGAAAGGATCGGACACAAGTTTTCAATTAGTGAAGACGGGAACATCTGGACTAACAAATGAGAGACTAGAAACATGTGGGCCTTTGACTGCGAGCTCCCTAATCGAGGATGTGTAAGCCTCAAGACTAGTGATCAATGAGAAGGCCGGATCATCCAAACATTCGGTACGATTGAAAAAGCCTAGGCCATGCCCTGTGTCGTGACTAATGACACTTGAGCAATTGCCTACTGTACTCCGTACGAAGAAGCCATGCGCAGATATAGAAACATTCCTTGTTCGTACGCACCTGCATCTGAATATTGGACCAAGAGCGGATTCTGGGCTTGATGGGCAACAATGGAAATGCTGTGGGGGATTGAAGTGGGAATTGGTGGGGGTTGCAAGGATAGCGATGGGTCATCGTCATTGGCTCAAGAAGATGTAGCTCCAAGCCGGAGGCTGACTTCTGCTCCGGTATCGCGACTGTACCTGTAGTTGGATCTTTGAGTAGTTGGTCAACTGTTAGGATTCTCTTGTTGCATTTGGTTCTGGAAAAGGACATAACATCCAAGCGAGGCGAGGGATTTCACTGCAGCGCTATGTGACCATGCAGCTCGCTGTCACTCATCCTGCCTTCCTATGAGAAGTCTGATATGCTTTTCGAAGATGCTTCGTATTTGTTTAGTCGACTATCCGTAAAGGTAGCAGTGGCTTCTAGCCGGGTATTTTCCCCATACGCCATAAATGCCTTCAAACGCCACCGCAAATATATGCCACAATTCTGAATTACACCATTCAGTCCACTTCCTTCAAGATCTTGGCAAAAAAACAGACCACAGACCGACCATGTGCCGCAAAAACCTTGTAAAATCGTAGCCAAGTCGATATCGATCAGCCGTGCATCAATGCCATTATCTCATCTCCCGGCACCAGTAACATTACTTCTACCACCGACTGTGCGAGAATCAAGATCCATGTCATCGTCGGCGTCTCCCAGTGGTTCCTCTTCTAGTGCCTTCACATTTGATTTCGTGATTTTGTCATCGTTTTGATCGAGCAATTTCCGAGCTTCCTCTATTGCCGTCTTCTTGTTGAAAGTCTCGTTAATTTTGCCCAAATATTCCGGGTTTTTTCGACAAGCGAATTTAATGTCGTCGGGCTTGATCTTTTGTCTTCCTGACAATTGAGCGGATCGATGGGCTTCGAAGCAGAGTTCGGTGATGAAGTCTGTAAGAAGTTCGTCGAGGACGCGCTTGGTTGATTCAAGGGAATTGGGGACGTCTCCGTGAGCGAAGAGGAAGTGTTGGACTAGGAATGATTAAAAGAGGGCTTCAAAATTGATGACCGCAACTCACGGTCTTGGTCAGCAAAATTTTGCTGGCCTCTGTTCTTCCCAATACGCGCTCTGGGCTCCATGGTGGTAGGTACTGCTGAGGTAGGGTTCTTTTGATCTCGTCGTCTAATGAACTTCCTTGATCTTCACCTTCTTGGCCGGGTCCTGAACAGGGGGATGCTTTTTGTAGAGTCTGTGAGAAGCTTGGGATTATGACTTCCTTCTCTATCGCTTGCTTTCTACTTCCTACGCTTGATCCGGAGAGTGGGAATGTTCGGTGCAAAGTTTGCGTGAACGTAGGGAGTATGGCTGCTTTCTCTTCTGCTTGTTTTGCACCCGCAACAAGTGGCTCGGATCTCAACGGTCGCTGAGCTTCTATAGGTTGGAACTGCGTGGATTTGGGGCGTATGTGTTCTCCCACTGGGCGAGCAGCTGGCCGGGAGAGTCTCGTATTGTAGTCGGGGAATTTGAGGCGCTGTCGACGCTCCTTAGATTCTGGGTACTTCTGTGCGGTACTTGGCTTGCTTTGTTCCTCAGCACAATCAATCTCCACTATCTCTATGCTGTCTGTTGCGGAAACTGAAATCGTATTTCCAGAAGTAGCGAACGGACTTGCTGAAGCAAGCTTGCTGCTTGCCTGGCGACACTTGCCAGTATTGACTGAGAGGAGAGCGTTGGCTTGGATTGGCGCTTCGACGATGTGTAGATTTGAATCGCTGGCCTCAGAGGCAGAAACGTTCGCAGTACCAATCCAAGAAGTTGCGATGGTAGCTCTCGCAGCAATTCTGGGATCAACAGTGAAGGTGTCGTCTCTTGGTTGAGGTCTCTCTCCCTGGTCATAATTGTGGACGATCTTAGTTTGGGCGAATTGCACGGTCTTAATATGGCGCCCGAGCCTCCTTGTGGCTCGAGCGTCAACAGTAGTGCCAATCATATACTGCAACTTGTGTCCTGACACGCATTCAGGACATTATTGTCTTGGTGGAAGGCAACTGGCAGTGCAAACACGTTGCAACAACACCACACTCTTGGTGATTGCAGGAATCGCAAAGATGGTATGTTGAAAAGGCTCACGAGAGGTCAAAGCTTTGGCTGTCGAATTCACCTCTCGTTAGTGCTAAGCTAAGACATCTACAGACTGCTCTATTCAACTTTCAGTCCGCACTCCTCGTGCTCCTCCTTTTCATCTGTACGGCCGCCTATTGCCACCAACTTTTCCCTGCCTTTATGGACAGGAAGAAAGACTCGTATGTTCCAAATCCGGATACCTGCTTTGGGAAGAGAGGAAGCTAATACTTGGTAGGCCCGTGGTGGGAGTTGCCTGGAAATGCGCGAGGATTGGGGAGCGATTAAGTCCATACATAAGTGTATGCTGTGTAATATTTGCAGTAAGGGAACTTTGGATCGTACAGAGGAATTTCCTGACAAATTTAGGTTCGCTTGTTCATCGGCGCATAAGGTTGGGACACACGATTTGGCGTTTGGGAGGCAAGGTTGGATGGATACGCAAAAGGCATTTGAGATAAGGCAATGGCTTGATCAGGAGCATAAGTGTTATTATATTAGAGGGCAAGCCCGGGACTGCGGTATTTCCGCCATATCATACAATTCGAAGCGTTCAGCCTCGATCAATTCCGTTCCCTCCAAACGCCATTGCTATGCCAGAAGTAAATCATATCCCTTATTCATGAAGACTTGTCCTTGCACTGTCATTCTCACCCCAGATATCCCTACTCTCTTGCTCAACTGCTTTCATGGCGTTGGCAACTTCTTCTAATTTAGCAACCACATCAAGTACGCCTTCGTTGACCCTCTGGAAATACCGGTCGTTGGCCTCTCTCCTCTTCCTAGCCAACAGAATATCTGCTTCGGTCTCCTCTTCCATCTTGCTTCCCATCGAATGCGCTGTACCTACAGCAATACCACTGCTTCCTGGTCTGCCACTCGCACTGGGAACGGTGCTCCCTAGTGTATCTAGTGCACTCCTACCTTCACTTCCGAGTGCCAGGCCCTTTCCTCCAACTGACTTACTGCCCTTGTCTGTACTCTCAATAGCTTCATCAGCTTCGCTCCTCGCCCAAGCTTGTGCAAGCTCTATTTGCGCAGCTCTCAACCCCTCCAGAGCTTTACTGTGCTCAGCACCAAATACATGCGTGCCACTAACAGCGTTCAACTCCACCTCCTCCAACGTAGTCTGCATCTCCGCCCAAAGCGCATCTGTTCTGTCCGCCTGCTTCTTGCCCTCTGAGATTTGCTGCCGCCGAGGGAGAGCTGGACGGGGCAATGCCGCAACAGAAGCTGTGTCTGGTGGACCATCGAGATTGGTTCTTCCAGGCATACGTTGAGAACGCTGGCGGATGAGGGGCGCTCGAGATGGGTTCAAGGAGGAGGGGTTGGGAGGTTGGACTGCTGTAACCCCTGGAAGGGATACATGAGATGCATTTTGGGAGGGAGGCCCAAGAAACAGGGATGGGGGAGGTTCTCGTAGCTGTTTGGCCTTCGTTTTTGGTGATTGCGACATGGCTACAAGGCAAGTTGCAGTCAGGAGGGGAGGTCGAAGTTGAGGCTGGTGGAGCCTCGCAAAGCGGCGTTGAAGAGGGAATCTAGCCCTGGACGATGATACCCAAATCAACTCTTTTCGCAATTGCCGATGAACAAATTTCTGAAGATGTGTGGTTTATCTTGTATTTGTGAAGTAGAACTAGTTTTGGAATCTAGTTTCTGAATGATTCAATTCTCATTTAAATTGACCAGGACTGGTATGCACACGTCGCTGCTTTTGCGCACGAGCTGGGAAGCTCTCCGGACCGGCGTTTCTTTTCGCCGCCCCTGCAAGTCTAAAAATTAAGCGATTTTCAGAACGCACCGTGCCAATTGTCGGAAACTTCACCAGATTCTCGACGACACGACAACCAACAATCCGAATACTAACCTCCCATTATCGCCATAAACCGGTACGACTCATCACCTTCCTGTCCAACGCCTGCAAACCTCTGTTCTCCAATTCTAACATCTGCAATAGCAATCATGGGTAAAGGAAAGCCTCGTGGTCTCAACGCCGCCCGCAAGCTCCACAACCACCGACGTGAGCAAAAATGGGCAGATCTCTCATACAAGAAGCGTGCTCTCGGAACCGCATTCAAGTCCTCGCCATTCGGAGGATCCTCCCATGCCAAGGGCATAGTTCTCGAGAAGGTCGGTGTTGAGGCCAAACAACCTAACTCCGCCATCCGAAAGTGTGTCAGAGTCCAATTGATCAAGAACGGAAAGAAGGTCACTGCATTCGGTACGTTTTGGGCTGCTATTTCTACAGATGTCTGGAAGGGAGAGAGGGAGGAATGGTCGAGATGGACGTGGGAAGAGGGACAGATTTGCGGAAGGTGAAAGGATGGGAATGAGCAAAATGGCTGATTTAATCATCTAGTCCCCAACGATGGTTGTCTCAACTTCGTCGATGAGAACGATGAAGTTCTCCTCGCTGGTTTCGGTCGTAAGGGAAAGGCGAAGGGAGATATTCCTGGTGTTCGATTCAAGGTCGTGAAGGTCTCCGGTGTTGGTCTGTCTGCGCTGTGGAAGGAGAAGAAGGAGAAGCCCCGTTCGTAGAGAAGCAGGTTGTTTTCCGAATTGAATCGATGGGTTTTGCGCAATACGGGACAACATTGGGAAATGGGGTGTTATTCTTTTGCGGTTTGCGAATGCATGGCTCGTCATGTGTCTGACACGGATGTATGGGCGGGCAAGCATATGAGAGATGATGAATAGAATCATCAATCACCTACCACCACCTTCGAAATACCAAAGTTGTTTCCGACATGACGTGCTGGGCAAATCGTGATATTGAACTCAGGCGATTTGTCGGAATGAATTCCGAGAGAATCCTAATCAGGCAGGTTCATCCACTATCCCACTGCGTTTCACGATCCACAGCACTGCAGCCTTTGATCACACGTGGTCCTAGATTTCTGTCTTGCAAAGCACCTCGTAATCACCTTCCAAGGCATCTCTTTTTGGCGCTACGCTGAATGTGTCACTATTTACCGGCTATTGGGCCAAGTCCCACAGCTTTTGTGCATGACAAGTGCCTCGTAACAAGTGGCCAGCCAGAGTTGCATGTTAGTGCCCCTTTGGGATCGTTGTTCAAATCCCGCATTATATCACTCTTGTTCGGTCGGAACCAGCATCACGGCATGTGGATTTCATTCATTGTTTCCTTATCTAGTGCGATCTAGACAGTATACTTTCGTCGTTTTCTTTATGAATGAAATTACACATTTACAACCCCAAGCCAAATTTACTCTATCGGTAAGTATTCAAGCGAATGTCAAGAAAAGAACACACCATCAACTGGCTCCGCCGCAGTTGCCAAATGTACAGTATCGTAAAGCCTTCAAGCGAATGTCAAGAAAAGAACACACCATTAACTGGCCCCGCCGCAATTGCCAACCCCCACCTCTATCTTCATGTGGCACCAGCTTGCACAAGTAACTGCTTGGGCGCCCCGGCCCCCCTCCCAATGGCTGCCTTGGGACTCACAGTACCCTTGATTAGCTGTGGCTTTCCAACATTATGGACAGGTACGTCGTAGCTTCGGACCTCGGTGCCAATCAGACTCTCAAAATCCCTTACAACAGTGGAATTGACAGCCTCCACGCTCCGATAATAAAGCTCTCGGTCCGCAACAGCTCCACTCAAATCCAGCCCCCTGAACGTAAATTCCTGGGCGGTGCTTCCAAACCCACTGCTTACACCAACAGACGGGGCACCGAAATAGAATGCCGTACCATTCTGTCTAGTGCTCAGAGAAGTCCCTGAGAATCCGGATACGAGAGGTGCAGTGCGGGGTAGCTGAGCAAAGGGTTGAAGTCCAGTTGGAAATACGGGTCTACCGTGAGTAGACAGATCGAGGCCCAACATGAGCTCTGCTGCTATGGTGAAGTTGCCGCCAGGCTGTACGATGTAACTGCTGTTGGCGTATAGCGGGTACTTGTATGATGAGCTGTAAAGTGTTCCTCCTGTTGATTTGTCTAGTCCCGATGTTGTATGGTTGTTTTGCTGCACGGCTCCAAATGCAATATATTTACCGTAGTTGGTGACAGAAAGCGATTGCGTCCATGTTGAAAGAAATGTCTTGTTCTGCGTGGTGACCTGAGCTGATACCGAGATGGTTCGTTTGACATCCGTGGTGTAGACCAAAGTCTCGTTTGCGCCAGTAGAGTTCTGTGTTAGCGATTGTGAAAGGCTAATTATTGGTTTCGGGAGATGCGTAGTTGGTGCCTTTCCGGTCGTTATTGACTTTGAGTCGCTGTCGAGCCATACAAAGACCTTTCCGGTCACTAGCCAACTATTACCGACGGAGTCGGTCAATGAGCCGCCACTTTTTCCATCATCCACAATACCAACCACCCGGATCTCAAAAGTATGTTCTCTGCCATCCGAGAGTGTAGGTAGCCAAGGTGTAATGTCGATTTCATGTTCCCTTAGGTCGAATGCATCAATTCCAACGATGGGCCGCCATAAGCCTGCAGAATGAGTTAGTACAACTGCACTACTGTCTCACATAGCTCGTCCGACATAAGAGCTCTGAACCAAGCCGCTAACGATGACGGGTTTCACTGACCAGGAACAACGCCTCCTGTAAAGATGACAGGGAAGGGCCAATGTACACCGGCAAGTTGGCCGTCGATCAAAACTTGGACCTCACGGAAAGGAGAATACCCATACAGCGTCCCAACAACGGGTATAAATGTATTGACATCCGACTGCAGAGCATTGCTCCACCAGAACTCCTCGGTCGCTTGTCCGCAAGCTGAAACCGAGAAGACCGCACGATTGGCGTTTCTTGGAAATATGATAGTATTGGTTGCGTTGTCGGTGGGCAATGTAAACACACTTGCAGCATTTGCCGCACCCTTTCTCGCCGAGATGGGGATGATTAACGAAGCCGGGTCAACGGTATCTTGGCTCATGAAGAACGTCGCAGAAAGTGTTGTGTTGAATGGACCCGTGTAGATATCGTTTATCAGATTTCCGAGGTCAAATATGATGGTCTGAGGCGAGTTCCAGAAGTATAAGTACTCTGACATGTCCTTGATGTACTCCCAACGGATACCATTGACTGTGGGCTCTGCGGTAGAAGTCCGCCACACCTCAGTGTCGCCAAAGTACATTAGGGCGAGTCTGTCAAACTGACGTCCTCTGGAGGTGACCGTGAAGTTCATAGTAACGCGATTGAACTTGCAACTGGGAGGCGTATAATTTCCTGTCTGGTGAGCATTTGCATGCACAATATAGAAAAAATTTGCACTTACCGACAAATGGAATTCCATAACTGAAGCCAAAAGAATGCTCCATCAGAAGATTCTCGCAACTGCTAGGCGCTGCTGTTTGAGCGATGGTTGCCACGTTCTCTGATTCATCTTGAAGAACAGTCTCATCGACTATGCCAGATGGGGTGAGGACAGGTTGGTACACTTGGAAGACCTCCAGGACGCTCGAAGGCGATGCCGTTGCGGAAGGCGCAGGGACTGCATATTTGACGAGATCAAATGTTGGTGAAGATACCACTGTCTGCCACTCAATAGATGGCACACATTCGGCAAATAGCCAGATAAGAACAGCGATAGATGCCGATAGAGCCAGAACAAAGGTCTTGAAGGAGCGCACAGGGTAGAGAATAGTACGAGAGGTTGCCGTCTCTTGCGCGAAGGCCAGACTCTTTGGTGTGTCCGAATCAACGTCGGATTCGAAATTTTCGGCTTTGTCGAATCGACTGGCGTGAGAGTCGCTGCTCATATGTTCGCTGCTGACTGAGAACATTGTGCGTGAAAATCGATCCTTCCAGAGAAATATGGCGTTGGAAACGGACAAGTGCTCGTGCCGGCCTTGATAGGAAAACCCCCCACTAAGCTCCGTTGGTGAGCTCCAAATGATCCCAGTATCGTTTTTTTGCTGCTGCAGCAAGATGCTGTCCACAGAAGCGACTCTGGAAGTAGTTAAACACAGCAAATTCGTCTCTTGTCATAACATAAGAAGCCGGATGAGCTTCAATCTTTCTCCAGATCTCTGTCAGTGCAGATTCAAGAATGGTCACAACAGTCGGATCTTGTGCCCCCTCCGGGGTGTCTCTTGCGATTTCAAGAGCTTGTGCAACTGTTGTTATTGTTTGCTGCCTGGGAGCTCCATGGTAACTACCACTGTTACTCATTGATGGAGAAGTTGTAGTGCTGCATGAGATGCTTGTAGCGTCGACAGCGGCAAATTGGAAAGGAAACGAGATAGGAAGGTCTGTACTGTCTTTGACATGCATCGTGGGGATGGGTGCTTGTTATGAGGCGAGAACAACGTATAAGTGATGCAAGTATATATAAGCAGGTAAATTGCAGTGGAGGGGTTCGTATGGAGTTGGAGAGAGAGTACCGATCGCATCAGCTGTTGTGTGACCTTGAGATAGGTAGGGCTACAAAAATGCGACTGGGCAGTTTGTATTGGGCACGCCTCTTATTTGTTCTTTTTTACAAAGCAGCGGGTAGAGCACCCATGGAGGAGAGACGTGCAAGGGCACAGAAAATGACAACTCACAATAAGCGTTATGCAGCCTGCTCCAAACTGGTATTAACAGAGGCCTGCTACTTTCTTTGGAGCTACAACCCGGTATGGAACGATAGCAGAAGCCACGCCCGGCCGGCGGAGAGAGGAAGTGGCTTGACTGAGGTCAGGTCTCGGGAATAGCGTGTAAGACGCTTGGGCAGTGGAGCATAACAGGCGCGGGCCAGGATCTGGATGTGGATGTGGATGTGGATGTGGATATGAGTGTAGTACAGTAGTGTACACGGAGCTAGAGCATCAAAAGATCTGTGGAGGCATCTGTCTGGAGTGGAGCGGTGCGGTGCGGTGCGGTGTGGTGCAAGTGTTGTGTTCTGTTCTGTCAAGAGCCTTGACTGTGGGTATCGAGGCGACCCCTGAGAGGGTCTCGTCTCGGCGACAATCTGGGAAGAGGACCTCGGCAAGTGAGGAGAAAGCTAGAAAGCCACAATATGTGTTCTATTCGAGGAGCAAATGCTCCAGCAATCAATAATTCAACATTGCGAGGGCCTGGGTTCGATCGCGATGCCGATGGCGATGGGCCTGTGTTGTGTCACGAAGACGGCTGGGCATCACAGACAGTAGCGTAGTGGTGCGGTGCAGTGCAGGTTGACTTGACGTTACGGCACAGTACCCAGCGAGCGAGGGCGAGGTGTGTCGAGTCGAGGCGATAGTTCAGGGGCAGCGGGCGGCGAGCGGCCAGTGCAGGACGGGGCATGGCAGGGCAGGGTTGGCAGGGTTGGGAAGGGTTGGGATGGATATGGATATGGATATGGATATGGGTGCTGCACTCGACTCCCGAGCAGCAACTTAGGGCCAGGCAGGGCAAGACAATGGAAGTCAAGACAAGACAAGACATGACATGACAGGGAAGCGGCGGAGCCGGCGAAGATGCCGCATCCGCAGGCTAAAGTCGTTCTCGCATCTCAACCACTACTCACGCTCTCTGGTAACTTACAATAAAGTAAGGGAACGAGGTCAGTACTTGCTTGGAACAACAAGGTCACGAAGTCGAAGTGGCCGAACAAACACAACGGTTGTTGTGTTGTGTTCTACCTTATGGACGGTCTCGCTAGGTTCCGAGACAGGCTTAGGGACAGTTCTGGTGGCTCGCGGGCTAGTCCTGGTGGCCTTAGCTGGACTAAGTATTATATTCTTAGAAATCCAGCTGCACTTGACTGTGTTTACTTCACCAGACGAGCTCGATAGACAGGTGCCGGGGGCTGGACAAGGAAAGACACTGCTATTCGTCTCCATCTTTTGCCCTAGTTTCCTGAGTAATGTGCCAAACTTACAAGACCTGGGCTGACTTGCAGTACAAAGCTAGACCAGCAGTCCCTGTTCAGCAACGGTCACGATGCGGTGGGGAGCATCGATTGGCGCCCTTGGAAGGCTTTGATAGGACTTCTCAGGTGCGACTTGTGAGAGTGAGGGGCAGGAAAGACGGGGACGGGGACGGGGACGGGGACGGGGACGGGGACTCACTTGCAGAACTCAGGCCATCCTCGTCGCCGCTGACAACAACTTCAAGCAGGCAAGCTGAATTCGGGTGACTTCCGAGTGGCTCGACGCAGCCATCCTGTCCTAGCCCATATGCCCAGGCCCGCCAACGTATCGTATCGTATCGTATGTCTTCCAATTCACAGCAGCAAAACTCATGAGTAGCTGTTGCATTGGCTATCTCGCCCCCGTCAAGCTCTTGATGCCTCGGCTCTGTGGTTGCAAACTCAAAGTTGGGACGGATCTCCGTCCTACTACTGATCCACTGATGTTTAGCTATCGTCCTTGCCTTGCAGTGCATTGTTTTCTGCACTTCATGCAGACAATATATTAAACTTTCTCCGAGCATAGAGGCTCAAAATCTGACAGCGGTACCAGTGTCCCAGCCAGAGAGGCGGCCGTCCAAAGCCAACTAAAAAGCCTAGGCTACCTAACCTTCTCAGCGCAAGCCAAGGCTTCAGCGCAACTCCATTTCCTCTTACGAATATCACATCATGCTTTGCAAATCTACTCATTAGGTAGGTATTCAAGCTCGGCGGCAGCAGACAGCAGGCAGCAGGCAACGGGCTTCACCCCTCCGCGACGCTGCCAGATGCGCCAAAATTCCGCGCTATCAATCTACTCCACTCTACTCCTAGACTCGTAGTAAATTTACTGTACGAAGGGTACAGTAAGGTTCAGTAGCGTGCCGAGCTGGGAGAGCTTGGCCTCGATCGGTCCATGTGTATTGAGGATTATTCAGTGTGTAGCTCTGTGCGCTAGCCCGGTCACATCTTGAAACCTGATACAGAAGAATTCTGCTCATCGACGTTCAAATGATAGATAGATGTCGAACGGGAAACTCCAGGTGTTCCCGCTCTTCCTTGCAGTATCAGATCTGCTCTAACGCCACGATCTCCATTGAGCTCCCTGCACCCCCTCACACCCACTATTCGTCATTGCCTGTTACTAACCTTAACCTCTTCAGCATCGTACTGTAGCAGAGTTACGTTTGGATCCATACTAAATCATATCTTTGACTTTTTCGCCTCCGAACAGAAATTAGTGGAACTATCGATCACCTCGCGGCCCGCGACCGAAAGAAGCCATTGTTTCGTCCAAGTGCAAGTTGAGTTGCCGGCGGCTGTGGCTCCAGGATTTCGATGATTGCTTCTTATGCAATTCTCCGACTCGGAGCCCCGCGCATGCACGGCCTTTTAACTCGACGATAAGCCACAGCTATCCTCAAAACTGACATATCTCCGGTCCCAAGAAGCTTAAGAACAAATCGATTTGTTTGAGAACGACGACGGTTGCAGGTTGAAGCCCCTAAGCTTCTAGAAAGTGTGTCTCAGACTGTCGGCAGAGAGATCATGGGGACAGAAGAGAACCAACCCTCACTGCCGTTAGAGATGTCGAGACTCGTAAATCCATGGCGCATCGGAAATTTCAAGTCTTAGTTACATCGATTCATGTTATGCGAATGTTGATGTGCCGTGCTGTGCCTCTCTATGATCAGCGATCAGAACGTGTCTGGACATAAGACTTGAAAACCAAAGAAATCAAGACAGGCAAACATGGCCTATTGGAAAATATATCGAACAATATCGAACAGATCAACGCCACAATCCTCCATTGATTCGCCCCAAAGACTGGGGAAGGAGGTATCCCGTTCCAGCTTTCCGACAATCCGACTAAGTTCTCCAGTGGCTTGAGAACATGATATTCTGAGTTCTTAGAATCGGTTGGATGGCCAAGCTGTCAGAGCAACATATTCCCAAGACTATTTGCAGGGGTATCGGCAGAGATATCCGACTGAGTGTCCGAATCACCGGGTCCCAAGAACGTCGATTCACATGGTCCACACCACAAATCTGATGATCCCATACCACGCTGACTCGGTTTCCTCACAGCTATCGTTCGCATTGCGATATATCTGCCTTTTGATATTGCCACCAAGAGCTACACCGCTGAGAATAACATTACACCGTTCTCACCGATTAATCATGAAGCTGAGGCTGGCTGGATGATTTAGGAAAATGTTAGCGAGGTCTGCAATTGAGTTTGATACTCAAGCACGAGCTTACGAGTGATTGTAGGTCAATTTAAAGGTAATAAGGCGTAGGGCTAGGGTCTATTCTAAGCCCATGGGCGACTCGACAAAGCCATGATACCATTTTGAGGCTTGCAGCGGGAAAATACAAGCTTGAACCTTGTTGTCGGGGACATGTACATGTACGAATTCGGCTGGTTTAGCGCGCAAACCCCAAGTTTAAGGTTTTCTCCAAGCCAAGTCCTCATCAGCCGATGTTTTCACCATGCGGACTGAAGCGATAGCGAAAAACTCAAAACTCGAGAACCAAGTCCCCGCTTCAGATAACTTTTTTAGTGGAGGATCGTCCCGTTTTGGTGTGACACGACCTTAAAGTTTTCCGGCGCCGCGAGTCAAGAGCAACGTCTTCTGCAGCCGCACCTGCAAGATCCATGAAGCGATGTTGACATCCCCCCTATCTTGCCTATATTTACCCGTGGCTTCTCTGCCATTCCACAAAATAGGCGCAGGATGCTGGGGACTTTTCGCTTCGCCGGATGACCGGTAATTCGGTTTTAATGGGCTGTGCTTGGCAGCCCAATGGTGAGGAGGACGAATGTGCTGTCATGATGTCGTTGGCTTTCAGTTCTAAAGACCCCAGCAGCAGCGGTAGGGGCAGTCGACTTTTGCATTAATTGTAGATCTTCTGTAATACAGATGTTTGAGGCTGGTCACATACTGCCACTTAATCAGGGATATGTTGGGTAACGGTCGTGGAGAGGTCTTGTTTTGCATAATACCTCCGTTTGTTTGGCAATTTATTTACATTCCTTTCGGGCGGTCAATGGCAATGCGCGTGGCGACTTGAAATTTCCCATCATGAGCTACCTGCTTGATGAGATCTCCTGGCATGGTTCGCCACTACTATCAAATGCGAGAACTCAAATGCGAGCACACGCGGCCTCTAGATGTGAAAGTTCCTCACCCTGAACAATAAATTCAAACTCAATTTAATATCAATGTCGCTTAGTTCATGCGAGCTGAGGTACAAACACACAAAGTTCGTCCCCTAGGAAATTTGTTTGCTGATCATCCTCCATCAGAAATTTGAGTTTGGTTTATGAAATAAGACTGCAAAGTGCAAAAGGTTTGAATATCGGCTTGATCCTATCACCTGATCCGCAGACAATTCAATCCGCTCACACCCGCATGTGCTTTCAGTCTTTGCACAAGCAAGCTAGATCGAGAACATGTAAACAACATGCGAAGCGAGCTGAACCCGCTAAAGTTAAGCGAAACCCAAATTTCATTTGTAAACACGGCTCTGCTGTGTAATAGCTAAGAATTGATAATCTTGTATACCAGCTGGCGGTGATTATGATTGAATAACAGCGCCGTTGCGATGATTTTTTGAACGGCGCGGGTTCGTTAGGTTAGGTGCCGGGACATCGTGACGAAGTGTGGTAGCGAGGATTGGTATCTGAACGGGCTAGCAAATTGACAATTGGACTGGTGCAAAAGTACATAACAGAGCGATTGATGCTTCAACTTCTACACCTTCCTTCTTTCATACGAACTTCACAATACGTTAGAAATCTTCCACAATAACCATTTTCATATCTGCTATCCTCTCGTTATACCTATTGCAGGTCCTTCGCGCAATCATTTCATCAGACCTTTTAGGAAACTCCCAGATCACAAATCCAATATCTTTTTCGGATTATTATCATCATAATCAAAATGCATCTCAACATACTCGTCTCCAGAGCATTCCTCTGCCTCCTCTCAAGCGCCTCAGTCGTCCTTGCAGGTCCAGGCGGCTACGTCGAACTCGCCAACCTCACACCTTATGACTGGAAACTCACGTATACACACAGTTACCACATGGACTGGAAATTTCCTCTCACAATTCCGGCCGGTACCACAAAAGAACAGTACATTGAATGGTGGTATGACCACGGCCCCAATGGCGACTGTGGCGCTGAAGCTACATACGAGTTGGTCGATTCTCCTGAACCCGCTTCGTTTACTGTACAAGCACGGCAGAACAAGGGCAAGAAAATCGAAATTCAGTATGGTGATGAGCTTTCTTCGATCGGTAACCCTGTCGGCTCACTCATCACTCTCGGATACAAACGTGACGGAAGCGTCTTCTTCGTGCTGGCAGGCAATGAGACTGGGTCGTATGTGTCGACCAATGCTCCTGTCGCGTGGCAGCAAGCTACACTCTCTACCATCGGAACGAAATCCTTGCGCGAAATTTCAATGCCAGCTAGTCACGATTCTGGCATGTCTCAAGTAACGCGACACTACGGTGGCGTTGCCCACAATACACAGACTCAGTCCGTACATATCTACCAACAACTTGTTTACGGGGCAAGATGGTTTGACATACGACCTGCTCTACGAAAGGGGAAATGGTACACCAACCATCTCTCCATGGTACCAGGGCTTGGGTACCAAGGTGCATTTGGTCGAACTATGGTGGACATCATCAAGGATATTAATCGCTTCACAATTGAGAATCCTGGAGAGCTCATTATCCTGGAGTTGTCGCATGAGATGGATCGCTTTAAGTGGAAGCCGAGACTCACGGATGAGCAGTGGCAGATGTTGTATGTTTTTTTGTATAATGGAATTGATGATATATGGATGATGAACCCAGCAAGTCTGCCGAATGATTTGTCAACTGTTCCGATTGAGACGTTCATCCAGCCTGGGTCAAAGTCAGTAGTCTTGGTTAGGGTACCAGATCATGCTCCTAATTTCAATTCAACAATCCAGAAGAGAGAATTGGCCATCGGAGATCTATCCACTAGAGAAGCGACTCAAGAAAACAACACCGCAACAGACGAACCTCTAGATCTCAACGCACCTAGCATCGTACCATTTAACTCCACTCTAGACGGCGACAACGACGACACTCCAGATATCTCGGATGACACCAGCTCCAGCTTCAATACCACTCTCCCCAAGCTCCCGGAGCTCACCTCTCACAAAAAGCCCACATCCCTAACACCAGCATTCATCCCCGCCCGCCGCCTCCCCACTGTAGGATCCTACTCCGACACCGACCAACCCTCCTACCTTGAAACCGATCAACTCGCAAAACTCTCCACCGACCGCGTCTCGACCGAAAATAGCATGCACCAAAGCACCTGGACCATTACCCAACGTATCGGACACATTCTAGACGTCGGTAATCCATCTAAGAGCATAATCGCCGATGCCGTCCCCGCGCATCGTAAACTCTTCAGCAAGATCTGGAAGGGTTTGTCGAGCAAGACCTATCCCAATTTGATTGAAGTGGACGATATTCATAATAACCAGATCACGGCACTGTGTATGGCGATAAATGAGTATTTTGGGGTGGGCAGGGATTTGCAGAGTTCGGCAGCAGCGAAGAGGTTGGCGAAGAGAAGGATGGTGCCGATGATTCGGGGACGGCCTGCTGCTGGACTTGGAGAGAGGAATGAGTGGGTGGGGAGGAGAATGGAGTGGTTCATGAAGGCGGTTTGGTGTTCGTTGAAGATGGAGGGGAGGCCTTGTTGGATGGACCATCCTGGGGTGGAGAAGGTGAAAGGATCGCTGAGTCGTGTGCTGGAAGTTCCTCCATCTGAGCTCAATACTTCTGGAAGGTAAACCAGCAAAGGTAGAACGTCCTCATATGATACACGAACAAGGATGAGATGACTGCTCCTGGAAAGACTAGTGGGTCCACTCAGACACCTATATACAGGACCACCAAGCCATGTTGCGAGACAGCAGCAGGAAACCAATATATCCGAAGGGACACTCTAGAACTACCGGCGGAAGACGAACACACGCGGCCAATCTAGGACAAATAACGAGATGTAGAAGCACAACAAGCGAAGCAGGCTAATCTTGCTACGAATGTGATAAATCGTGGGTTTATTACATGGAGGAAATATTCTGTAATTTTCTCATTCGAAATCTATAGTCAGAATCAAATAATGTAAGAATTGAATTCAGTTGTAAATAAAACCTTTTCGAGTAATGTGTGCAATATTTTGAGATTGGATACTTCCCTCTAATATTCGTAAGGAAGAATGATTCCATGCTTGAATAAAAGGGGTATCACTGCCTGAGTAACCTTACCGAGGCGCTAATAACAAGGAAATTCATCCCAATATACCTACCTAGGTAATTCAAACTTCTTACATCATGGGGCGTTTGAGTATGGACATCCAGCCAACTTCAGTCGCCATACAAACACCCAGTTGATTTTCCCACCTTCAGCGTCACACGGTATATTAAGAATGTCGACATACCTTCCACCAGGCTGGACCGCTGAGCAGCTTGGGTCTGCCACACTTTCCGACATCCAGCAATTACCTCCAGACGTAAGTATCTTCCTCCCTCCCTCTTTCTATTTCCCAACTAACTCGTCAAAGACTCTACACAAACTGGACCTCAATTACATGTCATCCGCAGGTAATTCGGCGCGAGACCTTGTCCTCACAGCCCAACTTACCGAATCCCGCCGTCTCGAGCGCATTTCCCTTGGTCTTCCCCCCGCCCCACCAAAGACCAAACCCGAGCGCGACCCATACGTACAGATTGTCGAAGATGAGCGGCTCAAGGACTTTGGATATCTATGTTTCCGTGCGACGTATGCTGATGATGCGAGGTGGGAGAAGTGGCAAGAGAAATTCAATGCGGGGTTGGAGGGGGGTTTGGTGGGGTGTGCTGGCCGGGAGAGGGTCGCGGAAAGGTTGATGGTAATGTTTGTTGACGATAGTGATTTAGACGGTGTGAGTTTTTCGGATGTCGCCAAGGCTTTTGCGGATGTGAAGGAGAATGGGGATTTTGGCCCTGGGTTGGATGTTGGGATGTGTTTGATGCTTGATGAGGAGGCTATGGCCTCATTACTGGAACCTGTTGAGGGCAAAGACCCGTGGGTTTGGGCTGTGGATGTGAGCTATGATTTCGATGGTGCGCAGATGGAGGATGGATACCCGGGACGGTTCAAGGTCGCCATTGATTCTTTGGTCTCGGACCTTTGGCCATTGCTTGCTGGCTCAAGTATGCAGCCAGAGAGTCTCTGGCAACCTGAAAATTCGATTTGGAAGAGTGCGATATAATTCGTGGCAAAACTTGGCATTGGAACTCGGAGAGGTTAATGAGTTGGTTTCACTTGGCACAATAAAAAGCGACACCTGCTTGTCTTTGATTCGGAATACAATAGAAGTCAGGCAGTCTGCCCTAATATCCAAAGGAGTCTTGGAACTTGGCTCAGATAGCTAACGGAAAGACTTGTACAAAACCTTCTTTACTTATAACTTTAGATTCACCGAGCTAGATATTGCAAGAATCACACTCAGCACTCAGCCTAGAAGTCCTCAAAAAGCAAGACGGGACGAATGGAGAACACAGAACGCAATATAAGAATGATAGAAAACTGGATTCTTGAATGAAGAGCCTTGAAACTGTAAATGTCATCTCCCAAATGGGCCATAATATTATCTGGCTTGTTATGCTGTTCAGCTGATGATTTTTAATATAGCTGCTCTCCGCTGTTGCATTATTACTGTAATAGATCAGACATGATTGTCAGATGTTCACTCATACGCCTAAGCTTGAGATGGAGATGTGTACGTACGGTTCGCTGAAAGTCCAAAATGATTCCTACTTTATATGCTGTAATAGCCCATTCCCCTCCTTTACATTCGAGGACTCAGGCGCCGGCAGAATTACACAGGGGAAACAACTATTAGGTAGTTTGAGCAGCAGTTCTTGCAGAATCGAAAAAAGAATGTAGTGCCTAGAAGATAGTTGCCACTCAGCATTCAACGTATGCAGGCACTTCTGTAATCAGATTCTTAGCGCGAAAACGGAGAGTTTCCAAACACACACGGAACGTAGGGTCCTTAGTGGAGTGCTATGTGAAGACATTATCATATACAGCTGAAATTTATACAACCCTCCACCCAAAAATACAAACCTGCTATCTCCAAAACGCCTTTGCCAATGCACCAATCCAACCATGCTCTATTCCAAAAAGCAATTTTAACAGTAATGTGGTTTGTCTTTACCACTCATGGTATTCATCACAGCATCAACAAACCCGCAGCCACTGCACAAACCATCGCCAACCACGTCGTCCTCTCATACATTCCCGTCGCAGCACTAACAGGCAATCCACAGCACTCCCTCGTATACGTCACGTTGTTGAACTTCGCTGCAACCTCAAACACGGACCCATTCCCCACGTTATAGTAATCAACATTCAAGAACTTCGGCGGGAATCCCCAGCTGGAATTGCAGTTCTCAGCTCCACTCCCCAAACTCCCAAACCCGGTAACGTTGTTCGTGACGTTCAAAAGCGGGATATTAGGAACCAGGATAGAGTTTCCGAGGAGATTGATGTCGTAATTTAGATTGTGGTTCATGAGATACAAACGGTTCTTGGCTTGATCCTCGGGAAGATCCGGTGGTCGTTGGACAGTACAGGGGAAGTTGCGGTCGACGGGATCAAACGGCGTCTCCCACATCTGTGAGAACTCGTCCAGCATCCATGGGATGGCGGTTTGGTTTGCTTCGTAGTCCATAAAGAAGACCACGCGCTTCCCTTGCAAGATCATGGAGGCGAGGGTGGGCCAATCGTTGAGTCCCATAGGTATCTTTGGGGGTACGTAGGCGTAGTTGTGGAGGTTGGTTTGTTCGATGAAGGGCTGGTAGGTGGTTACGGCGTTGTAGGCACCATTTCCGAGGAGGATGGTGATTACGTCGTATGGGTGCGAATGCACCCAATCGTAGACTGTTGAAAGGTACTCTGTGATAGGGCCTGCGTCGAGGACATCGCAGGAGCCATGGCAGAAATGTGGAACTTCTCCTACGAAGTGCATTTGTCCCTGTAACAGACGAATTCCATCGTTCAACTGTGTAGTCACATCCAAAGCTTGGTTTGCTGCTGCATTTCCAGGCCTAACAAATGGTGAATTGTGTGCAGCTACCTCTGTAATATTTCCATAACTTCGGCCACAGAACTCGACGTAGTTGTTACAGGGTGTGGTGTTTGTAGGCTGAGGGGCAGTCGAAGTCGTTGCAGTCGCTGTGCCATTCATGGTCCCATTTACGGAGAGAGTTGTTTGCGGTCGTCCAGTGAGTAAGAGTTGGGAGTCTTCGCTCGTGGACGTTGCGTTGGCGGTTTCATTGTTAGCAGTTATTATGCTTGTGCCTACGCCAAATAGTGTTGTTGAGCCCAGGGTTGTTGTTCGAATGGTAGACCCGCTGCTTATTGTTGTGACAATGGCAGATGTGGTAATGGCTGATGTTGAAGGTCTGGTCAAGGTCGAAGAATATGAGATGTATGTTCCAGTCGGGAGAGCTGCTGAAACTGTACCCTCAGATGTCCCACTCAATGTGAGCACATCTTGGGATGCTGCAAGAGCGAACAGCAAGCCATACCGAAGGACGCTTGAGAAGAGCATTGCTGTGAGGATGTATACTCAAGTAGGGAATACCAGCGAGAGGGATCAATTCTCCCAAATGGAGCGGGACTCCAAACAAACAAAAGTCCACCACAAACGAATGTTACGAGGTTCGACCAGAGAGAGGAAGGTTCGACAATAATATCCAGAGGCACAGGAAGTCCTCGCCCGCGTCAACCCAAAAAGCTAGACTAGGTAGACTCTTACCACCACGCAAAACCGCAGGCTCGTCGTCTCAACAGAGTGGAGTGGATTAAAATATCCGATCAATGACGTCGATTTTGGCTTCGGCAGCGCGGCGGGGAGATGTGAGGTGATGTTAGCCGGCAGACTAGAGAGGCACTAGAGCCGTTCCTGGATATTCTAGATCTGGAGCCAAGGGGGAGAAAATGCGAAAACGAGAGACTCTTGAGAATGGTTGCAAATATTGGCAAATAGAGGAGGCTCCAGACATTTGAATTACTTCTTACTTTCAGAGACCAAGGGTGCGAGACTCCGAGGGCTTCTAGGCTGGGTTACGAGGGGCTGAGCATTCATCCCGGCAGACGGGTACTGTGCGAGGCCTGAGACCTTGCTGTCACTCTGCCACGAGTGTTCAAGACAAAAAAGGGTTCGGGATGATATCTGGCCAAGAATCTTGGTATGTACCTACCTTCTACTGCCCAGACTCATCCAAAGAGACGGAACAAACGTTCTGCATTCTCGCTTGCTGTTAAACTTCTATCCTCGTTTCGATTGCGTTTGAAAGCAAAATATACTGTTGTTTGGTGTTGCAACTTTACTACTGTTTTCCTTTGTCGCTGGGACCAGATCGGCCCAAGGATGATACGGAATTAGACAGGAGAGCCGGAAAGACTCCCGTCTTCGCAACTCCGAGTACCCTGGAATACTATTGGTCATAGGGGCTTCGAAGCCTGAGCCAGTGAGCCCTCCCTGCGTCGCTTCAGTAGATGCCCTGCCCTGCTAGCCCAGCCACTCAAGCCTCCCGTCGCCCAACTGAATCACCATCAACGTTTCCCTCCCAAGCTTCAGATGACGTTGAGACACAAAAATAAGAAAAAAGGTTACTGTTGCCAACGCACAGTCTCCGGCTAGTAATGGTCACCACGACAGAGTCCAAATTATTCGGCCCTTGACTGGGATCACGGCCATATCTGCAGCTATTTGACATTGCTCGACGGCAGTCCAGAAGCCATGGCTGTGGATCTCATGCATCGGTGGCTGTCTTAGAGTAGCATGCTCCAGGGGCCAAGAACCCCACTGCACCAGTCGAGACGCGCAATGGGGGGCTGATATCCTTGTCGTTAGCCCGTGATGATGTCGTTTTGCAGTTTGTCGCAGTGTTGATATACACTACTAACCTCCTCGTCCTCATCTGCTCCCAGCTGATGCGTGTGATGCTCGCTGTTGAAAGGTCGCGATAATCATCCTCAACCGCATTCACGCCCTCGCCTCCGCTTTTGGCTTGACGCCAACTAACATATCATGGCTCTTCCGACGTTTCGATCGCTCGCTGCTCGCAGGCAGAAGGAGAAAACAGTGCAGGAAAACGGAGTTGCAGCTTCTGATGCTCCAGCAGCAGCACCGGAGCAGAATTCAGAGCGGACTCTGACACCCACGTATACACCTGGAGTCGACATCAAGGAAGCCACCAAGACACGAAAGATCTCAATAATAATCTCTTGCCTCTTCTTCTTCATTTCTGTAATATTCTTAATTCTGGTAAGCTTAAAACCCTGCAGAGTACAACCTTAAATCAACCATTTGACTCTAACCTTCTCCGCAGACGATCATCGGGAACATCAACAACAAGCCTGTAATCCGCGATACCTACTTCTTCTCCCTCGACCTCACGAACATCATCCCCGCCTCCGCAAACGACATCCAGCTCGTCAATTCTCTCGCCCGCTCCCTCGGCCTCCACGATTTCTACCAAGTCGGACTCTGGAACTTCTGCGAAGGCTACAACGATGAGGGGATCACATATTGCTCCAACACCAAACCACTCTACTGGTTCAACCCTGTCGAGATCCTGCTCAATGAGCTTCTCGCTGGCGCGACTATCGCTCTTCCAGCGGAGATCACAGATATATTGAGCCTGATCAGGATTGCTTCCCATGTCATGTTCGGCTTCTACCTGACGGGCATATGCATGAACTTCCTCTCCATATTCATCGCTCCCATCACGCTGAAATCAAGATGGTGGTCCTTCCCCTTCGCCATCTGGACATTCATTGCTGCTTTACTCACTACAGCCGCAACCATCATCGCGACAGTCATGGCAGTGATCTTCCGCAATGTAGCAACCTCGCAGCCAAGTTTGAACATCAGCGCCAGTATCGGCGAGCAGATGTTTGGCTTCATGTGGACTGGGTCTGCGTTCAGCATTTTCGGGTTCTTGATCCATCTCGGTATGAGCTGTTGCTGTGCTAGTAGGCGGGATGTTAGGACGGGGAGGAGGAAGGGGAGGATGAGTGCGTATGGTGATGCGGGGAGTGATGAGAAGAAGAGACCGTTGAATAAGAGACAGTGGAAGAAGATGCCCAAATTCATGCGGAGGAGGACGAGTGGTGAGGTGGTTTAGATGTGGAATGTGGGGAGGGAAGGGATTGTAAATAGCATGGGTGAGACATTTGGGCACTGGAAAATTCTGGCTAGAGGCGTTATGAGAGCTTGGATAGCGAGTGAATTTTGAGCGTGGTTGAATACCTGGTCTTGCATTGCCTGCATGTTGATAGCATGGAACTCAGAATAAATTATCGAAAAGACCACCGTTACTAAAATACGACAAATCTCTATCTGGTGTATCTACAGCACCTTTGCTCGTTCAACTCCACAATCGAGACTTCCGGCTTAGTGATCGCGAGACGCGAGACCTCCCAGTAATATTCCTCATTCATAATCTCTAACCCCATCTTCATCACATGCTCACCATCACAGCCATCCCACCAATCAGCTTCGCACCGATCATCGTGCCACCACCTAAAGTACTTCCTTGTCCCACGTATCATGAGTTTGAACTTCTGGAAACTAGGTAACTGTTCGACAGCGGCGTGCCAGTCTTTTCGCGGCTGCTTGCCCTCGTCGTTAGGGTCCTTGCCAGTATCCCAGTATCAACTGTATTGGGGTTCTCTTTCGAACGGCCAGTCCTTAAGACCAAAAACTGTCACTTCATCCGCAAAAGTTCGCTTGTAGTCCACAACTTCTTACAAACCATCACCACCTTAAATCCGTCCGCAAATGTCTCCGAAAAGGGAAATTCCAGCGGCGGCGCAAATTCCCCTTAAAATGCTGTTGCCAATGTTCTTACTGATCGACTCCATTAGCTGGATTCTGTCAGGTATCCATTTCGTGTATCAGCGATGAGATTAAACTCCATCACGATTCGCAGCCCTATCGTGAGGAGATACGTTTGTTGTTGCTCCACTATTGGTGTAACAATTACCGCTAGTTACCTACAAAATTAAGTCACCAAGCAGTTATCCTAATAAGACTCACCGGCTCTACGGCGGATACGTCAATGACAACGAAGCACTGGTCCTGACTGCTGTGTCCCAAACGGTGACACTGTGACATTCACGGAAAAGCGCAATGGAGTTTGTGATCCTTTGGTCGGAGTACCGAGACGTGAATGTGATTACGGTGGCCAAGTATTCTAAGCTCTACTTATAGCAGCAAAGCCTACCTCATTCTCCTGAAATGAACTCTACACCTACAATTTCAGAAAAACCTGTCCAAATACATCTATTCCGCTGACTCAGAACACTCTTTCAACCTGATAGTTCATAATGTCTTTTCCACCAGTGGAATCTCCTCTGGCAAGAGATCCACGCGACAACAATAACAACCCTCTCCAAGGCGAAAATCAGGAGATGCGGAAAACATAGACGACGATCAAGAAGTAGCCGACCTCAAGCATCTTGCTGGTCCCTCGGAACAAGAGATGATCGAAGCAGCAGATATAAAAGCAGATCGAAGCAGCAGATATAAAAGCAAAATTTCTACAGAACAAAATCATAGTAGCAGAGAAAAAAGCGAGAGCCAAGTTCCGAAAAGCACAACTGAAATTCCCGGACCCATGGGCTGTCTCATGGTATGCTCTAAAGCAGCCTCCAAAATTGATCCCTAAAGCTCCCGCGCCGGTTCCACTGAAAGTCATTCCCATCACCGTCAAAAAGGAAAGGTGTTTCCAAGACAAGCACCCAGTGCCGCCGACGAAGTTCCACTTCTTTCCGTACCTGCCCAGGAATGCCGTTATCTAATCATCAAGTACGCCGCAATGCTCTGGCAGGAGCCTCATATCCTCCGGATGCAATGCAAAGTTAGTATAGACTGGAGCCTTGATGTGTACGGAGATCCAAACGGAACTTGGAAGTTCATGTTTGGGCCTAAAGAACATCGTATTTCCGCCAAAACACCTCTGCTCTTCTGTACGTGTGTCGTGAGTCCAGGACTTGGACTATGGACGATGGCTGGGAGATGGTGCCAACCAAAGTGTCCAACAATACACCCGGTGAGGATGTGGTTACCGAGCGACGACTGCTTAATTTCACGACCGGAAAGATGATATGGGATATCAATGCACCGCAGATGAATAAGAAACTGATATTGGGAAAGAAGAAAGCACTGAATCCTGTGTCTCTACCTTTTCGCTCGACACAGGATGCCCTGAAAAAGTTTCGAAGATTGGCTGTTGACCAAGCTCTATGGTTTTTAAATATTTTCTTCTGATCTTGGAAGCAGCAGTTGACTGGAGGGACGTAATGGCTGGCCGTTCGGACAGAATAAGGATTCCGAGAAATTAGGCAGTCTTCGCAGTCACGAGGACTGGAAAGTAACTGTTAGGCGTTTGCCACAACTTGTTAGCCTACAGATAATCATGGGATCCGTTGGAAGCACAAATTACTCATCCTCGAAGATTACGGCAATGTTGGCGAGCGACTTTCCTCGTGGTAGCTCTTGACGTTTGGAACATGAGATTCAGCTTGTTCGTGTGCAAGCCTTGAGAGGCAAGAGGAATGGGTGGTTGTTTAATAGATGAGGTTCGCTTAGCGTATTCTGCTCTTATCGTTGTCTTTCTTGGCAATTTTAGGGTAAGTCAACAAACGGGATGAAATAAGCGAGATTTGGGAATAGTAATTCACGTCAGCCTTATCAAAACTTTTTCTAGTCACTGAGAAACTGAAATCTCATTGCACCCTAATTATCCGTACAAGATGAAACCATTGTCTCTTCACTACGCGTGAAATACGATTGCATCAAATGGTCTGGAAGTACAGTCGTATAACATCATCACGTCTCATCGAATGGCGGTTCCCCTGCGGAAATTCCACCTACCATGAATCTTCCAGGAGCCATCCGATCAGAAATTCGGGTTATTTTTACCTCATCCGCTTCATCTTGGATTCGCCCGCCGTGTCGAGCGAACTATTCTTTTTCAAAGAGAGCGAGCTTAGGTAGACGACTCCTAATCTAGTTCTTCACGAATTTCCTGCAAGATGAGTAACTGCTTGGACCCAAAGAACTTTAGTTATACTAACAGCTTAATTGGCTCTATTTCGCACAACAGGTAAATCCTTCACACACAGTCCCGCAAGCAATCCGACATTTGACCAGATTCACCTGACTCAGAACTCTCTTCCTTACATCCGCCGCGCTGCTCGATTCTCTCGTTGCAGTCGACTCACCCACCTCGAAAGCTTTCCCGTTATCCACAACTACTTCGATCTCATCTTCTCGCTTTCCACTAACACCGCTCTTTCTTCCTTCAATTTCTTGCTCGCTTACTAATTCGGGCTGTAAAGTCGTCGAATGGATGCCATATGCATGGAGACACTCGTTGATGCGCATGGCCTGCACCATGAAATTGCTCAGCGAGTTGTCGGATGTCAAAACGTGAGCGGAGGCGAGAGCCTTGTGCTGCGAGAGTCTCCAGACGTGGAGTTCGTGGATAGAGAGGACATTAGACACCTTCTCCAGGTCGTGTTGGATGTCATCTGGATTTACGCCGAGTGGGACAGATTCGAGCAGAATTGAGCCGCTGTTTTTGACTGTGCCTTGTTAGCTGCCGCGTTCCAAGCTATTCCGTCATAATAGAAGGACGTGGGATATGTGGTCTTACCCAACGGAATTGCGCTGGCGAAAATCATAATCGCAATACCAAGGCTCACACCAGGATCAGCATAGAACCTGCCCTCATATCTGGCCTGCCAGATAACAGCAGCAGCTATTATGACCCCAATATTATTGAGCGCATCCCCAATCACATGGACGAGGACACCCATCATGCCAAGGTCGTGACCATGGCCGGCTTTACTCGAGTCGACCTTATGTCTGTGATCTTTATGGGAGTTGCATGACTATCACTGTTAGTTCCTGGCGAGAAATATCGAGGAATAGAGACTACATACATCCGTGAGTTCGATGTTGGTACTCTCTGTCTCTTCCATGTTTGGAAGAGAGGAGGGACCATGGTCATGCTCTGGAGCGGATCCTTCAGTAGTGGTCTAAGATATTTCAACTAGCCAAGGATACATACCGTGGAGGAATATGGCGCTGATAATGTTCAATGTGAGACCAACGCATCCCATGATAAGAACCAGCATGGGATTCTCTACTCCTAAGTACGACGTCAGCAATAATTGCTTTAGCGCGGAAGCGCGGAAGCGAGCTGATATTTACTTTCAAGTGACACAAATCTTTCGATAGATTGTAAGAAGATACTGACACCAAGCGCCTGTACCCACCAAGTCAGTCAATTTTTCTAAATAGTTATTGAGAGACGGAAATCCATAGACATACCAAGAGAAAGACTCCGTTGAAGAATGCTCCCAGTAACTGCGCACGCTGCCATCCGAATGACAGCCCTTTTGGTGTCTTCTCTTTCATTGAGATCTATTCCAACCTCGTCAATGATTGAATCGAAAGACATCGTAGAGATACAAGGCACAAGGCCACTTACCCTAACAGCTACCAGAGCTACAATAAATCCTACTAAGTCATTCATCTATACATCCCAGTCATGAGCCGACGTTCCTGATAAGGAGTGAAAAGAAGAGGAATATTCATACATAATGAAATGCATCAGCTACCAGAGCCAATGAATGTGTGTAAAAGCCAACTGCAGTACCTATGGTCAGCGAAAGTCCTCGCACGATGCAAAGAATATAGCGTGGGAGGGCTATCTCGTGATTCATAAAATGATAGAATGAAAGAATATGGGCAATTACCTGATATTTCTGCGATGAAGAAAGAGAAAGAGATGCCAATAATTATCATCAAGCGCGTCGATTTGCTCAACCCTTTGGATTGCGCATGGCCGTGATCGTGGCCATGGTCGTCAGCGCTGCTGTGATGGTGGCTATGTGGCGCCATGTTGAGCCTCGATGTTAGACTATTTTTTTTTTAAAAAAAAGAATCAATAATGTGATTAAATGTTCAAATTACAGAATAAATAAATGTAAAGAAGACGAAGACGAGGAAAGGTTAAAGTATACCGAGGCTTGATAATGCTTGATTTATGGGTTGGCGATCAAGTCTTGGAAGCGTGTCAGGAGTGTTTGGCGGTTCAGTGCGATTTGGAAGGTACCTAGCCAAGACCCGCCACAGGCACTGCTGTTGGGTGAGCCGAGAAGCCTGGGGAAGGCAGAGCCGAGTTACGAAGCGAAGTCTGTGTGACGTGTGTTAAATAGTGCCTTGCGCTTAGGCTTGTGGTTGTTTGTTTTCTCGATTTTGGGAGGTTGAAAAAATTCTTGAGAAGGTAGATTCTTGACTAGATTCACGATGAGTTGCGCGTTTGACTGGCAGCCTACCTTCTAGCGTTCAGAAGGAAGAGGGGAATCATGGCGTGGTTCAGCACTGGCATGAATCACGTGAATTATTGGACCGCCACTTTCCAGTCCAGCCTATTTTGTTGTGTTTTTAGTGGGAATTGGGAGGCGATGATTACCATAGTGAGCCCGACTATTGTTCTGGTGTAAACAGAGATCAGAGAGAGTGGATTCTCATGAAATTGACAAAACCGGTCTGGTTGGGCCACTCTTTGTCGATACAGCTTGCCTGTACATGTTCATAATATGTGTTCTTGGTAACAGTCAGCCTTGATGCATGATAGAACCGTACTGCTGTGAAAAGCACAAGTATCATGTCCCCAATGTTCCGCTTACAGCTATTCCATCAGCAATATTTACATTCTCGCTAACCTAATTTCGCTTACGCCTCCCAACCTCTCCCAATCCCTCCCACCGAATTCCACTCCGCATCCTCACGGCCCCCTCATTCGGCACACCCGGCGAAGTCAAACTCAACATCTTCCCAAAATCTGGCGTCCCAATACCAGAAACTGGATCCCATCCCTGAGTCGCATTCCAACTCGCGCCAGGAACAATTGGGCTTCCATTTGGACTACCGTTGAAGCGTGTCAGACCGTTGCAACCTGTTGATGCGCCAGTCGTGATGTCGTTCATTGCTGAAGTACCATTGGAGTAGAGCCACTATTCTGCTTGTCAGTTTTACCGCTTTCACCATCTGAGGTCGGAGCAATAGGGGGCTATGGATCCTTACCGGATTGATAAACCCCATCGGCGGCATCCCCTGACTAATCCTTGCGGAATTCAACATGGCCACCACGCCCGCAAACACCGGCGCAGCTGCTGATGTGCCACTCACAAACCCCATTATCCCCTTATCAACAATAGTAAAGTTATTACTCTGCGCCGAGACATCTGGAAAAGCCCTCCCACTTGGATTAAACAGCCCCTTATTCTTCTCCCCAAGCTTCGACAGATACGACGTCACAGCAGCTTCTTGATACGCCGGTCTCGCCCAGAGGTCGGAAAAGCCACCTGACGAGAAGAAGACGCCTTCTTCTGGATCTACAGATGTCGTACCACCAACAGCCGTTACGTACGGACAAGACGAGGGGAATTGTGAGTTGAAAGTCGTTCTATTAGACCCATCATTCGTGAGGCAGAAACTCCCAACCCCGGAGTCACCAGAAGCGAAAACGACGGTCTTCCCTCTCGCACCAAGCTGCGCAAACATGTTACAGACTTGTATTGCGTAAGCGGGTGGGATTTCTTGCTCGTTCTCGCCGTATGAGATGGAAAGTACATTGGGGATTTTATCATTCGGTAAGGCCATGAGGGAGATGAGGAAGTCGAGGTAAGGTTCATTTTGGGCGGTTGCTGGGTCTGGTTGATCACCGTCTGGGATGAGAGGGCCGCGACCGCCGACGGAGAACTCGGTTACTGGTGTGGGTGAACTGATGGCGATGATGTACTGGTTGTCGAGGTTGGCTTCGCCGCTGTCGTTTGCGCTGTTTTGGTCGTTGAGTCCCCCATTGAGTTGGACAACATTGAACTGTACGTGACAATCAGTCATGAGCAAAGGAAATACAAGTCAATCTTGGGCAGATGGACAAGAAGATTGGAAGGGGAAACATACACTCTGCCCGATTGCATACGGGGCCAGCGCCTGCGCAAACTGTACCGTATCCGCATCCCTCGCATATTCATCCAGAAACGAAGCATAGCCCACCGTGTTACCATTATTTGGATCAGCTTTATAATGCATATTATACAGATCCAGCAAGCATGTCGGCGTCACCATGCTTGCACATGAAGCATTAACCTGCGTGGCTGCCCACTTGGCTGGACTCATGTTGGCTGGGTACTTGATCTGTGACCTAGAGTATCGTGGTTGAATGGAGCTGAATCTAGTTGTTGGTTGTACGAAATTGATATGTGGCGCTACTTCTGCTGGGACTGAGTAGGACAGTGTTCGAAGGATAGGCTTGGATGTGACCGGGTTGGTGTACCAGTTGAATGTTGTGCCGAGGAGAGTGTTGGCTTTCGCTACAGTCGTGGAGAACAGTATGTATTCACCCTCATGGTTGACATTCGTGATATCATTATCTTGAAGCCAAAATACCGTTGTGTTTGAGGCTTCATCCGTGGGCTGTAGGAGGCTCCTGAGTTCATGCCCGGAATAATGCTTCCCATACTGTTGATGGTCTGGAGTGGAGACTGCTAACAGTTTGCTGTAGAATGTAGCTAGGTTTTGTTGTTTGAGAGATAATCGAAGCTTGATGCTCTCATCACCGCTGGCGGCTTTGACTTGTACCCAACCTCTTGGTACATTGTGCAGGGACTCAAATACATTCGTAGTATGAGCGAGGTCGAATAGAGAAAGTAAAGATGTTAGCTTGAAAGTAAGCATTGTGCAAAGACCTGCTCTAATTAGCAAAGGAGTGAAGATAAGAGCCAAGTTCAAAATTCTGCGAACATTGACGTAGGGGCTGAGCTGAATGTTGCTACAATTATGTTTGAACAAGCTTTGAAGTATCCTGGTACTCGCATCGATGCATGCCACCAAGCATTTGTATCTGTATCAACTATCTGTTTTGCTAAGAATCTTATTCGTCGTCCGGTTCCCGAGAATGATGCTTGCCGTTGTTTCAAAACAATGTGCTCTGACCATCCGAGTACCGAACAGCGAAAAGCTGTCAGGTGAAGGGTAAAATATAGGCTCGTCCAAGAGGTCATAGTATGAATCGAGTCAATATTCGGATGGTGGTTTTGTTGTATCTATATACTGGGAACAGCCCAAACACGCCACCAGACATGGCAAGCTTACCGAAAGAACACAAACGAGGAAACAAGCGGCAGCGAACCTCGAAACATGTTCCGAGCCGCCGGGTATAGAAAGCTTCATCTCGTCTTGGCACGAATTTAGATCTACGGTTTTCATATGCCTCAGAGAGCTGAGAAAAAGAAATATCGGTTGAGAGAAGCTGTAAACACCATCCATTAAAGCCTAAGGTATATACATTTTTTTTTATCATCACACTCTCCACAGCATCAAGCTCTCCCCTCGTCCCCTCCAGATTTTGCGATTGATCAAGCAAAGAAGAAAAATCGTCATAGGTCGTCGTATCATCGTCAAAGGTATCCCATCTCCCCTTCCTCCGTAGTCCCATCCCCTGTCAGTACCTTGCTGCAGCTTTAGCTCCAGCTTCCGACCAATATCCTGACAATACCAGATGGATCAGCCAATCAGGCATGATCCATCATCCATTTCTATATGTTTGAAAATAGAAACAGTGAAAGCACCAAAAAAAAGAAGATCCCCATGCGTATGTGCAAACAATCCACCCAGAGAGAAGATGAGATGCTATCCAGTAACACTCATAAATGGAGGGAGGAATTGTTGAGCGTAACATGTTCCGTTATCGTGAGATATTATGCCGAAGTCTATTTGCTCAGAAGGTTTCGGACTCGCCGCTTTGATTACTCGCTATCGTGCCAAATGTATCTGGAGAAGGTTATTCTTGGTATATCTTGAGAGACTGAAGTTTATATACCTCTGTTCTTATTTCGACGGATTACTGTTTCGTCTCTATTTAGTTCGCCGCTCCTTGAAGCTGAACTCATACTTCGCGGGCCGGTTGGCTTTCTAGCAGGAACACCCGTGGGCATTGATCTTGTAGCAGACCTCGGCGAACTTGCTGGATCATAGTCCACGGGCAAGTGCTCGTTACTGAGAGGGCTAGGCTTTTGGAGCTTGCCGGTTCTGATCTTTGGTGGTCGTTCTGGGGCCAGTGGCTCCTTGGGTGGGCGTTGGGGAGGCTGATTTGATGCAGAGCCGTTGGAATAGCCGCCATCAGAGACCGGTGACATGTTCCCGGTGTTATTTGTGCCGTTGCTGTATCGATTCGTCTGTTGAGCTGGTAGCCGATTTAAACTTGTCTGAGAGCCCCAATCCAGGGACCTTGGAGACATGGGGGAATCGAAATTATCGGCTTGTGATTCCAAGGCTGTTTGGTAACGATGAGTTGGGCCGACTCGAGGTTGAGGATGTTGCAAGTTAAGCGAGTTACGATGAGCCTTGTATTTGGGATCCTCAGGTGGTAAAAGTGATGCTGGAGGCTCATTCTCATTGAATTGCTGGTCAATTTGATCTTGAGAGAACCCGGAATGAAGCTTGTCATCTCCGTAGGGGTCATTATCTGCGTAATTCCCTAGATCGGAACCAGACCGGGACGGAGGATCTTGGTACTGCTCTTCTCCCTTGCGGCCGCTGCTACGTCCACTACTTCTGAATCCACGGAGAACGGTGGAAGCAGTTGTCTCAGACCAACGGGAAACTTTAGGTATCCAGCCAGAAGAGCTACTTGACTTGTGCTTTTTGCTCTTGTCGGTTCGAGGTGTATTCTCGTTGCTCAGCGAAGCGGGCGCAACATATTGTTGGGGTGGTGTGCCGAGCGGAGCTGAGCCACCACGAGATATTTCCCGAGTCGGAGTGAGCAGCTGTTCGTTGTTCTCGAACTGGTTGTCTAGGACGACTTGTTCATGATGATCGAGCTCCTCTTCATCACCCTCTGGTACAGTGCTGATGCGGTGATCGGAAAACTTGCGGTTGTCGAATAGTCTTGTGGCGCTTGTTCCACGTGAATGAGGAATAGACAAATGACCAGACTGGCTAGCGTGGCTGGCAGTGGATGTTCCTGCATTTCCTTCGGGCTCGTATCCTCGATCATCATAATTACCTTCTTGTCCAAGATCATCATAGGACTCTCCAGGGTGGCTGTCAACCTTCAGGCCTTGAGCAACCTTGAGTCCTTCCACCTCACCCAACAGTTGAACCAACATCTCCTCGATCTTCCCGAGATCGTTGGAGCTTTTCATGCTCAATCCTTTGAGTGCTCTTCTGAAAACATTTCTCTTCTTGTTGGGAATGTCATCGAACATTTCATCTTGTGAGCCCTGACGGATAGAGCGTGGACCGCTTTGAGGTTGAGGTCTTGGGCCATTGATAGCCTTCTGAAGAGACTTATCGGTGTTACTCTGAACCTCAGTGATGATAACATCTTCTGTATCAGCAAGCAGACGCTTCATGTCCTCAAAGGAGTTTCGCATTTCTGCTGCAGCGCGAACGAGAGTGACGAGAATTTCGGTATCTCTGGCGCTTCTTTGGGCATCACGAACAGTAAGCTGCGTATGATTAGTGATTTTCATAAGAAGACATAGGACTACTTACATGATCCATCAAAGCAACAATGTCCTTCGATTGGATACGGTCAATGCCGTTTCCAGTTGCGCTATCATAGATTGGTGATCCCATTCCGTGAGACATACCACTGAGGTGACGAGCATGCTTTGGGGTGTAAAACGGATCTTCTCCCACCATTTCATCAGCTCCACCGTCAGCATCTTGGTCCAAAAAGCCAACTCCTTTGATTCTTGGCTCAGGTGTAGCAGCAGCGCCAGGAGAGCGTGCATTAGGTGCGGATGAGATGTAGCCCTCATCTTTAGGAGAAGTAACCCGAGCAGATTGATAGTTCAAAGTGGCGGGGGCGAAACTGTTATTGAGACCTTGAAATCCTGGCTGGCCTAGAAGATCGCGGTCAAGATCGCCTCCAATGGCTGCAATAGGACTTGTTCCTTCATATGGGTTTGTGATAAGGGTATCACGTTTCCTTTCTCCTGATGTTCGCTGCCACTCATCATCGTGATCTCCACTATGTTCTCGGTTGTGGTGTGCAATGGCCGCCGCTCCTCCAGCTCCTACAGCAGCACCAATTAGAGCAGCTTCAGCAGCCTTGAGGTTGGAATCGGATCTACGGTCGTGGCTGGAGGCAGTGTCCATATGTTCTTGAGGTGTTGCCTTTCCAGACCAATGATCTCTGGTCGTCTCTTGAGTTCCGCCAGGTCCCTGAATGATAGAAGGGTTTGTATCCACCTCCGATTCTCCATCGCCATATCCAATCTCGGGCATTGGATCATGCATGTCAGGAAGTCCGCTGGCACCCAGTTTGAGTTGTTCATGGCTCGCAGTCTCGCTCAGGGGGACGTCGATGCTGTGTCGAGGAGATGGTATCTGTCCTTGACCCTCCATTGCTCGTTCCTTAAAGGACATGTGCAGAGGCGCCCCGGTATGCTCCAGTCTATCTTCATACTTGATCTGATCGGCATCGGAATGCTTCTTGCTACGGCTAGCCAAAACAGCGGCTGCTACACCGGCAGCAATAGCTTGCTCTGCCTTGTGACTCTTGTACTTTGGCATTGCAATCTTCCGACCTTGCTCATCAATATCATACTCTTCGACGTACTTGGAAGGGCTATTTCGTTGACTGGAAGTACCCTGGTCAGATTCATCATACTCGAGACTTCTTGAGGCATCGTGCTTGGCGGGACTATTTCCACGGCTTGTGAAATGCCTCTCGGATCCATCTTCGAACGAAGCATAAGAGCCTCTGCGATCATATTGACCATCGTTTCCAGAAAATGCAGAATCTCTGGTGAGTTCCGATTCGTTTACTAGCGAGGCAACCGCAGATTCAACGGCGATAGGAGTGTGCACATAGTCTGGGATTGCCCCGAGACCGCGAACATTCTGACCTGTAGCTACACGATCCAATTGTGGGCGATCCACGCTATCGTCGGTATAGTTCGAATTGTGCTTGTAATCCAATCCAGAAATACGATAACTACTTGGAGATCCAAGATCACGGTTTCGGTCATTCTCGCGGTGTTGCTCCTCCCAGTACTCACCATCTTGGGTAAGCTCGGAGTCGGTAAGCCCTCCTTGTCGCACTTCTGCGAAGTCGTGTCGGTTTCCATGCACGTTGCCGAGCGAGTCGAGAGACTTCATGGATCTACTACCAGATCGGGCGTGCTGAGGCGACTTGTTCAGGGAAGAGTAAGAGCCCGTGCTGTGAGTTAATCTTGAATCTCTGTGTTGGACATCTGGGTCTCCTTCGGTGTAGCCAGAGACGCTCTGTATTGGACTCAGACCACGACGCTCCTGGGCATAGGGAACATATCGTAGAGGTGGAGGCACTTCTTGATTATTCTGGTAGTAGTCGTGATGGTCATCCTCAAGAAGTTCTGGGTCGTGGTGAACATCACTGTCATTACGATGATGCATCGCAGCAGCTCCCAAACCGGCTCCCACAGCAGCACCACCGAGACCAGCTACTAATGCGCGGCCCTTGCCTCCACTGCGTTCATCTTCCACAAAAGAATCCTCGCGGTCAGGCGAATACTGCATGGGAACTTTCCGTCCGTGCTCGTCTAATTCGTACTCCTCTTCCTGGACGTGCTGTTGACTTGGGAGATCATGGAGACTCAGATTTCCACGGGAGTAATTGGAGTGTTGGGTTCCAAGACCTTTCTGAAGCTGGACTGGAGTTCTCGTAGGTGTGCTAGATGCCGGTGATACAACACCTCGAGACACCTCACGAACTTGAGTGACTCTCTCTTGACTTGCTGAATGAGGTCTCTCCGTTTCTGCCGACAAGATAGAACTTCTGGTTATCTCTGAAGCATTGATATCGCTCATCAGCGGCATCGGTGGTGGTACAGTCTCGTAATTATGCTCCTCGTAGCTTTCAGCAAGACTGTCACTCCTACTGCGGCTCTTCGTCCTTCTTCTTCGTCGTTCTTTTCGATCTTCTTCGAGCGACTCCTCTGATTGATGCTTGTGTAACGCAGCTGCCGTCAACGCACCGAGTCCAGCTCCAGCAGCTGCCATTTTGATATTTTTGTGCCCATCGCTGCTGCGTTTTTTATGAATTCTCTCTCCATCCCTGACCACAGTCTCCTCTGAAGTCTCTCGCTCGAAGCTTCTTGGAGAATCATTCATCACACGACTGATGTTTCTGTCTTTCCGACCCTTGATGGTATTTCCAGACAAGACTTCAGTATCATTGAGGACGACTTTTGGTCTGCCAGAAGCATCGCTGCCCCGATCTGAAAGTCGTCGAATACTCGAAGTCTCCTCCCTGGAGTCTCTAGAAATACCACTTCCTGAAGTGATAGAGCCTCTGCGATCTCGATCCCGATCACGAGTTTGGTGTTTACTCTGCTCTCGCTTGAGTGCCGTGAGCTCAGGAAGGATCAGTCGTCGAATAGCATCTTCAACCGTCTCAAGAAGCTTTGGATTGTTGATGGAGGATTTTGAGGTACCGGACCGGAAGGAGTATGCATCGCCGGACTTTCCGCTTAGATGAGAATTGAGCAAGCTGGAGTCTCCTCCTGATACCATAGATTCTTCATGGTGGGTTCGACTGGATCTTCGTCGTGGGGATCTTACACTCTCTGTTGCATGTTCTCCGCTAACACTTCGACTTCTGCTACTGTGTTTGCGCCGCCTCTCCGACTTGTCTCCTCGTACTTTCTCCACAGCCTTCTGGGCCACTATTCGCTCACGGCTGAGGCTTCGACTTCTTCGGCGCGAGGGTGTTCTCAATTTTTCAGCAGCTGCATCAGCGACCAAGCCAGCACCAGCTCTGACAGCCAATGCTTCACCGCGAGAAAGACTTCGACTGCGCTTCCTTTCTGGTTCTCTAGACTTGCCATCAAGAAAGCTGTCTGCAGGCATGGATGATATGTCGGATGTGTTCTGTTGTACATATTTTGATGAGCTCTCGCCAGTGGGAATCAACGGACTTCCATGTCTTCTCGGCATTATCTCCACCTCAATTGGACCACCGCCTCGAGAGGTAACGTTTGACTCTTCGGTAGCCGATCGGTAGGAGTGTAGGCTGTGGTCGTCGCCTTCTCCTTCTAGCACCAGTGACTTGTCGCTCTTGACGTTCGGCGATAGTTGAATTCGTTTGGTATAGGAAGCTTTGCGGTTGCTCCCACGCTCAGTGATTTGGATGTGGTCATTCGACGATTTGCTTCTGCTTTTCGAGGATGGTCGTACTTTGACTCGTACCGATGGTCGACGAGAGTCAGCCTGACTGCCTTTTCCACCTTCAAAATATTCAATCAACAGAGATGTCTGCGACTTGTTCGTGCTAAGGCCGTGTCCGTCCTTGTCGCCCTTCTTGCGCCGTGTAGATATCGTGACAGGACTTCCGTCCTCTGGCAGTGTAAACTGGCTCTTGTCGGTGATCCTCGATCCAAGCTCTGTTCCTCCAGTGGTGCTATCAGTCTCCGTCGGCGCAGGTAACGGAGGACCTTTTCGATCGGCACCCATTCTGGCAACTCAAAGGTCAGCCGAATGGTGGAGAGGATGCATGAGAAGTAATAAAGGCCGTTTGCTGGCGACGACGTTGTGGAACAAGGTATTGGGAGAGGCTGGTGACTTTTGGGGGATGTTGAGAGGTAGGCCGAGTCGCTGGGGTTCGCCCAGCTGAGGCAACCCGGTCGTCGTACAGATGCGGGAAAAGAAAAGCCCACGGCGTCGAAGGAAGGTCTAAGGTCCAAGATCCAAGGTCCAATCGATTTGAAATAGAAAAGCCAATGGTTGATGACAAGGTCGAACGGTCGAAGGCGAGCCGGGTCGAAGTTCGGCAACAATAGCAGCTCTGTTATGGCAGAGGCAGAGGCAGAGGCAGAGGCAGAGGCAGAGGCAGAGGCAGAGGCAGAGGCAGAGGCAGAGGCAGAGGCAGAGGCAGAGGCAGAGGCAGTAAGGAAGACAGGTCGAGGTCGAAGTTATTTGGTGGGCTGGGCTGGGCTGGGCTGGGCTGGGGAAGGGAAACAGGATGATGCGCTGGTCGTTGTGTTGACTGCCCGACGACCCAGCGAATCAATGGCCTGGGAGCTTTGGCGGCACTATCGGTTTAGGGTAGGGGCCTAGGGGCCAGGGGGCCTTTGCCTGATTTGGCGATTATTCTGCGTGGAGCTGCAGAATAACGACGTCCAATCGTCCAGCCGAATTGCTGGACGGACGAGTGAATGGATGCAGACGCTGCTCTTTCTTTCCTGTCTTTCTGTCTTTCTTTCTTTCTTTCTTTCTTTCTTTCTTTCCTTCTTGCTTTCGCTGTTTCTCAATCCTTCGGTGATTCCCCTCGCCTTGCTTGTCTTACGAGGAGCGATTTCGTGGCGGTGTTATATTCGCCCCTCGAAACGTATTTCCGGCCAATGGTTGGGAAGAGTTCACCAGGTGCAGCAACTCGACTGCGCTTTCCTGCAGGACTAATGTACTCCTGCATCTTCAGAACTTGTGATCTACGCTGGACCCTCCTGTATTTGAGGACAGGCCGGGCCTCGAAATCCCTTACACAGCTACAAAAAGGAGTTGTACAGCATCATTGGACCTCTCTCTCTTGTCAAGTCAAGTCAAGCCTCATTCAGGTTTGTTTGCTCTCAACAGGTCACAGCTGTTTGAGCTTGCGGGCGGTGACAGGGGAGCACCGGCAGCTTTTCTAGATGAAGCTTGGGGCAACAGATGGTGCTGCCGCCCAGTAGGACGGTGCACCAGGTGGGCCGTTTTATCTATCCTCAGCCTCGTTGCTATGGAGATATGAGTTTTTGTTTAGGGACTATGCACCTTCACGGAGCACAAGAGCTTTGATGAATTTTTATTTAGGATGGCTTGGGTTTGATGAGAATATGAGACATCGTGAGCGTGGCGTGGAGTTGAGAACTCGATTTGGAGTGTGATCGGAACGACGTGATGGATGCGTGCATAAAACCGGCCTTTGGTGAAAGATGTGCAACTGCTGCTAACTTCGTAGTGAATCGAGGGCGGCGGATAATCCCCCCATGCACCCGAATGATGATATCTCGCTGCGACACAAAAGTGAGACCTGATACCCTTGATAACAAACATCTGGGTCCATGAATAGCTTATGGAGCTTCTCCATCTTAAGGCCTCAGCCTCGGCTATTTAGCCGTTCTGGACGTTCGCTCTGTCTGTTTGGTCTATAAGGTCTATGATAATCTTTGGACCATAGATGTGCCTTCAATTCAACATGTGCAGCCTCCCTGCGAAGCAATGCCATGGTGCAGAAGAGACATTGCAGCCGACAGCCTTGGCGGCTAATCACCTGTTCCGTCAGTGATATCAATCTTGGGCCTGACTGCAAGTAAATTTATCTAGGGCTATGCCCCTCAACTGCACGTACTGTAGATCGTACACACTTTTCCATTTTCCGAAAAGGGATTACGATAAATATTAACGAATTTGTCTGTGTAGCCTTCTATTGCTTGACTGCACCGTACAATTTCAGTAACAATTGACTGTGAACATTAATGCCCAGATACCATACTATGCCCAAAATGCCAAAACATAGACCAGGGTATTTTTTGTGTCCTCCAAAGTAAACAAAGTAAACAAAATGTTCCATAAATGTGCAGTCCAATTTTTTGTCCCCAGACTCCAAGTTCAACAACGCCAAATTTCAAACCCCACGTCTTCTCATCTGATCTGTTGAGTTTTCTATGATGCCGAGATCATGATGGGAAGACTATCAAAAACAACCTCGTTGTTTTCGTAGTGGACTACGAAGCCCCCGCCGAGAACTCTTCTAAGTGCCTGCAATCTATGCAACTTCCACCACGCATCTATTTTCATGGTACCGGTCTTATGAATGCGAACCACCATTCTGGAGCCATATCTGCGGCCTGTCTCCTCATTTATAGCGTTTTGATATCGCGGTCCCCGGAAGGGATATTCTACTGTATTCAGGATGTCGCTGAAGTTCGTATGGAGCACCTTACGATCCTTCTTGGCGATTCGGCGTGACGACTCGGATGCAAGCTGGGAGAGGGTATGTTTGAGCTGATCTTTTTGGCGGTAGACTTCATAGCGCTTGACGAAGGTGTTATCAATGGGTAAACCTTCCTCATCTTCTTCGTCACTGGCTGGCCCATCGTCCGTTTCCCGTGCTGTATAGCTCTTCTCGAATAGAAGAGCAATGTTTTCTCCGGCTGCGACTTGGACAGAGACATCGCTGCTCTCCAGTTGTTCTACAAATGCATCCATGGCCACTTCTGTCTTTTCCTCCATATCGTCTATTGATGTTGCCAGAAATCCCCATGCTTCGCAAGCGGCTGTCACAACCTCGCCACTGTCTGCTGCTTCAATTGAACTACCGTCGGACTCCACAATCTCGAGCAAATCGTCCATTATTTCTTCGAGCTCCGAGTCTGATGCCCCGCCAAAAACTGCGGCTGCGCTGAGTGTATGGATTGCTACCGCCTTTACGGCGAGTGACTCGGAGTCGGAGTATGTACGCTTGAGAGTTTGAAATATAGAGTCATAGACTGTTTCTGAGGGGACGGTAATTATTGAAAGAGCAATAGCTGCGGAAGATTTAGCAGGAGTGCAGAATCTGATATGGACCATAACAAACCTCTTAAAGCAAGGGATGCTTCTCTTTCGCTGTCCGATTTGACACTTTTCAGCAATGCTGGAAACAGCTCCGAAGTCTTTGAATGTATTTGATCGTATGCATAGTGCCCCATGAGGATGTGGACATATGTTGCGAGCGCTGATTCTCTGCCCTGGACACTGCTCCTCTTCCTGTCGATGATCTCTTCCACCCGATCGCCAAGATCTTGCATCCATACGTCTGTAGCGTCTTCGGGCAGGGTCGCGGAAAGCATATCATCTATCGAGTTGACACTTGAAGGTAATACGTTAGTACGTGCTACTTTGCGACATTTCATCCAACTACGCTCACCTCCAATTTGTGCTATCACTCAGATTACCATCCTCATCATCCGAGACATTTCGAGAGACTGTTCGAGAGTTTGGACGCGAATTCGCCGCCGAGGATGTCCGGGAGGAAATGCGTGACTGGGCCTTCTTCGAGACGGTCTTATGCGACTCGAGCGCCTGGCGTCTTAAATCGTGCATTGTGTATTATTTGTTGCAAATGCTGCAACTGTGATAGAAGTGTTCGTCGCTGGTTGGAGTCTTCGGGCGCGACTGCGTGCGGGGGTTGTTTGCGGTCAAGATTTTGGTCGGATTTCGAAGGCAGGCGTGGTGCGTTATTGCCAGGTTTTGTGGAATGGTGTCTGTGGCGTGGTGCGAAATAATTCCTCCATGTAAGAATCTCTGTGAGTCACAATAAAACTAGCTGGGTAATGTGAGGCAGAGCAGGCGGTAGGTAAGGCACCTAATGAATGGTAGGCTGATTCTTGTGAGTTGGATGAGGTGGGTGATGGGAGGAGAATAGAATGACGGTGGAGTGGGTACTCTGTTTTCCATTCCATTGTGACGGACGGGATGGCTAAGTTGAATGCGGATCCGCGCTGAATAGGTACTGTATTAGGTAAGGTACCTAGGTAGGTAGCTCCACCTGCACCAGCACTTACCCCGAGTTATCTTACCGTACTGGCAGTGGGGATGCCGAGCAGCGGCTAAGATAAGAGTAGCCAGAGCGAAAGGAACCGAGCTAAATCCGGGTGCAAGCTTGCCTAGACTACCTTACGGAACGAGACGACAACGACGTGCTGTATTAATGATTCTCGATTGATGACCTTCGATGGTAAGACAAAGGGACGGCATTAAGGAACGACTTACATAGCTGTTCCGCTCTGTCTCCTCTGCGCCCGTCATATGTTCCTGGTAAGTTGACAGAGTGAATGTGATGAGGCACGCCGCCTTTACCTTAAGAAAGGAGTGCTTTCGGAGGGAACCTCAGTACCTCAGGTTGGGTTGGGGTACTGTAGATGTCGCTTCCCTTATCGCAGGCGGCCTGGCCTTGGCGAGGCAGCTCCACAGCTGCGCTGGTGCCTCCCGTCACATCTGCCCCTCCTCGTCTTCACTTCACTTCCTCAACCTCATCTCGTCAGTACAAAACGAACCACTACTCGTATCGTATCTGCCTCAAACCTACACCCTCGCTTTGCAGGTGAGGCTTGACCTCGAAGATACCAAGTCAAGTCCGCCCGAAGCGTCGACTCGATCTTGCCGTTACTCTACCCTGACGTTTCACGTCCGCTGGCTCCGTCGTACACCTCACTTCGACCCCACCAACATCACCTTTACTACGTAACCGGGCACTTCACGCGTTTACCAGCCCATTCATCTACTGTCCATCGTCGGTCTATCTACGTTAGATAGCTGGGACTTTCTATCTGAACTACCAAAATGGATCATCAAGGTATGTTGTATCCTCGAGGCTGCACACTCGAAGCAGAGATAGGCAACGGGAGGGCGGCAGCCTGGACTTGAAGCTTTCGATTTCTATCTCAGAAATAAGACGAGGTATATGGTGATCAGTATCATCAGCTTCCAGATCTGCGAGCTCCTCCCAGCATCTTGTCGACCTCCTGTGCTATTCCATGCCATGCACCTGCCGACAAAACTGCAGTCAAAGTAACCCTCACAGCCTTGAATGGCGACCTCTCCATCGTAGAGCGATACCTCACCCTCAGTGCCGAGGATAATACTGTTCCTGTTGGCAGAGCATCAAAGAGTGTCACCAAAGGAATACTCGCTGCCATTGACAATGCCTGGTTTGACAGCCCTGTAATGTCTCGCAACCACGCAACCATCGAGTTCAATCCTGATGATATGGTAAGTACACTTTCTCCTATTTCTGTCTATTACAGAAACAATGCTAATGGTGTTCAGTCGGTTACGATTCAGGATATTGGTTCTATGCATGGAACATACCTGAACAACTTCGAGCTTCCCAAAGATACACCAACGGTGATCACTGACGGTGACGTCCTCGTGTTTGGGGCTGAAGTCAGACGTGGTCCTGAGACCTTTCCGGCATGTTCTTTCAGAGTCAGCCACAAGTTTGTCTCCTCCAAGTAAGACCCCCCGCCCACCTACTACCTTCTTGCAACAGCTAACATACGGTCTATTAGGGCCGCGAGCACCTTCGCGTTTCCGGAGTCCTCCGATGTTGAAGAAGACGGAGAAGATATTTACGATGAGTTCAGCGAAGACGACATTGAAATGGGAGAACGAGAGCAAAGATATAGTAGTGAGGACGGCGTGTCGATCGAATCAATTCCCAAAAAGCCATCCCGAGCTGCCGGGGCCATTGACCTCACAGGAGAAGATTTCCCTCGCAGCTCTGTTTCCAACCAGGTCGATCTTACCGGTGAGACAGATGCCGAGCGACGTATGATGAACGTTATGTCTGGCCGGCCAAGTGACATAGCTGAGAGTGCGGGTCCTATGAGCATTGGTATATATGCTGGTAACGACCCGATTGTTCTCGATTCGGACGATGAGGGAGATGCAGATTTCTCATCGGATTTTGACGAACAGTTCGAGGACAACGACTCAAGAGACTCTGATCGACTTAGGATTAATGCTGTCTTTGAAGACGACTCGGAGGAGATTGAAGACTCAGAGAACGAGGGATCCATGGAAGACTCGGAGATGGACAGTGACGCCGGATCTGATGAAGAAATACCAATTGCTGCACCAAAGCCAGCCGTGGTTAGCAACCTCACTCGTTATGCCGTGGCAACCGATGAAAGCCCAGTAATACGCCTTTCAGACGTCCGGACCCGCATCGAGCTACCGACCAATGATAACGATAACGAGAACGACAATAACGACGACCAGAGTGAGTTTGGTCTGAGTGAGGCCGGCGCTGAAGGCATGAAGGCTCTTTATGGTGCCAACTCCACTGTACCTGACCAGGATGCCCCCGACTTCGAGGGAGGGAACGAGACCGAAGAACAGGCTCAAGCAGAGGAAACATCTTCGCTGATACTGCCTACCTTGACTCAAGAAATGGACTTGCCAGCCAACACAGTGTTCACCAGCGTCGGTGAGCCCAGCACGCAGGGAAGTCTCCTAGGATCGTTCTCAATCGTCCGACAGCCAAGTCCATCAGATGCTGCTATGGTCAAGAGTGCCAATATGACAAAGAAAGCCGGGATCTGTAATCTAGGAGACTCCGGAGACTACTCACCCCAGGCTCTTGGCGAGAAGAGTGGTAAGTCGGCGTTCTTCGCTGCAAGAGAGGTTAATAAGGCAAGGTTTGGATCGGGAGAGCCAGGCCAGTCTTTGAATGCCTTTCAAGCATCAAACAGAACCATCGAAGCTTTCCTTGGACCATCGAATCCTCGAAATGGTGCACAAATGCCAGTCATGTCCCATGCAGGTGCTGGTAACCTCAGTGGATGGAATGAACCAGCAGTTGAGCAAACTCCGTTCGCTACTGCTAGCACAGGATTCGGAAATTTTGAAGCGGAGCCATCAATGCCAACTTTTGTAGGTTCAGGCAATGCTGGTAAGTTCTTTGGGGGCAATACAAATAGAAAGAGTCTAAGAAGAGTAGTCTCTGGCATTCCCACCCGCGACTATTGTTCCTTCCTGGATAAGCCCGATGAGTCTCCGATACTGGAGCGCACTCCCAGTCCTCTGCCTGATATGACGAGTTCCTTCAGCTACAACACGAGCAAGGACACCATGATGTTGACTTCAAACATACAACACAATGCCCGGTCTGCTATCAAGATTACTGACATTGTTGAGTCATCAACCCCGTTTTTTGGCACAAGCAGCCTGAAGCGAAAGTCGGATAACATTTCTAATGTTACCGACGAGGAGCTGAGAAATTGGGCAACCTCGAATGTTACGAGTGACCTTCCCGAGGCTTCCGCTTCGGTCCCTGTGCATCGCGGAGAGAAATCGAATGATCTTTCCAACGTTGTGGAAGCTCCACCAACCAAGCGATTCAAAAAGCTTTTGGCGAACGCAGGTTATGTTGCTCTCGGAGGAGCAACACTTTTCGCTGCACTTGTTGCAACCGCTCCAGACTTGATGTGAGATTGGGCAATGATGTCTCAGAGTATGTCCGCCTGACGGGAGTTTCTTTCTCTTTTGGTAGCATTTCTTTTCGGAATTCATATTACAGTCAAGGATAGGGGATCGGGGTTTCCTACGGGATCGGAAGTCATCAACTACGACGGTGTTTGTTAGGCTGGTCAATATGTTTTCTTCTTGCAATTCGGCGCTATTGAGGCGCTATGGTTTGACTGTGCAACGGCCTTGTTATCAATCCGATGGCCTTAAGAGGCACTAGTTGCATCAATGAAATACCTTCTTCAATTTTGAGACTTATCTGTCGCAGAATCGTACGATACCCCGAATGCTACTCTAGGGCTTAAGTCTTGATGGCCTTGTTCCCAGACTCCCGAACTACCCTTGGCTCCAAAGCAATGGGCGGAAGTTCTTGACATCTTGAACTTTCTGCCAACTTATCATCATATAGGTAAATTTATTTTCGCTTCAAGTTCAGAGAGCCGAGAGCTTCAACGATGTCGATCAGCTTAGACATTTATCTAGATCTAGGACCATCGTTCCTTCAAGGAGAGAGCCGATTGCAACCATACATCACGCCCCGAGAGACTTAGAGGGCAATAATCAACCAGAGTGACGTCCACCGTCTCAAAGATCCCTCCTGGTCTGCTACAGTTTGCTACCCTCTCCATGTGGCTATCGTTTCACATGCCTCTGTCTCTGTGGCTTACCAAAAAGCCTCGAATAACGGTAGCGGTGAGGTAATCATTGCTAGTCGGCTAGCTGGGCATGTCGCAAAGAGAGCCCCGAGTACGAGTTATCAAATTCCGACGCTTGGAGCGTGGGACGTGGAAAGTTGGAGCGTGAAACTTGCTTCTTCTCAGTTCCTTACTAACCTTGGCAGCGGCATTCTCGGTACGAGCAGATAACTTTTCTCTCTGGCTTGGCTTCAGAGATCTAAGCTACGCAGCGATCATTCTCATGCATTCATCGCTGTAGATTCTGCACGCGTACATTAGTGTGATTATCAATGGCGCCATCGAAAACGCCTCGAACGTGGAAGCTTTCTATGGCTGGTGGCTGGACTCTATCTGATTGTGCCTGCGTTTTCGGAGTAAGCGATATTGTGACAAAATTTCCGCGGCCTTTGTGTAGGTGTGGGTGTGTAGGTGTGTGCTATGTTTAAACCGGAGCTTTCCTGGCTGCTGCCCAATGATGCACAGGGCTTTCTTGGGCTTTCAGCTCGGGTTGGGATGGGATTAACTTGCTCACTCAGTTCGCAGGAGTGTTGCCGAAGAAGGAAGAATAGGTGTGTCTCCTGATGGCCATCTGTTGTCGTCGTCTTCGACACGAAGGCTTACTTGTTGTCGATCCCACAGGTGGGTGGTCGAATACACGGGGAAACGTCGATCTGGAGAATGGAGCTAGGCAGACGAGGACGATCCTGTCAGGTTTTCTTCTGCGGTGAGATCTCACAGGTCCCTGCCTTCTGCCAGCGAATACACTACTTGATCCAATGGTTCTCAACTGCGGCAGCTGAAATACCCACTCGCAGTCCCTGAATCGTCTGGCGTGCTGGTCGTACAACATGTTGGGGAACACAACATGAGCTCGCTTATTTCCGTGTTACCGAGACAGCAAATGCGCAACCCCTTTCCTGCATGGCATCCACTTCTCAGGCTTCTCCCAACGGGAAGGTGCAGGATTCCTCGATACAATACCATGATTTTGGCACCGAATCTGTCCCACGACACTAACGTTATCTTATTCCCTGCTGGAAGTGCCAGAGCAGCAGAGTGAGTTCCACCGAAGCCGGCGAGCTTGGGATATCGGACACGAGTGATAGGAATTGGTTGTCTGTTGCTGTCTTAGGTCCAATCACAGTAAGTGAGTATCATTCGATGCTTGAAGCTCAAGCTCAAACTCGAGGCAATGAGCTGACTTGTATCTCCGAAACACAAGAAGTGAACCCCTCTCCGCTCCTCGTCCCGTCCCATTGATAGTCTAACGCTCTTTCTCCCCACGACGCCGACGCACACGAACACATTCTGTCCTCCAATAACAACAGCTATCATACCCTCGGGACACACCACAACGATTTTCTTTTGAGACATACTAGCTACTAGCAGGCTCGCTCATCGTGTAACCCTTAGCTTGAACCAATTAGAAGCTGGCTTAACCACGCTTGACTTATATTTCTTTTCCTCGTCTCCATTACATTGGGAATCCCGAGCAAGTAAACACCCCGGCCATGGCTTCTCTTTGCGAAAAATGAGATCTCGATGAGCGGATCAGCAGACCATCGTAAGATAAAGACGCAGGCTTAGTCTGGGATGCATGTCTATCCGCTAGTATTGCTTCCCGCATTCAAGGAGCTGCTCAGAAAAAGGGTGGTGAGGCCCTGCTATTGTCTCCAATCGCAAAGAGGCGCTCTGAGGTAGTTAGATGCAGTCCATCTTCGATTTCGGCTTCTGGGGAGGTGATGAGACCCCTGATTTCTCGATAGCTTCTCTTGTAGTGATTGGAGTGGTGCGGGAGATTCTGTCTCGACTTTTGCCTCAACCTGGGCTGTTATCTCGGAGGAAGGGGTGGGGTTGGAATCACTTGTCAGTCTACACCCAATGAGGGAAATTATGATTGATGTCACGATGAGGATGTGGAGTAGAGTCAGCCCATGGTTGCGAGATTGGAGAGATGCGGGCGAATGCTGATTTAGCTGTGACTTATGCTGCTAGTTGAGGGTTTTTGAGAGCCTCTTGAAGTATAAGAAGAGCCCAATATTTCTTCTCATTCGGGTTTTTGAATTGGGAAAGATAACAACAAGTTCTTCTCGAGATATCAAACCCAAATCAGAACCTTGGTCATCTACTTCAGGAGACCAAAGACTTCTTCAACTCCTACCTGCCAGTTCTATACGAAATTCTTCTGTTATCACAGTCATCAAGCTTCTCAAAGGCAAATCTTACCATCGCACAATGGCTCTATGTATGCTTTCTACTCAAATGTATGACTGTGGCTGCGTCAGTGGTTATGTCGTTCAAACCTGCAAAAGTTGTGGGGGGCATGCTCCGAAGTAAGTACTTCCATATTCTCGACGCTTCACCGTGACTGAATCATTTCATTGATTGTACCTTTAGAGGCGAAACATGCAAGACTTGTAAAGGTGCCGGCACAGTGATGGTTCCCTGCCCAAGTCACATCGATTCGTCCAAGTCCGCTTCCGCACTTCTTCTTTACGCCGATGTTCCATTACCCAGTATCGCTGGAATGGTGAAAATCAACAGCTACAATAGCGATATGGATTTTGTGACTTGTCCTGATTGCGCAGGTGGACGCACGTAAGTTTAAACCTGAGCCAGAGTGTTGCGCATATGCATCCGTGCGATCATTGAGCTAATTCTCCATAGCTCTGGAACTTGTGCAACTTGTGGAGGAACTGGAGTGATTATCAAGACCGCTTCGTACCTTTCGGGCCACCCTTCGGTCTCGGGTACTGCCATGATTGCGAGCGCTGTCGACTATGAATACTTGTAAAGCCCAGCCCATCTTTGGCATTAAGGTGACCAGCTCTGCCATGCGGCTATCATGAGCTCCTCCATTTTCTTGTCTCCATTTGTCTCTCATAGCGGTGGCGACACTGGAGTTCCCGGCGAGATGGATGAAAGGAGGAGAGGAAAGGTGGAGTGAAGTTTCAGTGAGCATCGATCCGAGGTCGTCGTTCGCTAGAACTCTCGCTTCGCTTATTTTGTTGCCCCAGTCCTGTTATATTTCATTGCAAACATGTCATAACTACTGTATGCTTTTCTGCTTCTGCTTCTGTACTTCGGCTTCGTAGGCTTATTAGAGCATTTTCCGATCTCGGGGGTCATGACCGGCTGTAGCTGGTGTCGTGATACCGAGCTCGTTTTGACTGGGTCGGCATGGGGGTTCCATTTGGGGATAGGGGGTACGGGACCAGAAGCGTCATCACGCGGGCTGTTGCTTATCGGTAGTCTTGCTGTCTCCCTGTATCTGCAACTTTAGCATATAGTCGATCGTTATCATGTATCTTGTCAGAACCAAAATACTCACTATACCTAACACCCCAAAACAGGATCAAGCTTGTTGACTGGCTGTTCTTATGACTGCGATTGGTTCTCCCACACGCGGACAGTGCCTGTACCCCCAAAAAACATTACCATTACAATTTAGGATTATGAGAGTATGCCATGTGCGTGGCATCCCAACTGGGCACATACAGCTTAGCTTGAGTTCCATTACAGATACAGTTCTGGAATGTTACACGTTCTTCCTTGTGACGCTCAAACCCCTAGATATCTGCCGCAATCTCGGCAGAATTTACCAGCAAGATCAGATATGCTTAAATATTCTCATTACTTTGCCATTCGTTGTGTTAGGTGAGATTGGATGGATATGGCTCACTTGCTGCAGCCCGTAGGCCAGGTGGTACGAGGACGGAGGTATCTCCGTAGTTGGGTGCCATAGACATGGCCATCTGAGGTGGGATACGCCATGAGACACAGCATTAGAATTGCGATTGCTCCCCACTTATCTTCTCTCTGGCCCCTGAACCATTGCTATCGGCGTTACCACACCAGATATCGCCCAGAGCCATCCCGTCAGTCTGCCAAGCTTGCATATCGCAGCCTGCTGACCTGCATTCCTTCTTCCTTCTATCCGGCGGTTCACTTCAGGTATCTTTCGAACGTTCCACGACGTCCGTTTGCAATAACGGTAAGCCCTGCTGCAGGTTCTGTATCTTGCTCGCTCAGCCAGCTCATGCAAAGAAAAGTGCATGTTGACTTTCCCATTGGCGAGCCATTATCTTCGATAATGACCCAGGCGATGGTAGCCTTTGATAGCTTTGCTGTTGTGGAAGGTGGTACGGATGATGAGATTCGGCACGTCGTTTCGTTGCCATCGAGTGCCATGGCCGTCCTAGCGACTGTGCAGATGATAGGTTTGGTTTCCAGCACGGAAACAACACGGGCATGTCATTCTGTCGTGTTACCGTGGGGTATATTTTGCATCGATTTTGGCTATTCTCGTCAAAACTCTATTCCTATTGCTATTTTTCGCTGTTGGTACTTTCAGGATGCTGTGTGCCCATTCTCGAGATCGCAATGTGGGGGGGTGTTCGCTCCTTAAAAAGACACACATTTTGCAAGAAGCAAGATCATGTGGACGTCTCGGTACAGGTATAGTGGTACAAGATAATGCCGATTTGAAGCGTTCAGAACTTGACTGGTAGATCTACCTCCCAGTTTCTGATTAACAATTTCAACTTCGAGTCTGGAACATTTCAAGTGGCTGCGGCGATTCTGTGGCTGCATAGCGTGGCCAGATAGACACGCTGATGTATGGACGTGCTTATTGGACAAGCAGACGACACAGTGGCGACTGTAGAGCTAGATCTCATGAGTTACTTGGCAGCTGTTTATTGAATGTCCCCAAAAGCGCGCCATCGATCAGATCCAAAACTCTCCCCTGTCATAGAAGTTGTCTATACATCGTACGTATTCTCGCGACCCTGATTTGCGAGAGCCTTGAACCTGCCGAATGTTCGGAGCACTGCATGTTAAGGATGCCAGCACACCGAACCCCCCACATTCGATCTTCAGACGAAATCCATTACTCAACCGATGATATCGGCTCGACCGTGTCTTGATATTGTTATCAAGATCATCCGAGGACTTTGCTTCTATGACGCAACTACACGCTGGACCAAGAATCCTGTCGTCGCAGACAGGGGATTGACTTGAAGGTGTCCAAATTCTACTGCAATTCTTTGAGTCATAAACTGCTATCATCCTACCAGATATTAGCTAGGAGAGTATCATCATCCTGCCAGGCTGTTGACGGGCAACTTTTCTTTGTGACACTTTAGGCATAAAGCAGATCTTTTCACCAAGCGTAAGCTTGGCTCGACCATTTGGTTTGCAAGTAATTCAGGTGCTATGAATATAAGCCAGGGCCTGCCCAAAGTAGCTAGGTTCACAATAAAGTTGTACTGAGAATTCGGAGCGTCTATTGATATGGCTGAGTCACTTGACACTTAGATGGATGACTGGCGTGTTAAAATCTAGCAACATTTGTTACCCACCATGGGCTGTCCTTGTCGTATGACTTGCATCGTCGCCTTGTACTATCAGACAAAGACATGGCAGCCAGACCTTTTTCCGATATCGTCGTGAGCCAGCGAATAGTTTGGAGTGGCATCCATTTCATGCTCTGCCAGAGACAAAGTTGAACGTCCATCAATAGCAGTAAAGACCGGAAGCGACGGAGTACCGGAAAGAGTCGTGGAACAATTGGCAGTCTGACGACAGGAAGCTTCCCTTCATCTTGGTGGCTGATGAAACCACATTGACGATCAAGCTGAGCTTTCGTGTCAGCTATTCTGCTGACTCTGAATTGGCTCGGGGATATGAGGATGGGAGTGACGATCCGTCATCAATGAACTTCGGAGAATGATCGCTGATCGGTGGTCTTTATCGTGCTCTTTGATCTCTTGTGTTGATCCAGCACAGTAGATCACCGTGACGATCATATGCTTTGGCTCAAGTGCCCACATGCCGATATGAGCGGTAAATTTAAGCTTGATAACATGCTGGTGTTGTTTGTGTTTGGCTATTGACAGAGGCATATCGAATTGTTGACCACGCGGTGCCATGAGAGGTATTGACCGGGTGCAACAAGGAGCTCATTACCGTCCAAGTTTCGTAGTGCTGGATTCTTCAAATCCTTGCCAGAACGTAGCGGGTGAATGACAGTGATGATAAAGGCATTCGAAGGTCGTGGGGCTGCGGATTAAGTGGTTGAGCAATTTCGAGAACAACAAGAGTACGAGGTGGAGTTATAAGCTACTTTAGATGGTGATTGAATAAAATGTGCCGCAATTGTTGACACCGGAGGCCAACATAGAAGACCAGCACAAGAATTTGAATACGAGGAGGCATTTGTACTTGGACTACACCCAATTTAGTGGCGTGCCCTTCGTTGCTGCCACAGCTCGTCATAGAAGGTGCATTGATTGATCTCGAGGAGCAGTAGGTGACTGCTCGTTTTCATTGCAAGTTGCCAACCTGAGTAAATGTCGTCGATTCACAAACATGTCACCACCCCACCAACAGAGGTTGCCACGCGCAGATTTTCTCATCGTTCCTTCCTCCAACGCACTACAGCATGTTTGATTCTCATGAGGTGAATATTTTCCTCATTCACTCGGAATTGCTGCCTGCAATTCGCTCAGTGACTTGCTAGAGCAAATGCGATTCACTAACCTGGCTGCATCCTGACCGCACCAAGTCGCCGGGGTTGGTGGACGGGTTCTGAAGTGACATCAATTTGTTAGCACCACTTTGTTGAGGGTTCAATCTGCTGTTCAGCAGCTGTTCGACGACTCAAGTCTTATCCAAACGACCGATGGTGTAGCATTACTTGTCATTCTCAGCAGGTAAGCTCTCAGAAACCGAAAATCAGAATCTACTCGGCATGTCAGAAGCTGACTAGCTAGGTATGGCTTCTGAGCTACATCCTACAATTCAATAGCGCGTCGTGATTTCATTTTATTTGGCGTTAATACGCCCATCCTCTACTACCAGACCAAAACATTCCCAAGAATCTTGAGGAATCGGGACAAGTATCAAAGGTACATCAATGCTTTTGCTCAGCTACAGAACGACCCAACACCTGGAACGAGTCAACACCTGCCAGTATCTGCTCCTTCATAGGAAGGACAAAGCCGAAGTAGCCTTAATCCCACCTAAGGACGCCCCACAGAGCGCGTAACGAAGAGTTCTTCTTCGCGACCTTGATAAATCAAGGTGTGCAATGAAAAAACAAAAAGGACTGCTCAGACATCCATCAACACCCACCCAGACCCCGTGGCCGAAGCGCACAAGGAAAGGGCCGAGATCATCACCGCTTTCTATACAATTACCAGCGAGCTGGAATCGCCATCTTTGCGGACAGTGCGAAAGTGAACGGCTTCACTCTTGGGCGTCGAGGAGATGGCTCATCGTCGCAGGTGCGAGTCTGAAGCAACTGTAAGGAGCTCAGAAGAGGACGCAAACTGTGTGAATGGTTAGAATTTTGACGGTAGAGGGTTTGTTCTCGTCACGAACCTTTAGAAATGATTCATTGAAGTGTGGTCTGCGGATAGAAGAGTTTCCAAAGAACGCGAGCTTTTTATGGGAGAGAATTCCACGACCTGCGCTAGTGTACACTAAGGCAAGCGAGTTACACGTGACCATGACCCACCCGTCTTTTCGGTTGCGCCGTGAACAGAACTGAACAAGACCCTTGCGCTCCCATCAATTCCCAACAGTAGTTTTGCAGTCGTAAATCATCCATTACAGTAATACCACATGAGAGGCAAAGAGTTGTTTCGTCAATTTGTCCACTTTATATTTGTTTTGCTAATGCCTGCTGCGAGAGAGCATTCCAGATGCCTTTGAAAGTCCAGCCAAGTCTTCCTCACGCAATGGCCACTTGTTGTTGACGCTGCCGCCGTCACATGAGGATATCGTCAACGCCTTCAAACAATCAGCTACCTAGGTACATTCCTGTGCGATGTCTCCTTGTGACCTTGTACCGGTACAATGGGAAACACACGCACTTGACCTGAAGTCCGCAGCGAGCGGCAACCCAGTCCTTGCATTGACAACGAGACCATGTGGTCTTTGTCCAATGATGCCCATGCCTCATGACCTCTGTTATTTCCTTCCAGGCTCCTTCCAGACCACTCGTGACTGTTTATCGCTCGGCTCCGAGTGTTCCTTACCGCCAGGTTATGCATGGAAGCCAGCCCGAAGACTTGTTTGGCCTCACTTCAGCTTCAGTTCTCCTTCCCCGCATTTCAGTCAAACAAAGCCAGCCTCCAGCAAAGGACAAGCCCTGTGAAGATTTTCTCTTAGCGCTCTCATTTCCATTCCTGGATCCATTTCACTATGCCAAGTCGGTCGCTGGACTACTGGGCGTGAAAATTTGCCCTTTCCTTGCCTTCCTCGCCCTGGCTGTGCCCTGCACGACCCCTTCCCCAGAAAATTACATCACCGTTAGCCAGGTGCTAGTTTCTCTTCTGGCGGATCCATCTCCGCTTACAGGCGGGTATGCGTGTCACCTGCACCTCAATAATTGTACCTGAAAATCATACAGTACTGGTTTATTTTAGGCTCTTCAGAGTTTTCACTGGCTGGTGGGCCGAATTATGGGGAGCTGCATCTCAGATGCCATGCACTGCACTAGGTACTGTTTGCACAATTCAGTGCTCGACTGCCGGGTGTAGGCTGGGTCAAGCACCTTACGAAGTTAATTGAGAAGACCAGACAGAATGTTAATCTTGAGGCGATTATGCATGAGAAGCTTGAAGGCCAAAAAACTTTGTTGACAGAGGGGGGAGATTAATCAGACGTCTAACGACGCCTCTTGGTGATCAAGACCCTCGTTGTCTAGGAGTCGCAAGGAGCAAAATTATTGCCCGGTCTTTATTGTCAAATGATGCCTTCCATAGCCTTGAGCACGTTGCCATGTCCTGGAATGGAATCTGGCCGTCCGGACTTGGTCATGCCATAAATTTGCACTCCTCGCTCACCGCAGACAAAGGCGAGGCAGCCGAGAAACCAGCAAGCAGAAACGCTGACGAAATCTCACGATGCTCTTAGGACATCCCTGGCCCTCCAGTCAGGAGTTTTGAGGGGGTAATATTTATCAAATCAAACATCACGCGCATCGTTCTGTTACGAAATCGCCCCGCCAAGCGAGCCAGTTAGCGGCACCGCCTGGGTCTAGCTCCTGGGCCGAGAGCCCCGACGACCAGTTTTGGGAGGCAAGCTGTCTAGGCGTCGAAACATCGTGAAAGACCTGAAAGCTTTTTCAGCAATGACTCGATGAGGGGGAAGGAAGGCCAGGTAGGGTATAAGAGCCTTCGTCCGCTTTGCTACCAAACTGCCCAACACTACTCACCACACAGCAATCACCCCAAAGTCACGTATTCACTGCAAGACTTGCTCACAGCTTCACTCTCAAGCTACACCAGACACTTCAGACACTCTGCCATCCTCACCACAACTTCCTCTTTGCCACTCCCCACCCAAACAAACCAAAATGCCATCCAACTTTCAACTCGTTGAGCCTCACCCAAGCGTTAACCACTACGCACACGCAGGACGCGGAGGAGCTGGCAACTACTTCAAGGCGCCAAAGACCTCCAACGGCAGCACTGCTCGTGGCCCTGCCTCTCTCTTCGAGAACGGGCTGCCAAAGAGCAAGTCCAAGTTCAGCAGCGGCCGTGGAGGAGCAGGCAACATCCACAGCCCTTCCGAGCGTGCCATCTTCTCTTTTGATGAGGAGTTGCAACTCCAGAAGACTCGCGAGGAGAAGATGAAGGACGGAGCTGTCTACCATATTGGACGCGGAGGAGCCGGCAACTGGTCCTCCACTCGCCCAGAGACATCCCGCAAGGACTCATCCAGCTCTTCGGACAGCAATGGCAGCGTACGAAGTGGATTCTTCGGTCGCTTGAGCCACACCCTCGATCGTCGCTAGATCATTTTCTCTTGACTCCTACGGTTCAGCGAACGGCGCTCGGCTTTCAATCATCATGGGCGGCATCATTCAAGCGGGCTGGTTCTGACTCCCGCATGATTTCATAAGGATACTTTTTTTTCTACACGGCGCAACATCAAAACATAAGAAAAGCGACAGGCGTATGCATCATCATCATCATCACGGCGTTCATCTCTGGTCATGGTTCCACATTGGGTGTTACATAGGTTTTGAATTTGCGGAACGGAAAACGAAACATAGCTTGGGACCTCAGGATGGAAGAACTTTCTGGCTGGCATGACTCCGGATTTTCCTGTCCTGGTGATTTTTATTGAATCTCTTCCTTTGTCAGCGGCGACACAGCGACAGCGATGGATATACCCCAACTCTTTTGATATACCCGACAATCTTGTTGTCATTGTACTGTATTTTGAAGAACTTTGTTCCGATTTAGGGATGAATTTTGGTCTCTGGATGGGCATAAGATAGCAGATAGTAATAAAAGATGAGAAATCTTCCACTCATCTCTTCACATTCATATAATTGTGAAATCGTATTTGCTTTGACATTGACTAACGTTAGAAAGTGACACATGACAACTAAACGCACCTGTGAGACAAATTCGACGTCTCATTTCCCACCCAATGTCGCAAATCCCCCTACGTCCGTCGAAAGAACCGCTCCAGTCTGGCATCGCCCTCCGCGGAAGATTCTGAAGTGCAAAAATAAGACGTGCAACAAAAAGTTGTTGGCCAAGTGGATTATTGGCTAACCAGTAGCGCTGGTGCACCCTGTGCCTCTGGAGCTGGAGACACGACACATGCGGCCAAACGACCAGTGCATTGCTGGACTCGCTCAGGCCATACTGAAACCCTGGATAGATCATTGAGTAAGTGACGAGTATGTTCGTTCCCTTGCCTGAACATGCCACCAACACTCCTGAATGCTGCTTGATTTTCAAGCAAAAGCAAGGACAAGACACACACCGACTCTCTCAGCTCTTGCCCGATCATCCAGTCCCTCCTTCAAGCCAGTGGAAACCAATCCCAAAAGACCAACAACTAGCACACATGCCACCACCGGAAGCTAGCACTGGCTCCCATGCCCTCTGTAGATCTGCAAAATGCTAGCCTTGCATTCACGATGCCGTAACAGAAACTGCCCTGGTGCTGCACGCTTTGAGGCGTATGCGGGGAAGCGAGGCCTGTGCCACCATGCCCTTTTGAGGTGGAGACCCCAGAGCTCTACAGTAGGGGCGGGCTTTAACGTAATCGGAGTTTGAGTTTGGTGAGGACGGGTGTCTGGGAGGGCTAGCTTTGTTGGGTGAGAGGCAAGAATAGTGTGAAACTATCACGGGGAGGAGAAGAAAAGATGAGGCTGGTGATCTAGCAAATGTTGCGATGGGAAGGGAAGAGGTGTAGGTGCTTCTGGTTCCTCCGTACTTGACTCACTCATAGCATCTCACTGTTCGAGATGTGAAAAATGTAGATGGTTCACGGCAGCTTTTCTATTTGTCTTCATCTCTATCTTCTTTTTCTACTGGAGAAGCTTGAGGCTAGGGTAGCCCAGACATTTAAGCAAAATCATATTTGTGAGAATCATGCCTACGACAGAGAATTTGGTATCCTCGCGCGTCCGTGATCGGGCGATTCTCCACTGGCCTCACCGTTGCCTAAGTTTGACGGTCACCTTAATGATGAACATGATACCAGGAGCTACTGTCAATTCTGATTCAGGGGCTCGGTAAGACTTCCACCGGTTGAATGGACTATGGAAGCATCATGTGCAAATAGAGACCGTGGCAGAACCTCAAATCCAAAGGTAAATAAAACTTTACAGGTGTTGGTTTTTGGAAGACCTACGGGTTAATATGGCCAACGTACATCATATGATGGTTCACATGTCTGCTTTCCATTGTTGACATTGTGCTGGAGCTGAATACTGCTAAATGCCAAGATATCTCGCCTAATCAAGCTCCCCTGCATTTCAATCAACCATCGCGTACCTGAGATTTTGGCAGACGCGAACCTCTCCCGCAGCTGGAGGTCGCAAACCACCAACCACCATCGCCCACCAGCTCCCAGTCACCATTAAAAGACGTCTATCCAGATCTTACTTTCGAAACTTACAAAAGGACGCAATAACCTCACAAAACCGCACATTTCCAGCCTTGCCCTGAGCTCCAAAAGGCCAGCTGCAAAGGGCATCCACCCTCCCTTTAAATCTCACCATGGCAGACCTCCTTCACAACGCCCCCATAGTCCTAGACAACGGATCCGGCACAATTCGTGCAGGATTCGCCGGCGACGACCTCCCCAAATGCTATTTTCCGTCCTTCGTAGGCCGGCCGAAGCATCTGCGGGTGTTGGCTGGCGCATTGGAAGGCGACGTGTTTATAGGGCAGCGGGCACAGGAATTGAGAGGGCTGCTGAAGATTCGGTATCCATTGGAACATGGCATTGTTACTGATTGGGATGATATGGAGAGAATCTGGGAATGGGTTTATGGGGAGGGTTTGAAGACTTTAAGTGAAGAGGTGAGTTCTGGAGGTGGATTATCAAGGAGCAAGGCCATGATCTACTGGAAATGATCCCTTCGATGATGCTTTAAGATTTTGGTATCAGGGTACTGGCTAACAATGGAACCTGCAGCATCCAGTCTTATTAACAGAGCCACCTCTCAATCCACGAAGTAATCGCGACACGGCCGCGCAGATCCTGTTCGAGACCTTCAACGTCCCAGCACTATATACCTCCATCCAAGCCGTCCTCTCCTTATACGCCTCCGGCCGAACAACAGGCATAGTACTCGATGCTGGTGATGGTGTATCTCATGCTGTTCCTGTCTACGAAGGGTTCGCCATGCCGAGTTCGATACGGAGGATAGATGTTGCGGGACGAGATGTGACGGAATATATGCAGTTGCTACTACGGAAATCTGGATATGTCTTCCATACTAGTGCTGAGAAGGAGGTTGTGAGGATGATCAAGGAGAAGGTCAGTTACGTAGCGGCAGATCCAAAGAAAGAGGAGAAGGAGTGGGCTGCGTCGTCAGGGAAGATGGGTGGAGATTCGAGAGTGGTAGAGTACGCTCTACCAGATGGTAATAAGATCAAGGTAAAAGCTCCTTCCTGTGCGCAGCTCGCAGAAATAATAATATCCCAAAGATCGGCCAGGAAAGATTCCGCGCTCCAGAAATCCTCTTTGACCCCGAGATCATTGGCCTCGAATACCCTGGCATCCACCAAATCGTCGTCGATGCCATTAACCGCACAGATCTAGACCTGCGCAAATCCCTCTTCGGCAACATCGTACTCTCTGGAGGCAGTACATTGACGAAAGGCTTTGGAGATAGATTACTGCACGAGGTGCAAAGGCTGGCTGTAAAGGATATGCGGATCAAGATCTTTGCGCCGCCGGAGAGGAAATATTCGACTTGGATTGGAGGCAGTATTTTGGCTGGGCTAAGCACGTTCAGAAAGGTACGTTCATCTGCTCCATGGTGTGTCTGACTAGGGGGCACTTGGATGAGTCGGCTAATGGTAAATACAGATGTGGGTCAGCATCGACGACTGGCATGAGAACCCGGACATCATCCACACGAAATTCACATAGGCCCATTTCCTTCCACCAACTACCTGGGCGCCTTCCTATACAAACGCACCATCTCGACATCCAATCCAAATCAGCATACCCTTAAACTCAACACCTATAGCAACTGATGGATATTGCACAATACTCTCCAAAGGACATGCCTCTAATCCCCTCCCATTGAAACGGATGCGCGAATCGCCTAATGAAGGGCTAGTTCATGTGTACAAGCGAAAGAGGACAGGCATGAATAGCAGGCGTAAGGGAGTTTTGAGACGTCTACTTCTTTGCAGAAGGGATAGAGGCGTATTCAGGGTGCCGTGGGACTTTCTAAATGCCTTACTGCCAACTTGTACATCATTTGTCTGTGTACACTGGCTAGCCGCTCCTGTCTTTCAGAAAACAGGCGAGCTGCTATCCGGCTACCTACCCACATACCATTCCTCAATGATACCCACCTCATCAACCAATACAAGCTTCCTCGGTGTGGACCCATGTGATGACAACTTGACCACTGATGAATCCATAGAATGTGATATGATCTTAACGCCTTGAGTATATTACTCTACAAATGCAATAAACATTATTCACGTTTCACATGACCATATCTATATCACGGCACATCAAATATCAATCGTACAGCCGGAAAGAGCGAGTACGTGCAACGATCTTAATATCCCATTCATTCTAGGCCTCCATCCTCTGCGCAAAGAATACAACCTCCGTAGATAGATATGCAGCTAAATGCAGTTCTGCCCTGTTCTATCCTGTCCGTTCCAAAAAAGCCTACTACCCAATACCATAACAGACCTGATCAGAGTAAACTGAGTAAGCGGAAAAGGAGAATCGTTGTCATCATGAAGTAACCAAATAGTGCCTTCTTGCCCCTTCCTCATCATCCGATCATCCTCGCAGCCCAGTCCATTAACTCCACCCATCCATATCGTAGCATCTCGTCTCGAGGATAAATGTCCAATCCAATAACGCCTGCCAACCCAACCCAATGCACCGATCTAGCAATCAATGAAACCTATGCTTCCCAAAAACGCCAAGATCATCGTACAGAGACTTTCAAAACGACTCATCCCAAACCACCTCACGCTGTCACAGCGCCAGCCTCACTCTCCTCCACCCTCTTGGCAATCTCCTCGTACCAAATCCCATGACTCTCTCTGTCGAGCGCTCCAACCCTTGCCATCTCCTCGACAATCGCTCCAACCCTATGCACAAACTCCGGCAATCCCAGACTAGCAAGCCTCTCACTCGCGGTACTCGCGCTCTTGACTTTCTCCTTCTCCGTGTTGGCGGCAAGCCTGCTCAGGATGTGGCCTCTGAGTCTTGTCATAAGGAGTCTAGTGACGGGGTCGCGGAGCTCGATGGCCCCTGAGACGGAGGATGCGGATGTTGTGACGATACGGAGGACGAGGTCTTTGATGTGGTTCTTTGTTGCAACGGGCATGCTCCGTGAGGACTCGAGAGCTGCTTGGATGCCTTGGCTGGCTTGCTCGGGTGTCTTGGCGTTCTCGAGGACGGAGAAGATGCGTGTTGCTTCTGTTTTCCACTGGCTGCGGACGTCTCTCTTGAGCATATTCTTGCATTGCAGGAGAATTGCACCGGAAGTAACAATGCGCAGCACGTCAGCTCGAATGCGAGTTATGCGCTTCAAGTCCAGTTCAAGAGTCTCTGGAATAGGTAATGAATAGTCGAGTGACGTGAAAACGTCCACAAGCATCTGTGTATACATCTTCTCAGGAGTGGGTCGGGCCCTTGTCAAGTTGACCATTTCCGGATCTCTTTTGGCATGTTCAGCAACAACTTTGGTCCTGGCTTCTCTCCAAGCAGTCTCAGTTACTGGCAGGTTGCTGGCTGTTTCCTCTAAGATCTGGCCGAAGATAGAAGTTTCGTATTCTGTTGCATTCTTGATTAGAGCTGGAGCAGCCTGTTGCAGCATGAAGTTGGCATAATCAAGCTGCATAAGATCGATACCGTGCATTAATGCTTGTAGGCGCTCTACAACGTCTCCATTCTGCATCTTGTTTTCGACAACCTCCTTGATCTCCGCGTCACGGAATGGAGCACAGAGTTTGGGAAGAAGCGAGGCCATGAAAGAAAAGAATTTCTCATAAGAGAAGGATCCAGCCTGCAGCTCGCGAGCCACAACTTCATTGTCGAGTGCTTCGCCAATCATTTGATGCGTGGAATTGCCCTCTTTAAGAAGTTGCTGAAGTCTCGTTCTGATATTCTCTGCCATAGCAAGAACCCAGATGTCACTGTTTCCCGAGGCAATCTCTTGGCGCATTTTATCAAAAACTGCTTGCATGATGGTGGTTCTCTCTTCAAGAGCGTCCTCGTCGATACGATACTCACGATTGATGGCAATTTCGTGAGTAACGATCCTGTTCGGAGGCAGTATTGGCCTGGCGATGCGAAGCTCATCAGCGTACGATTTCTGGTATCTCTGAGGAGTAGGCGGAGGTGTCAAGGTCTGCAACTGGGAATCAACCGCCTTCTCTGAAGCTGCCAGATCAGCCAAAGGAGGTTGTTCGGGCTCAACAGACTCGGCAGCACGAGGCCGGGAGTCTCCAATTGGCTTCTTCACAGCCTTGACTTTCCGCGCTTCTCGGATAGCATTCGTAATCAACTTCTTGCCTTGCTGTGCACCAGCAAGTCTCTTGATTCTCACCATGAGCTTGAGTTGATTCTCTCGAATGCCATCTCGGTAAGAGTCCGTCACGGCTTCTTCAGTACTGTCCTTGACAGACTGCCAGATGGAATCCAATTCCACAAACTGCAGGACCATCATATCTATGAGAGTCGTTGAATCTCTAGCTTTCCAAGCAATGAAAGCATTGAAGAAAGTAGCATATACTTCTGACAGAGTAGAAAGCTGTGTCTGCGGAGGCGTATAGCTATTTGCAGAGTTCAGGCGCGACAGCACATTCTCGAAAGAAATGAGCAAATCTCGAGCCTTTGCTACGAGGTCCTGCAACTGTGGATTAGCCAGATCATCTCTCCGCATTGGTAACACTCCCACCTGCTCCTGCTCCTGAATGTCAACCTTTCCACTGAGAACCTGGGTTGGATGGCCGAGGATGAGGAAAGCACTGAGGAAAGTACGGACTGCAGTCATTTCGTTGACTGAGCCTGTCTCTCCCTCCTTCAATCCACATATTCTAAGGATCTGGGCCGTGCCGACAAGGACCTTCTCCTGAGCCAATAAATCGACCACATTTTCGAAGGTTGTCTCGCGTACGCTATCGATTGTGAGACCGAGAGCCGCAAAGTCCTTCAGAGCTCTGGCCCTTCGATGTACCCTCCACTTCTGCTGGATCCTCAATGCGGCTGTCTCCTCGCTGATACTCTCACGAACAGAGGGCAATGGTGATGTGCTTTTCCGTGGCTGACTCAGAGATCGTCCTCTCTTCGAGGAGTGCCCTCTGCTAAGGATTTCCTCTCTCCTCCTCTCAGCCTCCGCGAGTCTCTCCTCCATTTCCCTCCTCAATTTCTTGCCCTCCGCTTCTCTCTTCTCCTTCATAGTCTCCGCAATCCCCTTCGCTCTCTTAACCTCCTCAGCACAGGCGGCCACAATCTCCGCAAGGTTCTTTTCCCTTGCATGCTGGGCAGCCAACGCTCTCTCCTCGCTGTTCGTGGTACTTCTTGGCGCGGCCTTCGCAACAGCAGCCCTCAAACGTACTTTCTCCGCGTGTGCAGCTCGGTCCGCCAATCTAGCCTTTCTGTCTTCAATGATCGATGCACGGCGCAAGTGCTGCGCAATATAGTTGCTCTGCGAGCCTCCATGACGACTAGAGAGCTGTGACTGGTGTGAGTGTGCAGAGGAGATCGAATTGCGCCGGGACGAGGCGGCGGAGGACTTGCGACGGTTGGTCGTAGGGCGGTAGAAGCGTGCAGCTATGCGCGGAGGAGGAGTATGGATGCGATGGTCGATTGCTTCTTCGTTGATCAGGTCGAGGTCTTCGGGGATGTCCTCGGGGATTTCGGAAGGGCCTGTTGACTCTGCCAGGTTGCGATCAGGGTCGCTGAGGTTCTCTGAAGCGCGACGCATCATGAAATGCTGTATTTGTCTGAAAGGTAGACGTCGTCTTATAACAGAGGAGTTCGTCTCTCTATACGAATATCTATCGTCAAGTCTGTCGCACGTATGCCGCAGTGCCGGGTTCAAGTGAGTGTATCTGGTGGCTGGTGAAGAGAAGCACGAGGTGTGGGGTGAAGTCCATATAACGATGACGGCTGCAGAACAAGCTATGCCCAAAGAGAAGTACAGAGAAGAGAACGAATGCGGGTAAGGTAAGCAGACAGCGGGCAGTGCAGGTGCAGGTGCAGGTGCAGGTGCAGGTGCAGGTGCAGGCGCAGGTCGAGAGAAGGGAGAATGTGGAAAAGAAGGAGGCTGGTTGAAGGTTGAAGGTTGAAGATGTCGTAAGAGGCCTCGACCGAGTCTTTGGCTTCCTTGCCTTTCCCTGCTGGACCACCAAAGCTAAGCCAACGCAACGCAACGCAATGGAACCCTCACAAACAGAACGCTGGGTGCGCTTGGGCAGCTGGTTGCGGGCGGGATGTGAGTGCTAGGCTGCTTCCGTCGCTAGCCACGATGATTACCGAGCATCAAACTACCGCAAGGGAAGAAGCAGCGAGAAGCATCATTTTATTGATTGCCTCCTCTTCATTTGTTTCTTTCTAATATTTCTAAGATTTATAACGGCTCAGCTGAGCTTCACGTAACGTTCGAGTTTATGATGCTTTGACGCTTGATGCTTAGTTGAAACAATCCATGTGATAGCAGTGATACGGAAATATGACGAGATGTCTTGTGTTAATGGCTCATGGCCATGCCCGGATCTCGAGGGATGTTGTTAGCACTTTGACCGCCTTTCGCTTGCAGCTGGTATCTGGTCCTGGGTGATTGTCCGGCGTGGGTCTGTTTGGTTTGGTTCGGTTTGGATCCCTCGTCATCACAGGGCTAGATGGATAGTCTGGACAGGCTCGAAATAGAAACCAAGTTAAATCAATTCTGGGGTTTAGATGGGTCATGTGAAAGTGAAGCTATTTACAGTTCAACACTGAGGCAGTTCAATCTCCTACTTGAACAATCCCTCAACAATATGAAAAATATTCTTGAAAAACAGTCTCGACATTTACACTCTGACCAGACCTCGTTTCGAGTTCCGACACATCATTCGCATGGCAGCATCGTATTCCCATCAGCCACAATCGGCAGCCATCCATGTCTCATAACCACGCTCCTTGATCTCGAGTCCATGTTCAAGATGAAACGTCCTGAAATACACTGATCGTCAACACAGGAGTATCTCTGCATCATCAGATCCTCAGATCAATAAATCCTCACATTGCGCTGGGATGCCACAGTGCATGGCAGGGGAAGGATATGCGGAAGCATATCTCACTTTAAACTCTCTCTTAATCAGTAATTTAAGTGAAATCGCTTGTTTCCTAAACCCTACGTATCTAGCATAAGGTAGGTTAGGTTACCAGCCTATATACCAGAATCAAGAATCGATCAAAACGCCCTTCCAAACCAGCTGGTGATGCAACCATCATCTCGTCGCATGGTCCCCGTCCCATCTTTTTCACTCCTTGACTTCAAGTCAAAGACAATGCACACAGTTTCAAGGTAGCAGCAGGAGACAATACAGCAAGGTGCAAGAGATATACACTAACGTATATACACTACGCCCTCCTGGCACATCCAGACGCGGATCCATTTCCTTCAACTCGTCCGCCCTTCTCTATCACAACGTCAAGAAAGAGGCAAACATATGCATATAAAAACACAAGAAAAACAAAGTCTAATATAGCGCAAGAATCATAATTGAGATTTATCCAAGCCAAGGTCCCCCCCTCTTTCACAAAACTCCTCCTTCAGATCAATCGAAATGAGACGAGGCGTTTAGTAGGTTGGGTAGGCGTTGACTGGGTATCCAGCTGAAGCAGAGGAGCTGACGACACCCTAGGCGCTGGAGGGGGTGCTCGGGGCAGCAGACTCAGACTTGACTAGGTATCCAGTTGGGATGGCAACGCCGGATGGGAAAACGGAAGAGCACTTCGTCTTTGTCTTGGAGGACTCAACTGGCTTGACTGAGTAGCCTCCAGTTGGGATGGCAGCGCCGGATGGGAAAACGGAAGAGCACTTCGTCTTTGTCTTGGAGGACTCAACTGGCTTGACTGAGTAGCCTCCAGTTGGGATGGCAGCGCCGGATGGGAAGACGGAAGAGCACTTCTTTGTCTTGGTGGAGATGGTGGCGTTTCCGTATGGGGCACCAGTGGACTATAATAATGATCAGTCTGTTATTCTTACAGATTGAAGTGCGGTTGACATACGTATGGGACTGGGATAACGGTAGCGGTGCTCAAGGAGACAATCTCGCTGTTGGGTGCAGACTCAGTTGGGACGCTCTTGGCACTTGGGGCATTGGTAACGTCGCCATAGTTGGCGCCGGTGTTGGTTGGGTAAGCTGGGGCGGTGAAGGTGACGGTTACAGGAGCTTGGGTCTACAAAGTTGGTCAGTATTTGCTCATGTGATTCTGCTTTGTGAATACTTACGACAGTGACGGTAACTGGGACACACTGAGCAGAGCCGGCAATACCCTGGAATCCACCGGCAGATGCAGCTGGGACAACAGTGACGTAGCGGGTGCTGGTGGAGGTTCCTATCAGAAGGTATTAGTGGGCCTGGTCTCAGATTGTAAAAGCGACGCAAGTATCGAGCTGGTTTTCAGAAACCTCGACCAGATCCAACGGAAATACTTGGCTAAAGATAGAAACTCGCTTACCAGTGATGGTGGTGGTCAGCTCATCGAGCGAATCTAGGACACCAGCAATGGCTTGTCCAGACTCTTCCGGGGATCCTGGCTTGGTAGCGTAAACGGTAGCAGTCTGAGTGTGCTTGATGGTGGTAGTAACAACAGTGGTAGAGGTTCCTGATCCAAGGGTGTAGGTCAAAACAACGCTCTCAGATCCGCTGGCAGTTGGGTAGACAACCTCGCCCTTGGTGGTTGGGTATGGATTGGTTGGGTATCCAGTTCCCTTGGGGGTTGAAACGGGGCCCTTTGCGGTGTTGGAGGCTAGAGCGGAGTAGGAAGAGAGAACAGCAGCGCTGGCGGATGAGGCCTGTGCAACTGGGCAAACAGTCTAAAACACATGTCAACAGTCACCCCTTTTCCCTTCATATTCCAATCTTACTGTGTATGCAGCGACAGTGCTGGTGATGACCTGCCCAGCTGGGCAGTTAGTGACTGTTGCGGCGCAGCTGGTGATTGTGTACACCTGGGTTGCGTAGACGGTCAGAGTGGTGGATGGGACACTGGTGTTGTATTGACGACGTTGGTAGAAGTGTTCAGGAACATGCTGGCTAGCAGAGGCCAAGGCGGCGAAAAGGCCGAGAGAAGCAACAGTTGTGAACTGCATTTTGAAATATAGATAGTCGAAAGGTATCAAGATTCCTCCAATTGCTTCCCTTCAAATTTTGGTACGGTCGTTGAACGTCGTAGATTGTCAGATATTCTCAGTATGGACAGTGGTCTTAACGAATGTCAGTCGACTCGACAAAGATCTCTTGGGAAAGAATGACTGAAGTTGAGAACGAAAGAGAACTATTGCAAAGAATGACTGTAACGACTGTAGTGGTCAAGAGAAATCTTGGTGGAGAGGAAAGAGAGAGAGAGGTCGGGAACCAGAACGACGGGGCGTCGAAGAACAAAAGGGAAGCGCGGGATTACGGTAAGCAGGGGGGAAGCAAGCTAGACGGAGATTTGTGTGCAGGCGCCAGGGCATCCCCATGACGCTGGCAGGGCTTGCACTTGCAGGCAGTGCCAGGCACCGTGAAGGAGATCGACGGGGCTTGGAGCCTGGAGGGTAGGGTGCATCGGCAGAAGCCAGGAGAGAGAGACTCGAGGATGCAGAAGTCGGCCATCCGACGACCGTGAGAGGTTGGAAAAGGGGCGAGAGGGGGCGAGAGGAGGCGGATAAGAAGATTAAGCGGGCCAACTATGGCCTACCCGGTCGAGCTAAAATTGAGTCGGCGTGCTAGGGGGCGAGATAGGCGGCCTGATTGGCGAACGGACAGGCGCAGCACTCGGCTGGCTGCGTGGAGGATTCTAAAGTTGGGACCGTCTTCAGGGGCATTCAGGTCCCCAGGCCCGCTGATTCGTCGTGGCTACAGCTTGAAACGCATTGGGATGAATACAAAGCATCCAAGCAACAGCCTCGTTATTATTATTATTCGACTTGATTCGACCCCAAGTAGTGACCTCGACTTGGCGTCACCCAACGCAACGCAGCCCACCTTAACTTTGTTGACACCACACCACACTACACCACACCACACCTCCCTCCCTTGGTCTGGTGACAGTAGGTAGTACTGTAGTAGCAGTAGAAGGAGTGGTAAACTGCAGAGGAATCCCCTTTCCTCTCTCGTAATTCGTAATTGAACATTTACCTTTCTACTGACGATGCTGACTCACCATCCAATATTGACAAGCTTCATTCAGCAGCCAGGCCTTACAGTAGTATCACCTCTCCTCGTGTTGAATCTTATTTAGATCAGCATCCCCCAGTGCATGAGGACCCATCGGACCCATCGGAAATTATTTCCGAGCGTATTCGTGGACGCCGCAACCGTGGCCGATGGCCCATGGTTACATATGATGATACGGAGTAGGTACTGTACGGAGTAGGTAAGAAGGCCTTGTCAGGTTGTCAGGTCGGTCGGTATGATGTTTAAGGCGCGACCATGCATCGCATGCGTGAGTTGCGTGCTTGCATAGACCTAGCGCAGGTGGTGCATCTCATCTTTCAATAATCCTCAATCTACAATCCACCGGCGGCGTCCCCTCTCCTCCCCTCCCTTCCTCCCACTTCCAAGTTCCCGTCAGGAGTGGATTGCCAGCCGTCGGCAGTCCTGGAATAGGAATAGCATCAGTGATCCACGAAGCGAGAGAAGCCGGGGTTGCCAAGAGTCACCATAAGGTTTGACGTCTGATTGTCGCTTGCTGTGATGAGATGTGATGTCTTTTTTTCTAGTATTATTAGTCGTGTGTTTTGTTTTGTTTTGTTTTGTTTCCAAACCAGTTGCACTGCAGTCATACAGTAGGGTAATAATGGTTGCGTGTTCAATGTTCCTTGACGCCAGGACCCGCTGCACCTCATCCCGTTCGTCTTTCGTCTACCCACCTGCCTGCACTGCAGTACCAGTACCTTACAGTAGTGCGATCTTGAAACCGCGCCACTGCAAGGAGAGAAACGCGCCCCATTGGCCGTATCCGGCGCCACTCCGCCAAGCTTTTGAACCCCTGAAAAACAACGACTTTGACAAGTCCAGAGTCCAGAGTCCAGAGTCCAGAGTTCAGAGTTCAGAGTTCAGACCTCACCGTTCTCGGTGTCCTGGCAGCCTGGCAAGCGCTCGCTCGAGAAACAAATACCTACGCACGCCCACGCCCACGCCCACGCCCACCTTCTTCCTTCCTCCCCGCCCGGAATCTTGCGTTGCCCGCTGGCTTATGCCGTTATCCAGACCATCTGACAGTTTCTGGAACGTCGCCTTGCAAGTTGCCACCGGGAAGGTGACCGAGAGCCTAGAGGTAAGCAATCACAGTTGAGCGAGCATGCCGAACCGGTTCTCACGGTACCGTGGTACGAAACAGAAATCCTTCCGCTTTCCAGGACTCAAACATCCGTCAGTCATTCCTTGCACCCACCACCCACCAGCCATCATCCCATCTCCCCATCCCACCATTTCATCAAAAAACCTTCGTGAAACAAACGAGAGATCACCCAGGACTCCCCGTCTCTCTATCCCTCCCAAGCCGCCATCCCGCGACGGCTAAAATCCCTTCCTCATTTCTGCATTCTGGCCGTGAGTCCAAGTCCAGAGTCCAGAGTCCAGACAACTGGCAATCATGAATCGTGAATCGTGAATCGCAAAACACCATGACGAATCGGCGATAACGACGAGATGGTGGGGTTGAGTTAGACTTTCAAACTGATCTTATCGAAGTTTCTTTTTCCCTGCTCAAGCTGCAAGCAGCATCTCACAGGGTTGATCGTGGACACCACCAGCCTTGTCGATGAGGTGTGTGGCCTAGTAGTGGCCAGGCCAATAGTTGCAAGTTTTTTGACGTTGGGGCCATGGTTGAGACTTGAGAGTGGCAACCGAAGCGACGCGAAAGGAAAGTTTGACAGCGGAAATGATCCCAAGGTTCTGGGCGGGGTTCTCATTGATCAGACCAAGTCAACCTTTCTGAGAAGGTTTATTGTTGTCATTACCGTTCATTTATTTCTCTTCTTTAGAAATTTCCTGGAAATTCTGCCCAGGGATGTCGGCAGCAGGGACACATATTGCTGAAGCATGCTAGTGCATTCTTTGCTCGGTTGCGGTTCACCCTTTACCTCGTCCTCGTCGTTCATGGCGGGAAGTCACGCCTTCGCACACGTGTTCGTGGAGCCAGCATCCTTGGAATTGCTATCTCAATTCAACCCAATATTATACTTCAAGACGACTTTAAAAGCATCTAGCTTTGCTATTCCTCGTATTTTTTCCCGGAAAATCGTAAACTTTTACTTTTGTCGCGAACAACACACGGCTTCCTCCTTCGAGCACATACTTCCAAGTCTCCTCCCCGCTTTCCTCATCCGGCCACGAAGCTTACTGCATTACAGTATTGCATGTAACTTCAATTCATCAAATCTCCCTCTGACTTTGATTCAAAGTTCTCACTAGCAATTATCTTACTCTATCTTCTATTGTTTATTCGAAATTTCCTTTTCCATCGTCACCGTGGGGCAGATCCGTGCCTACCTAGGTAGGGTACCTCTCATGTGTCATGTCACACAGTCATTATGAAGGAAGTAGCCATCTTAGTGCCGCACCACCACCACCAGACTTTTAATTGTTTCCTTAAATTCTCATCGTGCAGATTTCATATCGTCCTCCCATTTCTTGCATCTTTCCATAATCTTCACAGACAGTAGGAGTCATGAATATGCAGATGCACAGCGCACATTAGCCATTGACCATCCTAAGTTCGCTGAGAATTACTAATAACCGGATCACCTCGACCAGGCGCCATCCATGGGCTGATGGACTCGGTCATTAATGATAGCATATCAGCTGTCACAATATCACTAACGGTGTTTCTTACGAATTGGTCTCGTGTCTTTAGGTAGCCTAGCGCACACCACGTGAGGCCACCAAAACCGCGCTGTGTCTATGTGGATATAGAGCATAAGTTTGATTTCTGATTGAATTGCTTTCTGAGCTTCCATTAATCTGCAAGTCCATGTCATGTGCAGTATGTCTCTGTGCAATAAGGACTGAACAGTGTGCTATATCCAAGCGTGCAAGTCTCTGTATTCATCAGCAGTTTGACTAATAAGGTCAAGCGACCGTCTCTAGATATCTTTCTGGAGTAGTGCCAGTGTATATACCATCAAGACATTCTGCTACGGTTATTAATCATAGTATCTTGGCAGATGATGTTAGAAAAGAAAGGCATTGCCTTTCATGATCCAGCAGCCATCCCACGCTCCTCTGTAAGGTATCGAGTGCCTTGTGACTGCCCTCTGTAGTAAGAACGTGCTTTCTCTTTGGACTGATCTCGATTTCGAAATTGCTTGGAACGCCACTTCCCCATAATGTCTACAGCAGCGATGGAGAAACAGAGAGTGAATGCAAGGATGTGAAGTCTCTCAATGTAGAAGAAGCATCGCTACTTCCAATAAGATCGTTCTCCCTTGCATTCATCTTCATGATTCTGTTTGTAAGTGGCTTACCGGGTAAACTCCATACACTCGCTAAACCTAGCAATGCACATTTCATGTCACGTAGCTTCTGTATTGAATGGGCTATCATTCGGGCAAAGATAAGAATAGCTTCACCGTTGATACTTAGGTATTGCCTAGAAGACCATCGCGTTGTCGTTACGAAACTAACAAGTTCTATCTGAGAGTGTTGGGAGGGAACGAAAGAAGCCTGTGCAATATATTGGACGTGGAATAGACTCAGCACCTGCCTACAAGACGATTAAGACCGAAGACGTAAGATGTTCTCAGGAACATTAATATTGATAATCTAATGGTACAATCTATTTTGAATGCCTTGAAAGTCCAAACTTCTAAGAAGCTGGTGTATCCGTTTACCCAATCGCGTCTATCTATCCTACAAAACATCAGGTGTCCGAAACCAATTGCTCCCGATTCTCATGCCTTTGCAGCTCCAGAACGTGCAGTGAAAGCATCGAGGTCGGTCAATGCCTTCTGCAACACTTCCTTCTTCTTCTGTTGCTCAGCTCGCTGGGTGACAGTGCGAGCATCCTCAGACCCCAGTTCATCGACCTGCTCGTCGGAGAGTTCCCAGGCAACGTGAGGGGAGAAGCTAGAGATATGTTAGTCTATACATGATATAAGAGAGGTAGGATCTAGCGGATTTAGGGGGAAGAGGTCAAGTTGTAATGAGGGGAGAACTGACACTCCTGGTAGACGTTGGACAAAGCATGTCTCTACAGCATTGACGCTCACATCGTCGATAAACTTTCTTCAGTGCCACCTGAGATACATTAGTGTTGGGAACTGTCAAGCGAGGGGACACAGTGACTCTACCTTGTAGTAAGCCGCAGCAACATCCGCAGCGAGTGATACGGAATAATCCTCCACATCTGGTCTGGTTCCATTCATTAGCATTGTGAGGAGATGATACAATGCCACTTCGTCTACACTCTCCTGTGGAGACTCTACGGTATAACCACAGGCAGCTTTTGCAGCAGCAGCGAACTTCCTGTCATGGCAGCGGCCTTGGATGTCTTGTACAGTCCCGGTGAGATAATCGTTGTTATGTGATCGGGTGAATAGAGAGATGGGGCTTGAGCAGTTCATCCAATTTTTGCTTTAGATCTTGGCGGAGATTTGACAACGAGGGCTGAATCAAGCCCTTCATCAATCGAGATCTGGTATTCTCATCACACAATTCAGAGAGGCGCTAGTTGAAGGTAGTCGCTGCAGCTTCACTAGGGAAAAGAAATACTTGTCAGTACTGTTATCAAGAATTGTAAGTTGGGAAGGCGAAAAAAAGCCGAAATAGATGAGACGGGAAACGAGACTCGAAATCGCTGGAAATATGTGCGTTTCGGGACAGTCGGGACGACAAGAACGTAGGAGAAACTCACTGAACCTGCTCGGCAAGGTCTTGAGTGATGGATTCCCAAGGCTTGCATTGTCGGCTGAAGAGGTCTCCGACCACGAGAGGGTTGAATGTGCCTGGTAACTCACGACCCCTGCACTCGACCATGAGATCTTTGACTATTTGCAAATAGTCGCTTCTCATGAGATATTTTGACGTGACTCGGCGTGTAGGTTCTTGATCGTCCTCGACTATCTCCAGAGCGTGATTATGAAGGACCTTCTTTCCAGCGTAAAAGGTCAAAGTCTTCTGGAAGTTCGCACGGAGACGTCGATCAAAAGCATCATGTTGGCCAGGGTAAGACGCAAGGAACGGATCGGCATAAACACCATCGATACCTGCTTGTATCATAAAGGACAGCTGGTTGCTGATACCAGGGAGATACCTGTGGTTCTCCTTCGTCGTGCTGCTTGATTGCCCAAGCTGGCACAACTTGCTGGTGCAGTCTTTGATACCCTTCTGTACATCGCTTTCCACGCCGGGTAGCGACTCGCTGAGCTGCTTCCAGAGAACACTGCGCAGACGGTCCTTCAATGCAGCTACACCAAGTTGCGATGGACTAAGAACTTTGCTCCAACCCGATTCTGTGAAGAATGCAGCTTCTCTCTCATTTTGCTGATCGGATGTTTCATCGGCAGTAGCGTGGCTTTTATTTCGGAGGACATGCCAGCCCAGGGTGAGTTTGACATTCTCATTTTTGGATAGCTCGACTAATTGTCCAGATCAGCTAAGCATATTCGGGATGCCAGAATCGTCGTGTGGGGGAAAGATTCAGTAGCGATGAATCCTTACTTACTGTAATACTTCTCGGTATCTGATTCTGGGTCGATCTTGTCCGGCTTCGTGATCAAGCCAAGTGTTCTGGTTCCGGCAGGGTCAATCTGTCTAGCGAAATGGGTGACAGGTTGGTTGGCGAAAGCACTGTCTGCTGCGACAACGGCTAGGATGGTACTACGCTTTTGCTTCATGTATGAGACAACGAGATCTCGTACCATGTCCACGTCACCTTCTGACTTGGATAGAGTTAGCCACTCGAAGAATGCTTCCAGGATGATTGACCAGCAGGATATTATAGCGAAGCATGGACGAGTTCATAAAAAGGAGGTAATCCAGTATACTTATTGATTCTTATCCGAAGCACTGAACAAGCCAGGGAGGTCCAGCAAAATTAAGTTAGAAGCAGTTGGCGAAGTACACTCAATCCTCAACACATCAGTACTGAAGACTTTGGCACCCTGACCAGTTCCCGTGAGGCCCATTTCGGCCTTCGCAGATTCAATGATCTTAGCAAAATTCTTCTGCCCACTCTCCTTCTCATGAAACTTCAGAAGCTTGACTCGCTCCTCCTCAGTCCTACTGGCAGAAGGTTGGATTTGGACTTTGATCTCGGATTTCTCGCTTCGGCGGAGGATTAATTCAGTAGCGAAGCGGGTACAAAGACCCTCTGCGGTTGGGAAGGTGATGCCGGAGAGTGAATCCAGGGTGGATGACTTTTCGGAGGATTGAGAGCCGCAGACGATGATCTGGGGAAGGTCGACACTGGAATGAAGAGTTAGTACTGCAAACGAGCCTGGGAGGAGGATAGACCAGCGTGACTTACTAGTGACTGACTCCGTTGGACCGAAGGGCATTAAAAATGTCCAGCAGATCACGATGGTTGCTGGAATGAATGAATCTCGATGTTTTCTGGGAGATTTGCTCTGCGAGCCCGATCGCGGTGGTGGTTGTTTCTCCCATTTGGGTCCGTTTGTTGCGTGACTTGCGGTCGCTCATCTGCATCGGGTATCCTAACTGGACGATTAGAGCGATCCTTGTAATTGCGGTTGATTCGGTCATAGACTTACTTTGGAAATGTGATGGCAATCGATCTCTGGCAGTAATAGCTGGAGAATTAAGACGAAGTTGGGCCTTAAGTAGGGAAGAGGTTCTTTGGTGATGCAAAGGTCAAGCTTAATAGTGAGACGGCATCATGCAGGACCGTTTAGAGAGCGCTCAAAGACTTGGAAAGGAGACCAAGGGCAGTTCGTTAACAGAATGAACCCCAAAGCGGCAGGCAGCCGACATTACTGCGAATATAGAACATACCATTGAGGGAAACCCTTTCAATGATGCCGATTGCCAAACCACATCCCTTCAAGGATACTCAAAGTCATAAAGACCTCCATACGGACTTCCGTATGTCCTGAAGGAGAAGTTTCGGATAGCACGCTTTCTTGTTAAAGCAAAGATGAAGGGAAAGCAGCAAGTCGTATCCCGCAGACTCACTAAGTCTTAGATTTTAACAGGTCTATGCTCATTGACGCCTGGCTTCATGATCACCAGACATCACTCTCTGTACAACCCCTCTCTCAACACCCAGTCTTTCACACCTGTCGTAACGAGCTTCCCTAGAGCTTCCTCGTCGCCCTTCGAAACCGCATTCCTCACCTTCGTACTACTTACGACCTCCTCGCCATCCTTCCTCCCCTCCACCATCTCAATCCTCTTCTCCGTAACCCACTCTCTTAAGCCCCCAACATCCTCTCTCTTCCCCTCGCCCAGCTCTCTCAAGTACCTATCCTGCGCCTCCCGATCACCCCACTCGTCATCAGCCCGGTACGTAACCCTCAATCTATGTTTCTCCAGAAAAGGCTGGATTGGCTTGAGATTATGTGATGGCGGGTAGTATTTCGTATCAAGCAGTCTGACTAACGTATCGTACCCTATTAAATGTACTTGTTCCGTTCTAGGAAACGGGTATGCTTCTGATGGCGATATATGCGGGTATTTATCTGCAAAATATGGGAGTGTTGTAACTGCGATATCTATCCCAACTTCACTTGTTTCGGGTGCAGATTTTGACGTTGTCTTGAGGTTCACGAGAAGATCTTGTGCAAATATTTCCATCATTGCCAATCGCGCTTCGAAAGACGCCGGTTTGGGAGCCTTGTCCGCATTTTGTATGGCAAGGAGAAGGAGAACACGGTGAGGGGTTGATTCAGATGTGGAGGAATGGAGGGCGGAGAGAATTATGCGGGCATGGGCGAGGGTAGGCGGGTTGAAGGACGAATCGAGGATATAGAGGGTTTTTGGAGGCGGAGGTGGGGGAAGGGCTGTTGTTGAATTGAGAGGTTTGGGGATCGAGGAGAGGATTCGGAACGGCGCGTTCGAGGTGCGGAAGCTCTGGAGGGCTTGTCTGAAGTGAGCGAGCATTTGATCGGAGTCTGAGGAGGGAGATGTGCTCATTTTGTGTCAGGATAATTCGACCTAATATTGGCAGAGCTCGATGAGGAGTACCTATGTACCTTAACGTACGAAGCTGCGAGTATGGATGATGTCCAATCGGACATTTCAGATGCGAGGCTGATGAAGTGGATTCAGGCGAAGGTAGCGGGGGGCTTCAGGGCTTCATCCCATCCCATCCCATCCCGTTACTTAACGTCCCACCCCACCATTCCGCCCACCCCCCTATTCCGGCCACCTCGCTTACATTCCGTATTTCCTATTCAACACTTAATAACTCTACATTATGTTATCTTTTTAATTAGATATTATAGAATATAATTCTCCTTATTATTCCGGTTCTATAGGTACAATTTAATATTCTCTAGCTGCAATTTAAGCTTCCCTGATAGCACGTGTTATAATAAACTTGGAATTCAGGCTTATTTGAACCTTCCTCTTTTTCCTTAGTCTCAATCGCTCTAATCGTGCCTCTAACTCTTTAATCCTCATATTTACTTACCCTAATTCATGTCCTTCTTATCAAATCCTTTTAAAACCTTCCTAAAAAGCAAACAACGTGTTAAAAGTTAGTTATATAACCTAGCTATCAAGGAGTATAGTTATAAGTAGATCTCTTTTCCAGCCTTCGGAGTCTATATCTTAATTAATATACTAGAAACCTTTATAAGTAGTACTAGCGTATCTTAAGGCCTTAGAGAAGTTAGATCTATCGATTTATTACTATTTTCTAATAGTAAAGGGCTTATTAATAGCTTTACAACTAATACCGGCTATAACCCTATAGTTCTCTACCTAGCCTTAATATTAGATAGGGTAAAACTCTCTTGCCGTGCCTTATAATAGCATATAAGGAAATTGCGCTTACTAATTAGAGTAGAATCAATTAGAGAACTCAACTTTTGAAGTTCTTTCTAGTAAGAACATTTAAGAACAGAGAAAACCGTTAGATTAAGAGGTTATAGAACATGTGACATATATACAGGTAGGAACAGAAGGTAGATATTATTTTTAAGGTATTTCCAAAGGAATTCCGTAGTTTCGTAACTCCTATAGCTATCTAGAATAAGAAGCCTTACTAAATCGTCACGTGGTTACGTTTAAAGGATAAAGACTTTCTCTAACCACTTAAGAGCTATAGTATTAGTTATCTACCTATTTTCAGTAGTAGTAAAGTGCCACTAATCAAATAGGTCTAATTAAGACAGAAACTACTATTATTAGACTGATTTTCCCTTGTATATTACAGCTAAGTATATAGAACTACCTGTTACAGATATACACTTAATAATTAACATCTAAACACGTGTACCTAGCTATTTCCCTTATATCTTACGAGATTCAGCACTCCTTATAATAAGTCTATTAAGACTATAACCTTCTATAACACCTGTTTCGTCTATATTCTATCGTTAGTAAGCTGGAATCACTTTAATAGCTGGAATCTCTAGTTTTTAGAACTATAGCTATATAACTTTAGAACAAGCGCAATTAACACGTATAGAATCAACGTATATTTACTTCTTAGTCTTTAGAACAGGGTTACGTGCTAGAAATCGAGTTATCCAGTGTTTCCTAAGTAGTTAGTAGTCTCCCTATAAAGCTAGAAGCCTGTTACGAACGCACTCAGAAGGAGTATCACGTGTGTCTTGGCCCTGAGGCTCGGCAGCATTGCTGCACAGAGAAGCCAAGAACTAGGAACGAAATCACGGGACCATGTGTCACGTGATGGCATGGAGCTTTTGGAACCATAGGGTCCAAGGTTCCTGGAGCCTGGGATCATAGGACCCATAGGGATCCAAGGCTAACGAAGGTTCTATATAAGACTGGCACGTCTGCCATTAGATAGGAGCTTCGTGCTCAACTTCAAATAGTATTCTGATACTTAGTAACTGTCTTCCCGTCTACGTGATACACCTACCTCTCGATCATCAGAGATCAACTGCAGCCTTCTGTATTTACAGCGAGTAAATACCGGACCGTTACAAAGCCTCTCTCTAAAAACCCGAATCTATACGTGTATAACTCTATAGCTAAGAGACTCTTAAGTAAGAACCCAATTAGTTAAACGATTCTCTACTACTATAGGGAGTCTTTGCAAGTAACTTGCAGCTTCCTTATATGATAGAGTCGTTATATTACAGTTACGAAGTGTAGACCTTAGAACACCCTAGTCAAGCGATACCTTCCGTAAGGACTTACTATTTGCCACGTCCCTAAGTGCACACATAACGTCATACTTAGTATATTAAGGCTTCATAATAAGATCAATTTATATTCCAAATATCAAAGAAATCTATTAAGGAATAATAGAATTAATAATTATTGAAGTAGGTAGGAAGAACTAGCGGTGAGTTAAGCGAGGTGGCCGGAATGGGGGGGTGGGCGGAATGGTAGGGTGGGACGTTATACCACAGGGGTTGGAGCGGGGGCGAGGCGAGGCTGACACCCACGGGCACCTGCATGTTTGTCCGGCGAGCCCGGCTGCTCGTGCACTCTGGATATGGATAGTCTTGACGACATTGAAGTTTTCCAGTCTCACCACATCTTCCAGCAACTGTACACCTCTATTGCAATCATATTACAATCATGGCGATCGTTCAAAACTGGTTACCCCCATCGAGGGAAAACTACCAGCTTGTTGTCCATCTCTTTCAGTTCTTTCCGCTCGTAAGCCTTGAATCAAGAATAAGCGGCACACCCAGAGCGGTGCTGATCAGGAACACAGATAACAATCTTGCAATGGGTTCAGCCATGGTATGGGGCAGGAAAGACGTCGACTAATAGTCGATTTAATATTCCGGGGAAGATTGCTTGGATGACCATGGAGCTTCCAGGACCTCTGACGCTGCTGTATGTGATGAGTACCTTACCTGCTCAAGTTGGTATGGCACAAATACCATGGGAGAATAAGGTCATGGCTGGCCTTTATGTGAGTATATCTTCATTGTCTTAGTGCTTCAATTGGCGATTAAGTATATCATCTTCCCCTACTTATAAACAATAGATCATCCACTACCTTTACCGAGCGATCCTCTTCCCAATAATCGCTCCTTCAATGTCCCCAATCCATCCCCTCGTTTGGCTTTCTGCCTTAAGCTTCCAAATTACCAACGGACTCTCCATTGGGTCCTGGCTGGGAGGTCATGGCCCAATTTCCCGCCTCGATTGGCAAAGTTATGGCAACACCTATAAAGCAGGTGGCCGAATCGAGTTCGGGATGTTCCTCTGGGCATTCGGCCTGATGGGCAACGCATTTCACGATGATGAGCTCCGCGAGATCCGCCGAGCAGCCCTTAGGAACCAAGAAGCAGCATCCAAAGAAGCCGAGCGGAGTACGGGGAAAGGTAAGGCGGCAAAGAAGGGGGTGGATAAAGTTTACTTGATTCCCGAAAATGGGCTCTTTCGCTGGATCTTCTATCCTCATTACTTGTGTGAGTGGATCGAGTGGACTGGGTTTTGGATTGTCGGAGGATGGGATTGTGTCCCTGCGAGGACATTCCTACTTAATGAAATCGCAGCGATGTTGCCAAGAGCGCTGCAGGGAAAGAAGTGGTACGAAGAGCGATTTGGCAAGGAGAAGACTGCTGGCAGAAAGGCGATCATACCAGGATTCTTGTGAGTTGAAGCGGTGTCGTGTGAGGTTCTTTGAGTAGCGGGCGTTTCACGGGTAATGATGTTGTCGTATGGTAACATGGCAGTTTGAGATTTGCATTTCCACTTTCATTATTCTGCCTCCATCAAACAGGCACTTTATAACTAGCTCAAATCACCAAACTTAGAACGTAACAGTCATGTCTTCCCATTACCCCATCCTAGTTCATTCCTTCAAGCGCCAAAAACATAGTGTTATGAAACAAGAAAGACATCAAATCGTATTCGTGTGCGCGTCTGTTGTTCTATTCTTTCGTCACTGGGATCTGGCATATCGCTTCTGCTCCCTTCTCTGCATGATCTCGGCCTTCTTCTCCTCGTTCTGAGTAGGATCGTTCTTGGCATCGCCATCTTGACCCGGATTAGCCATCTCGTACTCAAGCATTTTGATGAACTTGTAGAAGAAGACAGCAATGAATGTGCCGACCATTGGTCCAACCCCTGTGATTTTATTAGCACTGCTCGAATGTACCAGACCTGTGAACAACTTACAGTAGATCCAATGCTCCCTGTCAAATACACCAGTGACGACACAAGGTCCAAAGCTGCGAGCGGGGTTCAGCGATCCGCCTGTGTAGTAAACACCAACCATTTCCGCAATGAACAAAGCAAGTCCGATGCCCACAGGTGCAATAAAAGTAGCTTTGTGCTTCTCCTTAGCCAACATGAAGATCGTGAAGACCAGCTCGGCAGTTAGTATAGCCTCGATGAAGACGCCTTGAACGATACTCGCACCGCCAGCTAGGGTGGTTCTAACGTTCAACTTGGTAGGGAAAAGACCAAGTACCATTCCAGAGGCGGCGATACCACCCGCGATCTGAGCACAGAAGAGACAGATTGCTCGAACGACAGGCACGGCTCCAACCATAACCATACCAAGGGTGACAGCTGGGTTGAACAGCCCTCCAGAAATACGGAAGAAGATCCACACATTGACCATGAGCGAGAAGCCAAAGATAATTGAGATATAGAGATAGACCGAGACGTTGAAACCAGTTGCACCACCGGATGTAGTATTGGTTGTTGAGGAGCTGTCCGTCGAGGCAACAGATTGAATATTGGCAACTTGCGTTCCAGCAAAAGCGAAGAAGAGGAACATAGTAGTTCCCACAAATTCTCCAATAGTAGCCACAAAGTCTGTGAGAAAGTTAGTTGAAGCCTTTCAACACCTTGACTGCGACTTACGATTCTTCACGTCACTATTCATCCATTGTGTCCAAGGAAGCCTCATAACCTCTGCCTTCTCCTCAGCACTTAGGCTCTTGAAGTTGAGCGATGGGCGACCATTCCTATGAACATCGTAATTGTACCCATCGATACTCTCTTCATCACTGATTCTCTTCCTATCAGTATGCCATCCATGACCACCTTCCAAGTCTCGATCAGTTCTGGTCTCCTCAAAATATGGTTTTGACGCCGAGCCCGGGACTCTGTCCCAAGTATCAACATTTCGATATGAGCGAGGTGGTCTTGAACGCTCGAGCGAGTCGGGGTGGTACTCATCTCTCCGAGAATGTCCACGGTCTTCGTCACGATAATAGCCGTCATCCCTGGATCTCAAAGGTCTTCGTGATCCCCCGTCTTGGGAAAATGAAGGTCGTTCACGGTCGTATTCACCACCCGAGTGTCTTCTAAGTGGTGCTTGATTGCTGGGTCTGCGTCTGAGACCACCTCTAGGATCTTCGGACGAGAAAGGCTGATCGATGGGTGTCCTCTCGGGAGAGTAGCCGATTCGTGGTTGATGATATGCTCGCATGGGCGAAACTGGAGGAAGCGCTGGTGATGTGGGACGCTTGATGAGTTCTCCATCCGTTGTCTTCCCGCCATAGTGAACGGGAAGCTCGCTTGAGCCGTCGCCTGGCATGTTGACAACGAAGGCGGGGAGGAGGATAGGAGCTAGGAAGTAGATTAGTATTGGATTACTGCCAGAAGTCGAGACCAGAGTCTGAAGATGTGTCTACACGTCTAAACTGAACTTCTTTGAAAGTATGGGAGAGTGGGAGGATATATACTAACCTGGTATCCAAGTCTTGGATGGTCTTCGTCTAAGTGCCTGCTCAATTTTGACTGAAATGTGACCGAGGACTTATATCTATAAAGTTGCTCTCAAGAATAGGAGATAGGTTTAATGAGATTTTTTCAACTGCAGGAAATGGGACCTGTCAAAGTAATATAGACGTTTCATGCTGCCGAATCCTGCTCACCCATTTGCTCACTTACCCACTCATCCAGCCGCCAGCATCTGAGATGATACCTGCCAGATGAGCTTTCGCATTTTCCCTGCTTCCAAAAACCTTCACACCCGCCACCGACGTACTGCGAGCCACCGCCATTTCACAGCCTCGAGGTTCGACATGCCTTGTATGCCTGCATTACAAGCATGTAATATAGAATGCATTACAGAATGTAGAAGTCAAATTTTCAGTACATGAGTCCGAATGGCTAGGGACTGGAACTCTAGACAGGAGTTCAAGGAAATCCCCCGCGAAGATCAATGCAAGCCAACGTGGACCCGGGGGGACGGTGCTTGGTTGTGGTCTCGCCAGAGAGCGGCAGATCAACACAAGAAATGGCACAGACGTATTTCGGGCGGAAAGTCATCAGAAGTCAAGGAAGCGTGACGTGACTGACGTCAACTCAAAGTTCAGATCGGGCATCCATACAAGAGTGCATGCGAGTGAGATGGTGAAACGCAGCTGGGGAGGTGTGGTTTCTGGATGTATAGAACAACTCATAAAGGGGCTCCGCGCCAGGATGACCCTCGAAGCGAAGCTTCACTGCCACGCCTCCCAGCTCTGCGTCAACCACCGCCAACCTCTTCTGCGACACGCCACCGGGATGGCATCTCGACAAAATGCAGATAACAAATAATGAAGAATGGTCGTAAGACTGATGCTAGGAGACGAGCAGCCCCATGATGATCGAATTGATTGATGGCTGGACCTCCCGACTTCGGATGCCTGCCCATCGCCCTCAGTGTAAGGACTACCCTTCGCCCATAGTTTCGAAGGAATAATGCGATTGTGTTAGTTACGATGCCGAGAGTCGTGTTCCGTCCCGTCTTTGGATAGAAATACTTGAACAAATCCTGCATCGTTGTCGATGCCTAGAAGCAACGGCCAAGAAATCTCTTTGCAATGCCCACATGGTCGAGTTGAGGCCGGGATGGTCTAGAAGTCACGTGAGTTTACATTTCCTCTTTTTTTCTGCTACAGAAGCTTTGGGGACCAACACGTACTTTCTGCATCGATCGCAATATGCTCGCTACATCTTCCCTAGTCGCTACGGGTCCCCAACGCAGCAACCCAGGCGGACTCTTGTCCGAATTCCACCTATGGATCGATCTATAGTCGATATCCATACCTCGCAGGAAGAGTCACCTGAGTAGACCGTTTGTTGAGACGACATATTGATACAATCCTACATGTATCGCAGATCGAGCAATTATACAATGGGGAACCAAAGTAGCAATACATATATTTTCATGCGAAATATCTCTCCAACCATACCTCGCCTCTCGGATTCGATGGCATTGCATTAGACAGAAGTAGTGGTTTCGAATGGGTCTGCCATAGTAGCCCCTGTTATCCTGCTATCAAGTTAAAAAGAATGTAGCAAAGTTTTCTTTGATTTTGAAGATTATTTTCGACCGTTTGGCTCCAGCGCGCACACAATGCACGCTGTATCCCAGCAAGTATTATGACCAGACGAAAAACCGCCGAAGGGTGAACCTTTCCGCTGTTTTCTTGAGCTGACTCAACAGTTACTCTCACTTGACCCTACAGTTTTCATGTTTGTAGCAAGTCAACTGGGTAAACCAGCCGATAACCAACTTCTCCCCCCCCCATTTTGAAGTGGAGCTGAAGACAACCGAAGCGATATCAACATCCTGAATCCTTGACACTACCTGCCTCTTCAAAATCCACAACTTCATTGGAAAGGGAAAGTATCAGCCATTTGAATATCACCTAAGTACATTCCAAGTGACGAGAGCAAAGTCTGCAGGTCCATAGTCCTTCCTATTCGTCAACCTAGCCTTGCAGAACCGTTTGAGGGGCCGAACTTCACCCTACTTTCCACTTTTGAAGCCTCACTTACCTCTCACCGCATCGTGAGCCCATGACAGAAACTGTGGATATGTGAACAGCGTTATCTCGCATCTATTAGGTTGGGATGAGCAATTCTGTCATTTGAGACCACTGGCGAATTCGACTTCAGTTCCGAACATATTCCACTTACTTTCCCAGCCTTCACCGAACGAGATTGGAGTACTTCGCAAATGTGGATGCACCTGAGACTTTTTCTTCGGCGTGTGATGAGCAAGGCTGCTGAACAACTGAATATGATTTGACAATGCCGCTAGACATGTTCTTCTAATCCACCGAACCAGTTCATACCACAGAGAAGCTGGTCCTTACCATGCAAGTGTATGTTGACCCTATAGACAATGTAGACTATAGCACCTCACAAGGAGTTCAGTTTCTGCAATGTGACGTGGAAATTGGTGAGGCTGAAATTATATTTGATCACCCAACCTCCTCCAGCCCACTCTGATGAGAAAACATTCTTCACATATAGGACATGACTCGGTCGTCAGCAAGCACACCGGCCGTCACTCTGCAGACAACAGGTAGGATCGAAAGTGAATTATAATTACGTATAGTATTAATACAATGAAGTTCATGGCCCATAATATCCGGGCTCACGCTCGGCTAGCCGAATGATCGATTACCAAATTTTCCTCCTCACCAACACCAACAACAAGACACTACCAAAGAATAATATGCCTAAATGTACACCTCTTTCCAACACCCACTAATGCATGCGCCCTAAGATATCGTCGATAAGTAAACACGAGTCACTCCTGTGGCACTATCAGAAATCAGTGTCGACCACCCCAAGCTACCTGAGCAACACTGAGGACCCTCTCCCTCTCCCTCTTCTCCATTCTTTGAACGTCCCTGTAATGGTCGTCCGTACTCTTCCTCAGCACCATTGTGCCCATACTTGAATATCTGCTCCTGCGGCTACTACCAAAACCTCCTGCGGCATCCAGGTACGGCTCCCAATCCGTTCCACTCCAAGTTCGATACTTGTTCTTCTTCTCAGCACCGGTCACTTTCAGAGTCTGAGATCGTTCCAGTGTTTGCTTTTCGGTCACTTCCAAGATGGGATGAATTACACAGTCATCATAGAATCTTGGATCGGCAATATTGATCTTGCTCTCGCTGACGGTCTGCTCATCCATATCCAGTGTTCCGTCGTTTGCCTTGTGTCTGAACGCTAACTTTGGAATATGCGGTTTCTTTGCAGCTTCCTCCTTCTCCTTTTGTATTCTCTCCGCCTCTTTCTCTGCATGGACGTCGGCTTCTATCTGCTCTTCCGTCCTGAGAGTGAAAGGTAGAACTTCTAACTCGGGATACTCCAGTTCGCCAGCAACTGTCAGACTGCCCCTCCGTCCGCCAGTCTGTTGAGATTGCTCATCACCGGTATCAAACTTGTAAGCCTTGTGCCTGATTCTATCCCCAACTTTGTCCCGAAACCTTTTTCGAATGTCTGCTATTTCGGCATGATGGCCGTCATCATCATGTTCAAGGCACCAAATGACCTCGCCGTCTTCCTTGCGGCCGAGAACAGCGAAATCCTTCACATCAATCTGGTCTCCAGCTCCAGCATTAATACACCGTTCATCTCGAGTTTCAGAGCTGTAACGGGACCAAGTAAGTGGGTACCTTTTGTCGGGCATTGTTGGTTTCTTGGATTTCTTGACAATAGTCTTGCTCTTCGCTTTAGCTTTAGCCGCTGTTGCAGCCATCTCATCCTCCCAAGAGTCCATCACCAGTTCTTTGACAGCCAAACGCTCCTGAAATCGTTCATCATACTCTTCCGCCGCACTCTTATGGTCATTGATATCGACTTTCCTTTTCTTGCTTTTTCTCAACCCGATCAAGGTTCCAAAGGCACTCCTTGGCACTTCGTCTTCAATGGCACTTTTCTTTCGTCCCACAGTCTTCTGTCGGCTCGGGAGGTGTAGATTATCTCCTACCTGCTCAGCTCTGCCGTCTTTCTTTATAGCTCTTCCCCACAGATACGCAGAATCATCAAGCTCTGCCAATGGACTCATCAGAGTCGCAGGTCCACCTGGGGTTATCTGCGCACCACCAGGGGTCTTCGGAGTACGAAGTGCCTCGGCATCAAAGTTAGGAATTGGAATATCTAGCAATTCCTCCATCTTCGAGGAACCGTCATAAGTCTTGACGGCAAGTTTTGCCAGACGATTGAAAACCGAGAGTTTCCGCGATTGAGGTCCGCTGATGTCAGAATCTACATGGAACTCCTCCGTGAACTTGCTAGATACTGGCGCAGTTCGACTGCGTATGAACTCAGAAGAAGCAAACCGTGCCTCAACAACACTAAGTTCTGCCTCACGCTCGCGAAAGGACTCGGTTTCAGAAGCGACAAGAGAACTGTCGTCAGGGCTTGTGCGTGGGAATCGTGCCAGAGGCGCGGTAAGGCTAGCAGAAGAGAGGTTGGCTGTAGGTGACCTGGTCAGACTGAGCAGAGAAGGACAGGCATGTGCTTCTGCTTCTGAAGGGAAGTCAGCAAAAATAGCCGATAAGATCAGGAATCCTAACCTGGAGCCACTTGAGATTTTCGACCGTTGGGGTCATTGCCATGGAAGAGAGAGAAAATGTCCAGGAATGAGCTCTCACGAGAATGGTGCATGCTAGTTGCGGCCGATGGATAGATGGATGATGTACGATGCTCTACAACAGCACCCCACGATTGAGGAATGCGTTCGCTTAATGGAGCTGAATCCGAAGTACTACGCAAGTAAAGAGCTCGTTCGTTGATCACATGTTGAGAGGCATTGCTAATATTGGAGATACCACGTTGGTGTGATCCCCAGCTAGACAGTTGAGGAGACGAAGCAGAACTTTGGAGACCTTTTGACGCAAGGCGTCTTGATATCTGCATATCGTGCAAATGGATAACTGCAGAGGCGTCTTTGACACCGTCTACATCTCCAAAATCTTGGTTAGCTTGGATCCCATCCTCTGGAGCCGAAAGCTTTTCGGTGCTGGGGTCTTTTAAATCTCCAAGAGATCTCGATGGAGATCTCAATCCTTGACTATGAAGCCACCGCGTTGAAGGAAGAGAGGCGGCTCCCAATGACTCTTTGTCTATGGTAGCGGGGACGGTATGCCCTTGGCTGAGCTTTCGAAGGTGCTGCCCTCGATTGTCTGTGGAGAATGATAGACGCCAAGGTGATGTGACCGGATCTGTTAGGCTCGGAAGCCGTTGGGCCAATATGATCGGGGCTGGTGGCATTTGCGCAATAGAACTTTGCTTTCGAGAAGGTATATAGACAAGAGGCTCGTCATGATGGCCACTAGGATCCCATTCAGAGAGGATAGGGGAGCTGTGCCGTCGGGAAATTGAGGCAGTTGAATTGACCATAGTTGTACTTGGAGTCATTGGATGTGTCTGGCGTCTGGGTGTCTTCAAAGATAATGAATCGCTTTCAACTAGTAGTTTGTGTGCGCTTGGATACTTTAGTATGGTTCAATGCCTAACAGACGGAAGACTCACGCTTCAAGGGGATCCAATTCCGGGACAGGCAAAGACAGTGGAGACAAGGTCGCCATGGGTACACAAGTTTCAGGAATCCAGGCCGAAGCACGATCGTTTTTGAGAGGTGTGCTGGGAGGTGAAGTAACAGACTTTGCATCGTCATCGTAAATACCCTCATTGCTAAGCTCCTCCCTAATCCTTCGCTCTCTAATTCTCCTCAGCTCTGCTCTACGTTCAATCTCTTCCTCACTTGTGCCAACACTGTTTCTCGAGTGGCGCTTCGTCAGCCCGTCATCCTTAGAAAAACGCTTCTTCAGCTTCTGGGTTACGGCCTTCAACGTGCTGGAACTCTTCTTCGTTGTAATTTTCTCAGATTCAGAATCGGTGACAAACTTGTCTCCTTCGAGAAGCTCTCTGAATTTCGCGCTACTCTTATGGGAGATGTGCTTCACACGACATAGGTCCGTTGGCTCATTTGCTTCGAAGACGGCTCGTAGATCTGTGGTATCGACGGTGGCCCATGAGGGAATGTGATCCTTCGAGATTCGTTTGTCTGATTTGGTAGCTTGAACAGCTGGTCGGGCAGGAACGGCATCGGGAGAGGGAGGTGCACGACTGCTGCAGCAGCTTGACTTGATGAGGAGAGCAGGCATAGTGTATAGATACTCGACGAATGGAATGAAATGCGGTCCGGTCGGCGACAAAGGCCGCGATGTTCGAGTTCTGGTTCTCAAGTTGTGTTTAGTGGTACAGAATGCGATTCATGGAGGACGCTAGGTCAGTAAATGCTCCTGCTTACAGAAACGGAAAGCACAACGGGACAATCTCAATTGCAATGCACGAAGCCTCAAATCGTGACTTTACGACAATGTGAGCTGTTTGGTTCGAGAGTATGTACCCAGTATCTATAAATTATACCCTGTCTAACGAGGAATCAAGTTGCTTCTCACTTCGAACATCTGAAGATGGATTTCCTCGTCAAGGCTACATTTCCATGTAGCACTCGCGGCAGATGTAGTCAGGAAGGAGCCACTACCTCGAGCGTGCAGAGAACAGGCCAAGATCAAACAGAATTTCATGGAATAACAGAAACCATGACGATTATACAACAAATACTATGAACCAGTCGCCGAATGCGAGGTACTGCATGGTTCAACAGGATTGACTTTGTTTGTATCTGCTGCAGTCTCTTTCTGAAACTCAAGAGGTTTTTCAGAGATTTGCAAAGGCTGTACAGTGACAGAAAACAAAGCCAGATCTTCAAGAAGAAATGACTACTCTGCCAATAGCCCACAGCAGCGAGACCTCAACTTATCTCATTTCGCCAGTGAGCGAACACCATCAACTCACAAGCACACGCAACGAAGGCAAAGAAAATGTAGAATTAACCATGGTCAAATGGTCTTATCACCGTCCATAATCTTCACCGAACACCTTCTTTCTACCAGAAGCTTTCATCATCTCGTTCAAGTCCAAAAAATCACCAAACCTAGCGTGTTTGCCCCTTTGATGGCTGAGGTGAACATGGCGGAAGTACGTGCAAAGGTGCTATGACACAAGATGTCAGAGAGTGATGAGATGGAAAAGTAATAATACCTGTGGATCCAATCTCATGTCAAGTTTTGCTTGAGTCAACACTTGATGAGAAACATAAACTCAAATAGGGATCCGGAGAACTCCCATTGATGATTGAACATGACATACATAGTAATCACAATCCACTACACGAATCCACCACCAGAAGGTAAGCAGGAGAACACTCATTCACCGCTCTCAAGCGTCCTCGTATTATAATCCAATTCCTGAAATAAAATCATTTTGGGCCAGCACCTTGGCTCGGTTCTTTGTAAGCCCTTTCCATTCCGTCGACCCTCAGCTTACTTGGAATACAGCATCCACTGTACACCCAACCACATGGCACGTTTGCATTATTGATTTCCACTTGCAGAAAACTCTGGTGAGTCCAGCCAGCACCTCGCATGGCCTTCCCAGTACAAGACAAGACAAAACAAGACAGGAGCTTAACATAGATAGACCTATGCATCCACAATGCTGGACGCCAAACTCTCGGCAGCGGCAAAGTCAGCCTCATGAAGAAGGAGCTTATTCTCACACCAACAGAGAAAACACCGTGTAACACCGTACGGAGTGAACACCAGTCAGACCGTATCTGCAGCCGACAGGCGGTATCGGAGATCCCAGATCCAGTATGCCCATCCATCAAACTCGCTCACTCGGTTATTAGGTATGTGAATCAACAAATGAATGTACGGTATACCGGAACGGATAAGTCATGGGTGAGCTGATGACTTTTGCCTCCCGATCTGAGCAGGCTGAAATGGGATAGTGACACTCGGTGACACAAACCGAGGTGGACCACCTGGATGGATAGAGAAGCCAAGCTGGGAGCTGGAAAGAACATGCGACGATAACGTAAAGTATTGACAGAGATTGAAGAACGAGCGTTTATAAAACCTCAAAAGTGGCCCACCGGCCCCTTATCAAAAGCACCAAAAGCGCATTGCATCGGCACAAAATCACAAAGGGACTCAGAAGTAGAAAACACACCATGAACTCGAAACGAGGTCGGCTCAGAATCTCGTACTGAGAACGGCTTGTTCCTGAGCTATGAACTGTAGCTATGAAAATTTTCTTTGCACCAAGAGGCCTCTGGGCCTGGGCCTGTAGTACGTACGGCACGATGATGTTGGTGTTCCCTCAACCAGAGTTATTCTTTCTTCCTTCCTTGCTTAGAAAAGTGGATTGTTCGGGCTTTTTCAGCTTATGGCCCACACGATCCACATGCCTTGCGTATGTCATCTCTTCGCATCTTCGCTTGCATGCCCTCCTTCCCGTTCCTCACAAGGCTTGATGTTGGGATGGGGCACGATTTGTTGGTTTGGGCACTACTGTGCAGGCAGGGCTGGGACAGGTACCTACAGGCACGTGTAGAGCTTGCCGTTTCCATTTGTTTGCGTTCTCCCTCTCCTCCTCCCCGGCCAAGCCATCGTATCCTGCCTGCCTGCCGGCGCGCGTCCGGAATCGGATATCTTTGCCCTTTGCCTCGGCGTTTGTTTGGCCTTTCTCCTTACCAATAAATGTCTGTGAGTGAGAACGGCCGCATTATTGGAGTGGGAGCTAAAATTAAAAGTTGTTGTCCCAAAGACAATACTTCCATCCGCAAGTATGAATGAAGAAGGTCCCTGTCTTCTCCCAACCTAGCCCCACCAGGCCCATCCCCATGATCAACGGACACGCCGGATCTCGCACTCCATGGATCCCATTTCCCATGATTCTCCCTCCCTCCCTCCTTCCTTCCTTTCTCAAACTCACTTCTTCCTCCGGAGCCCTAAAGCAAAAACGCCTCCTGCTCTTCCGGCCAAGCCCAAAGTGGACGAGTAGTAGGGATAGCCCAGGGTAAAAGTTCACGGTTCTGGCTGAAATCGAATCGGAAGACAGGGCCCGCGCGCAGGCTTGCAGCGGTGTTGCAGCGAAACCCAAACAAACACAAAGCCAAACATAGGTGAGATGGATGGACGCTGTTGCTCCTGGCGTTCTGGTCGTGATGCTGGGTGCTGGGTGCTGATGGTCGGGCTGATGCACGCACCTACAGGGGAGTATGGAGGCATGCATCCGCTGATTACGGCAATGTTCTAGAAGAGCGCCACGCGTCCATCCCGTGTTCTAGTGTCCTTCTAGAAGGGGATGAGGTGGCGAAGAAGGGATGACTGGGCTTGGCGATGGAGTCTGAGCTGTCCGTGCTTGGGATTTTCTACATGTTTAGTGATGGCGGTGAGGTGACGTGAGGTCAGAGTGGAAATTATTATGTTGCTTTCTAGACCGCTTGAGGCTTTTCATTTACCTCCAATTGGGCTTTGTCCTGTGCCTTCCCAAAGTTTGTCTTCTGTTGTTTAATTCCATTGGAATGCTGGGAGTCAGAACGGGGATAGTGAGCGATCGGCAGAAACCCCACTGTTTCCAGAACAAAATAATATGGAGAATTTTTCTAGAAGATTGTGTGGAATACTCCTTACATTGGGTAAGATCATCAGCTAGCTGTCGCCTAAAACTACTGCCATGCGGCGAAACCATTTCTGTACCTCCGCAAGAGAAGATTAACATCTATGTCGACAATGTGGATTTCGTGATCTTGTGTGTGTTTTGCTTGACTATTGACACTAAAGTATATGGCTGATACTTGACTGTGAGTGCTTGCTCTCTTGGCATGAGCACGGCATGACAAGACAAGCCGAAACCAAGAAGTGACGGGATGCAAACAAGAGCAGCCAAATAAATTTACAACAACGCCAATAATCCTCCCTTTTGAGCCCTCCCGATGAAACAGACCCAAAAGCATATAGAGCTTCCGGAGCCGCGCGCAAAAGAGCTTGATTGCAGGCCATCCCGATTGGCATGCCGATGCTTGGATAGTTGGGTTTCCGAGTTGACGCCCGACGGCTCGAGGCAGCTTGCTTGCTGTTTGTCGGTACGGAAGGAACGGTACAGTCAGGCTGGTTGGGCGAAGTAGCCTGTATTGGGTTCAGGGAGGGATTCAAGAGGCGTGAAAGTCTCACTAAAAAATGACATTTGTGATGAGCTTGTCTCGCTTGCATGAGACCAACCACAAAAAAGGAGAGGATGAGTAAGGTCCGACTTCTCCATGAGCAATCAGAAAGGTATGAGAAACATATCATCAAAGTCCTTAACGCGATGGACAGCTATCGAAGCCGATCAGAGGCAAAAGTCCGTTGATGGTGCTTATTATTTCCAATCGATCATCACCACGAGCATCAGCATCATCAAATTTCATCAACACCACTCCCAAAACCCTTATCTCGTGTCTGAACCTACCGTATCCATGATCTTACGAACTGGGGTCCAGGTGGAAGGCGGCTGGATACAACCTCAGCCAGGGGATGGCAGATCTAGAGCAGTAAGAAACGCCCCCATGCTTGTCTGTTCCGTTTGTTGATTGGACTTCGTGTAACACGCATGCTCGTGACCGTTGAAGAGAAATCAAGAACTCGTTGTGTGGACGCAAGGGCAGCGGCACGACCGGACGGCATGTCTTTTCTTGGGACTTGATGATGAATGAACCCCTCACCATGAGGTAAGATTATGGTTTTGCTAGGGCAGCGAGGGACCTCCAAGAGAAAGTAAGCCAAGTGATTGTCAAGTAGTAGAGAAGAATAGAGCAGATAAATCAAACCAAGCATGCCAGCTTACCTTACCGCGGTACCAACGACACAGCAGTAGAGATAGCTATTTTCACCATCAATTTGTACAAAGGCACACTATTGGTAGATCGAGGCATGTTTCGGTTAAATGAGCATGTCTTATCAATCGCTTATTCGTTCATTCCTCCACGAAGCGAGAAAATACACAAAAGTGTGATCTGACTGCTCGATATTCGCGACCAGATAAGCTTTTCGCTCAGGGGTGTTCATTGCGATGGTTGTCTACCAGATGGCCAATTGTGCGGTATGTAAGATTAAATAATGATGCCACTTGATAACAACCTTCCGGAATCGCACCAGCGCGAGTCTTGGATGCTGGAGACCTCAGCCAGTCACAAGTCCCAACACCGCGAGGATCAATGGCTTATCCGGGGAAGATAGCAGTTGCAGTAGTGGATAGCGGGGATGATTCGTCGGCGCAGACGCTCGCTGAGGTCGTTATGAGAAAGAGGAGAGAGCCTCTCATATTCATCCGCTGGTCTTCGCTGCTTGGCTACCTTGGATGAAATAAAACGCTGCATAGGCTGATCTACCGTGATATATCCGGACAGGGCCCTTCTCACCTTCTCACAGTGGCGTAGCTCGACTCTGGCTCGTTAAAGTGTAAACAGGACAGGCATGCATGTTTAATTTGATTGCTCGAACGATAGGATGAGGAGACGAAGACTTCAGAAGAGAGGTAATCAATCAAGTGCGCTAGATGAGATGTCGCGCATGAAGATCGGCGAGTGTGCGCCGATATTTGAAAGCGGTCATGATGCCACAATTGAAGAAAGGACGCTGTGGACTTTGTTGTACGCTGACGAGAGTGGTTGTCGTCTTTTTTGTGGTGTGCTTGAGTGAGGGGTTTGGAAGAGAGCCTAGCAAGCTTGGGTGCCGTGATATCCAGAAAAGCTGAGTGGTCATCGCAAGCATCATCAAATAGGAACCCCGATGCATCATAAGCTGTGGGAACTGATACTCTCAACATGTGGTTTTGATACTTTTCTCGGCACTTGACGTTGACAAGTTGGTGTTCGGCAGATGGGCGATGTGGGGTAACTTTCAAAGGGATTTGCTCATGTGCTAAGAGCTAAGGAATGTGATCTTCACAGACTAAGATAGGCTTTGGATGAATTATTCCGAAAGAAGATAACATCGACATCGTCTAACGTGGCAGTGATCGAGGGGAATAGTTGAGGTGAGAAAGATAAGAAGAAAAGGGACAGGTAAGCTAATCGTCATCATCGCCAGCTTGCTTGGGACTTGCGTAACTAGAAACTACTCTGGACCAGGTGATAGAGAAGCAGACACAAAGCAGCGAGCGGTTCTGGGATCAGGATCACGATATTGCAATGTCGGGAGATAGATTGCTCTGCGACGGGAGAGCCAGGCACATCGAACAGGAGAATCGAGAGATATCGCTGATGGTGTTGAGACGGCCTGGCGGTACCGGCCAGTAATAGCATTGATGCTTCAGGTTGAAAGCTTGGTACCGTTCTGGCATTGGGCTTCTGGAAGGCTGCAGGAGGCTGCTTCATGTGGAAATCCTGAGGGGGCGAACAGGGCATCACAGTAACACAATTTTCATCATGTAGCGGCTCCAGAGGTTTGGAGAGCATGAATGGGAGGGGTTGAGACGCTTTGCCTGGTACTGTACCTTAATAAATATTATATCTCCTGAAGATTTTTGGATATCAAACTCCTGTATGGCGTCGGCATAGTATTTTCTCACCCTATGCACAGGACCTGGTAGGTCTCGTCCTGTTCGGTCCGAGATGGAGGGCAAGTGCCGATATATCCTGAACTTTCGTATTCCGGCATGTAGATTTACCTGAGTTTAGTGAAAGTTTTGATCCACCTCCTACATTTCAACTCTAACTTGTAATTTAGCTTCTCGATATCTTCTTCTCCTCCTTCTCCTCCTTCTCGGTCGCATCGCCGCCTCAATACAGTACACACACGCCTTTTGGCGCCACGGATTGCTACTCTTTTAAGACCCATTATTCCCGTCCGCCGCCGCCGCAGAGAGTCACATTGCCATCCTCCAGCTCCACGCACTGTGTCTTGTCCCCTGCTTCCATTCTATCCCTGGCCATTAAGGTACTGTATCGTATCGGTCCAAGACTCGCGATCGGCCACATTTTCCTCCGGAAGCACGCCAAGGCCAAGGCCAAGGCCAGGGTCGAAGGGCGCAAAGGGAAGCTTCGAAGAGCGCCCAGCGAGCTAGTCTGTTTTGCGTGGTCACGACCGGCTGTCTTCCCCAGTCCTTTCTTTTCTTCTGGCCTGTTCACAGAAGGCCAATGGCGCCGCCTTTGGCAGTCTACATGGAGTACCCTTGTATAGAGCTGACCATCCCGGCTACAGAAGCAAAAGATTGCTTCGATGCTATGCCGCGTTGGACAGTGGTGCCATTCCCGACGGCGCTGATTGGCAAGATAGTGCAGGCTATGTCTGCCAGGGCTGCAAATCTTGTGCCCATTCGCCCCCTTTGCCTTGCCAAGCAATCAGTCTTCTACTGTAGCGCGCCTTCTAGTCCGCCCCACACTGTTCGCCGCCCTTCTGCGATTGTTCCATGGTGGAGCTGATCCATGATCCATGACCCATGATCCATGATCCATGATCCTGACCCAGCGCCGCTCTGTTCTCACTACTCACTACTGCTCACTGCTCAGGGCTGCTTCGCTTGGTCTGTTTCTCGCCGTCTCAGGTCTGGCGTCGCATTATTTTGCTGGAGCACTCGTGAGCAGTGAGCAGCGAGCCACAGGCCCACCACATCCCTCCCCCGCCTGTGCCTCTTCTCTCTTCTCTCCTCTCTTCTCCTCTCCTCGTCTCGGGCTAGGCTAGGCGTGTCCGTTTGCCTCCTCCCAAATCTCCCTTCCCCTTTCCTCCCCAAGCCGTCTGTAGACATCAACAGCACTCATCTCCCCACTCGCTCACGTTGCCGTTTGTCCTCCCATTGCAGCTCTAACATAATTTACAGAACACACCACATGCTGGACTGCTGTTGCACTGCACTGTACTGTACAGTCTGTACTGTAAATTACTGCACGACAGCCCTCCCTTTCGTCACTTCGCACCACTAGCTGCCACTACTGTAGGCCGCGCAGACGGACGCTACTTTGGGCCTTGCTGGGCGCTCTAGTAGGGATCGCAGACAGCCTATCCACTGTATCCAGCCTGGGCCCGCCGCTCAAACGCTGCTAAGCTCTTGTCGACAGGGTCGATGCTTGAACGTCCACACCCACGCCCACGCCTATTCCATCATGCCAATCCGCAGATCCACTGCTCTCCTCATCCTCATCCATCCACATCCACATCCACATCCACATCCACCTGCCTGTCCTGTCGCCATTCCCTCAGTCGCTGTCTGGGCTTATTCCTAGGTCCTAGGTTCTATCCTGGATGCTAGGTTCCTCAGTACAGTAGTAGTAGCCTTTCTCTGGCTCCTCCTTTTTGTCCGATTCTCCACCCAACGCCGCTGAGCCTGCATCGCAAAGTCAAGTCGCCCAAGAATCAACCACAATCCCCCCCCCCCAAAGACGCCTAATCTAAGGCATCACGACTGTCTGCCCTGTCCGCTGCCCTCTCCCTGCCGACGACTCATGCGTGGCTTGCTCTCTCTGGCACCTTGCTGGCCCCTTTGCCTCTGCGTCCGCCTTTGAAACAAACGGCCTCGCGCTCTTCTTTGTCGTGGACGTCCCGAAGAAAAAGAACGTACGAGGCAAAAGCCACTCACGAGACACACCACCCATCAACAGCGACAAACAAAACGGTCAAACAAAGTCAGACCAGGCCAGCATACCATATCCTACGCCAACCTAATCATTAATCATACCCAAACTCGTAGTCCACTGGAAACAAAATATCCACTTGCACACTCAACGCCCTCCGTCATAATTGGCCTCTCGCGCCTGTCATCGACGCTTTAAGCTTTGCACCAAGTCTGCACTGCCCTCCTTCTCTCACCCTTCGAACCACCTTACCAATCCATTATTCTCCTCACCACTTCCAACACAACCACACCACGACAAGATCAATACCACCACGAGACTTGACATTCGACTGATTACGAACTGAACGGACCACGATATCCTTTCGCCAATATCCATCTCCTAGGACTGTTTGTGCTGTTGCTATTCCATTTCTTAGAGATACCCGAAGCTCTGTTACAGACTTCAGCCGCTCCTTGAAAACCTTCGTCCTGTTTCAATAAAAGGTCTTGCTTGTCCTTGTCTCCCAGCCTGGCCTTGGTTCGGCAGGTCACACCGCAGTACACCGATTCCGCAGACACACTCAGCACAAGATTTTACCTATCAGCACACGCATCCTTTGCCACTGTAACCATAGATTACACGTTCCCGTCGCTCGGAGACGCCAGTTCCAGAAGAATTTCACCCGACATCACCAGCTGTTCATACCCGCTTGTATTCAGTAAGAGACCACCAGTCATTGGACTTGAATCTGCGACGACTCGGCATCTGACGGATACCTGCATCCAACGACGTTACGACATTTCTTTGTTTCTTGCATCGGCGGCAGGCTCTCCATCGTTCCTCCTTTCGAACAGACGACGAAACTTACATTCGATGCTCTTCTTGTACAAGTAGTTGCAGTTCTCGGAGACCAATGTGTTCGACATCATAACAATCAGTTTCTGTCTCTTCACGACCGCTCCAACATACACAAAGGACTTGGTGCAAAGGATTGGGAATTGTCTCAGTCGACTGGTATAATACTCCGTTTGAGGCGGACGGAAGAGACGACAGGACTCCTCGTGTGCCCATGAAATATCTTCGAAGCGCAATGCGAAGGTCGAAAAGCCGAAAGCCTCCTTCGCTGCATCTGAAAATAGAACCATCCAGAGAAACATCCCCGCGCTGCTCGTCGGTCCTCTCGGACTGGGACGCCGACGACGAAGGCTTCATGTCTTCTGGAGATTTCTTGCCTTCAAGGCCACTGAGTCTAGCAATACCCTCAGGTCCATACTGCCCTCGAAGACCAACTTTACAAGAAGTTCTGTCGAACACCGCACCGCCACCATGGACTCTCACTGCATTTATGCAGTACCTCTCGCAAAACCATTGCCTGGAAACATTGGAATTTACTATGGACGCCAAGAGATACGAGAAGCATTATCGAGATATGGTGGACAGAGACCCCCACACCCCAGTGTCACCGCAAAGTCCAGAATGTGAGTACGTGCGGATGTTATGGCAAAAGCTACTGGACGCGTACATCGCCCCGAACGGACCAAGGGAGGTCAACCTTCCATCCAATATTCGAGACCACCTGTTATCACTACCCTGTGAACACTCACCTCCAGACTCAGCCGAACTTGACCCAGCCGTCAAGATAATCTACGAGCTTATGGATGAGTCCGTTCTTGTCCCCTTCCTCAATTCTGTTGCGCCATCACGTGGTCCGGAGACATACTCAAGTCCTTGGGCATCAGACGAGTCAATGACAGATGCTTATATGTCCGGTTCTTTGGATGAGCGGTCACTGTCACCCGCGAAATCTAGGAATAGAAGAGATGGAAGCCCACCTTCTGGAAATGACGTTGTGGCTCAATCACACAATGGACCCTCCCCTCGACATTCACACCAATCTCATCTGACCGCAGCTCTCGTCGGACGGGCTGGAGTTGCACGTCTTTCAACGTACCTCTCGGGATCTTCTGGCACGTCATCGGGAGAAGGGCCCGAAATTATGACTGACGACAGCACCGACTCACCATCTCCCTCTACCACAGCCCTGGAGCCGATGACTCCACCCAACACACCCCCCACGTCGAATATCACGTTTGACGTATCGCCTGGTACGAGTCCAAGAACCGCTCGAGAAGGCAACAGCAGTTGGAAGAAGATGGGTGCCAAGCTCGGATGGAAGAAGAGTCGATCAGGTCACGGTTCAGGCTCCAGCAGTTCACGATATCCAATGGGAAGGGAGGGCGACGATGGATCGAGTGCTTTATGAGGGCGACAGGTCACGTCGTCACCGAATGATATTTTTTCTATTATCCCCATTCCTGTCATTGCTCCGATGGAGCATCCCGTCGCGGGATATTCGAATCATCGAGAAGTTCGCCAGAGAGCACCTATGGTACACGGGGGAACCAGTTTGAGGCTTAGTGAAGGTAGCGAGTCTCCGGTGCTCGAAGCTCATCCTGGATCCCCTGTAGATTTGACTGGCCGGCGTCCGTCTTTGACGTCTGCAATGGCTGTTCAACGCCTGTACCATGGAAGCGAAGAGGAGTTTTCGAAGTTTGAAAGATCGACAAAAGCAGTGGGGAGAAACGAAGAAGCTATCACGAGGAACGGCGTGGCCGCAAAAGGATATCCGAATTGCGTGAATGGAATAGATAGGGATGTGCTGAAGGTTCCGAAACGAAGAGTTACGGGTTTGCAACCGTTTTACATTCCAGCTAAAGTGCCAGAGCAAGAAGAGATCCATCAAGTTACAATTACCGGAGACAGCAAAACGGCCTTGGACACATCGGTAGAAACGACGGCAATGGATTTCGACTTTGAGGAGGACAGTGGAACTTGGATATCCGCACACCCGATAGGTCACGAATCGAGGACCAGCTTGGCAACCACGACCACTGCATCAAGCACTCTCGTTGACGATCGATTCAGTAATGGTGCATTGACATTGGACACCAGCGTTGCTAGCTCCGCAGCAAGCATGATGTCCTCTGCAGCCAGTATCCAATCCGCCACAACCACAACCTCTTCTGACATATACGGCTGGGAAGAAGAACTTGACCGCAAGACCAGTATTGAAGGTCGCCACGCTTGGGAGCGAGAAGTCGCTCGAAGATTGCCAAGCGGTGGTCGCGCTGTAGGACCTCGACATCGAGGAGGCGGCTTGTACTCCGCAGGGAAAAGAAAGAGTTTGCTCTATAGAGTTTTGAATCTCTCGAGTTCACGAGAACGACGGATTTCGGTTGATGAGATTGCCGAGCCGGGAATTGTGATGAGTCCCGCCCATGAATACCCCACTTCTGCAATTTGAGCGTTTTATTGTTTGGCATTGCGGGCGTTGGGAATTGATTACTATTGTTCTGCTTGTTCATCAGCAATGAGGCATTCATTCCTCGATACCGCTCGCATCTTCGGATGGGGTAAAATGAGTATCGAGGCCGGGAAAATTTCACAAATTCTTCAACACCACAGGATGTTGGAGTGGAATGGGAAGGGGGTTGGTTTTGCATGCACGCATATTCATTCATCATCCACGACATAATCCACTCCTCAACAAATATCACATGACACACGCACACAAAAATCCGGGGGCAAAATGGGGGGAGGTTTTCTGCTACATATTTTGGATACACATCTGGATGGGACGAAGCGCTACTTTCATGTTTGGCGCTGGGGGTGTTGGAGAGATGACTGATTCGAGTGTCTACGTTCTTTTGGGGACGAACACCAAATATTATACATTGGAACGGCGTTGGGGGGACTGCTATGTTTTGGAACTGGAATCGTTTTGGTTATGTGGATGGAAATGGATGGTGCATTTGCATATGTGTGTCTGGGTGCTCATTGATCTGATCGATCGATGATTTTAAGAGACCGACTTCAAAGATTGAATGGCGTGTGACTGTGTGTGCATAGGGTACGATGGAATATGAAGAATAATATTTAGTACCTCAACCTCAATCTCTCTACTGCGTGACCATCATCTTGCCGTGAACGCATATTAAGAGGCGTTTCCTCAATTTCGCTCTCGCTTCTGCTCTAACAATGTCAACAAAACCCCGCCTCCTTTCCTAAAATCCGCAGACTCCTCGGCATATGCTAGACTTCTTGTCTCCGAAGGCAAAGCGGCACTGTTCCTTCTCCTTCCATATATCAGACAACAGACTCCTCAAGATAAACGCCAACGAAATCTTCATCAAGAAATCCTTACCCAGATCCCATCCCCGAATTCAGAAGATCCCAAAACCACCACCGGCTCTCAATGCATACATGGCTTCACCTACCTATCTCACCTGTCAATTATCATCGGAATCTTATCCCTTCTCCTCCAGCCCCGATGCTCTTCATATCTCTCTTTTCACTCTCCCCTCCTCTTAATTTTACCCTTTCCACTACTACCACTACCCGAAGCTCAACTCCCTCCATTGGCCCACCTCCCAGTCAAACCCACAACTCCTCTCGCCAATTCCAGCATCGCAATTACCTACTACAGTGGTCACCTTTCCCATTCCAAACCAAACGATAGCACATCATGATACAGATTTGGAGACGGCCATATCCAATCACTGTAGGGTATCCTCCGTCAGCTATCGATGACAGCTTCGTAGCTGTTCCATTATGGCTATTAAATTCTTTAGTCGGTTTTGCCTGCCTGCCACCCAGCGGTACAACAGCTCATCAGAGCCAACACACGATATTGACTGAAGAAGGCGGAGAATCTTTGAATTTCGAAAAATAAAGCTTTTATAACTTGAAGAAGCTCTCAAATAGAGATGTTTGTATTTTGGAAGTTCAAAGGCTCTGAAAGATTTCCCATTCCCGACTCACTGTTTGATCTTTCTTGAATTTCACCTCCATCACTAACTGAAGGTCGGTAACCGTGGTCTTTCGAATCACGCATAGTTGCAGCTCTATTCATGGAGACGGCTTTCACTGCTTCAAGCGCCATTTATTGTCAAAATTCTGTAGAGACCAATGGAAGGGAGTCAAAGGAAGTAACCGTGCCCATCCGTTTCCGGACGATATTTTTGATCAGTCGTCCACCAGAAAAGTCACCAGTACATCGCCCCGGGACTTGCTGTCTCCTAGATAGATGATCCGATTCTTTCATACCACTAAACTCATGTGCTTACTGCCTGGGACGGATGCGTGTACAACAGGCAAAAAGACGTATCATCTTAGACTGAGCCAATCATACTGAAAATCAAACAGGAAAGCATCCATGTACTTTGTAGCTATTCAACCTAACTTTATGTACGACAGTGGGGAAGGTTGCCTAGTTTGCTGTCATCCAGCATCATCAGCGATGTTTCATCAAGAGTAGGCAGCAGAAGAATTACGTAGGAATTCATAACCGAACGCTACCTACATCCTCGAGCTCGTGTCCCTCAAAGTGAGACTAAAACTTTGGCGTTGTCGTCCTCAAAAGCGGCGTGGAGGTGAACCATTGGAAAGTGTTCCCTATGGCTGACACTCGATGCTTGCTCGCTCAAACGGCATATTCAATCATTTGAGATAATCGTCTCCGTCTACCTATGCGTTTACCTTTATCTTGCCAAAAGATATTTCCGGGGCGCCAGTCGCTATGCATTGTATCCCCTGTGGAACTTCCACCCATACCATCCCGACCTTGCCATCCAAATCCTTTCCCGAATCCATTTACCAAGGCCGTAGGCACCAGTTGCATGATCTTCCGTCTCACAGTTCCAATCCTCGTCCATTAATTGAATGTAGAATGCAATGTTCAAGAAGTGACCGTAAGAAGTGTCGTTGTGGGTGCGGGAACATCCTCCAACGCCCAAGCCCTAACAACGCCATCATCACCACTCGAAATCACCATCTCCTCGCCCGCTTCCTTCCTTCCCACATCGAACCGCTGACACCACGCTACGTGGTTAATCTCATACGGTCCATGGCCTCCCTCCAGTACACCTAGAACGACCCATTCTCTCTCAATAGCGCCCCCCACGCTAGATCTGCCTTTCGTACGTTCTTCATAGATAGCAATTTTGCCGTCTCCGCCCGTGGATACCACTCGTCCAGATTTGGTGCTCCAATTAACCGCATATATAGGTAGGGTATGCACTTTTGGGAGAATCGCCGTGCAATCCCAAGTTTCGTTCGAAGGTGGAGCACGCATAGTTGATGGGATACCGGTATTAAAGTAAGAAGGTTTATTCGGTGGAGGAGGGGCAGGAGCTTGGGTCCATACACGAATTGTGCAGTCTGCAGAGGCAGATATGAGACGGGGTATCCTAGGGCTGAAATCATCTGGCTGTTGTGGGGATTCGGACTCGAAGTTCTTCTGGCTGGCTTCTGGTTCCCAGTCAAGACTCCAGACTGTGCCTTCATGTCCTTCTAGTACAGCTATGCAGCTCCATTCACCCTCGTCATCCCCCCGCCAAAATCGTATCGTATCGTCATAACTGGCGCTCGCTAGAACTTCTCCATTACCGTCGTCTTTCCGCCAACACACGTATTTCACATCCGCTGTATGTTCCTGCAACACCGCAACCGTCTCAAACTCATCTTCGCCCTCTTCGCCAATCTCTTCCCACACCCAAATACTCTTATCCCTTGAGCAACTCGCAAGCCATTGGCCTGAAGGCGAATACGCAACCGTCTTGACTTCAGAATCATGCCCCTCCAACACAATCGCGAATTCCCAATCGTCCTCCGTCTCCGACTCGTCGCCTTGTATCAACCTTGGAACTGGCTTCGCAGCACCGTCACTTGTAATCTCGACCTCGATCGCATCTTCGTCTTCCGGCGCCGTATGGGTCTCTTTCTCCTCTTCCCTCCCCGCAAAACTTTCTTCGCTTCTCCTCCAAATACCCATCGTGGCATCAAAACTGCCAGTCGCAAGACACAGAGTCCCGGTATTCTTAGTCACTGGCTTCCATGCAACGGACCGTACGGAGCGTGCATGTCCTCCCTCGAGAGTGGAATGTAGTGTGAAGTTCTTCAGAGAGTATACACGGGCTGTCTTGTCGGAGGTGGCGGTTGCGATGAGTGGGAGGCCATTGGGATTTGGAATTGAGACCCAGGCGCGCGACGAGGAGATGGGCTTGAAGTCTGCGAGGGGGATTATTCGGACATGTGTCGAGGATGCCATTGTTTATGTCTGCGTATATGTTTGCTATTGCCGCAGCTTGAGGAGAAAGAATAGACAAGACTTGTCATCTACGACGTGGAAATACTGTCGACGCGGGGCAGATTTGTTTTTGATCGATAAGATCAGGGCACGGTCCAGGCTATGATGAATAGATGACCTGTTATTGGCTCGGTAATGCCTTCATCGTCGCCTATTCAGCACTCTTTGATGTAAACATTGCTGGAAGGTGTCCTTTTTCATCTAAGTTTTGGGCCAGATGGCGTACTAACGTCATGAACCCATTGAAAGCGACACGGGTTCATTCGGAACACCGAGTGAGAAGTAGCGCACACATGACATCCTATAATCCAGCACAGTTATTTTGTGTTCCGAATCTCCCTCTCTCTTCTTCAAGAACGCCTATGCCATCAATATATGCTGAATTAGTCTTTTATGCTCCACCACCAAAATTGCCATGCAATACAGAGCAGGATCTGACCAACATGCTACTATTTTTATATGGTCATTCCAAGTGAAGGTTCTGTCCACCGTTGGCAACAGGGCATCGACTCTTGGATCCCTGAGGATGCATATGGGCAAGATCGACTTCCGGGGGAACGAAGACATAGAGGGTTTCACCGAGTTTTAATAATGATCTTTGGGCTTATTTGAGCTTCCCAGTCCTCCAGCACAAGAAGACTCCCCGGTTTGAAGGATCCCAATCGCCTCAATACAGTAGATCAAGCATGTACAGCTAGCTCCCTTAGAAACAGACGAAGCGGACTTAAAGCTCGTATGAGCCTACCTCCTTATTTGCCATCACCAAGACCAAAGAGAGGTTCCCATGCTAGGGAAATTCTGCTGGATACTCAATCAAGCAGATAATGCCGCTTGAGAGATGTGTCTTAGACTGCATAATGGAGGTTGTACAGGAAAAATTCTTGCCCTGAGCAGTATGAGATCCGCAAGTGATGGTGACTAGCAGTGGTGTACATTACCTGGTGGGTTTTATTCCCGTATAACTACGCTCAAACAGAAATCTAGAAGCCGATATAATCTTGGTGAGGGTGCTGAGACATAATGGAAGCAAGCGTTCGCCAATTTATGCTTTTAGAACAGATCAGCAAGACTAAGAATAGCACAAGTGTTTGTGTTGAATTCTGCGGAACTGGAAGCAGTTAGGGGCTACATAAGGTTTGTACTGTCTTTGGATACTCATGTTGAAGGCTCCGTGGAAATCATACCTTCGTACGTATCTCGGGGGAAAGCGCTGTTGCCACCATATATGGGAATTATTGAAGATTCACTCAGATTGGCATTCTCCAAGGACCATGACTTAAAATAGCGAATATTAAATGCTCTTAGACCCATAGGGTGGAGTACGACATCCAATATTGCGAGGAAATAGCTGGTGTCAACTTGAGGAGCACCGAAACTAGTCTGTTCTGCACAATTCAATTTTCATACCCTTGGAGAATCTCCAGAAAGTCCCACCTGCCCATGTATAAAATCCAAGAAGTATGATACAGTTCTGTTCCAATGAAGGCAGCTTGGGACACGATCTTGGTTTTGTAAACTGATTAGTCTCTCGTGTATCCAAAGGACAACAATCTCTACCCCTCCTAGTAACAAACTGGCCCAATGTGCATCATACTTTCCGCTTGGCAACAGTCAACGCAAACAACTCATCAATGTACACTGGCGATTCGTCATCAGGACCTTTGGGTGTTTTGAGAGCTGGGCTTGTCAATTGCTCCTTCGGCCCCACACTCTGTATTTCTGTGCTTGGTATCAAGTAGTAGGAGAGGGCGACCGGTGGCGTTGAAGTCAATGGTTGTGCTGGGCTACGTTGTGAACTACCTACGCTAGAACGACGTTGGGAACCTGAGTCATCACCTGCTTTGACGTGCTGACCGGGATTGAGGTGATCATTGTCTTTAGAATCAGACGTTTCCAAAAATTGGCCAGAAGAGTTCTCGCCTCTGCTTCTAGATACAGATCGCGGTCTGTCCCAGAATCTAATTTTCGAGGGGCCGCGATATGGCTGGGTGGAGGGCTCCGGCAGCAAGTTTCCGTACATATCGATATGTTCTCCCATCACGACATCATTACGGCTATTTCTTGTAGCCGTCGAACCTCTCCCTCCGGTAGAGTGGATTGAATTGTGTTCAGCATTGAAATAGTCTGGTGTATTAGACCGCGCAAGGTCAAGCAGCGGCACGAATTCTCTATAGACGCTTTTGCTAAAGTAAGCATGATCTGGAGAATTTTCGTACACTCGCTGCTGTGTCTTGAAAAGATTCAGTGGTGTAAAGGTCAGTTTCCTTCCTGGAGCTCGACTGTGAAGTGGTAGGATTATTCTAAAGGCGATTAGCGAAGCGATTCCGGGTAGTGAATTGCTGTCCTTTCCACGGCAAGGTATGCTGAAAGGCTGGGAGATCAGCATAGCATCGTTGAATAAAGGATCTTCAATCTCTTCTTTGAGGTTTTCAAGTGTTCTTAGTAAGTTCTTTGCCAGTTGGCGCTCCTGGGGATTCTTGTTACTCGGTTTTGAGTCCTTGTAGAGCTGCTTCCCCACCACCGAAACCGGCTTCGAGTCCATACCTTTGAGGTATTCAATATGCCAAGGCTCCAGAGTGTCAAATGGGGCTTGCATGGTTGGAAGTTGGTTCTTGGCATCGCGTCTTACAAGTATGTCGAATCCACGCCTCCCAACTGCAAGCGATGCACGAATACCACAACATCCAAGATGAACACCCGGCTCCAGAATGTGATGGTCGGTGTAGTATGAGCGCATGACATCCAGACGACGGGATAAACTTCGAGGCCCCATTCGGAGGCTATTCGCGATAATTGTGATGACACTTTCAGGTTGAGCAAATCGAAAGCCAACAGCTTCAAGCTTGCTTGCTTCGAGTCTCTCGACCCTGCTGACAAGGAACAGGAGCTGACCTTTGCCAAGCGAAGATCCCTCTTTGCCTTCTCTTTCGAGATCTATCAGTGAGCTGGCTATGGTGGTAACGCTTTTGTGGCTCTTATCCAGTGCTTTTGCTCCGAGTCCGGTGATCACCATTTCGTCGTAGAGAACGCCCAACCTCTCAACCGGCAGGTGGAGCTCGGCAGCAAGCTCGGCAGCTGCGACACAGAAGAGTTCCCGAAACACAATTGAATAGTCTTTTATCGGTGTTCCCTCTTCATTGAAAAGGGTATTGTCATCTAGGGAGCCCATACGAGCCTTTATGCCGGTGCGAAGTAGGTGACGCCTCATCCCAGGAATGAGGTGTGAAATCGCGCCCCAGTTATGGCTTGCCCTAAAAATCCATTGAAACACGGGGTGAGCAATACCAAAGACGTCATCCATAGACTTTCATAGAGTCAGCCTTGAGCATGGTGATAATGTACTCTGACTAACCCGTTCGAACCACGAGTTTGCTATTTTCTGTCTGGGCAGGAAGCCTTCGTGTGTGACGCATAGTCTCCCCTGATCATCAAAGATGGCAGCTGCTAGGACCACTTGCTCTGCTCTTCTTGCCGCTCTTAACATACGTGATTGCTCGAGTAGAGTTAGGAAAATCAAAGTTGTGCAGCAAACGATAGACTGCAACGGTTAGCAGGTATCACAAATATACAGGTGCATGATACCAAAACAATGACTACTGTTACTACTGTGCTCCTGGAGATATTATCGGATAAATCTTTGTCCCATCCCTTGAGTCGGTAGGTTGTTCCAATAGAATTAAGCCAGTGCATGCCAGATATACCGCTGGCCAGCAAGACTGCGCAGAGGGCTCGCTTCCACCAAGAGGCATGCCAATGAGCACGTAGCATAAAGAAAGACAGGAGAGATAGCACACTGGCAGCAATCGCAAGTGCCGCTGCGCCAACAAGGTATCCAACATCGAATATGCTGTCGTAGTTCACAATTCCGTATTGGCCAAGATAATGCATGCCGCATGCTCCAAGACCAGCGAGCACACCACCCAGAATGGAGCGAGGGATGCTTGCTTCATTGGACCCAGCTATCCACAGGGCAATTAACTGGATGATTATGGGTATGAAGATTGATATCACCGTGAATCCAGAGCCAAAGATTATTTGTATCTGGGGTTGTCCAAGTCCGAGCACAACAGCACAGTCTCCAACGAAATGCATACACCAAGTAGCTATACCTCCCATGGATATTGAGGCTGCGAGAATCAGAAAACTAGAGGATCTATCAGTATACTGAAAGCATTGATGTGACCCTGCGTACCAGTTGTACCAGCCATTCGAGGCTGTGCGCCTCATCATAATCTCCAATGTTGTGAAAGCACCGAGACAACTGATAAAGTACGACAGGACCACATATCCAGGTCTATAGCTTTTTGAAATGATGTTTCCTTGCAGTACAATTAACTCTTCTGACGTCAACTGACTGCCTGACATCGTGTCGTTTGTTCGAAGAATGGATTGAGCATCCAGGCAGTCGGCCAAGAAGTGAAGTTACCTGGCAGAACCTCGCATTGCGGCATGGAGAGAGCGACATAAAATTGAGTGAGCGATCAAATGAACAAAGTCGGAATTGTAGGAATAGAGAAGTCTCTCTCTAAGGAAATATGGTGAGCCTGTGAGACGGCTCGAGCAAAAGATTCGAAGAGGAGGGATAGGGATAGAGGATGGAAGGTGATAAGAGCGGGCAAAAGTGCCCGAGAAGAGCTGGCACTTTTGAAAACTTTTAGTACAGGGATAGGAACTTGAGAGAAGAAGAATAATTCGGTGCGGTGTGAGATTTCAAACAACGGGCCAGGACGGTAGGACGACCAAGGAAGACCAAGGAAGTCGCGACCTTGACGACTGCCATTTATCTGGCATAAAATACCCTGGAGAAACTGTGAAAGGAACCTTTAGCTGAAAGAGATTTGATTAGGTTTGTGATTAAATTAGCTGCATGTTGCATTGGACTCCTGGAGAGTCCGTGGATTAGAGGTCCTCCACCTGATGCAGAGGGCTGGTTGATGCGAATGAAATGTCGATGTCCGATGCAGGAAGTTCAATGATCAGGGTCTAGCGCCCACTTAGTAATTGGAAAAGCGATTCGGGGGAAACGAATATGGGATTGACTTGCCTCTGACAACTCTCTCTCACCTAGAAATTAGCATAATGTCGGGTGCTTACCAATGATCAACCTTAAAGCTTTTCAGGACTCTTTCCACCCAGATCAAATACCAACCCCTCATCGGGGCCAACCTCGCCTTTGTAAAGGCTCTCCCAACCCTTTCCCACATCGTCCATTCCATTTCCCCAGACCAATCTCAGACCCTGGACAGCACCCTGCTCCTTAAAAGCCCTATACTTCTTCCAGAACTCATCATAATACTTCTGCTCTCCAAGAATTCCCATCGCCTGATCTTTGATGGCTGAAGCGTTGATCGTTGGCTTAGCATCTCCACCAGCTTTGTGTCTAGCCAAGAAAGATGCAGTAGCTTGTTCTGGAGTAACAGACACGCACTCGTCACCGATGCCTAGCTGTACGACATCTTTGTACGTCGCATTCAGCTTGGCTACCCATCTTCTGGAAGCACCACCTCTGGCGCCAAAATCACAAATCACGATCTTTGAGTCTTCATGCAGACCCAATTCGGAAGTGAGATCACCAGAATCAATGTCGTAGGTCAAAACCTTGTCATACAGGCCTGTACTCTCAGTGAAGCTCTTTGACCGTGCCGACCCAACGCCACAAACCATGCGTGGCAACTTTCCAGCAGGACGTCCATATTTCAAGTTGTAAGCAAAGGAGAGACCCGTTTTGCCACTTGCGGAGAAGACAAGCACCACAGCATTGGATCCAAGGGTTCCCTTTTGGAGATTCCAGCCATCGCCTGGATTACCAGAGGGAGTAACAAGCTCAGCTGGATTCCAAGGGAAGAGGAAACGATTCATGCAGTATCCTGTTGCGAAGAGGAAAAAGATTGAATCGAGACCTTGGCTATCCCGAGATTGTAGTCTCTCTTCTTCAGTCTTGAACGGTGGGAAGATGTAGTACCGATTGTAGATTGACAAGACATGAGCTCGATGCTTGCTGATTTCCATGAATTGCTGTGTGACGGTGTCGCTAACCTTGATCTCCATGTCTACCGGTAAGTCTGCGATGGGGAGGTAGCCAAAGACTTGTGTGCCTTTCTCGACGCTGGGTACATTGCTTTCGATGACTTCGCCGTATCCCCAGCATGAGATCCTACCGTAGCTCTCTGGATCTGCGTACTCCTTTGGTATGAAAGGTGGAAGTGGATGGATATCCCACCATCCGAGCATGTGCCCAAAACGTGCATAACTGAAGTTGTTGGTGGTCAGAGAAATGATGGTGGGCTTGACACGAATCGAAGATGGCTTGAGTGGTGCGAGGGGATAGGCGTTGGGAAGGCAGACTATATGTTGATCTTCATAGTTCTGTCTTGAAAGGACTTGGATCGCTGGGTTGTGGGAAGCCATTCTGAAGATGGCGAGGCAGACGGAAGAGTTCTGTTCTTTTTTTCTTGCTTTTGGTATTTACGTGCTTGATTGCGATCTTCTCCTTAACATATAGGTTGGAAATTCTCGAAAGTAAACCAGTATGCTAGGTGAATGCCAAGTCGTCAGCATGGGGGGTTACGTCCGTAGTACCTGCGTACTCGAGCACATTGTAATAATCGGACATAACCTTGGAAGAAACGAGGAGATAGTCGTCGTGCCGACCAATGAAAGTCATCTGCTGTAAATACCAAGCAACGTGACTCAATAGCTGGTGATGCGGGGAATTCGGAACTGTAAGCTACCTGCGATCGGGGAATCAGACGATTTAGAGGATGTTGAGAGTAATCGTATGAAGTAGACAATTTCCTCTGCCGGAGGGATGCAGCTCGCTCAAGGCCCACCAAGCTCGAAGCAGACAATTCGCGGTCTCATTGTGAGCTTGGCATTCACCTCTCGATCATGTGTTACCTGACGCTGATGATTACAGTACCTCTGTACCTACAGTAAGTGGAGAACAGGAGGCGCTTGGACGGAAACACTACGGTGGCAACAGCTCCATTGGCATGGAAAGAATCTCCATAGGGATGGAGATTATTCCACAATCATGGAAATTCTTTCCATACTTATGGAACCTACTTTCTCTATCAAAGCGTGTTTCATACTTAAACTTTAATCCTTCCATATGATCCCCCCTCGCCCCCTTCGCCCCCCCTCTCTTTTCTTTCTCTCTTTATCTCTCTCCACAGTAGGTCTCTCTATGGTAGGTCTCTTAATTTAATCTCTCCACAGTAAGTCTCTTCATCTCTCTCTACAGTAGGTCTCTCCACGGTAAGTCTCCACTCTCTACAGTCGCTCTCTACTCTCTACGTTATACCTCTACTCTTCACAGTAGGTCTCCACGGTAGGTCTTCACGGTAAGTCTCTACAGTAGGTATAGAAATAAAGAGGTAGAAGGGTAGGAAAGTGGGGAAGTAAGGGCTAGGAAACTTTAAATATTATCTATAGAACTGAATATTTAAAAATAGAGGAAAATCCATAATTATAGATTTATAGATTTGTAGATATTTCCATGTTTCATTTTGTATAGCATGAAATCCATAATCATGGAAATATTCTCCATAATTATAAGTGACGACTCTCTATTCCTATGGAAAGATTTTCCATAAAATACCTCCATATTTATAGAGAATATTTCCATTAGAATAGAGAGCCGTTGCCACCGTAGTGAAAGCTCTGCGGAAAGAACCGAGACAAAAGTCAATAAACGCATGCTTCCCTCCGCGATATTTGGTAGAATAGCTAATCGACCTGCGATAGATAGGACTCTACGCTGGTCATCTGAATAGAAAAGGTCTGGACTTGAAACGTTGCGGACCGACCCATTGATGGTGCACATTCTTGTATGGGCCGCAGATGTGATTGTGATTACCGGCAAGTACTGTAGGTATTAATGTCTCTGTGGATTATTGTGGAAGACGTGCCACGTTCTGTTGCTGTTCTCAATTTGGTGCATGGGCTCCATTCTCCTGTCAAGCCAAATAGGTCGTTCCGTCATGATCTATCCAGCTTGTCACATCCACTGTTTCTATCACATTGTCACGAATCGATAATTTCAACCTCCATAAACATGACTCTAAGACTGTCATAATTGGCAGAGCAAGTAAATAAAGGTACCAGGTTTCAAAAGATCTATAGCGTGTTTCGTTAAAGATCTACTGTTTAATATGCGTCCCGTTTACGCTCTGCAACCCCCCTTGACTTGAAGACGAAACCAAGCAGGCAGTCCGAAAGAAAACTTCAAAAATATCGGAAGTGAGGAGAAACTCAGTCCAGACAGTACACCAGGAAATTTTCTGTAGATTCCACATTTAACAAGTGATCTGACAGGTCTGTCGTTGAGTATACCCAGGCTTCCGTACCTTGACTTAATCTCTTTCCTCGTGCTTCACGTAGGCTTTGAGGGTTAATCAAAGTATCAGGATAGCTTTAGAGTGGAAACCCCGAGTTTGCCAGTGAGCTATCTCTTAGGCTCATGTTCGATAAACTCGATAGGGCACAACTCATGGGTTTATCGCGGTAATCATACCGTCATTTACGAGCCAGTCCCTAAGGACATGAGTGACAAGAAATAAGTGTTGTAAAAGGATAAAGCGAGGTCAATAGCCATCTTTTGAATCGGTCCCCAGCATATAAATACAAGTAGCGTCCACCTTGCAGTAACTATTGTCTGTCATTCATGAGTCTAGATGTGTCGAAAAGTGCCTCAGAACATAGACTCACCCTCCCGCAGTTATCAAATGTACCTACATCTGTGCATGGTTGAGTCTGTACAGACTGATATAGAAGCATCGTATGAAGAAACGATGGAAACTTATTGACACAAGTAAGAGTATTAGATAATCATTTTCAACTGCAAGAAAGAGGACAGGTAGAAAAAAGCACTGGCTCGTCCGGTGAAGTGTATAACCCACGTGACTTTCCACCAACTCACCCCATTGGCAATGGAACAACAGTTCCTTGACAAATAGCCATTCACTTTTAACAGGAATCGCAGAACGTCTCGCATCCTCCATTTGTCTCCAACATCATTCAGATCGATATAGATGAACTCCACCCTTGTAGAAGCAACATTTCAAACACCACATAGTAACACAAACACAACATCTCCTCCACCCTCGCTAAGCACCAAACATGGAGGACGACGAAGACGCGGCTGAGGTCGAGCCTTATACAACTATCACTCCGATACTCCTCTCCAAAGCAAAGCAAGATGCATACAAACACAGCGACGACGAAATCGCGCGTGCGAGAGCTCTGTGCGAAGACATGCTCTTCGAGGACGAGCATGCTGGGTTGCAGCTCCAGGTCATGAAGTGGCAGGTTCAGCGCTGGCTGTGGAATACTTTGTGTACGTATTATGAAAATAGAAGCACTTTCCCAGTTATCTATAGCAGCAAGATATAGTCCTAATGAAATGCAGTTCCGCACGAGGAAGACAGATTTCCTGGTACGAAGCCAAGAAATCTGCCTGTCGTGAAGAAAGAGAACGCGCCGAAAGGACTGGGTGTCAAGATCAGAAAGACTCCGCGTAGTAAGGAAGAGAAAGACAACGAAGGTGATGAGAAGCCGATCGTTGCCGCAACGAATGTGCTGTCCATTTCTGCTGAGAGTCCCCATTTATGCGTAACATGTGGATCTTACAGCCACGAGGAGCATGCTTGTACTTCTAAAGTTCTGCATGAGCGAGTGCTGGAGTGTTTGGTTGTCGGACATGGCATGTACATCTTTGGGAAGACTGCTGGATGCCCAAAGTGTTTGGAAAGCGTGTAAGAGCAGAGGCAAAACGAAGTGGAGAGCAAGTGATGTACATGTAGTTGACAGACTGGGTGTATATCGCGGATTGCAATGCTATTAGCGCTTGTAGAAGGACATACGATCAGAAAGGACGTAGGAGCCACGTACTTGCCTACTTCTTATAAGGAGAGGGGAATTAATACTCAAACAACCATTACTAGCTTCGAATGCAGTGCAATATGATATCCGAGCTTTAGCACTACCATCAGAGCAAATGCATGCCATGCATACTATTACCTTACCACCCACTCCTAGACCAGCACCTAATATTGCAAGGTTTGTGCCTTTCCATTCTGCTCACCACTCCTCAGCATCTTCTCCAGAATCTCCAAATCAATCAAAGCCTCCTCGGGAGACTGTGTCTCGAGAGGCTTGCCGTCAACCAGACTCTGAGCCCAAGCCAGAACTTCCTGCTTGACTCCACTACCCTCGGTACTGAAGTCGGTCTCTGTGGTCTTGTCACCCTCCACCAGAGTGACAGTAACCTTTCCTCTGTTGACGGTTACAGTTCCCTTCTCGCAAGCCACGGTGTATGCGCTGCCCGATAGCGAAGTACCAAAAGACACCGAGAATGTTCCTGAAATACCAGACTTGGTCTGCCATATCGAGTCAACCGTATCAACAGGTGGAAGATGTTTTTGGAGGAGATGCGTGTATGCTGTCAACGACGTAGGCTTTGCCGAGTCTCCCAAAAGCATCCTCGTAGCAGCTGTGAAATGAACCCCACCATCCAGGAGGAAGCCTCCTTGATATGCAGGCTTCTTACGCCACTCAGTTTCTGTCCATATCTATCAGCTCTCGAGCATCTAATTCAATATGGATGCGCCCAGGTACTAACCAATGTATTTTCCTCCAAGTTTGACATGCGTAAACATCGTCGTCCTAAATCCCAAGATCCTGCCCAGCTTCTCGACCTCCTTCTTCCCAAACACAAAAGAGTCCAAGAAGCGGAAATTCTCAGCGACACCCCACGTCGCGCCATTCTTGACCTTGTCGCTCTTATAGAATTTGATCAATTGTTCTGCGCGCTTGACATCGCCTGCGATGGGCTTCTCGGATAAGACATGCTTGCCTGCAATGAGGGCTGCTTCGATGAACTCGGGCTGCGTGAGGATAGGAAGGGCGAGAATTACGGCGTGGATGTCTTCGCGGAGGAGGAGGTCGTGGTAGGTCTTGCCACTGCCTGAATCGTCAGAGTAGAGGTCGACACCGGCATTGAGTGCTGTGGCGGATTTGAGGCTTCGTGAAAAGATGGCTTTGAGAGTGAGGTTTGAGCTTGCTTTGACTGCAGGCTGGAGATGGATTAGCTACAAACCAACATAACATTGAATCGAGGTCTACCAAATGCTGTTCCGTCACAAATATGCCACTACCAATGATTGCTACGCCGATAGACATTGTGTGCTGTCAATTGTGGTATCTGGTTGTATCGGGTTCTGTTTGTTGAAGGGGAAGGATATGGAGGGGCAAATTGAGGGGTAGCTACTGGTGAGGCTTCGTGGGCAATTTATAAGTCACAATCGGACCGGATAAATAACCCGTCCATTAAACCCGACAGCACGTCTACCAGAAGAAACCAACGATAGCCATGATCCCGCCATCGATTTCGTGATTCTCATCATCCAACTTGTCGGAGTCGGACAAGGTTGCATGGGGAAGGTTTGCCGATGAGCTCTGAGGCTTGACTAGCTTGGCTTTGAACCGGACTTCTATTTTGGGAGCTCTATCCGACTGGCAGACTTGCACATTCCAAATCCTAGTCCCTCCATGTCAAGAGTAGGAGACTGCAATGAGGGCTTCAGGATCTCTGAGAGACTTATTACAGTGTGGTTGACCCAAGTGTTCAACAACGGCCTCTGGGAAAATAATGCAGAAAGCACAGTCATGGGCGGCCATCACTACGCGAGGATCGCGCCTAGAAGTAAATAATCAAGTCAAGCAAAGAACTTATGTGTCACAGATGCGCTCTCATTTCTCTCCGTCACTGAGCTAGTTTATAAGTAGCGCCATTGGGTAAGTAGCTTCGTCACCTACGCCTCCTCTGGAAGGTACCCTGAAATTCTTGATGACACGGTTCGCTTCTTTCGAAGTACAATAGCGCACAAGTTCCAAGACAATCTCGCAGAGCTCAGTACCTCTCACCAACTGGAATGTTCTTCGAATACTCTGATGAAGCTGGCGTTCTTATCGTCTGTTCTCTTGAAAACATAATCCTGTCATCTCCTCGACCCAACACTCTGCCCCTACTCGGTGCTCTTCTCTCCCTGCGTCCTGCAGCTGGCAATCCCTGGGCGGTATCTGGACTCGGTGGTGGGGTTGATGTGACGGATTTGGGTCGACGTGACACCTTAGCCCAAGCTGCTGCTCTTTCCTCCGCCTTACGTCCAGCGTCCCTCAATGCCTGACCAATATCTGAACTCCATGGTTGAGATGGGTAGGATTCACGTTGGCCTGGTCTGCATGTCCTATGTAGTGGTCTTCTTTCCGCCGTGCGTCTTGCATTTCGCCGTGCTTCACCGCTATCCGGACTCGACGGTGGACTTGGATAGTTGAAATTGGAGTGCTTGGAGGTCCTGAATTGACGAGTCCGGTGGCGTTGCTTTCTACTCGCATGGCATGAGCATTTGCATTCCCATCTGCTTTTGTACTCTTTGTGGCGACGGGCTGAAACTGGTGGTCGAGTTTTGTTTCTAGTTTCGTCGGCAGATATTGTTGACTCGGATTCAGAGGCAGATGGCATAGCTAAAGCCGCGCTTCTACAGCCGTTTGGGTGGCGATATGGACGATACCTGTGAGTGCGGCCCATTATTGGTTGAATTCCGTTTCCGGAATTAGGTCTAACTGAAGATTTTTGGGTTACTGTCTTGTTATCGATGATGTTGGCGGTAGAGTTGATGATGAAGTTGATATATCGTAATTGATGTTAATGTTGACATATTAAAATATGGCCCAGAGAATCACTTGGTCCTTTGGTACTAAGTGTCTGCCAGGACTAGAAAGGGCGGCTCCAAACTTACCCAACGCTGGTCAATATGGTACAGGAAACCTTGCAGGAGCGAGGGAGACGCGCGGACTCGCCATGCCTCTCAATGACATGCTGCTGGCGATATCAAATTTCGATTTGAAAATCCTCAAGAGCCACAAGTCCAAACAAATAGAAAGTTTGCAATGTCCAGCGTCCACTTGACACGATAGACCGCCCTATTGCAGCTCAGAATGGCAAACAGGATAGGAGAATCGGAGGATGAAGACAGAACGTTGCTATTGCGACAGAGACCTAAGTCCGAATCCCTTTTTGATTCCAGCTAATAGTAATACCAAGGGAGAATCATCGGCAGCGCTTGCTTGCCATCTTGGTCTGATTCCACGGCATCAAAGATAGATATGTCGACCTCCATCGACCTCGGAGAAGCAGCTGCTCGGTCTGAGACTCGCTACCTAGGTTCCTTCTATTCTCACATGTCAGGAGAGCATTTTGGCACTTTCATCGACCCATCTCTAAATCGACAAAGGCACAATCGGTGGCAACGCCGTACTTTCACAGAAATGCGTGCGTACTTCCCACCACAAGATACTCGCATTGACATCGAGATACATCATCACAGCCTCCAATCTGCCCCTGATGACCGAAATAGCACCCAATCATCTGCATCGCTTTACCAAGCCGGTATGAGACCGGTTGGTGTTGATTGGCCGATGATTTCTTTAGCGCCAGCCTTTCAAGACCCCAGCGTCTGTGCCTGAAGAAGCTCAGTGAGCGCGCGTCGGCCAGTGAGGCTGGTCCAGTAGAGCGACACGCTGAAGCGCGCCCCTGTGATGCAGCAAGGGAGGAGGGTGGTGGGGAGAAATGCTAAATTGTGGTGGTGTTAAATAAAGACCTCACCTCACGTCCCTCATTTCCGAGAATAAATCTCCGTCTTATCGCGACAGACAAAGCATCGCATCACTACCGAGGAATATCGTTTGAAGAAGAGAAGGCACTCAAATAACGGAGGACAGGATGGTGCGATTAAGCTTCCTAGAGCTGGTAACAGTGGGTACGTAAAGCTTGGGGGTCGTTCCCAAGGTTGAGCAGTGTGGACCCCGTCGCCAGGAAGACGCGCCCAGAATTCCATAGCTAACATTCATCAACAGCATCAATATATTTCTCCACGACAGCGGCAGTTGACACGACAGTCGGCACAAAGTTCAATGCCAAAGACGGCAGTATCAATTTCGCTCTCAATGTCCCCCAAGCAGACGAGAACAATGATCTCTACTTCACGATCCAAGCGCCGAGCGTCAGCACATGGGTCGTGAGCAGCCTGACCACTCTGTTGTAATAAATAACAAGACTGACTCCTTCAGGCTATTGGGTTCGGCAGTGATAAGATGGAAAACTCCCTAATTTTCATGGCGTACTCCGATTCCACGGGCAAAAACGTAACCCTCAGTCCGCGGCTTTCACACGGTCATGTCGAACCCTCTTTCACCAAGAATGTCACAGTCGAGGTGCTTACAGGCACCCAAATTTCGAATGGCAATTATACGGTCAATGCCATGTGTAGAAACTGCCGCTCGTGGAAAGGGGGGTCGATCGATCCTACAAGCACAGCAGCCAAATTCATTTATGCGACTGGTCCCGGTGGAAACTTCAAGAGCAATTCCCTGACAGCCGATATCAAGCGACACGATCTATATGGAACTTTCACAATGGATTTGACGAAGGCAGTTGGAATCAAAGGCGTGCCAGTAATGCAATTCGCGGACGGTACAGGGACAGAGCAAACAAAGGATGAATCTGACAGAGATTTTGCCCCTCCTGCTCATGCTGTGTTGATGATCCTAGCATTTGTGGGGATAATGCCAGTTGCTGTTATGATTCTACGAATATTGAATAGCCCGAAATGGCACGGAGTAGCACAAACTGCGTCTGCAATTGTGGCCTTGATTGGTGCAGGAGTGGGAATCAAAGCCGGCATGCAATATAACCGAGTAGGTTCTCTTCAACCATCCGTCGATCCATGTCCTAACACTAGTTATAGACCATGAACTTCAACTCTGCGCACCAAATTTTTGGAATCATAATCATCGCAGCCATGATTGGCCAATTCGTCCTCGGGTTCCTCCACCACAGAATGTACAAGTTGACACAAACGACCACAAAGCTGGCACCGATCCATCTGTGGCTCGGAAGAGTCGTTATCCCAGCTGGAATAGCCAACGGCTTTCTGGGCTTCCCCTTGGCTCTAAACCCTAAATACAACTGGGCTCTTCTCGCATGCGTGCTCCTGGTCATCGTTCTCGCTGGCCCGTTCGCATTCTGGAGATTCCGCCGGAACATTCACAAGAAGAATGCACTTGCCGATGAGCCAACCGGATATCAAGCACAGCCTTGGATGGCTGCACACCATTCGGAGGCTTCGAGCGATATCAATCTCAGTCAGATAAATTACCAGCAACGAAATCACCCTCCAATCTATCAGGAGTCTGTCCAGGGCAGACAGTTCGTTTGAGGACCGGGTAACGAGTTTCACATTTGACCGGCGTATTGGAGGATCACGGGCATAGGGTAGTGGCGTTTGGGTAAAGTACTGAATGGTCTTTGTACAATGATATCCCTGGTCTGGACTTATGACTAGATTGTGATCGGCTGTCAGGGTTTGATACAAGTTTTTGGAGATGCGTGGATCCTGCCGATTCCGAAATTGATACAAAATATGGTTTAAACCCTTGTTCAAAGATTGGGACATGATAATGGTATCTGTTGTTTGTTAATAGCGACACCGCTTCCAGGATCTGCGACCTTACCAATCACCTGGTCATAAAGTCCATTATCAGATGCCTAGAATCTAAACCCTTACATCCATGTCTACGTTAAGCGCCAGGTCGACGAAGAATTCAGCGGCTTCGGTTTCACTTGCACTGGTCAATCATGGAGGAAGTGGAGCTGCACAGCACCGATCAGGTGCCTCCTTATGATCTGATGCGAGGCTTCAGACTGAAAATGAATACCGCTTACGCCTGGTCCCATGGATTTGGATACACTGTTGACGCTTGAAATTTTGTATCTAAGAATTCAGTACGTGTCCACCATGCAGGGAGCGCCAATTATGTCAACCACCAACGTAAACAGTCTCGCTTAAATGCCGAGCTTTCCGAGGGTATCGAAACAAACAGATCAACATCTCTATTGTGCAGACACAGATACAAGGACGTGGCGGTGACTTAGTGCGGTATCGAATATTCGTATTTATTTGAATCTACATCTACTCTAATACATTGCCTGTCTACATAAGCAGCTCTAGGAAGGGTATTCGAAACCATAACGCCAATAAATGCACACCCGCCATTCTCCAAGGGTCCAACAAGAAAAAGCTTACACAAGCACTGTATCCAAAATCCTGACTCCCTATTTCCTCAGCAGCGGCGCATTCTCAGCCTCCGCTTCTGCCTCAGCCTCATCATCCCCTTCCAACCGAATCTCATGACCATCTCCCTCTCTCACCCAATTACTCGCAATGATAGAAAACACAGCCACGCACGCCAACACCCAGAACATAGCGCCAACAACTCCATTCTTCAATCCTACACCATACAGCAAACCACCAAGCGCGGGTCCGACCGTCCTCGCAGCACTACTTGCACTCTGGCCGATTCCGTGGATCGTACCAAGGACACTGGGATGTGGACTGCAGTTATTAATGAGGATGGTCGTCGCGGGACTCGCGAACGTTCGACCAACGACTTGTACAAAGAGGAGGGAAGTGAGAGCCGCCCAGATAGGAACACCGGTTTTCTGGCTCGGGGGCGGTGTCGTCGAGGGGATAAGTGAAAGGAACGGAACAATGGTGTACACTATTGGGAAGCAGTACAGGAAGATGCGCCAGGAGCGGACGGTACCGAGGCGTTGGTTGACGTGAGGGTAGAGGAAAAGTTGCAGGGTTATGCCGATGGATCCTAAGATTGCCATGACGAACCCGACGGAACGGGGTGGGAGGCCGATACCACCTGTAAACATGAAGGGGAGGTGAGGAGTGTAGTTCTCTGGTGGATTTTCGGGATCGTAGACGGGTGTTGAGAGGAAGGAGTACCAGATATTTTGGAAGGTGCCCATTGAGAGGGACATCAAACCATGGCAGAGGAGTGTTGAGACCACGTTGTAAGTAAAAATTCGACGGAAGGGAAGTTTGTTCTTGTATCGCGGTGCAATCCTCTTTCGTGGTTTGGTGTCGGGATCGTACTCAATAATGTGGCCGTTGGGACCGAAAGGTTCCGATCTTGCAAGTTGTTCATAGCCTTCCTTCTTGCTTCCAAAGAAGCGGCCAATGGCTGAAAATACCTTGCGGCGGAAAGCAATACCGACGTCCTTCTGGTGAGCATAAGCTTCATGTGTCTAGTAGCTGTCAGTACATAGTAAACCACATTTGTCAAGGATCTAACCTCTTCCAAGCCGAAAAACACTGCCATGGCAGCACAAAAGAGGAACGTCGCACTGATCAAATTGGGTGGCGCGTAAGGGAACTTTTCAAGGAACCAGTTCCCGCCGAATATCAGCGGGAAGTTGCCAGCAGGATCAGATGTGATACCTCCGATCATTGGCCCGATGATACTACCAATGTTTGCCACCATAGGTAAAATCAGGAAGGCTCTTGACTGGAACTTCTTCTCCCTCACAATCTCGCTGATCATCGTCCTCATAACACCCACGTTGCCATTCAAAGCTCCTCCCAGCATCCGAAACACCAGAGCCTGGTAGAAGTTTCTCGAGAAGCCAAAACCAAGGCATGAGATCGTTGTTCCGGATAACCCGATGAGAAGAATCCGCTTTCGACCACCACGGTCTGAAAATCGTCCCCATAACATAGCTGTACATAGTTGTGCTGCAGCGAAGGAACCTTGCATGATACCTGCTTGAGAGGCGATAGTTGATGCCGGGAGACTTCTGTCGAAGGATCGCAATTGATAGAACAAATAAGACTGTTTGATATCAGTATTTGGTCACGTGTGCTCGATAGGAGAAGAAACAACCTACCCTTAGTGATGTTTGAACTAATGGCTCCGAAAGTCTTGCGAGTGTCAAGATAGCCAACTGGCTCTTGTGTGGTAGACTTGACCAAGTCACTGTCTCCTCTTTCTTCTTCATTGTCGGCGGCTCGATTTGAAGAGGATCCTCGTCTTCCGCGATGAATGACCGTCGCCGAGCTCTGTCAAAGGATGGTTCATGGTGAACATTGGTGAGAGCCTGGTCTTGGTAATCCGTACCGTGTGGTGAAATATCATTTGAGTCGGTGCTCTCCGTATCGCAATTTTCGATTGCCCCATAATTTGCGGGTGACCTTGGTCGAGGTGAGGTCGCCATGATGTCCCTGAACCGTTGTCGATACAGTATGTCTGAAAATCTTCCCTATGCAGTCCTGCGATCCGTGACTGACAAAATTATCCTAACTATCCTGCCCTGATTCCGATGGATATTAGCAGCAAAAAGACATGTTATGTTTTGTTTGTCAAAGAAGAAAGGAAGGCTAGGTTGCATCAGATAACATTTTGTCAGAGCTCTGGCTGGAAGGCAATATTGGCGCTATCACTTTAGTGGCGACGCCCAAAACTTTAGCGACGCTGAACTGCCAAAACCCCTGGAGCCTTGCATGACTGGCCAGCCTGTCGGTAAAATGTGCAGGCTCCTTTTGCCTCCCAGGGAAAAACATCATATCGTCCCAAGAACCAGTTCGCTCGATAATCATCATCACAAGCTCATTAAAGATACCTCAGAATCGGCACTTTCACACTCACGATCATGTTGTACTTAGATGCACGAGGGACACCGAAACAAGGCACTGTGGAGCTTGAAGTTCATGCGTTGGGGTGGACATGCCGTCAAATGGTCTAGAAGGCCGTTACTTTGACACAGCCTCCATGCCGCAATCGGCTCGATACAGGCACCACACGCGACCCTCCATGGCCTTTCAGATACAGAGGCCGGCATTTCTACCTGGGCAGATCGCTGGCGATATCACCGACATCCAGAAGAAGCCACGCCGCCAAAACTCCGTGGCTGAATGTACAGTATTGAGGGATTTCCTCAATTGGGGATTTCCCACAGGACCATACAGATAGATGGATTGGCCTTGTTTCACTCCCCTCACTCAGCTCAGCTTCAGCCGGATGTCACTAGGAAATATTGGGTATCTCGGCCAGCAGAACTGGCATCAAAGCGTTACGGTGCTGCCAAGCTGCGGAAAGGCCTAAATTCTACAAGAAGAACATCGGTGAGTCTCACCAAGCACAGATCTTTCACCAAGACTCATCATCGTCGTCGGTGGAGGCTCAATAATAACGATGGCCACCTGAAGATGTCAATGCTGGCGATAGCCCCTGAAGGTGGCTGGTGATGGTGGCGTTCTGGGTAGCGTGACCGTCACCCGCTGAAATCCTCCGTAGCGGCATCAAGTCCTCTTTCGTCGAGCTGTCACCTGAGCATGCATGGGACGTCTTGATATTGTATTAACCAAGTTACCAATCTCTCCTTATTCATCTGAATGTGTTCTTCTGGATCGGCGAGTGCCCAAAAGCTGCCATCTATTTCAGACTGTCATATGTTTCCGAGCTGACTAATTCACTCGTTTTATCTTCACGATATGCATTCCAAGGGCTTTAATCGTGAATGAATTTGTCGTTAAAAGTTGTGTGATTGCTTGGAGACTTTGTCACGTCTACTTCTTCCCGCTCTGAGCCTTCTGATCAGCATTATAGGGCACTGTAACGTTTCAAAGGCATGTAAAAACCCAAGCATGTCTGAGCTCTTGATTGTTTCCTTTAGGCCTTAGCTCTTTCGACTCTGCCACTCGCAGTGGTTAAAAGCTGCGGAATAGCAACATGTCGTATGAGTATAAGACTGATCCATAACTGTTCGATCTTGTTAAAGGATTAGGTTGATCTTGAATACCAACCCAAGAGTGGGCTTGGTTTCAAAGAATACATCAGCTGCCCCTGCCATCACGATCGAGGACATGGGGGATGGAGCTGCGGGGTAAATTTGGGTGCGCTATGTGGTCTGAGAGACCAGGACCGCCTTGTAAGAGCGGTTATGTTTTAAGGGTCCGAGGTTTGGAAGAGATATTTTATCAACTTCAACCATCTGTGCCCTCTATCAGAGACTAGTGTCCCATCAAGCGCTGGCTCCTACAGTATCGTCAGCTATTTCTCGATTCCTGGCATCAGTTGCGTGTCCGGATGTATGTTGATTCGGCCAAATCCTTTCATGACGAAGTCCAACTTGCCACAAATGAGTCAACTTCGACGGTGTTGGGCTTCTTACTTTGAGCAGACAGTTGGGCCTTCTTGTACGCTTCCACATCTTTCTGTGGATTCGGCATTTACTTTGAAGTGGAGCATAGCAACGCAGGTGAGAGGAGCAACTCGCACCGCGCATGGTACATTACATGATGCAGCTCATAGGAGTCACCTCACTTTGTGATGACTAGTGGAGCCGCTGCAAAGAACGTAAACGAACTTTTCTTGTCGCTGTGGGAGTGAGAGCCTGCTTCTCCTCAAATTCTTGACAGACAAGACCTAGAAGTCGCGGTTTGTTGAGAGTTATGTTACGGTTGTACAGATATCCAAGCCTTTACTTTCACTGTCTCTGAAGTCGAAAGCAGTTTCAGGCTCACCAGCATGCGACTTTATGTACCGAAGTGGAGCACAGCAACACATTGACGTCGGAAATTTAAAGACGTGACAGCACACAAATCTTGGTTACAGCTGTTCCCTGCATTGAGATCCGATGTAGCTACCCCTCTTCTACCCCTCTACCCAAAACAGAACTGAAATTGCAAGAAATCCGTCACATGGCTCTCTTCCTACGCCTTTCCCGAAACTCCCCCTTTTCATCCGCCAGAACCGCCCAGGCGGACAAAGCACGTGATTAATGTCCTATTCGTGGAAGCAAGTAAGCGAGGTTTTGTACACCGCTCTTCCCGCCTCGTCTTCAACCTCACGATTCGCCATCTACAGACCCGCCAGACCCCAAAACGCACGCATGAGAGACTCGCACGCGTCCTGTTGCGGGTCGAGCCGTGGGCTAATCGCTTTGTTGTCATACGAGATCCACACCGCCATGTGTATAGCTTCAGACTTGCAGAACGTTGCAGGAACGACCCCGCTGCTAGACACGAACGGAGGCATCAAGTACCTATGACTTGGTGCATCGATATGCAAGCAAGAGAATGGGTAAATGTGAAAGCGCGAAGCGGTTGGCTGGGCTCTGCAATAGCACGCTGGCATTGGCGAGCTTCGCGTTTTCTGTTGACAACTTTGCATGGAACGCGGGTCTAGGAAGGGAAGGTCCAGTTTCACCGTTCCCTCCGACGCAGGACTGCTTTTCCATATATCTTACATGTCTCCCCGTTTGATTTCCTATCTCACTTCATAAACTTCCTCTCTCTACTGCCTCTGATTCTTAATCCTCTTCAATATTCAATACCCCATTTTGCTACCAACAATTCTCTCTTCTCAACACCATTCCTCTTTCAATCTTCACGATGGCCGCCGCAGTTCTTCAACCCCTTCAAAATCTCTCCCTTGATCGTGAGATCATGGATCCTTCTCCAATCTCCCCAAATGCTTCCAGACACGGCCGTAGTAAGCACGGCGGAAGTGTGTCCAAGACCAAAGGCCGTGGCCGAGGATACAGCGTCGTTGACGACCGCGAGGGCATGATATCCAAGGCCTTGACCTGGGTCTTGAAGCGAACAATTGAGGAGGGCGAAGAGCAAGATGAAGGTGAGGAGAAGCTTGTAGCTGACTCCGAAGGCTGGGTAGAGTGTGAACAAGTGGTAAGTCTGGAAATTGATCCCCCAGAGCAATGTATCTAACGCAACACAGCTCCAACGACCAAACCTTTCTTCCCTGGAAGTCACATTCCCCGAACTCAAAGACTTCGTCGAGTCCCCAACCTCCAAATCCCGCTTCAGTCTCAAGCTCAAGCCAGAAAACAACGAAGACCCTGAGACCGAAGAACCCCTCTCCTCCAACTACCTCATCAAGGCCAACCCCACTCCTTCCGGACCCATGAGCCCCACTGCCGCAGCAGCCCCCAAGTTCACCCCTCTCACCACCACCACCGAAGATCTCCCAGACTTCATCGTCTACGAGACTTCCTACCCCAACTACCCTCTCATTCTCGCATCCGGAGGTATTAAGCGAGCCGGCGGCCAGGCCCTCCTCCAATTCGCTACCATCGTCGTGCAAGAGGATGGCTCCGAAGTTAGAGCCCCAAAGAGTGACGCCGATGTCTCCATCCACATCAACCTCCGCCAGATCATGGAGGCTGAGCCCAAGATCCGTTGGGCACGTACAGAGACTGGTAACGTCGTCACTGAAGGCGACGTCAACGGTGGAATTTCTAAAGTAAACTGGAAGAAGGTCGTTGCTCGAAGGGCCGATATCGGCGTGTTGTTCGAGGATGGGGAGGTGAGAAAGGAGGTCCCAGTTGGATTGAGGGGTAAGGGTGTCAAGGCCAAGAAGGGTGGAAAGGGAAAGGGAAAGGGAGGATTGAAGGAGATGAAGTCGCGCAGTGAGGACGAGGATACCGCAAGCGATTAAATAATTCCTTTGTATTATCAGCATTCATGGGTGGGTTTGAGATACCCAGTACTTTAGTAATCTTACATAGACACATCCCAAGCGTATAAATAGATTTTTCACAAGGTAGCAGCACGTTGCTGTATATACACACCCAAACACCGTTTATTCCCAGGGTATCATCCGTGTCCTTCATAATTCATCGTCATCATCGTCTTCTGTCTCCACGTCCGCTGGAACGGCCGCCGTCACAGTCTTCATTTTCATAATGCTTGATTCAAGAGCCAATGATTCCACAGCCATTGACTCCACAGCCCGAGCCTCCTCTAATTCCGCTTCCATCTCTGCATCCATATCGAATCTGGGAGCATTGCCATCGCCCTCCAGTCGGCTCTCGTTCAGCTCCAACTCCACCATACGTTCTTTTCTCTTAAGGTAAAATCTCTCCAAACAGTACGTTCTCTGCTTCTGCGTCATGCCCTCCACAGCGAATGCAAACTCCGTTGCACTACTAAAGCCGAATTCCTTGGCCATCGTACAAAATTGCCTAAGCTTTACTTCATTAGGTGGGTGATACTTGTACTGGATTCGGCCGGGACTAGTATCTCCAGTTTGTGAGTCATCAAAAAGTCTTTGCTCGCCATACTCCGCATCGTTGCCGGTCTCCACAGCGCGACGACTCAGTTCTGCTTCTACTCTGGACGAGCCAACGACTTCCGAGTTCTCATGCGTGTATTCGACCCCAGCAGCAGCGAGGATTGCCTGTATTGGGTCTGTTTTCGGTCTTGGCTTGGCTTTCTTTTTCGAGTCATCCTCCGTCAGGAGAGCTGCAAGTTGGCTCATAGCCCCATCTTCATCATCAAGATCATCAACCTTGAGGGGGTTGTCCTCGTCATTTGCCGCATCATCCATGTCGAAATCCAAGATCGCTACACCTCGTTTGGCCTCTGCAACGTTGGTTTTGTTAACGATATCCCGAAGCACAACATTATCTGCGTGGAACGTGAGGAGATTATCCAAGCCGAAGATTTCACCCTTCTGAGTAGGCATGTTCTGGACACCTTTGAAGTAGCGACGTTCAGTTGAGGCAGTGTACCCTATGTTCGCTTGTTGTTGTTTGTAGATCTGTCGAGCGTACACAATCTCCTCAACGGTACCAGCAGACACCAGACGAAAGACCTCGACGTTCCGTAGTTGTCCTATTCGGTACGCTCGATCTTGAGCCTGCAGGTCATAGCTGGGATTCCAATTCGGGTCGAAGATAACTACTTTGTTGGCACTGGTGATGTTCAAGCCAACCCCTACAGAAGTTAGTAAAATAAATGGTGGTATTTTCAAGGATTACAAACCTCCAGCCTTGGTTGAGATCAGGAACACGAACTGGTTGGGATCGGCATTGAAAATGTCGACTAGCTTCTGACGATCCTCATTTTTGGTCTTGCCGCTCAGGAGGCTGACAGTGTAGCTGGTATTGTTGAACAAGTATTGCAGCAACTCCAATAACCTGACACTATGCGAGAATATGAGGACTTTATCCCCATTCTCATGCCAGTATTTGAGAAGTTTCTTGAGGATCGCCCACTGATAAAAAGGTTAGTGCAAGATCCGAAGAGAGAGAAGGGCAGAAGGCCAACCTTTCCACAGAATTCTGGATTGGACAGCGTCGCCAAAGATCCACGATTTTCGTAAAGCTCTCTCCAGTGATTTGGAAGCATGCCTTTGAGATATTCCAAATCCCGCTCTCGTTTCTCAGGTGGGTCATCAGCTCTGGGCAGCAAAATAGCGAGATGGTTAGATAGCTTTTGAAGAGTGATAATAACTGGGAACACCATGGCCTGTAAAAGAGTAAGCGACTTGGTCAGGAAGTATGTGAGGGGAATGTTACCCGCCAGGATGTGTCTGACCCTGGAATGGTGCCGTAACAACACCATCCGCGTTTCTTTTCGCTACCACAATCACATACATCCCCTGACGTTCTGACAGTTTCCACGAGAGAGCTCTCAAGAAAGCGTTCATATGCTTCCTTCTGGAGACTCGTCATGGGGCAGAATACGACTTTGTCTGTCTTCTTTGGGAGCTGGTGAGCGATGAGGGATTTCATTCTGCGAAGAAAGAATTGAGGTAGGAGATTGTCGCGAAGTTTCTCAGCAGTTTGCCTAGCTTGTTTGAGTTGATGATTGGTACAATCATGTCTACTGGATTTAGCATTAATAGAGGAGTGAAGACTAAGAATACGTACGACTGACCCATCTTCAAGGGAACGCTGATGCTGGACTTCCATGTTGACAAGGGACCAAATCTGCCTGGATTGGTCCAGTTAAGTAAGGTCCAAAGCTCATCATATTTGTTCTGAATGGCCGTGCCGGTGAGCCCGATTCTACATAACGCATTGACTTGATTCATGGCTTTGGTAGTCTCAGCAGACGGCTCCTTCAGCTGATGACATTCGTCGGCAACTACACAATCCCACTCGGTCTGATTCAGCTTTTCCATGTGGTTTCTATATGTTGTGTAGGTAGTGATGACAACTTCCAGACGGCCGGAGTTGGCGGCCTGTGCAACAGATTCTCTTTCGCCTCTATTACCATAGTACTTATCGACATGCCACCATCCCCATCGCTCAAGTTCATTCTTCCAATTGTCAAGCAGCGATCCTGGGCAGATGATCAGAACACGGGGATACCATCGCTTGCCTGAGGCTCTTCTCATCTTCCGCATGCGTTTCGCATCCCTTTCATCTCCGGTCTTACCAAAAGCTGCAGTCAAAAATGCAGCAACTTGGACAGTCTTACCCAAACCCATATCATCACCGAGAAGGCCACCTAAATTTGCTGTTAGTCTTTGGACCTGAGACTTCCAAATTTGAATCAAACCTTTCTGGTAGACGAATAGTTCATGTAAGAACCCAGCGCCAGTGACTTGATAGTCTCTCAGGTATTGAGCGATAGAAGCTGGGATAACTCCTGCTGAATGGGGTAATTCAATATCCTTATATTCTCTGGACAGCGCCACAGATGGTGGGAAATCCGGACGCTCAGCAAGTTCCGCAATTCTCTCATCGTCCGAGAAGTAAATATCCTCGTACCTTGGCGGAACCTTCAAAGCATCCTCGTGGCGTTGGGTGTGGTCCACATCAAACTCCTTCCGGCGTTTCTTCAAGTATTCGGGGATCTCGTCATCCAGCATCTCGTATTCAGACTCGTCTCCCCACATCCGTTCTTTCTTCGATGGCTCTCCATTACTCTTGGCTTTCTTTCTACCCTCTACTATCTCCTTTGTTTTCTCCTTCAATCTCTTCTTGTTCGCTGCCAGTTTCTTTCTCTTCGCGGCTTTCCTGTTCTTGAATTTCTCGTAGGCATCTTCTCCCTCGCTCGAAGACCACTCAACTCGTTCCCCTGATTTTCGCTTTCCTTTCTTGAAATCAGAAGGCGCAATACCTGCCGTGTCGATATCGGATTCTGTGTCTGTATGGGACCTGCGTCGCACGACTACGGGACTGTCAGTGGCATTGAGAGATAGCAGGGTCGACGAACGCTTGATGTACTCATCCGTGCCTATCATAGCTGTGCCTCTTTCCTCCGGCGTAGTAACTTCATCACCATCTTCAGTGTACCCATCAACCTGATCATTTGCGTGCGCCATGGGGGCTTGGATGCATTGGATGGTATTAGTCGCGTCTCGAATGAACTTATGGGGGGGTGCGACGCGACTTTGAAGTCTGACACCAAGTCACGGGGTCCGCCCTAGATTCGTGAAGAGAGGCTCAAAAATTGCTATTCCGAGATAGAGTCCAGATTTTTATCTTCTTGACAAGAAGTATTGATAATTTGGGAAGTCGGACATCGTATTTGATAACAGAATGCTTCCTATGCGGCTGAATCATCTACTGGTCCATGTGGTTACTGTATCACTCCCTCTTCACAAGCCAAGGCATTTTGCATCTGCCCGGCGATAGCAACTAGGTATATACTGACTGTCTAGTATTGTATTTGTCTAACCTTGGGATATCAACGATGTTTGGACGATTCAGTCTAGTTACTTCAATTACGGCAGGAAACTTTATGATATGTGGAATATTGAATTTCCTTGAAGTGTTACTTCTTCTCAATGTCGATTGCTGACTTTACAAAGGCAGACAAGAGCTTCCTCATAAGTATCTTGCTCGCCAGTTACTCTCTCCACTCGAAATCAAGGACTAGGAAAATAGTCATCATCCTACCCAATTCCAGCTCGAATAGATCAGGGCCGTCGCTTGACTAAAGCTCCCTCAGCTCAAGTTCAAACCCTTCAAATTTGACATTCAGCGGCTTCGCGTCCTCAACAATTGTAGGTGTAGCAGCATAGACACCAACCCAAGCCTCTATGTCCTTCGGCTTTCCATCCTCATCCTTAGCGAGACTCAATAACCAAGTCACCTCCCTCACCCCAGACCTCTTGCCGTCCTGGACGACGTAAACCCAAAGGGTATCGTCAGTCGGTCTCCTTTCCATTTCAATCGTAACCTGAGTTGAGTTTGCTTCTCCTCCAGATGCTGGAACAATCCCTTCAGTCACAAGACTCCAATCGGCCCAACGATCACAGGCTACCGAACCAACTTTTGGGGCATCGTCCACGAATTCAATTCCACTTTTCACCCACTGGCCATTCCGGGCCGCTTCAGTTGCGTCGTTCTGAGAGCATTCTGGGTCAGGAACGATGAGAACAAGCCCTCCCTGATCATAGAGCGTGTCCCATGCTCCTGCGAGGGTTACTCGGACACGTTGGAAGGTGGCGAGGTTGATGATTTTGTAGATCACTGGGGCGTTAAATGTGTTTATTTCTGGTGGGCCGGGTTTGCGCCATATGTCCGTCATGGATGTTAAAGGTGGGGTGAGGGTGAAAGATGTGGATGACGGACCGGGCAAACGAGTGTCTGGGGCATTGAGGAGATGGAAGGGTGGAAGTGAGGATGTCATTTTGGATAGGTGATGGTTTTGATCTCGGGTGAGATTTTTGGAATGTGTTGAGTTTGGCCGAATCTGTTGCCTAAGAAGATAGATATTGACGAAACTTGCATTAGATATCGAACTATGCGCGTGGTGATGTCAAGCTGCTTGACAAATGCATCGATCTTGCGAGATGTGCTCCTGCCTGAAGTGTTAGCAATAACCACGCGAAGTTGTGTAGCCTTGGGAAGCAATTATTGGCCAGTTACCCACCTCAGTATTACTGATCAGAGTGGAGGGAATCCCCAAGCCTCGAAGGAGTGGGACTAATTTGAATGCTAGAACTTTTCTCTGCTGTGCTCACCATACATCGTGAACCAAATCTGGCAGCTGTAACAATAGTAAATTCGATGGACTGTCGGTTCTCCTGCATAAAAGGACTTCCTGTTCCGTTGGAAGAGATTTGAGGAACAACTTGGAGATGGGACAGGACCTTGCGGCTAAAGATGAACCCGTGAAGCCGTGGGGTGGTCGCAAGCCAATAACATGAGAGAGCACTGTGCAACAAAGAAGAGGGGAAGCAAATAGTCCGCAGCCAGCAGCTGGAAGATGTCTGACTGCATTAGTTGCTTCGCTACTGGTGGTGAAGCAGGGATTGCTGGGTTGTACTCTATTAACAATTGCGTCTATTGTGCACGAAGCAAATATTTGTTAACAATTTGTTTTCTATTCGGCACAGACCCCAACTCCTTTGATATATTGCTTGTTTCCCATTCAGCCAGGCCCAAGAGTCCCATCGCTAAAACCGCCTTGATTTTTCTCTAACCCATTTCAAGTACGTCATTAATGATCGTTGCTCATCTATGGAGCAGAACCTTCGGCAAACCTGCAAACGTCCCTCAACTCCGGGTATCTTCGCTGAAACGGCTCGCTCAAGCTCCAGTTGGCTTGGGTTTCGATATGGCGAATGAAGGCATCGGTCACCCTCACTTCCTCTCCAACAAACATCAGTATGTCTTCGTCTCGGAATGGCCAATTCACACTAATGCAGTTCTGATACAAATTCATAAATTCTTCCGTCGCATATTTCTCTTGGTCTCCGACCATGACATCTCGAAGTTCTCCCCAGATTGCCTATATTACGAGTCAGTATCCACATCAATTCTGTCGTTGTAGAAGCAGCCATACAAGTGAAGTCCAGAAGGGATGTGCTGTGATCATTTGCGAGGGCCGTGGGCAGAACCAGTCTGGCAAGTTCTGATAAGTTTCTAGTGAGGGCAAAATTTGCCACTGCACAAAGTGATACACTAGGAACAACGCCGCAGCTTTCTCAGCAAACCCAGTGTACTCGATTCTCTGAAAAAGATTGGAGACAATTGAAGCCACAGGGTGGATATTATTAGACATTTCCGGATTCAGGAGAGCTCTCAGATCAGGATGATATGGTCCGACGAGCAGACTGCCAGGTGTACTCTGAGTAGCGATACTCCTTTGACGCTGTAGAAGGCTGATGAGAATGCTGTCGACTGGTCCTGTAGGGGGCAAAAATTGCAGGGAAAGCTCCCAAGCGTGATGACCAGCCCCGTTGCTCATAGGTTCAGACATTCCATACGCTGTGCCGTTCTGTTGTGGCGGGACATTTGAGTCCAAACGAGGCTTGTTCTGATTCAAGGTCAAAGGATGGCTTGTCGGAGGTGGAGGCTGGCGCTGTCCATTAACATTCATCATTAGTGACCTGTTCACAGGAGATATAGGCTGGCCCGCCAGCGGTGACGGACCGATTCCATTTACACCGCCGGTCATCCTCAATGGCGCGTTGTTTGTTGGCATCCCTTGCGACAAAGTCAGTAAGAGCCCATTGAAAATTATGAATATGTTTTACCAAATCGTCCATGTGGATACGATCTGCTTCGGCCGAACTGTGGCCTAGAGTTGCTTGCACCTCTGCGATTGATAGAAGCCGGCACTGTTGGTGAGCTTGTGAGGTCCTTGTACGCTATATCTGCTTCATTGAATGTTTCGCTTCGTGCACTTCCTGGATCCGAGAAACCAGATGGCAATCCTGAATGGTCTGAGGCAAACGAGGATAGTAGGTCGCCTGCGCTTGTGGTTGGGAAAGACGTATATGGCGAGCCAGGTCCCCCAATATTTTGTGTACTCCAGCTTGGAGAGTATGCCAATGGATGGGCTTCTTCCACGATATCCATGCCATACCTGGCTTTATCTCACCGAAAGTTAGTTCGATCGATCAGTTTGATATGATTACGCATATTTGAATCACGACATGAGGCTTGCGATGAGGGATAAGGGCTGGGACGGTCGTAGCGAGCTATCATTCGATGTTCTCCACTATGCGACGCCTCCGCCCTCCCTGAAACTGGAAATATTATGGTACTTACACGACAAGGGGGTCAGCTCTGGAGATGAAGCGATACTGCCATCTGACCGTCCTAGTAACTCTTTGAGCTGCCTCAGCTCCTCTTCAAGCTCTGCATTCCGTCTCTTAATTTGTTCAAAATCTCTGGCATCTTGGTCTTGCGACAGGTCTCGAATCCGTTGTTCTAGTTCCTCGATATGGGTTTTTGTCCTTTGACGGATAGACCTCTATTCCCCACGGGGTGGATTAGCATACATGATTGGAAGGAAGAAATTCTGGATGGGAAAAGGAGTTGCACGAAGAATCCCTGAGATGCCGAACTTGAAAATGTACGTGATGACCTATGAAAAGCAGGTTTACCTGTGCTTCACGATCATTTGCCCGCTTTCGTGCAAGTTGCTCAGGTGTCAGAGAAGCAACACTTCGAGTTCCAGCGCGAGATGCTACTGCTGTCAGATAATGCCGAATATCAAGGGGTTTTCGAGGACGATGAAGACCTGTACTGGGAGCTGCGCGTTCTATCCGTACCTCTGCGTTTCGCTCCAGGTTTACTGATTGTTTGATCTCCATTTTCCATCCCTTCTCTCGAAGGAGTGTAGGAGGGCTGCCCGTCTGCCATGCTACCATGTAGATTCATGGACTTCTATCGCTTGCCGTCCTTAAGATCCACGCGGAAAAGTGTATGATAGAGTGTTCTCCACGCACCCATGGAGTGCAGGCTTTTCCCACGAAATCCGTTGTGAGGCAGTGAGTGATTCAGATCCAAGCAACAAAGTGAAAGATAGGTTGCAAGTACAGAAGAGACCAATCTTAGCAGATAATAGTATGTTAAGGGAAACTAAACTGGGCTGCTGGGCGGGATGCACTCGGAAACGGATAGCCTTATTCCAGGAATGATGGTGCATTTCAAGACGAGACAGATAGCAAAAGTAAGGAAAGTGGAAGTATCGCGGCGGCGGACAGACCTGCGATCCTTGACTTATTGCCGTACTTCGAGCAAGTGAGATGACTAGCTTAGTCGAAGAATGCCTGGGGCATGGCTTTCATGAGGAAATGTCGAAAACGATCGGGAACGTGGTGCTGGCATCGCTATTTTAGAGTTTCGCTAGCCACTGTCACAAAGTCTAATCTCGACCCTCGATTGGGTCCCTGAGCGGATTGAGGCGAGGGACCATAAATCAAATGCCAAAAGGATCCTCATATCCGTGGGGCGAATGGCATATTTGTGCTGTTGCTGGCACTGCACTTCAGAAGAATGACACAGCGTCCCCTTCATCGTAAGGGAATGGGAATAAGACGTGTCCGAGTTGCGAAGTATCCGGAGGCGTTTAGATACTGCTAGCTGCGACAAGTTTATACTGTGGAACTGCGGGTGCTGTCCTGGATTGAACCCTGGATCTGCAAAGCTTTGGTGGATATGCACACTTGGACCCTTCAACCCCGATCCCCAAGACCCCTCCGTAAAACCCCCTCAATCAGGACCCTCCATCTGAACCCACCAGAACCCTCGATTTGCTGGCTCGCATGAGACACCTCAGCACTGATTAGACTTCGACTTGGGAGAAACCGCAGGTCTGCAAGAGACATGCTGCACGCTCTGACTAAGAGTCAAAGAAAGTCAAACAGTTGGAGGCAATGGTGGCAGTGCAAACGAAGGCATACCTGTTTCAACATGCTCAAAAAGCTAGCACATTAATCGTTCCTTAAGTGTTCCTGTAAGCCGCATCCTCGTCAGAATCATGTCCTTGGCCCCAGCGTGCAGTGTGTTGACTCAAGCCCAACTTTGATTGGGTCCAACCATGACAGAATCAGAGTTATGTGCCTGTGCAGCGACGAAGAGACTTTCCAAGTGTTATGCAATGTCGGGTTATTCTTCTCTAACTTCTTCCACCGAAGCTTCCATTACAAACTCAGACTCTGGCGGTTCCTGAAAGCAGCAGGCGAGATAGCATGGTTTACCGAAAGATGATCACCAGGTCCAAAATAGCTTCATGGTCCACTCTCCGTGTTAGCCTTCGCAATATGTGGACGCAAAAGGAGGGTTCCCTTACGTTCATCAGATCTGTAACAAGTATCCATAGTGGTATCGAACCAACTCCACCCTTTCGTTCCGGATTGTGTCTGTCGCACTATCACTCACCGTCTCGTGGGTCGTCTGTCGTCTTGTCATCGTCACCATGTACCTATTTACTCGATTTGAAGGTTATCAACCATCAAATCACAATTCGAGGCTCTGAGGCTAAGCAGGGCACTGGCAGACAACGCTGTGCAATAAGCTTGGTAGTACGCCCTTTCATGGCATCGCAAGCATCGATTCGAAAGTAAAGTGTCCAAAGTCGACTATCGAGGGACGAAGTGGTCCATCTCTGTCCCCCACTACTACTACTGTCCTCTACTTTCATACTCGTACCCTGCCGCCTGCCCTGCCCTGCCCTGCCTTGCTCGGGAACTGGCGGCCGCTAGTTTCGCTTCCACCTACCTATTCCTAACCCGGGCGAGCCGGGGCTGCTTGCCTTAGCGCGTATTCGGCTATACTTCGTCACCTCGGCCTCGGTATGCAGGGCTGCTCCAAGTGATTCTCATCCATGAACCCTTGAACTTCACCCCCACGACGTGTGTATCATAAGGCCACAAGCAGACTCATCAGGAGAGATGTCTGTCGCTGAGCTCAAACAACGGCGAAGAAAAGACTATGGATATATTCTTGAGTATCGAACGAGATGGTAGGAGGCAATGTAATGAGCTAAGGACGTCATGATCAAAGCTAAGATGTTTACAGGTCAGACAACGACATGTAAGCGATTGGAATCCATATATCTCTTTTTTCAAATGTCTAAAATTCCACCGAACGACATGCCTCCTCCCTCTCAATCCATCGTGAACATGGCTGCGATTGTTAATCTTTCATTTTATAGGTACGATCACATGAACAACTCGATTTACAACTTCCTGTAAGCACTCTTACCTCAACTATGCTCGGCCGAATGGCTGATAGTAGTGTCCAGGTACGACTCTGTAGTCAATACCTACCTGATTGAAGAATGTGGTCAAGATCCGAGGACGTCCTCGCAGTAAGGAACTCCACTTTCATTATTTCTTGAAAATGAGGCAGCACCGAAATTCGACTCTTTTAAAGCTATTTGAACTGTTACATATTGGCTAAATATCTCCATTTTTCTGGTGCATCGAGTCTTGCCAAGACTTCCCTGGAAGTTGAGCAAGCCAATTTACTACCTGGAAAAGTTTTCAACACGTGTCACCTTTTCCCTCGTTAAATGCTGATTTGAATATAATCAATCACTGACAGCAACAGATACGGGCTTGTCGTTCACTCTCATGCAGACTTTTTTGGATCAATAGCCTTTCCCGCCATCGCAGAACTCGCTCTTAGTGTGAAGAAGCTTGGTAAGACAAGTGTCACATACGAGATTGCCCTCTTTGAGCGCGGAGTTGAGGAAGTGAAGTCGGTGGGAGAGCTTGTTCATGTCTTTGTCGATCGAGAGAGTGGAAGACCGGCGGCGAGTGGAATGAACTCCATCCTCAAGGAAGGGCTGCAAAAACTTCTGGTAATAGAATCGAAGCTATAGTTGTGCATTCGCTTGTTGTCTATGGAATTTTGTGTCGGTCAAAGCAAGGCGTAGCATATCTACTTATGCCAATTTGGTCACGTGAGCACTATACATTTGCCATTTTGAGCCATACACCGAGGGGATTTTTTTTTTGAATACATTACAGGCCAGGAACATAAAGCTTATGTTGCTGCACCTCCTGATGTCAAATAATTTGCGGCTTTATGATGATTCCAGTCCAGTTCTCAATATCACTAAGTGGTGAATCCGCTCCCTTCGCTTAATTCTGTCCGTCCCAAAATTGAATAATATTTTTAGCATGGGTTCTTGGGCAGAAGTCGCTTTCTATCCTATTGTGGTTACCTTCTATTATCTACTGTTCTTGCTCAACACCTGCAACGCTATATAACTCTCCTAGTAGAACTATCCACTGCTTTTGATTTTCCAGATACAATCTCTTCAGTCCAGCCACACCCTATCTCTCACACGCACACGCATTCACACAATCTCTCAAGCCCACACAGTCCTTCTCTTTTACATGAATAATACCCTCTCACGACCATCCATCATATAATAGACAGCACGAAATTTCGTAATGCAACGACCAATTCTCAACCCGGAAGAGCGACACGTGCTGGCCAGCCAACGAACACGTCTGTATACCAGACCTTCCCCCGATTATCCCAATGGCCGCGGTCTGTTTGCAGGTTTACTAACCCCGCCACGTCGAAAGCGTGTCTCAAAACCGGTTCAAAGTCTCAGGCCAGGTCTAACCCCCTGGATGCACGACTGTAAGGTACCCGGAGAGCCGTCATTTACTACTTCCCAAATTTCCCTGCAGTCTTGTGCTCCGTACTCTCCAGGAACGTATAACTGTTCCATCACTAATTTTTTGTCCTTCCAGGGGTATCGGATCTGAACGACCTGCTCCCAGCAGAAGGCTTCGACTTCGATGATGAGGACGTTCCCAATGATGGATTCTCCCTTGGCGAACCCGAGGAAAGATTCAACTACTGGGAGAAGCCCTGGGTCCAAGCCAAGGCAGACAAGAAAGCGGCAGACGCCATCAAGAGAGGAGAAGCAGCCTTCAAGAGAAAGCACAGAAAGAGACCCATCCCACTGACACGAGTTGGGCGAAAGAGAGCTTGGAAGAAGCGAGCAGAAGCAAAGCTGCAGAGAGAAAACGGGAAATTCGTCAAGAAGGAGGAAATAATTAGTGAGTTCGCTCAGTACGTGAGGTCGGATCTTGTGCTCATAGTTGACAGTCATTGGCGATGGCTGAAGAAATCAATGAGATGACGAAGCGAAATCAGTAGGTCAACATACCCTCTTTCACTGAAAGGGGTTTCTGACCGTTTGACGACTAGTGATCTCAAACTGGACGGACCGGAGCACAGGTCGAAATGCCGATGGCAGTGATCAATAAGTTGCGCTCAAAATGCTCAAATGACGAGTAAGTCCATCTAGTCTCTTACACCAGAAGAGGTGCTAACTATGACTTGGACACGAAGTTGTTGACAGCTAGTAGTACTCGGTGGGGTTTTTGATGAGGGCCGGGCAAATTGAATAAGCGAGATACAACTAAAAGTCACCAACTTTCAACCTTTATATCTTTGTTTCTATAATAGGCTTTTCTTTCATTAAAGATTCAAATTACTCCTCTTTACAAAATAGATTGACCTGTAATAGCTAGAAAGGGATATTCACTTAAAGTGTCGCGATGCGAGAAAGTAACTAACTTGTAGAATATTAGCGCGATTCTCTCACTAAAGGCCTTAGCGAGTGCCTGAGGTGCCGGCCCTCATCAAAAACCCCACCGAGTACTTGGCAGAACAAAATGCAATGACATCTCTTTTTGGTTCATATGCCGCAACAGTTATCCGTTTTCCGTTTTCCGTTTTCCGTGTGACACGATATTTCGGCTACCCATTCAAAAGCCGTGTCGATCACAGACTGAAGGCTGGGGTTGTGATGGTTACCCCGCCTTCAGTGGTCTCGTTTTGTGGGGCTCTTCCCCGAATAATTCCCACAACTGGCTGGCTAAAGTCTGGGGAAGCATAGTCGTCGGCCAAATTCGCGGACTTGACGTGGAGGGCTTTATCCTTGGTATGATTGGCATAGCTTATCAAACGCCGACGATTCTGGGCAATGTTTAGCAGCACTTCTTCAAATTCTTCCTCCCACTTCTAAAGAGCCTGATTATTTCCCTGCTTTCTTTACTAAGTTCTTTGTCCTGAATGCGACTCCATTTTCCCAGAAACATCGGATTTTGTCAAACTGTCTCGAGAATTGACCGAAATTATTAGCCAAGATGGCGACCACCCATGATAATCTCGAGAAGGGCATACCTGTTGGCGACCTCGATTCCAGCTCAGATAAAATCGATGGCCAACACGTTGATCATGATGGGAAGGCAGCGACAGCCGCAGAGATTGCTCCCCGAGAACACCGAGCACCAGAATTCATACGTAACATGTCTCCTGAAGTGAGGCAGGCCACAGAGCTTAAGTTGAGAAGGAAACTGGATCTTCGAATCATGCCCATGATCGTTCTAATGTAAGAGGTCATGACTTCTTACGACGGACCCAAGTTCTTCAAAACACTCTACCGAAAATTCCCAGCTTGTCCTACTGACACAAATCTGAAATAAGTTCTAATGTCATATCTGCTCAGGTATATCATGAATTACTTGGACCGTGTAAGATACACTCTAGAACTTCAGGTCCTTCAATATTGACAGTTTGCTAGAATAACATCGCAGCTGCGAAATTAGCTGGCATTATGGAAGACTTGAGCCTGTCTACAGTGGAATTCAACGTGTGTCAATTGCCCAATATGAATGGCAAAATCAGGCTGACCCATCACTAGACATCGGTTTCAATTCTCTTTGTCGGGTATCTTCTCATGCAGGTACCGTCCAACTTGTTCTTGAACAAGATCGGAAAGCCAGCAATCTATCTCCCCATATGTATGGTGGTATGGGGAGTTATATCTACTGCAACGGCAGCATGTCAGAATTACGGTGGGCTCATTGCTTGCCGCTTCTTTCTTGGTTTTGTTGAGGCTGCATATTTTGTAAGTTCTTCGCCATCCATGACCCGACTGACGGCGTTGCTAAAATAATCACAGCCTGGATGTTTATACTATCTTTCGTGTTGGTATACTCGCAAGGAACTGGGCTTTCGAACTGCAATCTTCTATTCAGGAGCTTTGATCAGCGGTGCATTTTCGGGACTCATCGCAGCTGGTGTTCGATACAACATGGACGGTCTCCATGGACTTGGGGCATGGCGATGGCTGTTTATCATCGAAGGTGCCGTCACGATAGGAATTGCCATTGCAGCCTTTGTAAGTGATAGATGTGGACGTCATCAAACCCTCCCTTTTTTTTGTGCAATATAGCTACACCACAATCTAAGATTCTGTTTCGAGATCAAGAGCCTCCACTAACCTAGCCGCCGTCTAGTGGGTGCTACCAAATTTTCCGAGAACGACTTCGTGGCTCACAGATGAAGAACGGCAACTTGCTATTTGGCGTCTTGAAGAAGATATTGGAGAGGATGATTGGTTGGATAGCGAGCACCAGTCATTCCTTGTCGGGCTCAAACTCGCGTTCTCCGATATCAAGACATACGTTTTGATGTTCCTCCTCTTTGGAATCGTCGCTGCAGGAACTGTCACCAATTTTTTCCCGTAAGCTTCTTTTGCTGGGAAGCTGGTTTTTGACTAACGTCGCTCAGAACTGTCGTCAAGACTCTTGGCCAGAATGACGTGAACACGCTACTATTGACTGCTCCTCCTTATGTTCTTGCGGTCATTACCACATTCCTGAACTCGTGGCATGCAGGTGGGAGGGTTTTATTCTCTAAGTCAAGATTTAGTGCTTACTCTTCTCAGATCGCACCGGCGAACGGTTCTTCCACATAACACTCCCACTTCTCTTTGCCATCTTTGCCTACATCCTCGCAGCAGCAACTACTTCCACGGCCCCTCGTTACGTAGCAATGATGTTTATGGTCCCAGGAGTCTACACCGGCTATGTTGTAGCGTTGTATGTTGATCAATCAGTGCCTATTTTCCCCCAGTCGAGTGTCTCAAGATCATTTTACTCCCAAAAGCGTTCCTGAGACATGAGTAAATGAGTACTTGCTAACAGCCCTTTCATCACAGGGCATGGATCAGTAACAGTCTCCCTCGTCCACCCGCTAAGCGAGCAGCTGCTCTCGCCTTCATCAACGCAATTTCCAACACCAGTTCTATATATGCCAGTTATATGTACACGGATGCCGCTAAGCCGAGATACATCACAGCGATGAGCGTCAACTGCGCAATGGCCCTGATGGCAATTTTGGCTGCGACAACACAACGATTTATTCTCGTGAGATTGAATAGGAAGTTAGAGCAGGGCATTCGTGTCGAAGGCGCGATCAATTCAGGTGGCTTCAGGTTCAGAGTATGAGGAACGATGTTGGAAATTCGACTATTGATGGATTATGTTCATTGGTTTCAGACGTCGAAGTAAATAGAGAGTCGCTTGTGGGCATGGATCATGTCTTTTTTGTTAATTTGTCAACACGCCAATGAAATGGATGAGGACAGGACATTCTCACCTGTGTAAAGTGGTTTTGGTCTGGAATAAACAAAGCTTGACTCCATGTCATGCTGCCCAGGTTACCTCCTACCGATCCTAATTGCTTTCCACCTCCCAGAGCTGCCCATGACCTTGACCTATCTTCAAGCCTGGCTTATTTGTCATTTGATCGCTTCAGAAAGAGTCATTTCTCAAGCAAAGCACTGAAACAGGAGCAACAATAAACAATCCCGAGGGATCATGGCATGTGGTTTCGTGAACTCTTCATCAGAGCAAATCTCACGACTCGGAGCTTACCTAGGTACGGTACAGGTCCACAGCATATCCACCGCCCTCAACCACCAAGTACTCCACTCTTCCAGCTCAACCGGATAATGTAAGTGGCCCTCAAATATCCGACTTGGACTTATCTGGGGAGCCAGAGTAAGGTCTCGGACATTTCGTAACCTAAAAAGAACAAGTGTAATTGAGTTTTAATTGTTGCAGTGTAGAAGCTTGGCAGAGCAGCTGATAGGAAGGGGAGGCGGTACTGTACTGTACTGTACAGTACGTCATTTTACAGTACGGCGCGATATGGGCGCGTCCCCGCGTCGTCTCAAAACATACCTAACACCTATATTTAAACAAACATCCCGCATCTCGCACATCTCATCACTGCCGCGATAAAACCCGAGTCAATAATCCATAGGACCCGCAAGCAACAGCATAATGAATCGACTTCCACTGGAATTGACCACCGAGATCCTGAAGTATCTCGACCAAGCCGCAATCAAGGCTTTGCGCCTTGCCTGCAAGAGCCTGGCGTCAGATTCAGCCCCGATACTGTTCCGGCATGTATCGATATTCATCCAAGAGCATAGTCTGAATATGTGAGTCACTGCTGGCTCCTATTGTAAAAAAACAAATCTGAAACTGACCTTTCGAAGGCTTCTGCAAATCTCAAAACAAGCACACCTCCGCCACTACGTCAAAACGCTTCGAATTGGCCTGGAGCTTCTTCCTGTGGACGAAAGGAACGGATGGGTAGGTTGTCAACACATGGTTGACGGGGAAGTGTGCTGTGGTTGGGATTGCAAGAGCTCCATACACATAGATTCCTTCATAAAGGCCCAGAAACAATTGGAGTTGTCTGGACGAGGAGTCAAGATGCTTACAGATACATTTCAGAATCTTCCAGCTCTGAAGTCTGTCACGATTGGTTTCCCAGATCACCCTGATGGCAGCAATCCGGAAAGCCACGGCTTCCAACAACTAGGGCTCCACTACGTAACCGATCCTGAAGGCTTCAACTACCTCGATGGGTCGAACGCATGCCGATTCCAGGACTGTGGGCGGATTCAACTCCAGTACCTCCTTCGGGCTGGAGATGCCGCTGGTCTACAGCTCAATCACTTGAAGTTATGTGGCACGAATGATTCCGGCACTCGATCTTATCCACATAGCATGAGCCCTTCATTCATGAACCTCAGTGCGAGTGACATGGCCTGCGCGAAAGCTGTTCTGAGGCATATCCGGGATTTTCAGTGGATCATGCCCGATTGCTACGATCGAGACAGTGGTGATACCATGAACCAATCGTCGTTGAACTCCGTACTGAAAAAAGGCTATTCCGGGAAGCTCATAGATCTAATGCCATCTCTTGAGGCTATCTTCATTGAGCCTTCCGGGGAACGTGGAGACTGCACCCTCGACCACGGCTTGATGTTGCGCGACCTTGTAGGCTGGAGGAAGAAGCACTCTTTGCGAAAAGTCGAATTTTATTTTCTGGAGTTTGACGAGGACGACTATGTGGAGTATCTGTCGTCCCAGTCGGACACTTTGAAAAGTGTGACTTTCCTTGCATGCGGTCTGTACACGGGCTCAATGAAGTCGCTCTGCAATCGTCTCCGGACTCGTTTATCGTTAGAACAGTTTCGAATGTCCACTGGGCTCCATGAGTATCACGGCGAAGACGTTAGGAAGAAAGATTACGGGCTCTGGGATGATAATGAGAATCTGGACTCAACCTGGGTAATAGAAAGAGCCGTCACAGACGCCCTCGAAGATTTTGTCGTCGAGCGTACAGACAAGTATCCAACAGGCTGGGTCTCGTGTGTTCGAGAACGTGGCGATTCCACAGAGTCCGACGAGGAGTCCGAGGACGAATTCGAAATGATGCCAAAAGGACCCTGGTTCAGAGAATACGGCACTAATTCGCCATTTTGTCAGGGTGGAATCCCTTTCAAAGAAATCTTTTTAGCGCATTTTGGCTTCGGGTCTGATTCCGGTGAAACCGACATAGAAACTGAGTCTGATTCCTTCTTTTTTGATGAATTTGATGAATCTGACGACTCTGAAGAATCAGATGAGTCGGCGGACAGTCTTCCTGGTTTGGTTGGTGCTCCCTAATCATATGCCAAAGTCCCAGTAATGTTTTGTTGCTTTTAGTTTTTCGTGGCGCAGAATGTGTTGTACTATGTCAATTGAATTGGTTGTAAATCTACAAGATGAATGCTCTCAGCACACTTTCAACTTTTACACGCTACTCGTCCTTCACATGATTCCAAAAATGATCCGAATCATTGTTGTTGCAGATACAACTTAACAAACTCAGGAACATATGTTTGATTGATTCTATTGCGAGATGCTTTGTTCTTGAAATCTCCTCGCTTCAGCGAGAATGCTCTTGTTGCTCGCCCTGTCCGTAAGGAATGAAACCCCAATCCCTTTGTTCCATTCCAGGCCATGGGATAGACCCAGCATGCCCAACCCCCAGTCTCGATGAGTCGTCTTCACTGGCCGTTTCTTATTTGTATTCCTCATTTTCTGCAGCATCATGGGACGCCACACTCTGTCTCGGAGTTTAAAGCCAAGTCACTACGAGTTGTGTATCGACCCGTATATCGAGAGTGCAACGTTTGATGGCTCAATTACTATCGAAGTCGAGATCAACGAACCTACAACAGTTATAACCATCAATTCACACAAGCTTGCCATTAGAAGCACGACACTGTTCGATGGAAAAGGCGATCCCATCAAGGTCTCAGATACTGGGGGAGACTCCACGCTACAGACCTTTTCCATACTCCTCGAGAAAACTTTGCCTTCCAAATCACGGATATTCATCTACCAAAAGTTTTCGGGCTTCCTCAATAAGACTGGGATAGGCTTTCATACGACAGAAGTTCACAGATCGGGGATGCTTTCCACTCTCTTCGAGCCGATGCATGCCAGGACAGTATTTCCCTGCTTCGACGAACCTTGCTTCAAAGCTACCTGGGCGGTCAAAGTAGTCGTTCCAGTCCATCTGACATGTCTTGGAAATATGCCCATCAAGTCCGAGTCCGAAAGTTCAGTGACAACTGGAGGCAAAAAGACGGTTGAATTTCGTCGCACACCTCCAATACCAACGTATCTGCTCGCGTTCGCGGTAGGGGAATTCAACTCGATCGAAAATCATGATATTCGAATTCCAATCCGAGCCTACGCTCCACGGAACTATGAAGTAGAGCATTGCAGATATGCTCTTGACGTCGCCGCTCGGGTACTAGCTATTTACGAGCAAATTTTCGGGCTGACATGCGGTTTGGAGAAGCTCGATATCCTAGCAGTACCAGGAAGTGTTGGAGCTATGGAGAATTGGGGTCTTGTGACAGTCTCTTCTGCTGTGCTGTTCATTAGTCCTGACAGTACTGTGGCAGAGAAGATGTCCTGTGCCCAATTAATTGCTCATGAGATCGGTCACCAATGGTTCGGAAATCTTGTTACGATGTCCTCGTGGGAGAACTTCTGGCTGAAGGAAGCTCTGGCAGACTGGGCAGAAATCATGGCTCAAGAACGGCTTTTCGATTCATTGCCCTCGCAGGACTTCGTATCCGAGAAGATGCAGAGAGCATTATGTGCTGATTCAAGTCACTTCACTCACGCACTAGTAGGTGCTGGCACACATCTTGACCCCATTACGTATGGGAAAGGTGTCAGTGTAATGAGAATGCTCGCCGGACATATTGGAAAGGATAAATTCCTTCAAGGTATCCGTCGCTTCATGCGGCAAAAAGCGTATGGGAATGGTGATCCTGAGGATCTATGGGAAGTTCTAAGTCATATCAGTGGCTCAGACATTGGTGCTGTAATGAAGAGCTGGACGGACAACGCGGGTTATCCCGTGATCAACGTGGAAGAGAGTGAAGCAGATAGCACTATCACACTTACACAATCCCCATTCTCCTTGAGCAAGATTGAGAATACTACTTCGTACCCAATATTCCTCGATATTCTCACTAGCCAAGGAATACTCCGAGAGCGCCTAGACGAACAGTCTAAGACAATCGAATTGCCTTTACATTTCTACAAGCTCAATCCTGGACAGATTGGATTTTATCGAGTGGCGTACTCGATCTCAAGATTAGAAAAACTAGGAGATGAAGTCTGTAGGGGAACACTATCAGTTGAAGATCGTATCGGGTTGATATTCGACACAGCTGCTCTTGCTTTCGCAGGGCATGCTGGTCTACAGACTTCCCATTTCTTGAGTCTCGTGCAAAAGTTCGTAGACGAAACGAACCTATTCGTTTGGACTGCTATAATTGCAACACTACGAGAGATATCCAAAAGGTTGTTGTTCGAAGACCACATTACACGAAATGCTTTTATGGATTTTCAGTGGCATTTGGTAAAGAGATGTTTGTACTGGAAGGGGAAGTTCAACGATCACGAAAGTATGGAAGATTTGCGATTAAATGTTCTTTTATTTGGGAATTCCGGCGGGGATGAAAGAGTTGTTGCTGATGCGTATGCTATGTTCGAGAACTTCACTGCTGGTGATGGGAAGATGCTGAACCCGAATATCCGTGCTGAAGTCTTCGAGATCGTATTGAAGCGGGGTGGTAAGAAAGAGGTGAGGTCATCGTTCTTGCAAGCCCAAGACATCATCTCTAAAGCTGAGTAGTACAAAAGACTTTTGAAGAGGTTCGAAACCTCAAGTGGATCTACGAGGAAGGACATCATGCGTTCATTGGGCTACTGCCAAAATAACGCCTGCATCAAGAAGACTATCCAGCTCGCCACAAGCCCGGAAATAATTGCAGATGTCGGCTTGCGGCCAGCACTAGAATCACTGTCAACACACAGGAAGGGAATTTATGCACTCTGGCGCTTCATAGCCTCTGACATATGGACAAAATGCCCGGGGTTGACACTAGCGAAGATCGCTCCAGTTGGCCAAATGGTATTAGACTGTTTGACAAAAATAGAATACAGTGAAGGTGCAAGAAAATATTTGGAAAGCATGGATTCGAATGTGAGCTCTTCAGTACATAGTACTTCTAATACGATGAACTGACTTCTTCTAGATGCTCGACTCCGATGCGGAGCAGTGTTTTGAGGGTATCGAGGTTAGAGCAGCCTGGCTGGAAAGGGACCGAGAAGATTTGATTGGATGGCTGCGCAAGAATAGATATTATAAACATGGGTCGACGAAGATTTGGCGATCTATGAATGGCGTCAGAGATGCCTTGGAGTATCTTGGTTGTATTTAGTCAAGCCGAGGATGATAGGATTCGGTCTCTTGTGCTGCAGACTCGTTATGAAGCCGAGATTAAACCCAAAGGGAAGTCGGCCAAGATCAAGAGAGCTGCATTCAGGTAGCTTCGCTAACCAAGAGAGAGACATACAGTGGATCACATCCTATACATGTGGTCAGGAGCTGATGGCCTTTGGCATGACCTTGATACACCTAACCGTCGGATATCTCAGCAACGATTTGTTTTAAAGTTAAAAAAAGAGTCAGAGACATACACAGGGCTAGAAAATGATTTCAACCTTTGATCGCTTCTCTTTTTGTTGTGTTGAGAAGGAAATCGCAACGATGGTTATTTAGGTGTTCTCACTTGCCAATACTCTGCAGGTTCCCCGGTTCCCGTCCCTACCCGTGGCATTTCATGTCACAATCGACGTAGAACAGATGGCCACAAAAATGAATTGAAAGTTGGGAACTATGTCAAAATCCGTCGCCAATGGGTAATTTTGAGGAGAGCTAAGGAACAATGACAAGAGGAAACAAATCAGGACTCCATATTCACTTATCTCCGTCGATCGAGTTCCAAATCCTTCTTACTCCCCAAACACTCCAGAACAAAAGAAATCTACAGGGTATCATAGGAAAAGCTATGAATCTTTTATCGTGTACTTTATGAAATTCATGGGAAGTACGAAGAGCAGACGCTTTACACTCCAGAGTCTTCGGATTCAACGCCAGACTCGTCGACATAGGAATTCCACGCAGCGCAAGTAGAGTTGAGGGTATCGTAGTCAGTAATAGCAGCGATATCATCGATACGCTCAACGAGCTGGAGAGCAAAACCCTCAGATGTGTGCCATCCAATGTGGCAGTGCATGAGCCATGCACCTGGGTTATCAGTCTCGAAGGCAATGACGAGGTAACCCGAAGCTGGAAGCATGGCGGTATCTCGGCGAGGAGGATTGTCAGTGGTCAAGGCGACAGTGGATGAGTCGTAGGTTCCTGAGCCTTGGGCAATGACGAAGAAATCGTGGCCGTGGAGATGAATTGGGTGAGGAACTGCCTGGGTGGTCTCGATGATGAAGTAAACCCACTCATCTGCAGTAGGGAGTTCGATCACATGGGATGAGGTTGTATAATTGGTGTCGCCTTCGTAGATTTGGAGAAGTGTTGGATCTTCCCATTCGACTTCAAAAGTGGTTCCCACCATGTACCACTTGAACACATTGTTGCTTCTACCGACTGTGACCGCAAAATCATCGTCTTCTGACTCAGTAGAGACAGTCTTGGAGAGATATGGAACGAGAGTAGACATGTCTTCATCATTGCAGGAGTCGGTATAGCTGTAGGCGCTGGAACTGGGTTCGGTTGTGTTTGTGCTGTCATACATGAATATTCCCATGATGTTGTCAGTGTTGTCGTTATCGGAGCACGCTGTCTGAGGCATGCTCCTAAGCCAGTAGTTTCCAGATGATTGAGTAGCTGTGACCACAACATCATATCGTTGGCCCATGCCGATGGATAAGGTGGTTGCCGTGTACGGAACAATTGGCACGAGATCCATGGCGATGACTGTCATTTCATGCTCATCAATCATGAATTTCCAATGAGTATCAATTGCACCGTTGACGAGTCTGATTCTGTAAGACTCTCCAGCTACAACAGTGGTGTTGAAACGTGCACCCAGAGTTCCGTAAGTATTCGTGCCATTGATCAAGCCGTTGTCAAGTGTAGGGGGTCCAGATGTCTCAGCCACATGGTACATTGTATCTGCAGTCTCATGGGTCCAGTCGTTAAGGAATATATGGCCCATGTCATTGTCATAGTTTGCTGTGGCTGGCCCATTGATGATGATGCCGCCAAGGACACCCTCCCACGCCTGCAAAGCGAAATGAGAATGGTACCAAGTGGAGCCGTACTGAGTCGCTCTCCATGTGTAAGTGATTGTATCTCCTGGAGCAGTTGGGCATTCTATTTGGTAGAAAAGTCAGCAGCTGGTAAGCGCTAGATATACTGAGAAGACATGTCGCCAAAATGAACGTGGGACTTTGGAAGTGGTAATGCTCAGCACTTAGTACTCACGCGTAATAGAAGCAACTCCATCTTGTTGGTTGGTGTAGTTCTGGCGGATACCGTGGAAATGAAGACTTGTTCCATTGTTTGCTAGCCCGTTGTACAGTTTAACAACTACGGTTTTGTTAGCTGATATCTGACAGGTGAAAACCAGTTACTTACCGACAGTGTCCCCCCAATCTGCGAATAGAGTCGGACCAGGAAAGGTTCCGTTGACAAGCAATGCCATTCTCTCAACTCCATCTAAGGATGCCGTAGTATTGACGAGTTCAAGATAGTACTCTCGAGTCACCCCGGTATCAGGCACAGTAGTGTAGTAATCTGTGGTAAGGTCGTAGTCTCCCCAGCAAGAACGGTCGCTTGCAGAGTTAGTACATCTCTTACTGAGACTTCCTGCGTCGCGGGAAACGGATGGAGCTGCTGAAGTGGCTGAAAGGAAGACTAGGGAAGCCAGAAGAGAAAGTGAAAAATGCATAATGAGGTGCAGTAAAGAGAGATGACTATGAAACAGATAGCGAGGAAGCGAAGCAGAGAAGTCGATATTGCTGGAGAGAGAAGAGGATAGATCGATGGATGATGATGATGATCGTATTCCGGAGGCAAATCTTCCTCTTATATATCTTCAATAATACGCTCTGCTCGGTGCCAGTTCGAGCTATCCGCAGTCACCCCAAGTTACCCCATTGCCAATTATGGACACTCTCATCAAGAGACCACCGCGTGGCCCATATTTCAAAATTCAATCAGAATTGCTAACAATACTAAGCTTTCTCTGAACCCGAATAACTATCGAAACAGACATGACATCCTGGATAGCGTAAGTCCAGGTTGACTTACTGACCAAGCTTCGATTTCCGCGCAACTTCTCCAGAAGGCTTAGTTGAGCGCAGGGCAAATATAGGCCCGTGTGGAGCAGGTAAGTTTAAAACAGTAAATATGGTCAGGCAAGGTCGGCTAGTCAAGCCAAACGAAACATCGGCCCAACGAGAAGTCGTGAAACTCAACGTTGCCGGCTTGCGTGTCCGGTGTTACGCAGGCTGAATATTCGTCTGAAACAAAAGAGGCCGAGCTTATCCTGGGGTACGTATTCCACTTAGACATGGATCTCGGAGTAGGCTGAGAGAAGAGTGTTGGAGGGCACGGAGCACAATTGTTTCTATTTTGGTCTTGGCATTGGAGAAAGGGGTCGCTAGGCGAGCCACATGGCGGAGACCATGAACAGGACCGACATTCATCCTTAGGTCCCGGCCACGAAACAACAAGGATTACCTAAGGGAAGCCATGTCGAATGATCCCCTCGGCTATGTTGCAGGATGCACTGAGGACATTCGAAGACTCTTGCCCGATAGAGAGGTGCAGGATTTTCCCAGGTTTGGGATGGACGCAGCATCAACACCCTTGACGCCTCAGCCTCGCTGAGGTGGACATAGGCCAGGCTGGTTCGATAAGAGTCAACACGCGTCAGGCAATCAGGATTAGGATACTCAGGGATATTCTTTTTTCCTATTCGTGATCATTCTCCTCTTGCCAAGCAATCGGCATTTTGATGCGCAGATAAGTAGCGGTTGACTTCTGTCTGCAAATGGAGCACCACTATCTTCTCTCTCTCCTTGTTTTCAAGTCATCGTATCTTATCATTTGAAGTATATCTTGTTCTCTACACTCAGATTTCGTTCAACATGTTCTTCACCAAATCCAACATTGCCTCCTTGATCGCACTGGCCTCCCTTGCCAATGCAGCAGCAATATTGAGGCGTGAGTCGGTGTCGGGCGTGACTCTCTATGCTTATGGCATTGGCTCAGGGCTTCCTCTTATCTATGCAGATGGTAAGTAGCCACTCCCTTCGTCGATCTGTTCGTCACTGACTTCCGGGAAGGACTTGCTTACATCGGACTTACTGGCCCATCCGACGCTTCTGTATCTACCAATGTCACCTTCACGATTGATAATTCGGACTCGACGATCCCATGGACAATCAAACCCAAATCTTCTACCGTTTCCTTCAATGAGACTCTTTCCATGTACATCGTTCCTACTTCTGGTTCCTTCTCCCAGGTTGGCTATTCATCGGATGGATATCTTCCAGATGGTGCCGTGAACGTCGGATTCTCTCTTTTCGGAACGTCAGTTGCGTACTCTGCTAGCGAATCGGACCTAGAGTTGATGTTCTGGGCTGAAAACTCGACCACCGATGGTGTTTATGGCCTCTACTGGGATGCATCCGCAGAAACATCAGCCATTCCTGATGGAGCACTGCCAGTGGTCGTCAAGACGACAGTTCCAACAATCCCATCCATCTAAAAACTCGGATTCTTGATTGTTATCTTGCTGGAATCTGGCATGCTAGGCGGGCATAAGTGGTGTTTGTAAGGTATAGATGGGTTTTCCTTGATTTCTGCGTGAGTACCTCGCCAAAAACGGAGGTCGTAAACTAGGGTGTATTGGTCTCTTGACGTGTACATAGCTTCGTACGCACGATGTTTAGAGCATTATATGTGTGGAAAGTGTCTCGTTTCTTGTAATATAGCGTGGTGGTCTAACGTGAATTTGTCGGCCGTGGTCATCCAAATTCCTCCCTTCGTAGGTGACGTCGCAAGGCATGTTGTTTAGTGAAGCAGCACATTCTCAGCAACTTATCTTCAATGCAATAATTCAAAGCTGACAATGGGATGGCACTGATATCAAGAATTGGTTTGAATCCATTTGAGCGAACTTGAGAAGTTTCAGTCCATCTGATCATCACCAATCACCCAGGCGCGAATATCCACCAATTCAACAAAAACATTTTGACATCGATCGAATATGGTGAACACCTCAGAGTGACTTTGAAAATTTGCGTCTGATCTCTGTTGATGCTGCAATCCTGCATGCATTTTTACTCGACTCAAACAAGGTCCAGAAATGATATCCTGAAATTCAAGACGCGATACGCGCTGTTTCCGAAAAGCATTCCAGACAATACGTATAGACTGCGAATGTCCGGTCTCACACCGAATCTGGAAATCTAGACACTCCCGACCGATTATCTCTCTTCTTCACCAAGTACATCGATTCCAGCGCTGTCTTTCTCCTCTTCAAAGTACGAGAATGTGAAAGCGCCAACGCTGCTGAAGAATGTGATACCCGCAAGGCAATAGAACGGAAGCCCGATCCACGGTCCTTTCCATTTTAAGCCCAAGGTATACAAAGCTCCAAGTAGAGGACCAGCAATCAACGAAGCGGTAGTTTCCACAACGGATACAGCGGCATACAAACGCCCAATGTGTTGCTGATCAACCAAACTCGTGATCACTGATCGAATGATACTAACGAAACCAGTTCCCAACGTCCAAACTATTATGCCCAGAACTGTCAAGCCGATTGTTGGACTAGCTGCTATGAACAATGCACCAACGACTAGAATAATGACAGAAGCTCGCGCGAGGAGAAGGTCTTTTGCTCTAAGGGGAAAGATGGAATCGTTTGACAAGTATATGCGAGAATATAGGGATAATGATGAGTAGGAGGATGATGTTGACGAAGGCTCGGAGACTGAGGAGGAATCCAGCGTCACTGAGTGTCCAACCGAAGCGTCTTGATATATAACGGAGGCAGAGATTTATCGACAGAAGTCCAAATGGAGGGCTGATGAAGGCAAGCAGAAGCAGGAAAATAGGTAACGATTGTAATACTGCCATAGATCCCCAGAGCTCTTTCAGCCTGTTCAAAGCTTGTGATCTGACAGCTCTAAAGAATGTCGAGTTATCGAATTTGGCAGTCGAGAGCATTGTAACCGTAAGGGACTCTCTGACTCGAGGGCGTAGGTGTAAAGTTTCAGGAACAAACAAAATCATCAAGGTGCCGAACAGTATGATGACAGGGCCTAGTAAAAAGGGAAGCCATGGCGACTTCGTCATGAGTGTCGATGCTACAGACGGACCAACGAGTTCAGCAAGAAGACCAGAGCAGGCGCCGAGTAGGAATATGTTGGACCTGTACCTGTTAGCAAAGTGCACCACTGAGTGATTTCAGGTGTAAATGCCTGTTTTCTTCGGTAGTTATATCGCTTATGGTGGCCTGTGTGAAGAGAAAGTTAGTAAATATTTGGTGGAGATATGTTGAAAGACGGAAAGAAAGGTCAGTGGGGTATCTTCAGACACCTTGAAAAGGGAATCGAGTTTTGTCCAATACCTACATAAAATACCATCAAAGATACAGAATCCCCGCCGCCAATAAAAGTAAAGATAACATCAGCCCATATGGCACGTAAAGGTAAAGTTTTCCAAAACCACATAACCATAATGTCCCAGCACGCGTTCAGAAGCAATCCGACAAGTGATAAGATAATGACAGGTTTGCGGCCAATCCTATGACATGTTAGTCCTCATTTCATACAGAGGATGCGTATTGCCTACCGATCGGCTAGCAGCCCATAGAGAAAGATAGTCACCAGCGCTATGCACGACATTAGCACTTAATTGTATGGAGCCATAGCTAAATCCTACATGGTATCGCCTCCAGCACGGGTATCACTGAAAATATAACATTCAATTCCTTCTGCACTTCGTCTCCTTTACACAGCCCTTCATCAATGGTCTCTCCGAACCCAATATGTCCTGGCCCTTGAATTTGGTTATAATGATGGTGGCAGATGATATTCTCAGCTAATCGCATGGCAGGTACTGCCATCATTGTCGACCCAAAGGCAAGTACAAATACAATAGTGAATAGGATGCCTATGATCGCATTGATAGAATGTGTGGGGTGGACGAACGAGGATGTGGCGGGGATTTGGGGGAGGCTATCTCTCGGGAGGAGGAGGGAGGTCTCGTTCGCATTATCGCCATTGGTATCGGGGTCAATGGCAGTAGTTGCCATCGCGCGGACTCGTCTTATATGTATTACACTGTTCCAAGTTGGAGCTACTGTCGACCGACTCAGGGTTGTAGACAAGTCTTTGCCAGTCGTCGCGCTCGAAAGTGTGTTGTTCAAACCAAATCCGAACCTCGATTGAAGCAGCGAAAGCGTTTGGAGAGGGACTACGAGAAATATAAGACGAAATACGAAGCAAGAGAGGTAATAATACCTTGAGAGGAGAAAGAAACAGTTATGCTTAACTGCTCGTCATGCCTGGTCTGCTTGGGGCACTTGATTGAAGCAATTCGACGAGTACGGGGGAAAAGTTGAACCGAGGATCACCCAACACCACCTGTGGATCCTGCGATCCCGCTGGGGGGTTTCCAAAGCAAACAAACATTGGAACGTCAAAGTGTTGCCTGTTAGAGTTGCGCGTCGAAAAGTCTTGGGACGGAGGCTTATCCTTGGAGAAATTATGTACAGTAGGACGTATGGATCTCGGCAGCGGCCATCGCGAGGCAGCTGGGTGCTGGGCATGGCGCGGCCTGGGTTGCTGGACGAATGGCAAGGACACGCCCTGCATTATCAAAACGGGTTGTTCCCCAGAGGGAACTGTATGCCCATCCCACGTTTTGAAGGTAAATTCACGTCCATGCGAAAGTCTGGAGACATAAGGTTTATCAGCCACCTGTCCAGAAAGAGTCTACAGTATCAGCATGCAGGGGCATTTGTTGCCGACCGATGCTCTTCAGTGAGGGCGCAAATCGTGTATCAGAAGGGGAGGTATCTCAGAGCTGAATTCTCTTCCAGACAGCGTCGGGTTATATTACCTATGATGATGATTTTCGCTGTAACATTCCTTGTTCTTTCTCTTTTTTGAAATGCGAAATTTAAATATTTCAGAGCCGTTATCAATCTACTCTAGCTTACTTATACCTGGTTTTCAAGCATCAAGGCTGTATACTCTGGCAAGTGCCGGCTCCGTATCCTCCGCAATTGCCGCCCTGGAAGGATTCAGATGGGCATCCTCCAATTGCACAAATCGGCCCATACGATGTTGCATAGGTACTGTTGGTATAGGCGTAAGCTGAGCTGACACTCCAGTAGTCACTTCCTCTATACTGCCCATAGTTGGTGGCATAGTTGGGCGCCCACTCCTCGGAGTACATGGAGCAATAGATTCCTTGAGGCCGATTGTTCTGGCTCAGAACGTAGACGACAGCTTGATTGCATACACTAGGCTTGGCAGGAGCTTTGGGAGGATGGCGAGAGTTGTAAGCAGTTTGAGCTGTACAGGCGGCGGTACAGGCTGCGACTCCATTCGGGAATGATTGGACTTGATCGAAAGAGAAAAACTTGTAACCCATGTAAGTGTTCATGTTGGTAATCGGGTCGCTCGGGGCGCTGATAGCACCTCCAAGCTTCACAGGACCATTGAATCCTGGCTGTGAAGCAGGTGGAGCGTTCTTATTGTAGCCATTTGAGCCAGAGATCACCACGTGGAAATCATCTTGAACAAGTTAGCGATTTTTTTGAGCACAATAGCGACCCTTACTTCTTCGCTGCTCATCATTTGTTGCTGTGACCTCAGTGACTTGTACACCCCATCGAACGCACTTGATATTGGTCAAAGATGTTGGATTTGGACAATTCGCGGCGTTGGGGCTGACTGATGGGTCGCGCTCATAGTAGAGGTTGAAGGCAAAACATCCCAAGTGCTGATCACAGTAGCTGGCGCAAGCAATGGGATCATACTTATCCTGTGTTCTTAATCCAAGATAGGATACTGTCTGGCTGGAAGCCTCGAGGTTCGAGAAAGCCAGGCTGTAACCTTGAGGTACATTGGCTTCAGTTGCGGCATTGACAGCATCGTCTTTGAAAGGTTGGTGGGCCAGAAAGGACTCTGGTGAGTCGTCGGGACTATGGCTCAGCATGAGAATGGTGATGAGATCTATGTTAACAACCAGATCTTACCTCAACACGTGGGTGCCAGTGCCAGCAGGCTCTGGACTGCAGTCGCCATCGCGTTGTTGCAATCTACGCCTTACTTTCGGTTTGGCTTGGGCGACATCAGTTACAGTAGCATTGGCAACTTGCACAGCAAATGCTGCTGGGAGGTCGGCAACAATATCGACTACGATATCTGTGGGTGGAGTAACAATTTCAGGATCTGATGCGCTGTCGACGAGGTCAAATTGGATATCTTGAGGACGCGGAGCTGCAATAGCAAGAGCTGCACAAGCAGAGACGAAGGTTGTGGAACGCATAGCGAAAACCGAAAGTACGTGAAGTATGCTGAAAGGTGATAGGTGACAGAGATGGGGAGGATCGCCATATTATGTATGTCGAGTCCAGATAGATGTCTTCTTACTTTCCACATGGTCATTTTTCTTGAGCCTGGACTTCAGACCCGAGTTGACTGCGCTCGACGTAGCACTACAGACGCCTCGCAGCACCACGAAGGGAGAGATCCCACGATACGGGTCCAGACTGTTGTGTCCAAATACCCAAATCATCCGTTAAGCGGAGGAGATCCTCAGCTGGGAACTACAACGAGCTGTGGCTGTAATCCAGTTGAGTGGATCCAGGTCAACTGAGGCTATATCTGCCGGACCTACGAGGACTTTGCCGTAGCTTTCAAATGACCTTCCCTTTCAACTGATACTTGCTTGACTCAACAGGGAAGGCAGGTCATGCGGACATTGCCTTTCAAGTGCCTGCAAATGCTGATGGCCTTCATACTCTAGCTATCTAATAACAAGAAGATCAAAATCTCCACCACACATCGGACGAACCGTGGCAGAGAAAGCGTACAAGAGAAGAGAACAGTGATCAGGGCTCGATGTGCTATAATTATCCCAAACAATTAGACCAAAAAGAGGCCAAAGTGTTTAAAACATGGCTTTCCGTCCTCGTTACACCAGCTTCCGGTCAACACAACGTCCACTGGCTCCACACCCAATTCTGGGATGACACCATGAACTGGACTCGGCGATTTGATGCCAGACCAAATCATCAGGCTCAAATCCCTCAATTTTGTCAAGTGTGAAAGCCATCAGAAAATGGACCAGAAAGCATGAAATTCTGATTCTCATGGGCTGTTCGCCCCGAGAAGTCATTAATAATCTTCAATTGTGAAGATAGAGACACGTACACCAATTCCATATATGGGGACCTTGATTAGATCGTACCTTCCGTCCAGGCCTTGCCCTTTCACCACAGAAGGCAATGTTGAGCCCCTGTCTAAGTTGTAAGTCTATACCACCATATCTTCCAAGAACTTCTGAAACAAAAGCCTGATTTAGAACCCAACCCTACCTACATTACTGGCCCACAAAATGATTTCTGACTTCTTTACAGATACCCGCAAAACACTCAGTCTCTTCTTTCTCGCCTCCTCGAAAGCAGTTCTATACTGATGTATTCCCTCAGTAAACAGCAACCTCGTATCAGTCCACCCAGTCTCCTTTCTCAGTCTCTCACTCCAACCCACTGGCTGAAGCCCATCAACATCCTGTCAAAGTTCACATCGGGTGTGCTTCTGCCTTCCCCTATCCACAAGTTCTACCCCGCCCTCGATTTCATATTCCTCCAACAGCCCCTTTCAAAAATTCGTTCAGGGTTTCACAATTTCCTGCTGAGATGTTGTAGCACTGCCCACTGATTGCATTTCTATCAGCATGCTCAGCCAGCGCCACATATGCATCTGCACAATCGTCCAGATGCAACGCATGCAACACTGTCTCCGTATTCTCAACGATCTCCAAGGCAGATTTCTCTTTCGCCTGTTCAGCCGCAATGAAGAATAACCCGTAAAAGCTTGAGTTGCCGCCATGAACATTTGTCGATCTCAATACGACAACATCAAGCACGTCAGCATTCTCAAGGATATTCTTCGGACAGTTGACACGATTGACGGCAAAAGGCAGTGGGTTGAGCAGTGATTCTTCCGTGTGTGGATCCAGGTCTGGCAGATATGATGACATGAGGTAGTCGTTGCAGCCATTGGTGAAAAACAAAAGTGGTTTGCTGCCTTTCTTCTCAAGGGTAGCTTCTGCAAGGGTGTGGACCAAGGTAACATTATAGTGTGGGAAGTAATTAAGAATTTGTTCGGTAGTTGAGACAAAAAAACATCGAAGACTGAACTATGCTTCTCGAGGAAGGGGAGAAAGTCCGGACAAGCAGGGGAGCCCAGGAGTGGAATTATCTCTTCTGCTACGAGAGTGGGCAGGAATGATCCCTTGCGGACAAGGCCATAGGTTCTGTATCCTGCTCGGACGAAGGCAAGAGAAATCGTGTGACCGGCTGAGGACTTTGAGGATTGGCAACAGTTTTGGAGAATAGGAAGTCTATTTAGGGACATAGAAGTAGGAATTCAGTCCTTGGCCCAGAATGTGTCAAAATGAAGAAAGATATTTGCTAGAGGAGAACGCACTGTAGCCATGTACTCCCGTAACGAGGATGGCTTTCGTTGAGTGTTTGGGAGGCATGACTGTTTATTCTCAGGATGATCCTGAATTCCTCGTCATTGGTAACGAGTTTAAGAACTCGGAAGGACCTCGATTTTGGAGCCATTGATTTCTTTCTAAGCCAAAATCATGGCACCCTCAAACTCGAATAGGTCTATCTTGCTCAGGTATCACTTTCAGTGTCTGAACTGCCAGAATTACTTTATGTGGAGAGTCTCAGTGAGAGTTCTCTGAACGGATTGTCCGCTTCCGTTCTGGAATTGAAAGCATATCCACGTGGTGGTGGAACGACATGCAAAGAACAAACTGAGCTGGGTTTTTGACAGGAGTGATGACGTTAAACCCAGGGCTGCAGTAGGCAAAAGGAACATGATAACGAAATCTCATTGATTTGGGCTACAAGTGGCACTCTTGAATACCTATCACCCAGACCAGCCTTTCTCTGAATCCCCAGACGACCAGAACACCATCTACTTCGTGGGACGTTGTTGCTGGGTCGGGATGAGCGTGCTTGTAAAAGAAGCCAGAGTTTGGTTCAATTGGCACTTGGGAGCTCTTGATGGACCTGATTGTTGGACTTTTTGCTTCTTGACCGGAGGCTGTACAGCAAGGTGGGAAGCCTGTGCAGTCTGTGGGCGCTGCCTCTCATTAATTATGGTAGTGGCGGGTTTCTGCTCTGTCAAATCTGTAGTTTTACTGTTGGTTGCATCGGTGGGCTTCTGCATAGCCACACTAAAAGCTGGCTTTGGCTTTGGTTGTGGAAGTGCAGTTTCTCCTTCACCCTCGCCTGCCTCAAGGCGCTCAGCAGTGTTTGGACGTGTCCAATGACGCTGACTACGGCTTTCCTTAATGGCATCGAGAACATCGAGTCCGTCGTCGCATCTTTCAGATATCCGATCCCAGTAGGAGACAGTTGCCTTGAAATGCGTCGTGTCCTGAAAGTCAACATCAACCTGACTACGCAAAATCTCATCGTGATAATCCTCGTAAACCTTGGCTTGATGGTCGTTGAATGGGCATGCAGGTGCGAGTATGCCATGGTTTCTGTAGTATTGTTCCTGAAGATTAGCGGCCTTGCCAGGGAGAGGTTGTTCGTAGACATTGACAATCTGGTCTTGTATATGCTCCTCGTCGCAATGACCGCTAATCCTGGCTTCGTAGTTCTTCGCTTGGATAGTAGGTACGACCGTACGAGTACTCGTGAAGTTGTTTTTCTGGAGATTGGTAGCTGTGGGAGGGAGCTGCTTTCTGTGAGATTTATCGCGCTCACGCTTTTCTTTGAGTTTTCGAATCATTTTGGTGACATCGATAGGATAAGCTTCTGGATTGATGTAAATCGGAGAAAACTTGTTGGTGGCTTTTCCGTTGACCACATTAAGTACAAAGTCCCGAAGAACTTTGGGCATACCATTGCGAGTGTATATACCAAGTGTCTCCATCCATCTATGGTATTCCGCTGGGCTCATGAAGGTAAGTGGGTTGCCACCCTGTCGAGTGTGATGCAAATCTGCAAAGGCGGTTACAATGCGAACAGACTTCGAGTCAATGGCTTGACCTAGAGCTGGAGATGTCCATGCTTTGCACAGAACTCGTTGGCGGTGTTGCTTTGCGAATGCCCTTTCGATAGCCATATTGTCAATGCTATTGACTTCAAAGATGAGACCACAAGCGGGAAAGCCCTTTCTGCTGTCAAATATTTCCTTCTTCACCTCTGGCGCTGGCATCAGATATTCCTTCCCGACAGGCTCAAATCCAAGCAGACTGGTACCAAATCTCGGCCGGATGTTTGCTCGATCTGTAATACGTTAGCATGTTGCTACGAGAACATAAAGAATCCGTACTCTTTTGATTAAAGTGAAATTCCCATTCGTGGATGATACCTATGCCTTTGGCTGTAGCGCTAGGAAACTGTCTTGCGAACACGCTGGGGAAGTCATATATGAAGAGATGGAAAGAATCGATCTTGTTACGAGAGGGCATCGTGACGATTGCAGAGGTGACATGCGAGAGGGACATTTTTGCGACTGGGGTGGACGTCTCCAGGAGATCTCTGTCGCTGCGAGAGAAAACTCCTCGGGTGCGATCTCGATCAAAGACAGCGCACGGTGACACGGGCGCTATATCTCGAGAATATGGATGGTGATTTTATGCTGAGGTGAAAGCGTGCGTCCCGCACTCTTTTCTGGCAGTGTCGCTAAATCTAGGTCGACGCCACGCTGAGGAGAAAGCGATTCAGATTCCGAGCCCTGCTTCCTCCTCACTATTGGAATATGGCTGCATTGGTTCCCCGGTCTCTCGATACGTAATTAAAAAGGTCATGTGAGGCCCAGGAATAGACTGTCTACCTTGGAATGTACTATGAAAGTCGCTGGATTAATCTTTTCCACTATGATAAACAAATAATTCTCAGCAGCTTCCACATCCTGCTCTGTGCGTGGACGGTAAAAGCCATAGAAAACGCTGGTGGCATCTGGAGACTACTAGCATAATAGCTGATATTTTAATGCTATAGTAGTTCAAACCAATATCTCAACAATTGACACAGAACGAGTCAGGAGATGAAAGTAAACAAACAGAGAAAGCACGTGACGACGCCACATCGCTTAGAGAAACACACATCGTATTCTGCGCTTGTCTTTGATACCCTCTATTGGGAAGAGATTTCCCGTGCAATTATTGATTTTGAGATTCTTGATCTGTTCCGTGTTCTCCACTCCCACGAATGTAGCATGAGTGACAGGTGGTCATTTGTGTCTGATCAATGACCGAGTGTACGATATTGAGGACAGGTCAGAACATACTGTCCCAAGTACCTTCACAATTCTTGGCCTAGGTCCTTCAAACAAGTGGCCAAGAAGCCTCTTAGCTGGACATGTCATCCTCAAACGTCATTGCCCCGCCAAAAAACTCAATTTTCACCCTGTCCTTGCACAACAAGCCATGCCCAGAACATGCAATATCTCTAGCACTGGGCTCCAGGAGAAGTAAACGTCCTAGTGGGGAAAGCCTGTTATCGAAGTAGGTGTAGATAAAGCTTCGATGAAAAAGCAGTTCTGGGCATCGGTGCCATCGAACATAGAGCACAGCTCCCGTCCTGCTTCGAGCCCGTCTGCTTAAGATCAGATACTCGATTTTGCCATATTAGAAATGACACACGTAGAGTCTATGGAAATTTTGCTTAAGTCCTTGGCCAGAATTAATGTCTTAGGCACAAACGCGAAATAATCTGTCGAAAGTGGATCTCAATTCTGCAGATGTCGATGGCTGGCGGATAGTGTTCGCGGGTGACATTGTATAATGCTTTGATACAGTATAGTTTCATCTAACATACAAGCGGAAAGCACCTGTATTGAGTGTCAATACCGCATTGTCTCATATATGTAGCCTGCTTTACCAAACAGTTCCAATTTACTTTGATGCGAGATTCGCGAGTACGATATCACGAGCGTCTGCAAGTTGAGCATTTTGAACAACGCGTGGTGTCTCAACAGCCTGGAATTATGTAGTTTGCAACGGGTTCAATAGGGAGGTCACGTATGGCTTGACTCTCTGGTTCTAAAGCCGTTTCATGGGAGTAAAATTTGGCCACACTCATTGCAATTCGGATGAGTTGAAGGAAGTTATTGTAGAGACTGGAGAATAGAGTTTTGCTGTACTATGGTCATGTAAGCCAACTGTATCTTCGGATGATCTGACCAGATCAGAGAAGGAACAACGTGCTTCCAACAGCTTCAGCAGCTCCAACTCTTCAGAATGCCATCTCGCCATATGCATCATCGAAACTTGTGCCTTCAATGAACGAGTCCCAAACGCTCTGCCAGCTGTTAGCAACAAAAGAATTCAGTATGGGTATTACAGTATGTCTTACCCAGTCGATGTTCATTTCAGACTCGGGCATGACGCCGTATCCACCAAGGGGTGCCAACGGCATAAGTTGGGGGTCCATCTCTGGAATCTCTGGGACGAATTCAGGTTGTGAATTGATGTATTCAAAGAAACCCAGTGGACCCAAGAGATTAGACAGCACTTGAGAGACTTTACTAGCTTCCGGTGATCGCTTTCGTATAGCTTCATCCTTCCATATTTGGTATGCTTTGTACAGTTTGGGAAGTACCGACAGACACTCTGGCTGTAAAATCACCTGTGCATCGAGCCCATCATCCCTTTCCATCTTTCGATGTCGGATATCCAGGACGATGATCATGGCAGCAAGTATAAACTCGTGGCTGGTGTATGAAATTCGATACCAGTGTGTTGCTATCAAGAATGATGCATTCGCAGAAGTGTACAAAAAGTCTTGCAACTCCAACAAAGCTACAGCAGAGCTAATACAACGATTGTAAGATGGCGCAAACCGGGGATCGCTTCTACCACGAATGAAAAACTTGCGATGTAGCACGCACATTCCTTGGTGATGGAGGAAAACCAGCTGTACACGTCTGTTGATGAGAGACTCGGTAGCGGAACCATGAGCAGATTCTGTGCCTTGCATTCTGAGGTACGGTGGAGTGGCTTCGAAGGACGCCACCATTTCTTCATCCAACCTCAGTACTTCGCTGTATGGGTATTGACCTAGTGCACTTAAGAAGTCCACGATAAGTCCTAGGCATCGAAGAATACGGCCTTTTGCAAGCAGGTATGACACAGGAGTCGGCTCAGTCTCTGGTTGTGGAGGAGGAAGTACTGTCATGTCTTCCGATAATTGCCAGTCATAGATGTTGATTGGCTCAGCTGTATCAATGTCCGAGTTGCGAATCATTCCTGGTAGGCCAGTAAGGAACGAGGTCAGGGAGTCCATTCGATGTACAAACTGCCATAATCGGCGTCTCATTTCTCCTTGAAAAACGGAGATATCGGGGAACTGTGAAGGGTCTCTGTAAACTCTTTAGCCAAATATTTCTTTTTCAACAAGGAAGCTGGCTGACCGGTGATATCCCATTTGCAAGGCAACCCTCACGACTAGCCCAACCATCATCCAAACTCTCGTTTCACTGAAGGCTTTTCGAGCCCATTCAGCCATGCTATTGTAGATCAAGGTTTCCAAGGTGAAGGGGGCACATTTGGTAATATCTGGATGAAAGTCATTAGTTGGCCGATACATATCAGCAGTCATCGCAATTCCGCAAATAGGAGACAGCAATGCAGTTTAACTTACCCCCAATCATCAAACACTACAGAGAGGATTAGTTTCTGTCAATCTTGATAACGAAAGAAATAGAGATAATGAGTTTTGGCATATTGAGACGAGCCTCGCGAGCATGTGGTTCTTGAGATGTCCAGATTCAAAAGGGAGATCTGCTCACCTGTGCAGTCCGAACCCTGTAAAGTTCAGACAAAGACCTTGAAGTACCTTCATACTCGGGAGGCTCATCTTTGTTACAATAGTATGAGAACATTATAAGGCTTAGCATCGAGAAGAAAAGACCGAGCCACATCACGGGGGTCTTCGAAGGATCGGCAAAATGCTCCTCATACTGCCTCATGAAAGACGGTTTGTGTAGAAGATCTAGGGATTTATCAGTATATCGAAGAGACAGTCGGATCAAAACATACGGAATGTTGGTACAGGCGACTTCTCGTCATCGAAGAATCGTGCCATGAGTTTGTCACATGCAGCCTTCGGAGGAATCGTAGCGATCAGCTCCTCTCTGCTGACTGGACTTGCCATCCCACAAAGCAAGCCTGGTGCGTCGGAAGCATATGGGTTGTAGAGTGCAGCCACCTCATGAGTCTCTTTCATCTCTCCCCAAAGGCTCTTCAGCTCGTTTAACTAGCTGTGTCAGTACCGTGTTGACTCGAGAGCAAACATCGGCATACTTCTTCCAGCACATCATACCAATGTGTAGAACCCTTGTATATGGATTGCTTCTCATCAACTTGCATGATTCCAACGCCGTGCTGAATCTCCTGAGTGGTTTTGTCATTGTCGTTATCAGAAGCTTCTGAACTGCTAGGCGTGATCCGTTCCAAGGGTAAATTCCCCGACCCTCCGGAGGATGAATTTCCACCTAATTGTTGATTTTGATCAACTAGAGTAGTGACTAGCGTTTCTAGACGGTTGATACGCGCTTGCATGTCCTCTGCCTGACCAGTTTTTCCCTTACGCTTCCCATGCTGCGTAGCCGCTTCTCCTCGATAGACACATGCCGCTGCCTTGTCTCTGACAGTACAGTTTTGACAGGGCTGCTCACGATTACATTTAAGCCTATGAGATAGTTTAGTGATCATCTGAAAAGGTTTAGAGACATTGGAAAAGTGGATATTTACTTGCTGCTTCGGCAAGCTTCACATGACAAAGTCGACCGAGTCTTCCTTTCTGCCTTCCGTTGCTGTCTTTTAGCCGCGGACTTATTTGCTGTAGGATCCATCCTGTATTGTAGGTGTATGATTTGAAGTGGGAATTGGACAAGTCCAAGTATCGTCAAGGACAATGAGCCACATTAGGGCGAAGTGCTGTGCCCTAGGCTAGCTTCAGTTGCCACAAAGATCTACTTGACGGGGTAAGAGAGACCAAAATGTGCAAATATGTCCGCGGACATTTTCGATACCCCAAATATCAAGATATCAAGTACAACCAATCTACCTGTACGTCTTTAAGCGTATTTGCTGCAATATCAGTCCATAAGCTTTTCAAACTATAAAATATAAGCAACTTCTGGGCAATATAGAATATGGTATATAAGATAGTCGCGAGCGAGATCCTCCACGAAATACTTCTCAGGATTGTTAAGTACATAATCATATTTCACAGCACGTGGGTATGAATTACATGGGGGTCGGTAAAGCGTTCAATGATTCTGATATCTGGCGTTCCGTCAGATGTGTGCCCATTTATCGTCGAGCAGCTACAGTGAGGCTAGTTGCCAAAAGTCCACAGGGCACTCAATACTGGTCCTTGAGGTGTGTACACTTCTTCTCACAGCTTAGTACACCTTTGTCCACCACGGGGTCCATGCCTTCTCCTCCTCTCCGGACGGGCTATTGCCACTCCCAGGACCACAACTTCCCTCCGCACCAATCCAAGCTTCTCAAGACCATCAAATCCAAGAAGAATATGATCACAGGAATGATCCCCAATCCTCACACCCCATTCCCTTCTTCAACCAAACTTCTTGCTCCCTCCCTTCCTCACCTCAACATCATTCCCCTTCTTATCCTTCCCATCCTTAGCATCTTTATTCTTCTTGCCTCCTTTCAATAATTCCAAATGTCCTGCTTTGGCACCAAGCGTACGCTCTGTCATAGCAGTCAATCCTGCAGAATGTTTCTGTAAGATTTCAGTCAGCCAATAGTCGCCTGAAATACACAGAACTCTTCAAGCGCATCGTGAGGTACAATCCTCTGGCATAAGTCCCCGTCTTCGAGCTAGCGAAAAAGTAAGTATAAAAAGCACAAACCTTTGTCATTTTCGCATTCCTAACGAGAACCTGATTCCTCGGCGCAATCGTCCTGGAGCCCTTCTTCGGACCCAACACGCCTGGTCTTCTAGTCGTAGACTTCGCAGTCGCCGTCGTGAGCTTCTTCGACTTCAGTGTTCCTTGCGCCATCTTGGATCTTATATTTCTTGCTGCTGAGTATTGAAATGCGTCTCTGACTAGGTGCTGCTAGGGAATCTGAATGTCGGTGGGAGAGATGGCCCAACAGTATTTTTCCAGCCCACGCGGCCGCTAGCTCCGATCCCCCGCGCTACTACTATCTCTCGCGGTGGAGATCAACAGACCTTGACCTCCTCGTTAAGAACGAGCTTCGTCTGCCAGGAAACAAATAAAAGACGAAAAGAACTGTTTAGAGATGTTGATGTATCTACTCTCTTGCCCAAAAGTACTTTGCAAGAACTACGTTTCTTCAAACTCCTTCCCTGCCAATGAATACTATTCTCGTAAAGAATTTGAGGACTAGACATTGAATATCGTTGGCAGTACCACTTCAATTGCAATCTTGCGATCCTTTTGAATCGGGGGTTAAAAAAGTTCATATCATTCAATCATCACAAGTCTACCTTTCCAAATTTCTTTTAGATCACGTACAAGCCTCTCACCCCATAGCAACAAGACAAATATCAGCCAGAATCAATCCTCGTCTTCCTCGAACATCTCTCTTCCTATCATGAAGTTTTCGTTTGTGCATGCATTGCTCCCCAGAATCCTTTTCATAAAGTCGTTCCGTCGTTATAGTGCGCGACACTGCTTCTCTTCTCTCTTCTCCCCGTTCTCGTAGCAGAAAAAAAAACAAATCGCGAGAATACAGTACAAGTATGAAGTGCAGAGCAAAAAATGTGAGAAGAGCAAGTCGAATCGCCCGCCGCCTGCACTGATATTTTTCTGGTTGCCTTTCTTTCTTTCTTTCTCCTTTGATAGTACAATCCTCTGTTCCTTTCCCAGCCGAACCCCATTGTCTCGAATGCCCAGACCGCCGACCGCCGTTACTCCTTTATCATATCGTTTCTCAATGCCCCGCCCTATTTTCTGCTCCTCAATACATCGTCTATCCCGCTTTGGACTACCTTTGGACCGCTGATCGTTGCTCGGAGTTTCTGGCTCCGTGCTTCTCGTCTCCGTTCGCTGAGTTTGTTCTTCACTCCACTCCAGCCTACATATTCCACTCGGAGACCTAAACCTGGGATTGTGGCTACACGCCCTCCATTGCCTTCTTTGAAACCGTATCCAAAGGTCCCTTCTGCTGGACCGCTTACGGGGCGACGAACTTCAGAATATGTCCTCCTGTCATTGCCATCTCTCCTCAGCGACGAATTGCTTCGTTGCTTGACCACACGCATGTTGCCACTGGGTGTACGTCTCACTGTCCTACGATCTCTAGCATAGGTTTGATAGTCATAATGATCATCTTCAATCGGAAGGATAGCAAAAGTACGTTTAAGTTTCTGGCTGAGAGTCCGTTTTGGAGGCGGTGGTCTGTTGTCGACAGTTGGGTACCCATATTCATCGCTATAGAGACTATCCCGATCTTCAAGGTCGTCCCAGAAATGAGCTGGTCTCCAGAATGGATGTAGTTTGCCGGCATCTGCAGGTCTATCGGCAACCGAGGGGTAGAGTGTCGATGGATTTGCTTGCTCTTTGGAAGTCTGCGTTGAGCCATCTACCAGTTCCTTTCTACGGCCGCCGCTCAACGAAAAAGTACGTTTCAGAAGGCCCGGCGTCTGAGCAGAGGTTTCCGAATAGCGACGATTGCTGAACGCACGGCGCATCAAGGACATGCTTCGTTTTGGCTTGCTGTCTGAGCTTAGAGGTCGCTCATCGATATCATAGCCCAACTGGCGGTCTTCCTCTTGTCCAGGTGTAAGAGCAGCAGGCGTAGGTGGAATGAATTTTATCGCAGGAGGCTCCGGTGGATCACGAGGATTGCGGAGCGGGGAGTCGATGGTGTCCATGGGATGAGTGGGCTGAGGAGGGGTGACAGGGCCTATGGTTGATTTGCCATTGACAGCCATTTTCGGTGGGGGTTGAGATGTCTCAACAGGCTTGAGAGCTGGTGGTGAATTCTCCTCTGATGTTCTGTGCTCCACGACCAGAACTGATTTGTTCTGGTGAGGGAATATCGTGACAGCCAAAGCTTCTGAGACTTCTGCAGTAGTCCCAGCAGTCTCATAAGAAGTCTGTGAAAACGGTGTCACTTGAGTTGAGAGCCTTTTCCCAAAGAACGGGTCACCGTTGTGGTCCACGTTTAGCCGGTGTGGGGTATGAGTATTGATATCTCGTTCAAGTTCTGCATGGGGTTGAGGTTGAACAGACCCCTCAGCAGCAGTAGCAACAGCAGTAGCTGCGTCCTGCTTCTGTTTCAGAATCATATTGTGGGCATTCAAGCTTTCCGCCGTGAGAGACCCCGCCCTCGAAGTATTCCGGCTGGTCGGAGCAGAAAGAGACGACCTCCTCGTAGGAATACTTGGAGGGTAGTCTATGGTACGTACCGAGTCGTTGCCTGACCCGGCCGATTCTGACATTGTCCGCTTTTTAGGTGGACGTGAGTCGAAATATCCAGGCTCGTTGAACTTCGAGGATTGAGATAGGGGCGCAGAGTTCAATGACATGCTTCTCTTGGTCTTCCTGCTGCTCGTGGATCGTAGTGACTGGGTTCTTGATTTGCTGGAAGAACGTCGTTCTGGAACAATTACAACTGGAATTCCTCCACTGTTCATTATTTCTTTACGGGATCTGCCGCTAGATGATGTCGTGCTCAAAGTGGTGTTGGATGCAAGACTTCGATGTTTACGCTCTGGTATCCTTGCGGCAGCATGATGAAGTCGATGTTGAGGTTCGCTCGATACAACCGAATTTGGCGCTGAGCTCCGCGATGACTGGTCAGAGCTAAAGTCTCTGAGGCCCAGGTGTTTCTTGGTATGTCGAAGAGTCTTTCGTCTGAGCGGAGGAGCGTCTACGACCAGAGCTTCAACAACAGCAGAAGAAAGCGATCGGCCAGACATAGCTGAGAATCGTCGTACGTCTGGTGTTGAAGGTGACTCTGGATCAGCAACAGCTGCTGGCCAAGCAATACGTTCAGCGAATTTCTCAGTGGAACTGCGATCAGCTGAGTCCCTGGCAAGTCGGTGCCTAGCGATTCTCTCTTGGAGAGGCAAGCTTCTGACAGCTCTTGTAGCGTTTGTTTGGGATACAAGATCGTCTTCTATTACGTTGTCCGTAGCTCCATCCGTTTTCAAACGAAGTTTTTGCATGTTTCGACCAGGCCTTTTCCGAACTGTCACATTCCTCATAAGGTTGTCGTCCCATTCTCGTTCTACTTCGCTTACATCAGTAGCAGCACCCCATTCTCCATCAAAGACAACAAATTCCTCTTGCGAATCAACTCTCGGTCTTGGCGTTGTTGTTCCCTCATTATCTGATTCGAGACCCAGACCCAATCCAACTTCCTTGCGTTTCTGGGGCTTCTGTGAAATCTGTGGTACTTCGACTGCTGAGGTCCTTGCGGATGGAAGGACCGGCCTCACTGTCGAAGCCTCATCCTCGTCTGAGGAGTAGGGATTTTCTCGAGCAGTTTTGAAGGAATCTGTCCGGGAAGAAGGATATCGATCGCTTATGGGGGGGCGAAATGCCAATGGCATTGCCCGAGGGGGTGTGACATCGGGAGTAGGAGGGCTTTGCTGTTGATTGAGTGGCGTGCTGGGTGTAGATGGGGAATCTGCAGAGGTCTTGATAGAGGCTATATCAAATCTAGGCGCGGGAGCAAGCGTTGGATGAGACCCGGAAGATTGACGGGAATGGGTGGGAGGAGTTGGAGGTAAGACAGGAACTCCGATTCTTCTGGATGCATGTTTCAAAGTCCTTGGACTCGATGTATCTGAACTTGTTAAAGAGGATGTTCCTGTATCTATCGAAAGATCGCGTGGCTTCGCCGCAGGCGTTGAAGGATGGTATTCGGGCTCTCGAGGATGAGGTAATATCTTATGTTTCTTCAATAAAGTTGTTCCAACGCCCTGAGCTCCATGCGGAGCATCGTAGGAGCTGCCCAGCTCGCGCGCCGGCATCCTGAGCCAGTTCGTCTGTGTGAGGAGCATTCAAGCCGCGTCAAATTGGATCAGAAAGAAATGAAGGTTAATCGTGGGTCATCGGCTAGTCATCAAGGTCTGTCTCAGCAGGGCATCACTGGTCATAGTGAATTGCGGCAGGTTGCATGGCTGTTCTGTTGTCCCGGCCTCGTGGACGCTGCTTCCAGTCGCGAATTGCAGGAAGTTGCGGCAACGAGAGTCGTAAAAGTCGTGAGTGATTGTGGAACAATTGAATGCGATACCAGAAAAGAAATCAAGGGGGGTCGCGATGAGGAGGAGAGGCGCAAGAGGCCGGTGTTGACGAAACGGGTGTGAGAGAGGAGTGAGGGCTGGGCTGGAGTGGAAGTCTTCAGGAGATTCGGTGATCGTCTGCACGCGCAGGCTGCAGCAAGCCTCTCAGGTGGCTCGGTCCAGGCGTATTAGCGAGTCGGATTCGACGGTGCGCAGGTGGTGCTGTAAGAGACCGCGGTGCGAAGGTTCCTATTCCTGTCGTGAGTCGTGACGGGCTTCCTGTCGCTGCGATATGTATGTCTCGGACGTTCCTGAGGACATCTGGCGCGAATAGAAGACGAGGAAGGGCGAGGTCAGCGAGATCAACGGGGTCGAGGGGGAGTGAGTGGGCGGAGGGGACGCAGGAGTGCAGTGGGGTCGAGTGTCGTCTGCGAGGAGAGGAGACTCAGGAGAGGAGAGGAGAAGAGAGTTCCAACCTGAGCCGGCTCTAATCCGCTTAATTGGGCAACAGGAACTGGCAGATGCTGCAACTACTGGGACCAGAAGACTGGGATTGCCGGGATATAATAACACCAGTACTAATAAAGCCTCTCTCTGACGCAAAAGAGGCAGTCCTTCCTGGCGACTGACTGCCTTGCTTTTCATAGGTACTGTACTGTACTGTACTGTATGGGGATGGATCACGACCAAGTCCTCGAATCACACCCGCGGAGAGCCTTGGATTTCTAGTGCCGATTCACGACTGCATGAAACGTATGCAGCGTTTTCCAGCCCCCCTTCCAGGCAGCGAATCACTCTGCTGAACTCACCGGATGGCCTTGTCCTTGGGGCCACTCTACACTGCCTAGGTCCTAGGTATTCCCTCGTTGACGGGTATACGAGGCCTGCTGGTGTATTTGTATTTCTGCCGATATCCTGCACCAGCCGTTGCTGTCGTCACACTGCTAGAGAGGAAGAAGGAAGTAGGAAGAAGGAATCGGGGAGGCTGGGCCGATGACCATTAGCTTTCACCAGTGGACCGGACCGGCCTTGGTAAAATATTGATTGAGAGGATAATTGGATGGTTACCAACGCTGTTCACTTCTGGTCGGCTCGACGGCCGCCGTCCAGAAGTGATTCAGCCTGCATGGTCTCTGGAAGTCTGCATTAGGCGAGTATGACACGTGATCGGACACAACACCCGACTTCCAATTGTACCTAGCGACTGATGATGAAAGCAAGGGAGAACGACAGGAGGAGACAAGGTCAAATAGCAGTTATTTGCTTTCAGAAGTGGGACTACTAGCGGCATAATTGGGCATGGCATCTTCGAAGGTTGTTGCAAAGACAACTGATGGAAACGTGTGTAAATTTTGGCAGAGGTTAAAGTAAGCGAGGGTGATGTCAAAGGAAACCAGAATAGTTCCTTGGGTTACATCTCACTAGGTTTCCACAGTAGGAAGTATATTCGAAGGACAAGAGCATATCTCGGATGCAATCAGGTCAGTAGAGATGAATCTGGGAGGATCACGAACTTTACCACCAAGAGTACCCCGAAACTGGCGGATTTACTTCTTGTCCTCAGAGCCTTCGGGCAGTGGAACTCATCTGAAGACCTGCCTGCTTGAATGTGTCCAGGAAAGGTCACAACCAGCCTTTTCGCCCTTCCTTGAAATCAGCAAGTGTATGTAATTGAAGAAATCTGGCCTCGTAGCAGTGTAATTCTATTCGTGCTGCGGGTTTGTATCTAGATCTCCGATAGGCAGGTAGCAGGTCTAGCCACTATTGAATTTCATATTTCACACGTCGGAGCCGTTATCTGAACAAAGTTCTTTCTTGCTAGCCAAGTGGAATGCGGTGCCAATTGTCTAGATGTAACGTGTTCACAAGTTTGTAGACTTAGGTTTCTGACCTGGCGGTAGTCCGGGACAGCAAATAGAGTGTTTAGCTCCTGGGTCCTCTCACGACCTAGCGTCACGTGCACCTGTAGGACTTCAATGGTTCCTCGAGGTTCCGACTCTCTTTTTCCAACGACTCCTTTCACTCGGCCTCCTACCACCAGCTCAATATCTACAATCCCATTGTTCATTTTCACTTCTCGATCAGCAATATCTACGCAGGTAGCCCTCACCACGGAATTACGGACTCTTGGCACCATACAGAACAAACAAATTCCGTCCGCTGCATGTCGGCGCTCTGAACAAGGTTCCGAGCAAGAAATCTCACCACTCACAAACAGCGCTGCGCCTCCTAGGCGTGCAGACAACCAGAGGATGCACCCTAACATCATTTCAGCCGGGCGGAAACATGAGTGAGAGCAGTGCTGCGGTGAGTCTTCGTGCCGCACAGTATGTTCCTCGATCTCTTCTCCTTTTCTTCTCTTCTCTTTCCTTGATTTTGCTTCTATCCCCGTTTTTTTCTGCCATCCGAACACAAGTATCTCTCTTTTAAGAGCCCGGAAGTTGCTCGCGTTATCGCGTTGATTGGCACCAAGGCTCAAGCTAGCTGATCGTGGAATCGCATCCCCCCCAAAGAAAATAATCAACCCAGCTCCAAGTCTCCCAAGCTTGTGCCGGTGACAATTCCCCTCCCTCTTTAGGCTTCACAATACAGCAACACAAACAATAAGAAGACAGAACCACTGCAATGGATGATTCCCCTACGACTGGGCTTCCACCATCATTCCCAACTTCGATCTTCGGCGACGACGACTTCCCAACTTTCCTCACGTCTTTCACCAAGAAAAGTAGCAGCACCAGCACGACGGATACTTCCACGTCTAGTCAGATCACACCAGTATTGAACACGATGACGAGTTACACCCCAAGTCCTTTGGGCCCAGCATCCTCTCCGACTCCCAGCGGCTACCCCGGCAGCGATGATGGGAATGATAGCTTGTTTGAAAGGCTGGAGAATGGGACAAAGGCTGCAGTGGGAGTTGCGATTACCATTGGTGTTATTGTCATCGTCGCTCTATCCGTGTGGTATTGTTGCGGATGCTGCGGTCTGCGTGCAAGACGCAGGAAGCGTCGCGAGGGCTCGCGAGCACAAGACATCAGCTCTCAGCCTCCAGTCCCGCTGAATACGATGAGTCCTAGCCATGCGCCTCCCGCAGGCGATGCTCCTCCTCAATACGAAGAAGCTGTGCCACCTCAACACCAACACATCGCTGGCGGAGCTCGGCATGTCAGGCAAGAAGAGGACGATGCGGTCATTTCAGATGGCAAAACGCCACTGAGCGAAATCCCATTCGAGGATGTTGTGCTCGACCATTCTCCATCAGAAGGATCGTCGAGGAGCTTTAGCGAAAGGCATCATGGGCTTGGAGGAGATACCAGAGGACATACGAATACCTGAGAGAGGTAGGAATACAACAAAATGGGTAATAACATGATACAAGAGTCGAGTTCAGGTGGGCAAAGTACGGAAGTGCTGGTAATGACACCGGCATTATACGCTTCGACACCAACGGCATTGTTCTGCCTACACGAAATCGCCTGAAATAGTGGGGAACAAGCCTGCCAGTCTAACCGTTTGGTTCACTTTACGAGGATTGTTGGCAGATGGCGGAGGAGCATGTTGAAGCCCCCCCAAGGTCAAGGAAATGAATGTGCGGAAGTTTCGAGGCTGGCAAAGTCCTCAGAGAACGAAGGATACGTATCCTTTCTAGGCCTCATCGTTTTATGCTGTCTGCTTTCATTGGCGGCAGAAGTAACAAATTATATACTATTATCTATGGAGCATGGGAGCTTGGTAAATGCTATGGTCTGTCGTCATCAGTGTCATGTTCCCTGACTTGATCTTCAAGTTGAAGCTTATTCCTGGCAAGTGGGGCCATTCGTCAAACTTCAGAGTCGCAGACCCATATAAATCCGGGGAAGATAGCAAGGGTCTACCGGGGAGGGGATGTGGGCCTTGATTTCTGTTTGTTTGTTTGATGGTTGTCAGGCGAAAATTTCTCAAAGCTGAGATACTCTTGGTATGCGGACACCTGCATCTACATTTTCTAATACGGTCTTCTGCTTCCAAGGCATGTGTAAGAGCTGCAAACGACATATGATGGAACTTTGATTTGAAAGATCAAGTCCACCCGTTCGCTTGGACGGTTTGGGACATCTACCTAACAGTGGCCCTTGATTCCGTTGTCCTCGAAATCGCTTATACGTCCTTTGATACTTCTCTCCCACATCTTCTCGTATCTTCTCCAATTACATGTCAAGCGACAACGATTCCAAATACGATAACGCGCCCACCAAACCTCACAATGAACGTCTTGACACCATGGGTTCAGAAACCGTAGCGCCGATCCTCAAACTGGAAATAGCAGATAGCGATGAGCTCTTCTCTTGTTGCGAGGGCAAAGGCAAAGGGGTTGAAAGTGTCGTCTCAGATACCGAAGTGGCGCTCCAACTCTGCAAGGAAGACCTACAACGGAGACCTACAACGGAATGCAATTATCATTGCCGATCGACAGATGACATACAGTATAGCTCAATCATGCGTAACAAATGGAAGTTTCCTCGCCTTGTCGTTCTCGCAGGAACAACTAGAAGCTTGTAAGCAGCAAGTTGCGCTGCGATTTGGTGGTAATGCAGCTCCTCTCGCTATCACCCAAACTGCTGTAAATGAGGACGAGAAGTTTGGACGACGAGATGCTGGAGAAGCTGAGTGCATTGTATGTCTATGCTGCTGGAGAGGAGTAAGACTCAGACTCGGAGGATGAATCGAATCCCCTATGCCCTACCATTCGTCCTCTGGTTCAAGTAAGCAATACCCAAGGGTCTCACACCCACACCATCGCCGACATGTCCAGATGCCGTGACATCCAAATGGGCAGCATTAAAACCGTCCAAAGTCCCCAAACGCCACTGCACCGCCTGCTACGAGTCCATCTCCTTCACTGAACTCGGCGCGCTCCATGTCCCCACGAATACTGCCGTACCTGTCTCCAAGACCTCTTTAAAGCCCCAATGACAGACGAGACGCTCTTTACGCCCTGCTGCTGTCACCATCCCATCATACCAACCATCAAAGTTCGGATCCACCTCACTCCGTACATCATACATCGCTACTCAGCGAAAAAAATCGAGTTGGACCCACCGAATCGCACTTACTGTTCTAATCCTCTCTGCTCCTCGTTCATGAGAACGGAACTATATTGTCGAGGAGAAGGCGACGTGCCAGGCATGTGAGAGGGGTAATATGTGTGATCTGTGAAGGTGCCGAGCATGGCGGCAATTGTCCTGAGGACGAGGCGCTGAAGCTGGTGCTCAATGCGGCGAAGGAGAATCAGTGGCAGCGGTGCTATAATTGTCATCGGTTGGTGGGGCTCGATACAAGTGGTAATCATATGGCGTTCGTACCTATCTCCATCATCTGGATGAACTCTCATACTTAAAGATTACTGTCTGTTCGACCAATTTTCTATGTGGTGCCCAGTTCTGCTACAAGTGCGGCGAGCTTTGGAATACATGTCGCCGCAAGCAGTGGGATGAACACAGACTTTATGCTCGAGCCGAAGTAGTCGTTGCTCCCAGCCTGCCCAAGTCCATCAGCCTCCTGAACATCGGCAGGCACGGCTGGCTGCTGTCGTGGAAGATCTTCAGGATAGGCATAACCGCGCACATGTTTCGTGGCCGTATGTTGGCCGAAGACACCATTGTGAAAAATATCGTCATACGCTGCCGTCATATCTATTTCGATACGAGCACTGCCATCCTCAGGCTTGTAATATGTGCAGGAGACATAGACTTTGAGTAAGTGGTAGCTTGCGTCTCTTGAATTATATTATAGTATTTGGTACTAGTTGGGAGCAGGTATTGCTTTAGCATGAGGGTAATGGAGAGTCTGTCCCGGTTGCATGTCATTGCACCATATCTACACACATAATTCGTCATTCAAAGCGAGTTGAAGATAACAGAAAATACATCTGGAAAGAAGATCGACTTAGGGACCAATATCTTATCATCTATGTCCCTATTTAACAGTGTTAGCAAGTCAAATTCCTTTGGCTCGTGCAACCGGGAATTCTTCCATACATCGATGTTACTTCCGAATGCTCGTGAGGCAGTTTCCGAGTTCCATCACCTCAAGCATATCGTGTTTGTCGAAGAAGGCGAATTCTTCGATCCCGAATGGAAGCTGATAGAAGATAATGCCATAGCAGGTAAGACATATAAAGATCCAACGTGGGTGGCGTCGACATGGGAGGCCGAAAATTCGGGCGCTCGAGGCAGAATTGCTTCTGATTTGAAAGCGCTCTAGACTCGTCGAATATCTGATTTCCTCGAGAACAGTAAGGTGAGTGGGCAGCGTTCATCAGCCCCAAATCTTGTTGGGTAAGCTCTTCCTGACGACATTCTGGCATACATTCCAGTTAATTGAATCACTACTACCACCAGGCTATCCATCAGTCACGAACGGACCCCCTCGGAGTACTAATCAATAAGTACTTAACTCCGAGCTCTCTTACTTCTTTTTGAAATTGTTCATCATGTTACATCTAAGCAACATGTTTTCGTCACATTATCCAACACATGAGCTGCAACATGTCCGTCAGGCTGGCAGCGAACCAGAGAACTTCTTCACTCTATTTCGACACCTACCAACAGAACTTCAGATCACCATCTTCGAGCTTAGCATGCCTGGACCTCGGATCGTCGATTTCAGACACCTCGCATGGGCTGACGACAACGAAAACTGGTCTTTCTGCAAACACTACGAAAGGCTGAGACCACGACTAGGTATACCACCTCTCCTTCATACCTGTCGACTTTCAAGAGAAATAGCCTTGAAATCCTATAGTCTCTTCCAGAGTGAGGACGGAACATTGCCGTTCGGATATTTCAACTTCGAGCTGGACACCCTCAGCCTGACGCAGCGGTCAATGAGTGATCCGCAGGACCTCGACTGGAACATTGTTCTCGAAGCATTTGGTAAGCTTGTCAAGGAAGAAGACAGGAGAAAGATTAGACGGCTGCAAGCGCGGTTATACCCGTTTTCAACAGCGACATCCTTGACGGAAGGTATACTTTCCACGTTTCCCGACTTGAAGATAATCACTGTTCGTTTCGATAGAGTACGTCCTTTCATCGTTGAAGAAGGGTCTATGAATCCTTTAGCGGTATGCTGGACCCCTATAAAGCCGAGAAGTGCAGATGGCGTTCGGAAGGGGTGGAAGATTGAATGCTTGCTCATGCCTGAATGATGGCTTTTGTCGATATGAATCCTTCAGCGTGAGCTTTTCCAGCTGGTCTTATCGTGGGATGGATGGACTCATTGATCTACTCAATCAAGAGTCGTTGCTTTCCAAATGTTTCATTTGATTTCGAGTTGCCCCCTTCGATTCACGCGCTGTGTAGATACATTGCTTGCTCCATCAATACCAGCCCTTCTCTTGGTAGTCTACCACGAAGTATTATAAACAGTGCATTCAATGTCTCGACCAATTCCACAGCACTTTTCCACTAAAATGGCGCAATGTAAACCAATTTTTGCACATTTAAATCAACTAGTACTCATTAACGAATCAATTTTACTGCTTATTCTACCAGAATCGATTAATTAGAAGAAGATGATGCAGACTTGATTTATACACTGCTGGGAAGAGATCGCTGCAGCCAATTTGCGCCCTTCGCTTGAGGCCAGATGCGATGCAACCCAAATGTTGAAGTACGATACACGCTTGATGAAGCATCCCATTCGCATTCATTCGTCCATTCGTCAATTCGTTACGTCATAAACCAGCATTCATCCACCGCGGGATTGACTCGCCCATGTCATGAGTAGGACCCCGATTTCTTCGACGTCTTAGGCTTGCGTCCCCAAACCACGTAAATCTTCAAATAAGCATGCACATGTCTATCTGACACAGCTCTACGGACATTTACAAGATAAACCTGCAATTATTTTAGTCCCAGGTCTTATAACAACAACAGTCAAGTGACCCATACCTCTATTTCCGTGCTGTTCCACCCAAACATGCGGGAGAAAGGTCCAAGAGTGAAAGCACCAAGGCCATCTATCAGGTTCGCTTCTGACATCTTGCCTAGAGTCTTCGCATGCTTGTCTTTTGTCCAGGGATTAATGGGTATTCGGATTATCTTTTCTTGGACGTCAACGAAGCCAGCTTCTTCATACCATCGTTTCAGTTTGTGGGCTATCCGGACTGGGCGGCCTGCCATGGCTAGTGATGAATGTTAGTTGAGACTTTCACAGAAAACGATGGTTCTCCGAGCAGGATCGGAGTTCTTACTTGCGGCTTGGTCGAAATATTTCGACCATTCCAGGAAAGGCCAATCGTCAGGCATCGTCCCATCGTCACAGAAAGGCGTCGGGAAGATTTCTTGACTCTCCATGTAACCTCCCGGCTTGGTGTAGTAGAAGCCTTTCCGAATGATGTCTCGAAAATCTCCAAACGATCCTAGAAGCACTCGAGTGTGGATATAATCATAGGACGCCGCTTGGACTGCCCAGTCTTCTTCGCTGGCGTCATCGATGAAGAAATGAACGTTGTCATAAACGTCCGTTGGTTGGATGGGTGAGAGATCTGTTCCCTAGGTAGGTAACACATGGATCAGCCCAAGGCTCTCCATAAGCTTATGAATGGTAATAAGTTGTGCTGAGAGTGGGGTAAAAAGGAGAGAGGTATCTACATCTATCTGAGCATTTGGAAATTCGTCTCGTGCCATTTCCATCACCCATATACCTGTGCCAGTCCCGATATCCAGAATACTTTTAGGGTCTTTTAATGGCGCAAAGTGATTACGGCCTTTAAAAGCAAACTTGAGCATAGCATGTTGCATGTCTAGCCGGTCTCGTTCATTGCAGTCGTTTGGATAAGGATATGCTAGAGAAAATAAGTACTGAAGTGTCAAGAACCGGTCCGATGCATACATCCTGCTCTGTAGCCGTGATATGTCCTTCCATTCTCTTCCTGGAAAACGCGTACGGTGCTGTCAATAGATTGTGACATCCTAATCCGATGGTTAGCACGTGGTTCAGCATGATTCAAACACGACAGATGAGTTTTGTGCAACTTTCGTCTCCGGATAACTGGGAACTCACTCATCTGGACTCGAGAAATTTGTTGGTGACTGGTGACAGCATAAGATCAGAACTGCTCTATTTCGATGACCAATATCGTGACCTGACTTACATCTGCTTGCATCGGTTCTTCAGGAGTTCTTCGTGGCGAATTTTGGGTACTGCCTTCAGGCATATTTGATCTGTGAGGCGCCAAAAGGAATACGGAGGAATGTTTTTCACGACCCTCTCGAGATTTTTCGATTTATCTTACGATTTGCCTGGCACACACCGCTCTTAGATTAAAATTCTGCATGAGCCGTAATGAGGGAATGAACAACGAATGAAGATGGGAGGATAAAAGAACCCGACAGGCTGGGTCAGCAGAAGCAAGCAAGCAATGTACGTAGTCTTGCGCAATACGATGTACGACGGCTCGTTTTAAGGTCTCCAGCATGGGTGTGGGTGTTGGTGTGGGTGTGGGTGAACTGCGGCAGGCCCGAGCCTCTGTGCTGGGAAATGGCGGGAGACACGAAAAATCCAGCAGCTTGGTTTTGGTTCTGTTCCCGGCCCGCTGGGGTCTTGGGGCGGCCACTACTCGCCCGAGGGTCGAATCACTGCCCTGGAGCGCAGCACTACTCGTAGGCATGCCGCCGCCTGGTAAGCTAGCCCTTACTGCGTTGGATGCGGGTGAGAGACAGAACAGACTTGACAGACCTATTGAAGCGCGCAAAGAAGCGATGTTGTTTGTGTCCAATTGGTCCCGGCTTTCAGGGCTGGACACTCCCATAAGCCTCTGCAGGCGGACGAACTGTTGTGCAACTCTAGCTGGGCTGTTAGTGGCCAGACCCCACGAAAAGATAGTGATATCTCGACTTTCATTTGGAAGGTGATGAAAGCACTGAAGACCCATGATGACCCATGATTCATCCCTTCCCAACGAGCTGCATGAACCCGGATGAGATGCTCCCAGCTTGCGGGTCGTCAGATGGTCTACGTCTGTCTTACCCTTCTTACCCCTCACCACCACCACTCTTGCAAGTGCAAGTACAGTAAGGCCAGTGGATCAGAGAGTGGCTCGAGTGGACATACAAACTGCCTGGGACGGCAGACAGCACCATGGCCGGTCTAGGAAGGACAGATGAAGTCGATCAATCTCCTCGGCATGGTGTAGCGGCATCGCTTTGCATTGCATGTATTTGGAACTCCTTCGACGCGGAAAGTATTCCCACCTCCTGGGGCCCAGCTGATCCCCGGTTTGAGTTATTTTCCAGACCCTGACCAACTACGATCTGCCATGGCATCCATGCAGAACGGACACTCGGATAGATGCAGCTTGTCAGCTTAGAGAATGATTGTCGGGAGCCTGTTTGCTGCATGCAACCTCAGTGTGGTGTGCGCCGTAGAGGTCGCCTCGTCTTTCCAGGCAGGCGATAAAATCGCTCATCAATGCCGTCTCCATGATGGCCTCTCGGGGCAAGAGGCCGAGTCGGGATTCTCTTGCAGGTGAGCTACGACTCTTTCGGCAACTCAGAAACGCCTTGGTAAAGATCATCCGAGCCGACTTGTGAAGAAGATGACGGAGCGGAGTAAATTTACCTGCCAGCGAAGCTGGCGTTCTATTCACAACCGCCGCAGCGGGAGCTAGCTAGCACTGCTGAGAATTCTCCGATTCATAAGAGCATCAGAATGCCAAGAATCGCTGCTACCACCGTGAACCATAAATACTACAGTGAGAGCATGAAAATAGACGAAGGGAAAGTATCCTACCAAACGGTGCAAGAGATGACACAGATGGCGCAGAATCTCTGTTGTTTACTTTTGCACTTCACTGCACCACCACGCTTGCTTTTACCCGAGGTTGTTGCGTAAGATTGCCCCTGTCATTTCTCGCTTACAGAAAACTTACCAACAACTTCGACCTAATGAGGGACTTTGCGATTGAGAGGTAGAACCGATTCAGAGCTTGTTACCTAGGTAGGTAGGTCCAAACCTAGAACTAGAAATAAAGGTCTGCTCGGCGATATAAAGAATGTTGACCAGGACCTAGGTCGTCGCAGAGGTCAAGGTGACTGACTAGGTCTCCACCTTTCAATCATACATTTATTTATTTCCTGCTGGCATTCTCACAAAATACCTATCTCAAGTGCGGCACCGATACGAGAGGACGCGGAGTCCTAGTTCACCATGTCATTCTCGGTGTCCTCGTCATACAATAAAATCCGAGCAATTATAGACTCAACACCGAATGACACCCTTCCATCCCTGTCTAATTTGAAGAAGGCAGAAGACAGCCTCCCTTCATCACTCCCTGGCACCGGCCTGGGCGAAGAATTGACCGAAGCACACCTACTGACAGATCTCACACCCGGATTCAATGGACCAAAGACTTCCTCGAACTATTATGGCTTTGTCACGGGAGGCGTCTTCCCTATCGCAGAAGTCGCCGACAACATAGTCACCGCCTTCGATCAGAATGTCCAAGTACACTTATCCGACCAGAGTGTTGCAACTGCAGTGGAAGACAGGGCGCTGAGCTTGCTCGTCGAGCTGCTTAATCTTGGAGATGGGTGGAATGGGAAAACTTTCACCACTGGCGCTACTGGTGCCAACATCCTAGGTTTAGCATGCGGTCGAGCAGCTGTCGTCGATGCTTGCTTGAAAGTAGTAGGCGAGAGTGGTGGAGTTGGAGAAAACGGACTTTTGGGTGCTTGTCTAAAGGCTGGAATCAAAGAGATCCAAGTTTTGACTACCATGGGCCACAGCTCGTTGTACAAAGCGGCGAGCGTTGTTGGTATTGGAAGGGCATCAGTGAGGGATATTGCCACTAGCAAAGATGAGCCGTGGAAGCTTGATATTGATGCACTTGAGCGGAAATTAAATGGGGCCAAGGAAGGAGTCGTCAGTATTGTTGCGTTGAGTATGGGAGAGGTCAATTCTGGAAGGTTTGCCACCGACGGACTTGAGACGATGAAGAGGGTGCGAGAAGTTTGTAACCGATATGGGGCCTGGCTACATGTGGATGGAGGTAGGTCAAAACCAATTCCTCTACTGCGATGATATCACCAACTGATCCCGGGTAGCTTTTGGCATATTTGCAAGATGTCTGCCACACAAAGCCGAATTTCATACCCTGATAAGTTCCGCATCTGGTATCGAGCTTGCCGACTCTATCTGCGGCGACGCTCACAAAATGCTCAACGTGGTTCGTACTGCTATTCTAATTCCAGGAATCAAGCTAATTTCATAGCCTTATGATTGCGGATTCTTCCTCACTCGCTCAGACACCATACTCTCCTCAACATTCCAGAATCCGAACGCAGCATACCTTTCCGCGGGGCAATCATCCATCCCCTCGCCACTAAACAACGGTCTCGAGAACTCTCGTCGCTTCCGAGCTCTCCCAGTCTACGCTGTCCTCCTCGCCTACGGACGAGATGGATTTGCAGAAATGTTTGCGAGACAAGTTCGACTTGCTAGAGGAGTTTCCAAATTCCTGTCTGACTCTGAGAACTTTGAGTTATTAGCTACGGGTGCAAACACGAATGGGGAGTTTGACAATGTTCATATCATTGTCTTGTTCAGAGCTACGGACGAGAGCGCCAATGCGGATCTGGTGAAGAGAATCAATGCTACGAAAAAGATCTACGTCTCAGGCACCAAGTGGGATGGCAAGCCTGCTTGTCGTATAGCTGTGAGCACGTGCCGAGTTGAGGTGGAGAGGGATCTGAATCTTGTCAAGGAGGTTCTCGAAGAAGTTTTGAGGTAGCCCCACTCATCAAATTCGCTCTTTATACCGAGTCACATGGTACATGCACATCCAAGAGGTGTTTTGGTGATATTTTGGTGATATTTTGAAGGTCACATGATCTCTAGACAGCTGAAGTTGCTTACCTAACCATGAGGACAAAATGGGAAACAACACGGCTGAGGCTGAGTTTCCTCTTCTCAAAGTTATCTTAGACTTTTTCAAGTCACCTTGGATTTTGATAAGGCCGTTCCTCTCTCAAATCGGTCATCCATCGTCCCGTATCTTAGCTAGTATCCTTCCCGAAGGCCTCTGTGGTCTTTCCAAAGCACCATGAGTTTTGGCTTCGGCATAGGCGACTTCATTGCTGTTGGTAAGCTAGCCTGGTCAGTCTACAAATCATGCAAAGACGCGCCAGAAAGTTTCAACAATATATCAGTCGAGGTACTGTCTCTTCATGCCGTACTGAAAGAAGTGGAAGAAGCCGTTGCCGATGAGCCTTTGACGGAATCTAAACAACACAGCCTTGCTACAATTAGTAATGGCTGTCAGTCTGTGCTTCAAGACTTGCAAGCTCTCATCGTGAAATATGACAGCCTGGGGTCTCAGAGCCGGAGGACTTGGGATCGAATGAGATGGGGAGCGAACGACATTTCGGAGTTGAGAGCGAGGCTCACTTCAAACATTATGCTACTCACCACTTTCTTGATGCAAGGCTGAACAAGGTCTCAGAAATAAGGCAATTGCTAATCTTCTTGCTAGGACCTCCCAAGTAGCAGTTGAGCGAAAACTCAGCAAGCTAGCACGAGAATTTCAAGATGGCAAGCATGAGGGCTCAGTTATTACCGTCGCAACGGTCGAGTCACTTGCTCCGAACGAAAAGGAGACTTGGCGAGCTATACGAAAGGAGCTTGAGAATATCGGAATCTCCGTGATGGCTTTCGACGCCAACAAGTCCTTCATCATGGACTGGTTCCAGACTGCCATTCAATCAGGGGCATTCGAGGAACAGACTATTGCATCTGATCACGAATCGATATACTCTCATGATGCGACCGCCGCCCATTGGAGTCTTGTATCGGGTCAGAAATCTCCCAAATCAGATACTCTGCTGACGGAGCCTGTGCATTTTAGCAGCCCTGACCTAAAAGTTCAGGCATCAGATGCTAGCAAAATTGCCGAGGGGAAAATCAATATTGACGCGAACGCAAAGGAAATAAAGCACAACGAAGAATACAACGGTCAAGTTTCAACATCTGCGGCACTCGCTCATAGGACCAGCGAAGTGGACATGGTGGAGCCCCAACGTAATAAAAGTACTTTACGACCAACCCATCTACCCAAGCTCGCGGCGATGTTAACGACGCGAAGAGATTGTTAGATAAAGGTGTAGACGTCAACTCAACTCGGCATTCTAAAACCGCCCTAGGTTTCGCAGCAGAGCGTGCTGATGAAAGGTTGGCCAAGTTGTTACTGGATTCTGGAGCAAATATCAATCTCCAAGACAGCTCCAAGAGGTCACCGCTCTATTTGAGTGTTCTATCAACTTCGAATCGACACCTTTTGATGACAAATATGCTCTTGCGGGCAGGTGCAAATGCTGACGACGACTCCCTCGATCCTTTGTGTGCAGCAGTTGGAAATGGCCACGAGGCAGCGATTAGTCTTCTTCTGAAATACAGGTCAAAGATTATCAAGGACACCAGTCCTTCGCCACTGATCGATGCCGTGACGAACAAATTCCCCAACATTGTCCTGGTCCTTCTCAAGCACCTATGCAATTGGAGAGAAAGTCTCAATAGCCGTCGAGATGTGCGGATTGCATTCGAGTACTCCATCACCAAAGTAGATGGGAATGACAGTTTGATACATCTCTTGAACGCTGGTGTCGATGTTGATCTAGCATCGGCCTCCAACCACAAGTCCATGACCATAACAGCAATCGAAAATGGTAAATACTCGAAAGCCAGAATACTCCTAGCCAGAGGCCCAAAGATCTCTTGGGCCTGGGACCATAGGGCAGTTACCAGGTTCTTAATCACCAAAAGCACATGCTCTGAAGACATCTGTTTGATTGGAGGACTGCTAGATCTTGACTCAGTCGATACCAGCGGTCTGACTCCTCTGGACTGGGCCGTGAAAAATCAGTTTTTTGAAATCGCCCAGCATTTCCTAGACTTGGGAGCGAGGTCAAACGAGGAGGACTGGAGAAGGGGTCTTGCTGGGAACACACCACGACATGAGTACCTGACTTTTGAAAATGTTATGGATGTCATTGCGGGATACGAGGCACTTGAATCCATGCAGGGAACTCGAGCGCGATATATTCCACGAGCCTGACTCGTCGCAGGAGGACCAGACTTACCGCACATAGAAGAATGCGTTTGCAGGTGACGTTATTCGAATTTGCCCTTGAACCTATGAGACATTCTTCAATGGAATCTTCCGATATCAGAACAACGCGAGGAATAGTTATGAGCTGCAAAAGGTGAAAAGGTATTAGCTCTGGATGCCTCACTGCTTTCACTTGTTTAATGATTAGAAGCACTGAGAATTGAGTCGTGGCCTCCACTGCTTGCATGAGTAGATTACTTGGTGGAGATGGATTCCCAATGTCAACAAAGTCGCTCCAGGGAGGTGATCACTGAGCGAAACGCTAACCTTCCGAGCTTCAGGGATGACCGCTCCAATTTGGGCTTTTCTCGCTAGAGCTGGGAGGAAGGGCAGATACAGGCCAGAAATAAGACGACCTCAGAGATCTATGTAAGATGTAGGTAAAAGGATTGAATTTGGATCAAGGTATGTCACCATGTTATCCTAAATTAGAGACTAGCTATTAAGTATATCCTTGCCAGTCCAATTCATTTCCCTCCTCTAACGCCAAGTCCATCCATTTCAACTAACTCACTCATGAGGCTTGAATAAGTTCAAACTCTCCCACCGTCGCCCCCTTGCCATCCTGCTCCCAACAACCCTCAATTACCAACCTCACATAATCTCCAGACCACTGTCCCCCAACAACACTGAACGTCGTCATATTCCCAACAACAGGCACAACCTCATCCGTGCTATTTGCCGCCGACTCCGCATCAAATGGCAGATTCGGCGCAATGCCATTGATTACTATCTCAACCTCGTTCGCTGTATCAGCTACACCGCCGTCGGTCGTGTTCCCGAGATATACGATCGCTGAGCGCGCTGGACGGAGTCCCCAGTCAAATTTGATGTCTGAGATGAGCTTTGGGGCAATGGTAGACGTGTTGACTGTTATGGAAGCCGTCTCGTTTGTGACGGGTTGCCAGCGGGTGGCGGTCGCGCCGTCGATGGCAGCAAAGGGGAACTGGCCTTGTGCGTAGCGAGAGTCGGTGGTGACGGGGAGACATTGATTGATGTTGCCTTCAGTGGTGAGTTTCTGCCAATAGAGGCGGTTGGGGACGGTGATGGTTTGGTTGATAGCAAGAGTATACATGGTATTAGCACTAGTTTCGTCGTGAGATGCTACTTCGACCTGGACGGTGGTGTTGGCAGAGATATCTACGACTTTGACCGTGGGGTCGGTGGGAATGCGAGTCAATTGTGTGTGGGTGCTGTTCATGGTTGCGGTGAATGTTGCGCCGGCGAAGAAGATGGTCCGGATTCTGACATAGGGGATTTGAGGAGGGAGCGAGGGGTCAATGTACAGCTGTGGGCGAGTTGTTCGGACTCCAAGGAATCCAAATGGAACCACTTGGTTGGCTCCTCCATGGCCTGTGAGGAAGGGGAAAGCTGGCTTGGTGTTACCGTTGGTATCGGGGTCATCATTGACTTGCTCCGAGAATTGGTACCATGGCGCTCGGAGGTAGGGCTCGAAACCATTCTGAGTGTAGGTGTATGCCGAGCAGCCGGATGGTGACAATTCATTTGCGTTGATAGCAAAGATGGAGTATGTCATGGCTGGCCCATCGGGACTTTGACGATTGGCGTACTTTGTTATGTTAGTCACTACATATACATCACAGTGGAGGGAGACTCACGTAGTCCAGATCAAGCAGCTTCTGCTGGTCGGTATAATTTCTGCTGTATACCAAAGGATAGTTGATCAGGACGATATCTGCTTGCTTCACTGCAGCACTATTATTCATGGTCGAGTACTCTAGGGTGATCAATGAGTCCGCCACAGGGTATGCAATATTGTCTGCCTGGGTCTGCCATGTCTCGTTGATTGGATCACCGCGTTCGAAGCGGAGTTCGTTGGCGTGTCTCAGTAACTCGGATGAGGAAGCAAGAGTAAACGCTCCGTTGTCAATGTTATTGGCATACTCGTCAGGATCTGTCATGTTGTAGATGTCGTAACGCTGAGTCGTCTCGTTGAACTCGAGCAGGTTGGACACCGAAATAGCGACACTCTCGATGATTTGCTTGGGGCCGTTGTTGAACCAAGTATCGTTCTTGGTAATATTATACTCTTGAATGAGGTTGAAGGCAATGTCGTGGTTAAGATGATATTGGTAGTCTACACAAGGTCCAGTACCGGTGCAGTTACCATATCGTCCAGTGGTCCAAGAATACAGTGCAGATCCGTTGGGGTAGTTGTTGAATGCTGCATTGGCTAGAGCTTGTGCGTACTGCTTGATTCTCAAATTACTGATCTGCTTGCTCCAGCCGGGGAATGCGAGGTTGAGACCACCTGCCATCCAATAATCGGCATCCCAAAAGCGCAGTCCAGCATAGGAATCCGATACAAGACCGCCGACTGAGATACTCTCGTCGTTAAGTCCACTTCCGTCGGGCTGAAGTGCCTGGAGGAGGTAGAAGGCGTTCGCAACAGATGCAATCTGAAGAAGCTTGATGTCAGGATTATCTGGCAATTGCCCAGTCACAGGGTCTGTGAAGTTATCGATGGAGTCCTCGGTCATGATCTTGCCCCATGCCTCAGCATGCTCGGTTGTGAGTGCGTCCCATCCTTCGTTCTCGGCCAACTTCTGGGCAGTTCGAGCGGTGCCTTCGGCATCTGGAAACTTGTCATTTGATGCAATACCAACGTACTTGTGGAATGTGGCAGGTTTTCCAGCCTTGAGGCTGATATTGAAGGTTTGGCCCATGGTCATCTCGTTTGTGCCCACAAAGCTACCGTCCGCTTCGGCTCTTGAGGCTAGATCGGTGTATCCGTTTGCGAACTTGGCCGCAGAAATGATCCATGCTGTGACGTTTGACAATCCATTGGGGTGAACTGAGGTATAGATCGTCTGGCCATCGTCATTCATACCCTTCAAGTTCAGATATGATCGTACAGCACTTCGACCATCCAATAAATCAGTTACGGTACCGCTGATATCCGCAGATGGGGTGATGGTCGCCTTCACAGCAAGGACATTGGGTCTCTCTCTGCTGTAGATGGCAGTGTAAGACACGTTAAAGGAGGCGCCGCAGGTCTCTGGTGTCCAGGTATAGGCCCATTCAGCAATGCCCGTTTTGAAGGAGATCTTGGAGGCGAAGTTGGAAATTGTTGTGTTGCTAACGGTAGCATCTAAGTAGTCGTCGCCAAACTTGAAAACGATGGCTGAGGGATGAGGAATTCCAGAAATGAATGACTCCCAGCCGTACTGGTTCAGCCACGGGTAATTGGTCCCCGTTGCATTGTCCTGAACATCGAAGAATCCCGCGATGGTTGCAAAGGAAATTCTAGCACTGTATAGCGGCCATCCATTTGAGGGTTGTGTGCCAGTAGAATTGGTCTGATTCTTGTCGACTTCGAAGAAAGGCCCAGCAGCCGCGAGGGATGCTCCAGTATATCTTCCTTCAGTTAGCATCGTCCTTACCAGCAATTGGGACTTGGGACTTACCCGTTAGAAAGAGACAATCGAGACTGGAATTGACCGGGAATGTAAGTGTTTGCGGTCAGAGACCAGTCACTCTGGTCCCATTCGGAAAGTCCACTTGAGGGCGAGAAATCAGTTACTGCCGAAACCCTAGTGCAGAGAACGAGCGCGAGCGAAGCTGCTGCCTCACAGGCCTTCTTGATGCCAACCATTGTTCTGTACGGTCTGATGGAGAGAAGTAAGAATGGAGAAGAAGAAGAAAAAAAAACGTAAAGGGAAATCGAGGACCAGGACCCTTTAATGATATTCCAATAATTCGGACCGACAGCTTCCTAAGGTACCTACCTACCTACCTACCTACCTAGTCTTGCCTACCTAGTCTTGCCTACCTACTAAACCCAATCCTCACTCCATGGGCAGGCGAGGCAGGCCAGGCAGTCTTCCCCGCCATGATCAGCGACCAAAAAAAAAAGTCTGGACGTCAAGCTTGGATGACGCAGGTCTTCCAATCCAAGGATGACAGCGCCTTCCGAGCCTTCTTTCTGGAGACTGGGGTTGGCGAGGGTCGGGCTGGCTAAACTTGCCCATACTGTATCTGTGCTGGTCCAGGTCACTTGCAGGGCTAAGGTACTGTATTGAGTTAGTCGGTCAGCCCAGGCTGGCATGGCAATTGGACGGTCCATTCCAAGTTCAGGAACGCCTACCGTACCGTACAGTACAGTACAGTGTTCCCAGCTTTCCCATCCGTGGCTGATGGATAGACTGATAGAGTACTGACTGACTGTATGACAGTCGTTGGGAAGGGTCGTGTTGTTTGCTGTTGCCACTGCCACTGCCATTGCCATTGCCATTGCCATTGCCGCGGGGTCGAAGAGATTGGAAGTCAGGGAGGCGAAATGCTGCTCCATCCAGGTATGAATGTTCTGAACCTAGATATCTCCGAATGAAATGAAATAGGCAGAGCCAGCACAGTACATAACATTAAACTCTCGGTGAACGGGACTTTTGCACGTCCTCAAGCAGCTACAGTACAGTAGACGCAGGAGGATTTCTGCAATACTGCACTGCACTGCCATGGATGATGCGATGAACTGCCCTCCCCCTCCGCCTCCCCTCCTCGCTCGCTCGCTCACCCGCATGCAAGCTCCAGCTTAGGTACGAAAGTACTTGCCCACGCCCACGCCCACGCCCACCTCATGCGGCATTCCTACCTTTCCGCCCCGCAGCGGGGAAAGCACGCCCAAGCTCCAAGCCTCCAGGCCTCGTCCCTCATCATTCTCCGCCCTCGAGGCCCTCCACAAGCCCTCCCCTCCCGTCTTCGTCTTCTGGGGGCTTGGATGCAGACCTTCTCGGCCCTTTTTGAGGAAGATTCCTCTTGTTCGCTGATCGCCGGCTTGGAAGCTGTGACGGGCAGCCGTTGCCGAAGCAGAGCATCGGCTACGGGTTGTCGGAATCGGAATGGACATGGACATGGACATGGACATGGCTGGACTGATTTGAGTCCTGTAGGAATAGAAATGCATGGCCTGCTGGTTTCTGCTACAGTACTTGGTAATACTGGGACCTGGAGTATTGGGAGGTGACGGGAGGCTGGGCGACTGGGCGACGGGATCCATGATCGTCACCTCATCCTATGAGTTTTAGTGGGTCGCCGGCAATCCGGGTGGAAGGTTTCCTTAAGGGCAGATCACGGGCAGGCCAGGGCACGAGAGGGCAAGGTCTCGTTCTATCAGGTAATAACTTCCTGCACGGCTTTTCCTTACCTTCTCATCCTTCCCTTTATTCTTGTTGCTTTAAAAGCAGGAAGTACCACCTCATCCTATCTTTGATGGTCTATGACAACCACATTTTTCAGATGAATTCGGTTTCGTGATGGGTCTGTCCGCTTTCTACCTAGCACTCCAAATAGCTTAAGGATTCCGTGGCTACACAGCAGTAGTCTGCTCATTCCGGCTTCCTTCCAAATCTTTGAGCTTCAAACACTTTGAAAAATAAAGAGCTGCTGACAGGAGATCCAATGTTACTCAACGACATTTTTTTGGTCTCACAGCATCAAGTACACAATTCATGTCATGGATTGTGGATTTATATATCTTGCATCACGTCCCTCGTCCAACCAAATCCTCCACAAAGCTTGCGCATTCGTTCTTCTTCATCTCTCTATTTGTTTATATGAAGTTCCCAAGTCAATAGAAATGTTCCAGCTCATCAGCATCGTCACCCCACTATTGCTGACAGGATCTTTCAAGTGCTTATCTGTTTGCCATCTGCTTATCAATGGATCCATCCATTTCTGACGACGACGTGTCAGCGAGCTTAACGGGATTGTATCACTTCTGACTTCGTTTCACAGTCAAGAACTTCAGCCCTGTCTCTACCTACCATTCCTTACCTACAGACCTCAGACTATCTCGAATTCTGTCTCTATCCCTCTATCTATCCCCCAAAGCCCATCTTCCCCTCCAAAATGTCACCTCTGAAGCCCTCCTTCCCACCACGCAACCCCCTCAGCACCCCAGCAGAAGAACCTCCCTCTCTCACCACTCTCATCAAAAGCCTCAACATGGTCCCCCACATAGAAGGCGGCTACTACATCGAAACCGACCGCTCCCCACTCACCATCCCCTCCCCCTTCCCATCCAAACCCTCATCCACAACATCCGGTCTCGTACCCACCCGCCCAGGCTTCGACCCCTCTACACGCTCCCTCTCAACAACTATCTTCTACCTCCTCACACCCTCCGGACCCCAAGGCGGTTTCCACCGTAACTCAGCACGCACAGTGCACACGCTGCACCGCGGACGGGGTCGGTACGTGATTATCCACGCGGACGAGGGGAAAGAAGGGGAGGAGAAGAGAGTGGAGAGTTTTGTGGTTGGAGGGAATGTTGAGAGAGGGGAGAGGCTGCAGTGGATTGTTGAAGGGGGGAAGTTCAAGGCGAGTTTTCTGCTGCCGGATGTGGAGGGTGGAGAGGAGAGTGAGGGCTTGTTGATCAGTGAGACGGTGGTGCCGGGGTTTGAGTTTGTGGATCATGATTTTCTGGCACCGGAGGGCTTGGCTGAGCTTGTGGGAGGGGAGAAGGCGGAGGAGCTGAGTTGGTTGCTGAGTCCGTTGGGGAAGAAGTGATGTTTACAGGGAGGGGCGAGGTTGAAAGTTGTTGAGAAAGAAGAGTTTCGGCGCAGACTTCTTGAGTGGTATTGGCTTTGAAAGACTACAGCTACATGTACTAGATAAAATAGACTTGCACAAATCTTACGACTCGCTCAGCAACTAAGTTGGAGGTCCGCTCATCTCAGCTCACAGGCTTTGTGCACCAGATGTCCTACTTGCTGCAGAAGGGCGAAGAATATCATGGCGCCGTACCTCAATCAGCGCCTCATTGAGAGTAGCAATCTCCTGGCTTAAGTCCTCTCTTTCCACAGTTCTCTCAAAATTGTTATCGGCAATCCTTTGCAGCTTCTCGGTGTCTTCCTCTGCCATGGTCAAAACGCATGACGGAGTGAACATGCGAAGAGGACTGCTATTGCCAAGGAGCTGTCTCTCAACAATCTGGGGTCCAACGTGGTCGATGAACCTTGCCACTGAGAAGCTTTTGTTAGTAGAAGGTCATTGAGAAAAAGATTCTTGAAGAAGAAAGCGGACTGGGAAGTGAAGGACAGGATTGTACTTACTAGCAACCTCATACTTCTAGGTACATGCCAGGTCGTAGGACGCTGTCCACTTCCGGGTTGTTCAATAGCCACACTTTGATATCAGTCTTTAAGTGCGATACAGTAGCTGCTTAATCTGTTCTACTTCCTGCAGTTACTGCAATTTATGTTGCCATTTCAGTCATGGCGTCATTTCAGAGAGGCTCTCAGACGATCATGTCGCGGAACAAGAGTCCAAATATTGGTCTAGTCTTCGAGCCATTTGCCAGTTCTTTAGTTGCTGCGTCAGTTTCTGCCCCTAACAGCTCATCCTGAAGCCACGGTTTCGCGTTGCTCTGAAGCTCTTTAGTCCTCAGTTGCTTCTTCCAAGAAACACTTCGATCGAGCCTCCTAGGTCTTCAACCACAGTCTGGATCAATTAGACTGCTCCTGAGCCCCACAGGTCAGCATAGGATGTCCGGAGAACTTGAGGCACATTCGGCTTGAATTTGCCCATGGAATTCCCTGCCTCGACTATCGCGTATGACTTCGTGGATGCTCCTATGTGTTGATATGTCAAGCATCGACTCTCGCCATGTATTCTCATCTCGCAATGTCAATACTTGCCTCATTGATGGGGACGACGCTCTGACACCTGCGTCCATTTTGACTATGAAGTCTTCAAGCGAATTCTGTACGTTTCCGCGAACTCTCGCTGATATGTCGATAGGCAGATGGTGGTAATTTCCTTCTACAACATCTGTTGATAGCCTGGTAAACTCAGACACTCGTGCAATCATACAGTCTCGTTGCTCTCGTAGCATGCCCCGAGGGCTGCCGAGTTGGCCCAATTTCAAATGGCATCTTTCGAGCTTTCGTTGGATCTCGGAAATAGACTCGGTAACACTCTCATTTATATGATCACTATACATCCTAGTCAATGCCTGCCTCAAATTGCCGATTCCAAGCTTCGTCAGCTGATTTAGAGTTGGCCAAATGCCTTCCTGGAAGAAAGCTTGCTCGGTTCTGTCTCAAGCCTCGTTTGTTGTGTTTGTCTCGCTTGGGAGCCGATTTCGCAGTCCAAACCAACCCCGGAATAAAAATAAGCGGTTGCTTGTGCGTCGCTCATTCTTTGATCGTGTCCAAGACCTGGATTTTCAGTATTGTTGAGCTGAAGGTATCCCTCAGAATGCTTCCCAACGGTCTGCACCTTCCTGTCGCCTATTGCATTTGTCCATGATGCCAACGACTCTGTTCTCTTTGTCTGAGATATTCCTACTTATTTGCAGTATTGAGCCAGTGGCTACGTGGAATCCCAATATTTGTGTAACTACAAATAGATAACAATGATTTGAGAAATGCTTGTAATGATTAGGATTTGGGTTGGTCGACATTGAGGTCGAGGCACGCAAGCTGGCACACCAACACTGGTTTCGCTGCAGGCAAGCGTGAGAAAGAGTCCCCTGATGACCAAAAATAGAAGACCCAGCTCTTGAGAAGCTCTTTGCCGGACGTTAGAAGTGGAAAGGGAGAAGCCACAATATAACAATTCCTAGAGGACATTTTATAGAATCGGGCACACGATAAAGATTCGCCTCAGGTGGTCGACCACTACACTTCAACACCACAAGTTCGAGAGATCCATAGAGATCGAAATGTTTGTGTGTACACTGTACATGATAATCACCGCTTATCTTCTGTAGCCTCAAGACTTACAGATGGAATATTTCCACGAAGGCTGTCAGGTCCGGGAGGAATGACACAGTGCCAGTCTTGAACTTTCCCAAACATCGACTGCCCCTGGTCTAAAACCAGTCTGCCATTCTCTCTAAAGTTCAGACTTCTCAATCTCACCATAGTCGTCTGCGTCGAAATTGAATACATCGTAGCTAGCGCAAAGCTTCATTTTGCAGCTGTGGCCGGGTGGTATTGGTCCTCACTCATCTTTCTGGGCTCTCCAGGGTATATATGTAATCCGAGAAATGAAGTCCGCTCTCGTCCTCCTTCCAGAAGAGCTCTCATAAATGTCGAAATAGAAAGGACTTGCTTAATATAGTTTGAACGCTGTACTGTAGAGCAAAGCTCCCAGTCCTCTATGCAATCCATTTTCGACCGAATCGGGGTACAGCGAACGGCCCAGCAGGGTGATGAAACATGCGACCAAAACATCATTGGCAAATACTGGAGATTCAACAACTTTGTGATTCTTGATGCCTGGTTTCCCAAATGTAGGTTTAGCTGCTCGATTGGGAAAGGACCCGGTGGCTGTTGGTTCCTTTGACCTGCTTCTATCACAGCCTCTTTACCTAGTGTCTGCGAGCCAGGTCAGAAGGATGCAGGATAAAGTTTAGATATACATTCTAGCCACCAGTGTGTCTCCGGAACAGATGGCGTGTGACTTAGCGATTCGAGTTAGGATCTAGGTAGAGTCTTCGGCCCATGCGAGTTATGCTTGCAAGAGGCTGCCAAAGCAGCCAATCTGAGAAAGCATTACGACCTAAAGAAATCTGCACGATAACCTGTGGAGGCCCAGAGGTGGCGAGAGCCATGATCATCCTCAAGTCAAAGTCACCTCGGCGAAATAAAGATATAAGAATGAGAAAGGAGCCGGGAATGAAGTGGTGTTGCGAAGATTTGAAAGGAGCGTGTCTGCCCATGGAGTCCTGATGGCGCTTCGCTAAACCTATCCGGCTGGTCTGGTGTGCCGAAGACAACGGTGCTGCCAATGCTGGATGCAAGAAATGCAAGCTGCTCGATGAGACCTTTCCCAATACTACAAACTTGACCTCCTAGGAAACTGCTAATTATGTGCTTGGTAAAAAGACGAAGGTTGTGTAAATTGGGACTAAGATCAAGGTGCATTGGATTTAATAACTCCAGAACTTGCAAGTTTCGTCAAGCGGGAAAAGCGAACTTCATGAATTTGCTGAATGTCCTGTTCTGGCATGTGTCTCCTCCTTCACATCCACTATCAAAATATTTACAAGAAATCCTCGCCAATCATCGCCAGTGGGAGGCGTCCTAATCCAGCCGCCTCCACCATAACTCTCCTCTGTTGCTTGCATCTCTTTGCGAAGCGATGAGCAGGGTCTTTCCGTTATCGAAAAGTGTGTAGTTACGGACATGGCTCGCTCCAGCCATGGAAGGCACGTTCGCAACTGTCAATGGGCCGTGGATGACTTGGCCGTGAGTCCGTGTTGCTGGGATAGCAGTGCTGATCTGAAGTGGTCCAGCATAACCGATGCTGTGCCTTCCGACAAGAGCCCACTTCATAATCGTTAGCAATGAATTCTTGCATCATGAAGAAATAAAACCCTCGCAATGTCTCAAAATGCCATGGCATGTTGCTAGGTCATGAACTTTTGAGGTGTCTGAGGTAGAGATGTAGGATTCTACTTACATCGGCGTCTGACTGACCATCTCTAAAAGGAAATGTCAAATTTGCTGGTCTATCCTCGGCATCTGTTGAGGTGATTGTAGCAGACATGTAGCCGGACTTGCTGTAAGTTAAGATGCCAACTGGTGCAGAACCATAAACAGCGTCTGGTACTGGGACTTCATTTAGCCACCTGTGTAACAACCGATTAGAAACTAGAACCAGTAAAATGGGGTTTACAGATCTTTAGTCACCCACGCAGAAGTGTTCAGTAATGAGTAAGTCCCGGCTAAGACTGCAAGAATCTGGTTAGGCTGCATTTTGGCGATAGTGTACAGCAATTCTTGGACGAGTGACAGGATACTTGATCTATATCTCCCTCAAACGAGAGGCAACCCAGGGATAGGAGCTATTTAAGAGAAAAATCCTCAAGCATTAATGAGACCTTGGGCACGCCGCTTGCCCAAATCTTGGAAACCCCCCCCCCCCCCCCCCCCTCCCAAGACTAAACAGGTGTACCTTGCCATTCCAAGCACGTCCATCCCATAGGGATCATCTATGCGCTGTCGGAAGGGGTCCATTACGGAATGTTCAGTAGGTCCGGAACGAAGTAAAGCGTGTAATCTAAAGATCTCCAAGCAATCTAGTAGAAGACAGCCAGGAGCGATGCCAAACAGCTCCTCCTTGAGGTGGGTAATGACGCGCCAAGGGAGCAGGGTTGAACGACCAAATCCGTCTGAACCCCGATGCTCCTATATTGAGGTTAAGACGTTAAGCAAATCCATGCAAGTTCATCTTATCTGTGATGCTCTAGAATAAAATTGAGCTACAATCTTTGTTTGGTTTGATGTCTAACAGTACTAACTTGGGACACTTCTGATCATACTCTTCCACTGTCAGAACCGACGGCAAAGTAAACATGCCCCAAAAATTCTTGACTAGAAAGGTCTAAGACTCAACTTGGGCTCCCAATATCTCAACGCTTCCTAATCCCGGGTCGGAACAATGGAGTAGACCCATGGCATTTCTCTGGGGCGGCTGGGGCTGCTTCGTCTCATTTTTCTGACCCTGCCCATGAAATAGCTAAGCGAGCTCAAGCTGACTCGGCTGAGGCTCGAAATGGTGTCTTTGCCGAGGTATGAAAAGGGTCTGAAAGAGGCAGGCGAATAATGTTTTCTGCTCTACTCGAGAAGTCATAATGATGGAAACTTTCAATGGGTCCGGTTATTGCCCACTAAAGATGCGTCTGTTACAAGCAGTGTTGCTATTCAACAAACAGACCCAAGGTAAGATTACAAGTAGCAGAGAGGAGCAAGGGTGAGAACACCACGGACTCAGGAGACATGCTTGGCAAAGTAAATATCATTGGAGAACTGCGGGGCAAACGGTGCGGGGAATAGGTTTGGCTTGGTCTTTTAGACCCATAATCATTGCACCATGTCTGTGGCTAGACTTGACGGATTATCGGGACAGCAGATCGGTATTAAAATATTCACCGAGCTGGAGCAGCGGCATTATTTATGATAATTCAGACCTCGAAGGTCTCATTTGTTCTCCGGGAGAACGGGCCACAGTTAAGGGAAAAGTTCTTCTGTCTCTTGTAGCGGAGCATGGGGCTGAATCTGGTTAGTCAGAAGCTATCATCATCAAGGCCGATCTTGCGAGGCCGCTCGAAGATATCCCAGAAAGTATCTGTGCATACCTTCGAATTTGAGAAATTCTGCCCCATAGCAGCAAAAACAGGTTCGCACAAGCGGAATATATTGACTCTATGAGTGACGCAACATGACTTTGAAATGAGCGATGGAAGTGGTGAAGCGAAGGATTTTTGAAAAGTTCGGCATTTGACATTTACTCATTACACAGAAGATTGCACCCGCAACTTCCTTCTACCAACCCAATATAGTTCCCGACCATCTCATCAAGTCCAAAACGCCAATTAACCATGCAAGCCATATGAACCAGTTTTCAAGCTTTACCTGCAAGAAAATCCTCAGTGACCCACCGTTGCCCAAACCTTCCTACCAAAGTATTAAAGCCGAAGACGTCTACCCAGAAAGCCTAGATTCTATAACATAAAAAAGAGGTAGTTGTACACAAACATGAATGACATGCCGTCATCGAACGTTTTTACAAAAGATTAATAGCCCCGACGTCTGGCGCGACCATGTCCCAGATCGATGCTTTTCATCTCTTCTAGAAGAGCCCAGGCGTCCCCACCACTAGGTTGTGGTGGCGGGGGTCCACTCATACTCATTGGTACCTTTGCAGGAATGGGTGGAGGACCTGTAGTACCTCTGTATCCAGGACTTCCTCCATAATTAGGCGCATAGTTCTCATTCGATTGAAAATCGGTCGAATGAGATCTTGGAAGACTTCGTTGAGCATAAGTATTGTCCTGATACGGAGTAATAGGAGCCAATGGACTTGAACCTTGTACTGGATGACCCGACATTCGGTTTGCCTTCTTCTGAAGACGATTACGGCCAGTAGGGGTTGCTGGATCATGAGGCGGGGTATTGGTCATGTAGATAGGCGATGAAGTTGCCATTGACTGAGGTCTGCCAGCCTGTCTCAATTGTCGGCGGCCAGTGGCCGAAACTGTTTGAAGGCCACTCGGTCGTGGTCTGTAGTTTCGATCTGGAAGTTGCGAAGCGTACTTCGGACCCTTTGATTCTAGCAGGGGCGCGTAGTTTGATTCGGGGATGTGATCACTTGGATCAATCTCCCGCCCGTCATGTGTGATAATCTTTGCATCAGGGTCAACGACCTTCGTGTCGTATGCCGCACTAAGTGATGGAGTAGAAGCCGAGCCAGCCAGACTTGGGTTCAGGGCATTGTAAGAATCCGGCCCGAAAGGGATACCCGACAACCTTCTCGTGTCATCGGATGGTCGTGGTGAGGGACTGACAGATTTCCTCATAGGCCGAGGATCGGGAGAGATGGCTCTAGGCTTGACTATTGGGACCGTTGCCGTGGAAAATCGACTTTGGCGATCATCGTATGTGGCAGCGGCTGGTAGGAACGCAGCATCGTTTTCCTGATAAGACAAAAGCTTGGGCTTGTTCTGTTGATGCTGGGGCGAATCGTGGTATCTCCCTCGAGCCGAACTGCCCGTAACCTGGTTGTAACTCGCTCGCTTCTCATCATAGATTCTTTCTGATATCTCTTGTGCAATCATAGGATCCATGCCAGGAACCAATGTCGCTGGCACAGGAGGAAGTGAATAGTTAGACATCCCCATTTGATCCTCGGATTGTCCTCGCTGCCGCTGATAGGCAAACGAAGCTCCAGCCTGGTCTTCTGACTGCCCTCTTGGTCGTTGATAACTTGTAGCACTACCCATCGGATCCTCACTCTGGCGCCGATGGTGATCCTGTTGCTGCATTGGATTGTAATATGTTCGGGATGAGACCGACATGTCTGGTTGTGATCGGCCACGAAGAGAATTCTGAGAATTCTCGTTCGTATATCCGATGGAGCTGCTCGAATACTGATGAGTTGGTGTGGGTGCGTTCGACTTGCTATTCCTCCCCGACGCAGAACTACCTCGGCCACTCAAATTCAGAGGTGCTGGTGAGGGGACTTGATCGTATCGCTTTTCATCGTATTGCGAAACTCGCGATCCGTGTCTGAGCCCAGAGTAGTTTCCGCCAGGAGAGGGTGGTGCATCTTCCACTGTCGGCTGCATTGAACCATAGTCCCCATTATACCTTGAATCATAAGACTGATGACGAGGAGGAGACTGTTGATAACCGCCATTTGCCGATCGCCGAAACTGCTCCTGCGTCTTTTCAGGACTGTACGCTTGGTACGAGTTGCTGTGTGATGGAGATGGTACAGAGTGGCGATGGCCTTCGTGAGTTGGAGTGCCATATGGATTTGGGGACCGATTATCTTGAGAAAATCCATAGCTTCCTTGAGACTCTAATGGGTGCGGACTGACATGACCACTCCCAGCCCTGGTTCTGTGTGCTGGTGGAGGCGGAGGAGGCCCGCCAGGACTTGGAGGGGAACCAAAGTCGTCCGGCTGAGGGAGTTCATAAGGACTTTGCTGTTGGCGAGGGTTAAACATATCTCGAGGGACACTGTGATCTTCATCTCCTCGGTAATGCTCGGCTGAGTTACTGTGAGAGTATTCACTCCTAGAAGCTGCATCATAGGTCTCGTAATGATCGTTTGGCGGTATTTGTGATGGTGAAGCGGCTGTGAAGTTTCCTGGAGACTGGCCGTACCCATTCATGTTTGAAATGGAGCCATCATCATAGCCCTGAGACGGAGAGTAGTTTCCTGGTGCTGTGGCATATTCCATAGTCTGGAGAGGCGATTGGTTTGGTATATAGTTGGGCGACTGATAGCCTCGCTGAGGCGTATGTACATGCTCAGGGATCGCAGTTGGTGGTGTCTGGTATCCTCTTGGCGGTGTATGAACATGGTCTGGAATGCCTCCGGGCGTGTTCTGGTAGCCTCTTGGAGGCATTTGTATATGATCCGGTGTCATATTAGGCGATGGCGGATAGCCTCGAGGTGGAGTTTGGGCATGGTCTGGAACTGCGACAGGCGAAGCTGGTGCCCCAGTAATAGGGTCGGATGGCAGAGGTCTTCTTTTTACTGCAACTCTGGGTTGTCTAGGTCCTTTAAGAGAGTCCCTGCTCCCATCATCTATACCGTTCGTGGCAGCTTGTCTGACCTTCTCTGGCTTCTCCTGCTTCGGTCGCGAGTCGTAGTATGTGATCTCGATCCTGATTTCTCCCGCATATTTGCCCTTGCAACTCAAATTATGCCACAGATCGTTCTGCCCGCCGCCAGGGATGACAACTTCTTTCAGGTCGACCCATGTCTCTCCAATCAAGTCTGTCTTCTTGTCATCATTGAAAACCGATACTTTCAACTGGTAGTAGTCGGGGGAGTCGTGAACGGTATATCGGAGCTCTTGGTCCCTATACAGTTATTAGCAAATAGGCAGTGCTGGCACGAATAAACTTACCAACGTGGCGTTTGACCTCCCCTACGATCGGTATCTGTCTTCTTTGCCTCCTTCCCAAGTCTGGCGGCACAATATGGATCCTGCTTGCCAATGGTCTTCCGGTTGGGCAAGTTCTTCGCACGGTCAACAATAAGCACAAGTGTTCCAATCTCGGGACCGTCCACGGTCATATCAGAGAATATTCCCGCTGTATGGGCGCCGTTGAGGCCATTGACCTTCGGTTTGCTCGCCATTTTTGCTTGGTCGTGAATGGTGTTGTTGCGAGGCAGAAAGCTCGGCTGACGTCCGACTTTGTTTTGGCTCGTGTTTACGAGGCTGAATAGCGAGGCTCTAGTCTAGCATGGCGGGAATGAATCAAAAGATTGAAAATTATGTGCACATCAACAATGCATGAAGAAGCTGTAGGGAGGTGGAAGAGATGCAAAGAAGAGGTCCAGATGCGGATGCAGGTTTACAGAATGGTGCGCGCAGGGCAGTAGTATGAGAAATAAATCGAGGAGGCAGGAATTTGGAGGCCAGGTCGGGTCGGTCGGTGGCTGGGGCTGGGATAGGTATTTTCGCGACCCTAACTCTCTCAAAGAACCATCCTCCCCAGTGCATAATTCCACATTATTATCTATAGATTTACAGTATTCCAACAGTTTTAGATTTTACTTCTTTTCCACTGGGTAAGAGTAGGCTAGGATCGATGCAAGCGTCCATAAATCTTGCCCTGCCTGCTCCCGCAGCTTTCAGGAACGGCCAATTAGCCCGCGTGTTGGTTTGGGTTGGTTGCTATGCGGTCGTCAAGCGAGTCAGGGGCCAGGGGATGAAAGCGGTCGTCATCAGTTGATGGCGACGACGACTGTACGGGCAATTTATCTTGGCATGTTCTACAAACGTGCTCTCCAAGATCCCTGAAGTAAATCTTGCAGATCAGTGGAAACTTTGAGCGTTGCGTTGTCTCGTATGAGGCAAACCTCACAATTCAACTACAATAATTCTTCACCTTGATTTAACGCTCGTGAGGGTCTCTTTGGACCTTGACGAAAGTCTTGTAACAAGTTACGAACAAGGAGAGAGTCAACAAAGCCATGACCTTTACTCGCTCAAGCTTTCTTTTACAAATTCAAATCCTTTGTTCTTAGGAGGTACGCGTCCACGCAAGCTTCTCGTGATGCTTACTTGGCGGCCTAGACTGAGCCTCTCTGCCTCCTCGTGCGCAGCAAAACATGTGGGCTCTTACATGAACTGGTCAATCAGAACGACTTGGTAGGCGGGGATTGGGTTTGCTGTGCCTCCAAGAGTGGCTCAAATGATCCTTACTGAGCTGAATGGGAAAGTTTCTCATACAGCGTGATGCAAGCGAAACGGAAACAAGGAAAACCTATGAATCGGAGAAATTATCTTTTTTTTTTCTACAACAAAAACTTCTAATTGCATCATTTCTGCAGATTTACACTATTCGAGGAGGTTTCGAATCGTTCGTTAAGGTAACTCATGTTCTAATTGCAACAATTTCGTGCGTTTGAAAGATTCTCTTTCACAATCCATGTTTCTTCAAATAATCAAGCATGACCGCGTATGCTCCTGTCGCATTATAGCCTAAAACGAGTCAATTTTCTGCATTCTAGCAAGCTCAGATGAAATACGTACTCAGATTGATTCCATGGCCAACAGCGGGATGTACAACGGCTTGGAAATCCGTCACGTTGGGAAAGTACTCCGACAAAACAGGTGGTGCAAGCACACCCGTACAGTTACCATCGCAGAAAGCGGAGTCAAATTCACCAGCTAGGAGCTAATGACCATTAAAAAGGTGGCTATGGCAAGTGAGATGTACATACCATCAGCGGTTTTGTAAACTTAGGAGCTCTTTGCTGGAGCAAAGTGAAGGTGAGGATTTCGGCAGAAGCGACAGGCTGTTTGATAGATTCCGCGTACCACGCCATTTCTTTGCTGAAGCTGTTCCCATGGAAAAATGCTGCCGCATTTCCAGCTGCATCCACGCCAGTAATATAGTTGTTATCCCGGCCAGGCCATTTTCCAGGTGCTTGCAGTGCTGCAATGCGAAATCCCCATGCTTTAAGGAAAGTTGCCGAATTTGGTGTATACGCTATTCCAGTGAGAATCGCGCCGTCTGAGAGTCCAGGTGTAGTTGCAATAAGACCGTTGGAGATGAGAGATCCATATGAGTGCCCAACATGGACAAGTTTGGAGGGTGCTCCGAATGAGCCAGTGTAGTTTCCAGCTCGAACGAGAGAGCTCAATTGTTGCAAAATCGCAAGTTGAGCGGTGGACTGAGGCACATCATAGCCAGAGACTCTATTCGCATCGATCATTAGCTTTGCGTATTTTTGGTCAGGAAACTATCATACTTGGAAGATTTCCCTGTGCCAAGTCGGTCATAGAAGAATACCGAATAACCCTGGGCTACGGCGAAGTCTACAAAACTGTAATTTGCAGACTCCAAACCAGAATCCCAATACCTTATAGCACGTTAGTAGCAGCTCTAGAGCTCGCTCAGTGAACATACCTCCGATCATAACCAAGGCCGTGCGAAGCAAGCAAGAGCGTTTTCTCTTTTTGAGTACTTTTACAAGGACTGCAAATAGTTGCGGCGATCTCGTACGATCCAGTGACGTTCTTCGCCCCAGAGAAGGGAATGAACGATGATCTCGAGTCTCGACTAAGAAGGTTGTTCACGAAATCAACAACATCGAAGTCGTTTTCGAAGCGAGGATAGCTGGGTACCAACACCTGAGAAGTAGCATTAACTTGGATCATGTAGTCTTGGCATGTGCGAGTGGCTGAGTCCGAGGAAGTGCTAAAAGAAAACACCCCGGGGAGAAGAAATGTGATCGAGGAGACCGATGAAACCTTCATGATGTGTGATGATAATGAAGTTAAAGAGCGGCGGAGGACGGTGATGAGGTGGTCGTGGTCACTCCACCTATGCCATGTTCTAGTATTTATACGATTGAAAAATCACCATCAACACCAAAATCACATCAATTTGTCCGCCATGGAGTCGTCACTGCATCAATGCGAGATCCGAAGCTCTCATTTCATTCCCAGTTGAGGCTTACGATGGTCAAAAAATGGCCTAGACTTGAGGCTGACCAGGTCGGTTTCTCGGGTAGCTAGCCCCCCTGCACACGAGTTGCATCGAGTACCTGCAGTGTCGATTTGAGGTGCAGATTGAGACAGAGGTTATTTGCCATCGTTCCCTTTGGAAGGACACATTGCTATTGGGCTGTAGCTCTTGCTTTCAACAGCCAATGTCTGGGCCACTTATGTTGCATGCTGACAAAAACTCCCATGCAGACATGACACCACTCGCCCGGGTCCCAATTGTTGGGGGCAGATGATATCCAGGAAATATGGGATGTGCTCATCTGGTGAGGCTGATTGAATCCGGATCCGAGACTCTCAATTGCAGGGGCAATCGTGAAGCTGGTCAAAGACTCAAAATCAAGGATAAACATGAGCTGACGCCGCTCGCCACGTGAAAAGAAACCCACTCCGAAGCGCAACTTGCATCGAAAGGCACATTTGGAGCTGTTCGAGCTATTGTTTTGATAAAAAAATCTTCACTTCTTCGGTATTTCACGTCCCCACAGCGACGGAACTGAAAAGAAAGACCACGACAAAATTGGACCCCTATTTGGTACCGAAGACAAACTACATTCAACGACTGCGATGTCTCGTGGAAACTACCCTGGAGTCTTGAATCAATTTCAAAGTCTCTCGGCTAGGAGCTGATATAGAGAAAGTTACAAAACCACCTCGATCACACAATATTCATAGATTGCATGACTTTGCAGATCAGTTGCTTTCAGAAGTCGCAATAGAGGGCAGGCCGCTGGATTGTCCTTGTCATAAAAAAAGCCATGCTGCAAACGTAACATACTCGGTACGTCACTTGCTTATGCTATCTTCTCAAGCGAGAATGCGAATCTTTTCAGTCAAGCTGTTCCTTTGCTTTGTTGACTCGAACCCGTAGACCTGGCGACCATGCTCTTGCCACGATCTTGCCACCTGTCGACCCTTTCCAACAAATCGCAGTCAGTGCGTCTTTTCAACAACGGCCTTTCCGATCCTAGAATGTACTTCTTACGATCGTGGAAAGAAACGGACCGAAGTAATCTGATAACGGAGGAAAATGTATCAGCGAAGGCTGTGTGGCATTTCAGGCACCAGCGAAGCGATATTTGACAATGGGCCAAATTTCGCCTGGATGTCGAGCATTGGAAGGTCGGTTACAAAGCTGATTGCGAAGGCTCAGGTATACACCAGCCACACGAGGATTCTATGTGATTATTGCTTTTGTGCGAGTTCTGCGATCCAGTCTCATGGGAGATGTTCTCGCTAGCTTTTCCGAACTATGCTTAAATTTTGTCATCGTGCAGGTATTTGTCAGTCTTCTTCTGGCACTGCCTGCCTGTCAGCCCCACCATTCAGCGAATTAGCTGAGTAGTCCTGGCACCGTTATCGAAGTTCTTAATGAGTCGAATTTCTGGCTTCATATATTGGATTGATCTGCCTTCGTTAAAATGCTCAATTCAGCCAAATCAATCTTTCCGCAATCGCCCTCAGATCCAACGAGGTGACCAAAAACTCTGTTCGACAGCCTTGTATTCAGTTGACGCAGACAGCAAGAATTGTGTATTGACAGCTCTGCTTCTCAATGTTGCCGTTACCATGGGAGACCACGTCTGGGGAGCCTCAAAGAACCCAGCGACCACACAGGAAAAGCAGACTTGGCTGTAAGGTGTGCAAGGCACGGAAAATAAAGGTCAGTAAAAATTATCCTCCCTTACTTACGTGTCTAACGATTCACTGAATGAATGCAGTGTGATGAAAGTAGACCCGTTTGTGGGCAGTGCGTCAAGAGATTTCCAAATCCAGGAGAAGAATGCGAATTTGAGGTTCTCTCCCCACCTCTAGCACGAACACCTTCTTCAGCCGTATCTCCAGCATCAATAAACGATTCAATTGCCAGCTTCCAATCCCAAAATACTTCAAGAGCTATGGAATTGAGACTCTTTCATCACTACTCAACGTCTACCTGTCACGCGATGCCCTTGGCCGAAGAAGAAGCCGGACGAGAGATGTGGGTAGTGGAGATCCCAATCGTTGCTTTCGATCATCCATACGTTTACTCCGCTGTACTTGCACTCGCTGCTCTCCATCTCCTGACAGACAACCCAAATGACGTCTCATTGCAGACAGCTACGTTTCAGTACATCGACGAGTCATTATCGGGCTACAGAAACGAGCTGTCGAATATCAACGGCGACAATGCACTTGCAGTCTTCACATCATCCATTCTTCTCGGACTGAATGCCCGACTCAGACACCGATGCTTGGGAAATAACCCACCACCCTATACTTTGCCGCTTGAATTTCTGCATCTGCAAAGAGGGACCAAGGAGATATTTTATCGCACCTATCAGGTCATTGTGGGGTCTAGCGCCAAGAAGTGGGTTGATATAAGACCCGAATTGAGAGGTGAATCAATACCCAGACCCATCGAAACATCTGCCCCACACGTAAACTCTCATGGAATAGAGTTCCCTTCCGACAAACTTCTCTTATGCTGGGACTCATCGATTTCACTTTCAATTCCAGCTGAGAAAAAAGCTATGTTTGACGCCACTTTGGAATACCTTGCTGGGCTCAAGGACGGCATTGGATATCACGAGGAGATGCGCTGGATACAGCGCCGTCTCACCTGGCTTACGCATGGAATCTCAAGAGATTTTGTGGGATATCTGGAGGAATGCGACCCGCTGGCAATTGCCATTTTGTCTAGATTTTACGCCTTGTTTAAATATGTAGACGAGTCTTGGTGGCTCGAGGGGTCTGCTGAGTTTGAGGTCTTGGGAATGGCAAATTTGGTAGGAGATGAGTGGAAGTGGGCGATGAAGTGGCCATTGGAAGTGTTGAAGACTGCCGTGAGGGTTGGTCTTGAAAATATGGAACTGTGATAATCGGTGTTGGAGATGCGGAAGACGTACCAGAGGTAGAGATGAGCACACTCTCTACTGTAAAGGTATTTTAAGAAAGCTGTTCGAGTGGCATTCAATCAATAGACATAATACAAGTTGGTAGTCGTAAGATTAGCACAGAAATAGAATAGAAATAAAAATAGAGATAGAGATAGAAACATAGATTAACAAGCCAAAATTGCTCCATTCGAAACTTGTCGTTGGTTGTAGGCAACTAAATGGCTCTCTCTGCTAGCATTGCGTTCATAGTACCTCTACTCAAGTCTGGAAATGAGATTTAGCTGTGTTACAATGTCCTGGGACATTCCACTGCAGAACTGAATTACCCGAGCCAAAAGAAAACAAACGCCAGAAAGCCGAAGGGGGCACAGACCCACTTCGGCTCCATAGGCACCTAGCCCCTGAAATCACATGTCGCGCTACGGGCCTCTGACGAATCTATGAGCTCGTCCTTCAATACCGACTGTGGTCACTCTCGCAAGCCATCACCCATAATTATCTCGACACATCACAACACAATGTTAGACACCCCAGAACCTATACCTACCGATGCAGACCACATCTTCCGGTATATATTCGCTTTTATCCTGGTGGGCGTAGCATGGGGTTTTACAACACCGTTCATACGAGCCGCAGCACGCACGCACTCCCCGCCTGCTCACTCCATCCTCGACTCTCCAGCTGTGAAAAACAGTTGGCTCAAATCCAAAGTCTACGGAGCGTTCTTTGGAGTGGTGGATCTCCTGAGGAACCCCCGGTATGCGATACCGTTGGTAATCAACCTGACGGGAAGCATTTGGTTTTTCTTGTTGATCGGGAAGGCTGGTAAGTTCAGAACTTGATTGTGTTCCAGCTCTTGCTTTACTTAGTCACGTTTGCCATTGGACGTAGGTTCGATAGAGATGACTTCAGTGGACGTTACTTAGTAGGAGATTGTTCCTATCTGGCGTGGGCGGAGACTTTGAGGCTTGCGCTAATCGGTTTCTAGAATTGAGCTTGACTGTCCCAATCACTAACGTAAGTAATTTCTTTCCTGGTTCCTTCCCAAAATCTAGGCTTTCGATTCTGATACCAATGCTTGGGGACGGAGATCGTCAATAGTACTAACTCTGTCGAAGTCGTTGGCGTTTCTGTTTACGGTCCTGGGTGATTGGTATGTTGACAGGAAAGTCATCAGCCGAGGTAAGATTGTCCAAAAGTATTCAGAGCATCGGCTGACCTCAGCGAAGACACGTGGATCGGGATGGCCCTCTCCCTAGCGGGGATTGGTCTTTGTGTCCAGAGTAAGACGAAGTGAAGAATTGGTGTTGTGTAATGATGTAATTTTCCATCTGGGTATCAAACTCGTATATTCTATGAAACCTCGAGACGACTTTGCGTCTCTCGCGATATCCTTTCTCCAAAACATGTGCGCCTGGCAATGCTCTCTTTTATTACGAAACAGAATTTGCTGGCATCCTGCACCGCGAAAGAATATAAGCGCCTTCATATGCCAATGCCCGCTGTTTTAAACCCAAAATGTAACGCTTGTGCGATATCCCGTTGCTCCGTGCAAATGCAGTATTACTAGAATTCCTTGTTCCTGCCCGATTCATAGCCCATTACCATCTAACCCATGGCCCACTGCACCCTCAAATTGGATGTAATGCCTAGCGCCTGGCTCTGACCCATCTTTGGATGTGTCGAAGGCTGGGATCTTCAAGTGTCCATCGACCCATCTGATAGTCTGACGACCGCATGTCCGAATAAATGGAATCGTCTGTGATCGCTGCGAGTTCCTATTTTCACCAAGTCAGCACACGTACCCTCTCATTGAACTCCCACAAGGTAAGTAGAGCTCGCTTAATAAAGTTGCGTTCAGAATATACAGCTTTCATTGCTTGAAGAGCGCCAAGAGACTTTTCAAGCCATGCTGAATCGCAGGAGCCGATCCGAGAGATCTTGCCTCTGGGACCCAAGGATTCTTGCCAAGCTGACCTGTAACGAGAGAACGTAGTGGGTAAAACCCGTTTCGACTACTTACAACTCGTAATTGCGCGTCACAGGCTGCTAATTGGTCCGTATGGCCAGTATGTGGACGTTCTCCTTGAAGAACTTGATCCCGCCAACCGATCCAGCGCTGAGCCGCACCCTGTCTGAGATAGATCTTTTGCGCCTCGTGACGACGGGCGTATGCGTCAAGCATAACCCTGCCATGATCAATCAGCAGGAAAACATCGGGCAGACTTTTCTATTGAACATACTGCTGTAGCTCGGCCTTTGCCTGCTCTTCAGGACCACCTCGTACTCTGGGAACTCGCGTCTCTGCCGCACAGTTCAAAATGTGTTGGCCATCAATCGAACATTGCCTTAAAGCAGCATATCCTTCTGTGTAGTCTTAAGTAGTCGAGAATTTAGCATTTCCTACATCAGGGAAACGATTAGGGAAGGGGTCGAACTTGCACCCAGAAGATTTTGAGACATTCAAGAAAGGAAAGTATCGACACTTACAGTCGTCCGGATCTTCAGGGTCGAGAGGTGCAGCAGCGATATAGCTGGATAATTATCAGATCAGTGCTTGCACTTTCATGGTTGTCTTGAGAAGATTTTGAGTATAGGGTTTTCCAGAGACATCTCGAAAGAAGTGTCAACCACCCGAGCAACGTACTATTGAAGGGTGCGAAAATCAGACAGGAGATCTGCTACCCGAGCAGTCCTTTGGTCGTTTACTGTTGAATTGATTAGCATTTGAAACAGTTACATTCTCCACCATGAGAGAGACCGGAAGAAAGTACGAGAAAGAAAGCAATATCCAAACTCACATCCGTCCGCCATTTCGAAAGAGCGTGATTGGGTATGGAAGATGAGGACTATAGGGAAAGAGATAATATCGATGCTAGGAAACGAATGAAAAGAGGTGTGGAAGAGTGGATAGCTGGTAGATCGCCGTTGAGATGTCTGAGATGGCGGGAAGAGTTGGCCACACGGAGATATATGAAGATACGCAGGAACAGAGTATCGTGCATCTTGAAAGAGGACTCACCCCTATCGGCACTTTACTGTTGCTAGCTATCCACAATTTGTTCAGCCATTGCAAGCGTGCCATCTGATCGATTGGAGCCGCTGTCAGGAACTGCTGGAGAAGCCCCACGCAATGGGGGCTATTTTCAACTCGACACTTGCGAGCTCAAAGCTACAGAGAACCCTACCGAGCTGTAACTAGAGGTGCACTTTCATCTTGTGCTGCATGACGAAGGTGGTTGCAACGAAAGTTGGTAGAGACGAGAGAGGGAGGGGTTGAGGAGGCTCCTTGCTCTATTCATTATGGCAGGGTGCCAAGGACGCTTGGTCTCGCGTGAGAAGCTCAGCGACGAAGCACCCAACGAGATGGAACCTCAGCAAGCCACGGCACCACAAAAGCGTAGGCCCAGCGTGGCCGTCCAGCGCAGACTGGAACCAATTACAGTGTCCAGGGCCCTGGCTGCGACCGCTAGACCTTCGCTTGTGGACAGCTGAGCTGCAGGGCAGTCAAATCGGGCATAGGCACCGTTGACTGCGCCATACAAGGTTCGAATCGGTGCGTCTTTCTGCTTTCCTAGCAATCGCGTGGCAGCAGAAGCCATCGATTCTGGCTCCTCCTGGGAGACAGCCCTGGGTAGTGTCGTCAATACTTGCTCTGCACGCGGTTCTGGCGCTACTCTTGCGCTCTGTATGGTTTGCACTCCTGCGGTAAGGCTGCATCTCCTGCATCCGGTCAGAATGAATCACTGCATGTTCACTTCAGGTCAAGCCACATGAAGGCTGTGTTGGTGTCCGATCCCAAGGATATACCGCCAATGAGAAAAGGCCATTTCGCCTTTGGTTTCCCCAAATGTGATGAGACTAATGACACAACGTGGAAGAGATGTGGCTTCACGCCAATGCTTCTTCTGTTCTAATACACGGTATTGCAATTGAGAGTAGCAAAGAGCCGTTTGAAAACCAGCGGTCTGTCGGTGACGCCGAACGCTAAATTGCTTTCCTGGATATCATCATCGTCATGTCGAAACTCAATCCTTCTCCGCGATTGCTTGCAGTCTCTCGTCGATCTCCTCTTCTGTCAGAGCTCTAAATCCCGGGTCGGTACCTTCCTTCCCATCCTGTCTCGGTCCACCCACGATTCCGATCTCCAATTCGCCCTTCTTGAAATCCACGCTGAGGACCGTGCTCAAGGTGGTAATGGCGAGCTCCACTACCTCTTCCCAGCTGCCGTCTGCACAATCCTTGTTCTTGAGCTTCTTCTCTAGATGATTGAACGCCTCTTGCTGTTTGGGACCTGACGCAGTACCCTTGTAGCCGGTATAGTATCCCGCCGGGTCGCACTTGTACAGTTGCGGGCCTAACTCGGAATCCAATGAGATCAATGTTGTAGCAACGCCATACGGACGCATGTAAGCCTATGTTCCTGTAAGTCAAAGAATCCGATACAGTGCTGAGCGGACCGATTAAGTCAGCTTACCCTTTGAGTATAGACCTGGCTGATGTTGGCGATACGTTTGGCTAAGGCATCGCAGGGCATTTCGTATCCAAACTTGTATCTGAACTCGGCGGCTTCGCCAATGGCTCTTTGGACAGAGGCTCTTGCATCGGCGATAGATCCGGTCATGACACAGCCCACTGAGGGTGACAGTTGGAAGATATGAGAGACGGACGAGGGATCGATGAGCTTGTCCTGATGTCATCCATATATCAACATTGTACCCAAAATAGAACCGCCCCTGTGTATACTTACTGGAACCTTCTTTTGTGACAGGACAACTGCACAATCCTTCCCTCTGACACCAATCGACATGATATTCGCAGCTGTGATGGCTTTGAAAGCATATTCTATCCCCATAATATCAGCATGGCACTTCTGATGCGACGCTGAGGTCCAGGTCCAAAGGGGGCTCAAGGACTGTAGAAGCTGAACAGGACACAGTCGTTGTTGAGGGCCAAAAATCTCAGTACTCATGCATACCAACTTGGTACAGTCTTCCCTGATCTGAGAAGATCGTAATGTGTCTATCGTAACCTGCACTGCCTGTTTGCAGTTTCTAGTTAGCTATGGTCCTTTCAAGCGGCTGGAGGCTAGAATGTCAACGTACCCGACATCTTGACCGATCGAGGGTATGAAGGTGTGGTGCGGTTGGAGAACTTCTCTAGCTTTCGGCTTGACCGAGAGAAGTGGCAGTAACTGTGCGGAGTCGTTGGTGTTGATGTAGATGGAATGCGAGCGTGTAGGATGAGCTCTCGTTCGAGGAGCTCAAGCTCCCAGACGCGCGACACCTTGCCTGCCTGCCGCCTGCGTTCATGAGTCACGTGACTTTGCCAGCCTTCAAAAGCGGCCCCGGAAGGGTTGTCAACATTGATTGCCATCATTGATAGAAGGTTCACCAAGCAGAGAAAAAATGGCTTTAAGATGGCATATTGGGACTGAATGCCCACTTTGAAATCAGAATGTTTAAAACCATCAACTGAAGAAGATTAAGTAGGAGTGCTGTCCAGATGTTCCGATGGGCGCTGCTTTTGGGTACCCACTGTTAATACGATAACAGATAAGAGAGTTTTATTTTTCCTGATGCCGCGCAGGAATTACCCTGCGTTGGCTTAAAGATACAAAGTCTCGCAGTACCGACAAAAAGCATTCGCTGGTCTTAATAATGCCGTCTGCCACCCACATTCCCGCCTGGAGACGGTTAGGTCTCAAGTTGAAATCCGCTCAAGACTCTCCCTTTGTTGATTCCCCGCCCGTGGACGAGACAGTCAAGAGGAAGAGAACCACTGCAGAAGACAACACACCCTCCAAGAAGTCGAAGAAGAACTCTGAGCCCTCAATCGAGTCTTCTCGAGAACCATTCACCCCTCAACTTCTGCGAAAGAAGTCTGTCACGTTCACGCCAGAGACAAAGTATGAGGACGGTGATAGCATAAAGCAACTGTTCAACTCCTGGAAAGCAGAACAGCAAGCACAGGATCCTGCTTTTACTTTCGGAAATTCAAATCTAGCGTTTGATACTCCAGAGCCACCACGAGTTGAAGTAGAGATAGACACGAAACTTGACGAAAAAGAACGAAGAGTTAAAAGGGTGAAACCAGCACAGGAGAAGGAAAGAACCACAAAAACAAAAAAACCTTCAAAGATTGTCAAACAGCCTACGCCATCTTCTCGCCCATTCCTCCAATACCTCAGGCAATACTGCGAATCCCGAGACTCTTGGAAATTCAACAAGAACCATCAAAACCATCTACTCAAACACGCCTTCAATATCGGCATTCTTCCTTCAGACCACGTACATTTTCTCTACGAATACGTCAAAGGCCTTCAAGGAGGAGTACGCACGAGATTAAGGGATACCGCCATCGAGTTCAAGGTCAAGGACAACGACGTTGGCCCAGGAGGGTTTCCAGAAAGCATGGTACATCCGGAAAAGAGACAAAGAGAGTATGATATTGCTATGGAGGAGTATGTCGCGACAATGACGGCAGCGAATGCACCCGAGGAGATGGGATATGAGGAGGGCATCTTACTTGGCCTTTCAGACAAAGCAATGGAAGGAAGAGTCGCGAAGAGGATGAGGACCGAAAAGATTCTTGCTATATTAGCATCAACACCAGAGCCAAGTGGGACAATTGCAGCAAAGATCAATGGTGGCGATGCGCCTCAGGAAGGTCTCGAAGTGAAGGATGAAGCTCCGCAAAAAGTGGCCAGGAAGAGAAAGCAGCGAACGGTCGTTACGATTGATGACTCGGACTCGAGCTCAGAGAGTAGCGATTCAGATAGCAGCTCGGACGAATCCACAGCTCAGAATGAACAGGAGGGGGTTTCTTCTTCCAGTTCGTCCAGTTCATCGTCCGAGTCCGATACCGGAGAAGGAGATAGTGATGATTCGGATTCCGACAGCAGCGAGGACAGTGAAAGCGAATAGACGTTACATTGTCTGATTAGAATATCAATAAACAAACATATCGCCTTAGAGCAACTGTTGTTGCTTTCACGACACTCTGTAGGAGGGGGAGCGTTAGGTGGGTCGCCAAGAGCTCCTGGGAGGCTGGACAGATGCTTTTCGTGGCAAAAATACCCAGCGGAGGGGAAGGAACACGATAACAAATCAAATACCCTTTCAAGTGCATATCACAATCAGTTGGAGCCAAAGAAAGGCAACAATAGCAATATCCGATTATGAAAAGTGTGCCTCGTGAACAAAAGCTCGCATATGCAGCTCACGCCTCTAACTGACGTAGGCGCGTTTTGAGACAACTATGACCAATGAATTGACATTTCGATTCCCGTTCACAATACCATCTTGATTATCCGCAGCTTTCCCACATGCCAAAACTGGTCGAAAGTGTCCTTATCAAACTTGTTCCAGCGCTGTGCATAGCTACTGTTTTTGACCGCGACTTGCATCTGTAGCTCGCAGCTTTAGATCAGCATTCACAGCGCCACTCTAGGCAGCTGGAGTTGACCCCCGCCTGGCAAACAAAAAGCCAGCCACTCCCTCTACCCAGATCTCCTCTTTCTTTGCAGATTCCTCGGGACTGGAAAAAAATTACGGGCTGCGGAGGGGAGGATATAGGTCACCATGACGAGGACTTTTGTCTATAACACTGCTTTGGTTGCCTTCATGGCAGGTAAGATTTGTGGATCACTCCATTTTGGACGCATCACTGACCTCAACTAGCCACCACCATGACTTTCGCAGCGATTTTCATTCCGGACTGGGTCACTTACTCGGTCAATTCTCCATCGGGCGGACATTACAGGAAGACGATTGGGCTGCATAAAAGCTGCTCTTCGACGAGTAATACTTGCACACATTTTCCACAGAAGGAAGACTGTCATGGAAGCGACAGGTATTTCTGTTCGATGTGGCGGTCAGTGGGATTCTTGATGTCTTTTGCAGCCGTTTTGGAACTGGGTACCATCGTTGCATATGTTATAATTCTTGGAGGTGGGAGGCAAAAGAGGGAGACTGGGTGGAAGGTGCTAGCCTTCATGTTGGTGCTTGTTGGTATTGTTCAGTGTGCGGGTATGGCTATTGTGGTAAGTGTGTCATGGATTATATTTGTATTTTGCTAATGGAATTAGGCCTATCTTTTTGATAACGATGACCGTTTCTTCGTGGGATGGAAGTTGGACAAGTCTTGGATACTTTGCACTGTCAGTTGGAGCATTGCAATTATTAGCGCAGCATTGATCTCACTCTCGGCATTTGTGTTTCCTTCGGAAGGAGGCTACGAGCTTATTCCCAGCGAGAGATATGGGCATTAGTGGCATGAGAGGGGGGCATATTTTGGCGTTGGTATTGGTCCGATTTGAGCAGGCGGTTTGGTACTCGTGGTATTTACTGCATGATAGGCATTGGGACGACTGTATGATTCATTCCCGTATAAGACTTTTTGCATGCATAAATTATTGACACTTCACATTGAAAGACTAGTCACTTCTAAATGCTCCTGACAAAGCTCCCTCTGCTCGTTGATGCGCTGGTCAGCACTCAAACATGAAACTCAATCTTGTAGGACAGCGTTCTCACTTGGGGCAAAATGGACATCATCAAGTGAATACTAGAATTTCTTTTGTGGAGTAGCAGATGTGGGTAGGATCTCAGTGAACTCCATACGTTTGACTTGCCATGTACACAGGCTGCTAAGAGATCTTAGTTGAGCCTGACAGGTCCAAGGATGGAGCGGAAAGCCAAAGGGCACAACGAAGAGCCTATACTTGGGTTTTAACAGTACTTACTATCCTTCGATGGTAATAGTCAGCAAACTATCATCTGTTGAAAGGGCCAGGAACCAGTTCCAGATATTCGAGGTTTGTAGAGTAAGTTTAAGTCTTTTCCTCCCATATCATTCTCAAAAGATATCTTGTCAGCAGGCTTCTGATATGTCACCGCATCGCATGTCTAGGAACTCCTGAATCAATGTTTGATATAGAAGGAGGACTGTTTGTTCAATGAAGGAAACTGTCGAACAAGGAAGCAGACAAACTTTCAGATGACTACAGGCCTTTTTGAGAAATGGCTTCCATAAAATTAAAGCAACAGAGGCACCCGACAAATCTCCATCGGGCATTTTGGTAGGTACAAGATCCCTGAGATTACTCTGCATATCAACTGTTTGCATAACGTACTTCAATCTCAGATCCACATGTCTCTACAAGCCCTCAGACAATAGTAGATATACTCCAGGGGTTGGGAGGGTCAAGATCCAGCTGCCATTTTGACAGCCCAGTATGACGCGGTCTACATGACTCATTAGAACTGGGATTCACACCCGAACGGCAGCAGGACTAGATGTTATTGAGGCAGTTGGGATGAGACAAGCGGACTCACCTGAAACTTTCTGCTTGACAATAGAGAGGTCTACATGATCAAGACCTAGGGCTCCGTCTGTCTTTTTCAATCTCCGGCCTCTCTGAAAAGGATTTCATAGTACTTGGAAGTTACTTCATCATACCCGTCGCAGATATTGCAGCTGCAATCCTCGCTACTTTTGGGTTTGATGCCACAACGAGTTTGATATCACCGACCGACATAAGAGGCAGGGCCTGTCCAGAAAGTCTACGTGTGAGACTCTGCGCTACGGAAATGGATCACAGCAGCGCTCAGACGAAAAATACTCAGTTCTCCTCTGCCTGATAACCCTTACTTATCGTTTCGGTGCGCGAGCAGACACATGCAACTCTATATCTGCTGCGCCAAAAGCATGGTCGACTCTTAACGGAGGATCCTACTCCTCTGGTGTAAACACCCTGTGTCGCTCACAACACGCTTCGTAAAGTTTTACAGACTCGAGCCGCGGAAACGAGATGTTCCTGAACGTGGCTAGTTCGAGTATCCAGTGATAAGATGACGTATCCAGCTTATGAAATGTTCTCATGTGTTTTCGTGGCTGAAGGGTAGGTAAATAAAGCATATAAGCGACGAAGGTAAATAGTTAACTTCTAAACACCCAAGCACCTAGAAATAGTTCCTTACCTTTTGTCCCTTAATCTACGTATTAAGCAGGTTATTGTACAGTTAAATTCGGATTTGTCGAAGACTACGACTGCAGATTTACTGTACCTTTTGCGCCACTTCTTTCAGCCACTCGCGAAACATTTGTGAGTTCCTCTACCAGCAGCATACATGGTTAGTGGACGGCTCAATAGCAAGAGCTTGCAAGATATTTACCTGCAGGTGGTCTTTTGCTCTGAACCTTTGTCCTTTAAGGCCTTTGTCTTTCACCCATTTATCTTTGGCCCTTTGCCTTCAGCCCTTTCACTCTATGGGTTGCAGGTCAAATATTGTACAGAGGCCATATAGGGTCCAGGAGCTGGTTGTCAACTCATACTCTAGAGGAATCTCGTTGTATTATGTCATACTACTCGTATAAAGCTGCACACTCGTATTTGAAGTAGGGAATGGTAAGGCGGCAGGGCGGGCCCACCGTGACCAAGAGCGCCTGGTGTGATTTATCAACATCAGCCGTGGAAGTATCATCCTATCCACCATCCCAACGAACCATAAGGCGTTCCAAACTTGAAATTTCTAGCAAAGATTGAGTTTCTTTATATGACGAAATAACAAGTTACTACTCTCACAACGTGGTTGGCCGCTTTGGCCGAGTGGTTAAGGCGATGGTTTTAAGTAGAGTATGCACTTAAATCTGCATTGCACTTGAAGAATCACCATTAACGCAAGTTGCGTGAGTTCGAACCTCACAGGCGGCACACGAAGGCGTTCCACGCCTAAAAACTTTTGTCTGTTTTGATTTTCGATTACTTTTTGTTCTTCAACATGGCGTTGATTGCCAGGAATACATCAATCAATTCTACCTGGGCAAAAATAAGTCTCGGTTCTGATCTCGTTACCGTATGATTGATCATCCCCTGTCTTGTAACAGAGAAACAGACAGTTGGAGTCTTATCTCAGTCTGTATTGTATACTATATAGCAAGCACATCTCACATAAAAACACTATTGTCAAATCAAGTTTTGCTCCGAGGTGAGGCAATCCTCGGCTCGTTTAGCACTGTAAACATGGAAACTAACTAACTACCTTACTTACCTAGGTAGTAATAATCTTCAATCTCGAAGAGCAGATAGTTTCCCACAGAGTTGCTATTAACTTTTGAATGCCTTTCAATATTTGTGTCCTTAGTGGGATGTAGGGTGACTTAATGTGACGCTAAATGCCCAATCCCACTTTTGCTTCTGGCGTCCAGTCCAGATAACACGCGATTTCTGAGGTAGTGTTTCACCGGCGCACTACGCCTAGTACAGCAGCGCATGCGCAATCGATTTTTAGTAGGGGAGCCTGGCGTATGCGCCTAAACTAAGGATCTTAGTAGCGCATAGCACGGATAATCAATTAATCCGTATGTTCTACTCGCCTTATTAGTAGAGAAGGCCCCCGCTGCGCTGAAGTTTGAATTCTAGGTATAGAGGGTAAAAGTAGTCCATAGGTATAAATAAACATAACTTTTAATAAAATCCTAAGAACAATAAGAATAATAAGAATATTAATAAAAGTGTATATATTCTATGAAAAGTAAGTAGTAAGTAGTATAAAGAATATAAAGGTTTACTTTATCTACCTTTTACTTAAGTAAGGTATTTACTATTCAACGTCTTAGGATTTTTATAGGCTACCTCTCGTTAGCACTTCAGTGTTCTTCAGCGTAGTAAAGGTAGCCTACGCTGCTAAGATTATAGTCCAGGCGCATGCGCCAGGCTCCCCTACCAAAAATCGATTGCGCATGCGCCGCTGTACCAGGCGCAGTGCGCCGGTGAAACACTTCCTCGATTTCTGTTATCAGGGGAGGAGGGGCAGCTGCGATAAGACAAGCCCGTTTCAACCTGCGTCGCTCTGCTGACAACGTCAACTATCAAAATGGCACCTTCACGAACCTCTCCAGATGCCACGTCAACAGCTCAAGGCCTCACAAAAGAGCAGCTAGCAACTTTTGAGCGAGATGGCTACCTCATCCTTCCGAACGCCCTATCTCCTGAGAAAGTCTCCGAGCTTCTCGCAGAAACTCACTCCCTCCTGGATAACTTCTCGCTCTCCGACCATCCCATGACAAAATTCTCTACAGGAGAGAAGAGCGACCATGTCGGCGATGATTACTTTCTGAGTAGCGGCGACAAGATCAGGTTTTTCTTCGAAGAAGGTGGGCCCCCCAAGCCCTCAAAATATCACCACTAACAGGTCAGATGCATTCGACTCTGACGGCAATTTAACCAAACCCAAAGCCCGAGCTATAAACAAGATAGGACACTATATACACGCGCTCTCTCCACCCTTCGCTTCTCTCCTCTCACCATCCTCACAACACTCTCCAGCGCTTATTGCTAAGTCTATCGGGTTTCGCACACCGCAATGTCTTCAAAGTATGGTTATATGCAAGCAACCCGAAATAGGCGGAGCAGTCCCTCCACATCAGGATTCTACATTCTTATACACGAATCCACCCAGTGCAGTTGGGTTTTGGTACGCATTGGAAGATGCGACTGTCGAGAACGGATGTCTGAGTTTCCTTCCAGGCAGTCACAAGAGTGCTCGCGTCAGTCAGAGGTTTGTGAGAAAGCAAGATGGCTCGGGTACAGAATTTGTTGATAATGAGGGATTACAATTCCCGGTTGGCGGGGAATATGGACGAGAGGATAGTGTAGGGGACTATGTGCTAGGAGAGGTCAAGGCCGGTTCTCTGGTGCTCATCCACGGTAACCTGCTCCACAAAAGCGAGAAGAATGTCAGTAAGAAGGGAAGGATCATTTACACGTTCCATGTTATTGAAGGAGATGGAGCAGTCTACGACGAAAAAAACTGGTTGCAGCCCCCAAAAGAAGGATTTACAAAGTTATGAGTGAGAGCGTCCTTGAATTTGTTCATAGCGCTAGAGAAAATTATCTTTTTAATTCACCCCCATGGTGATATGCATCATACAAATAACAATGATCATGCCACAGTGCATGAGCAGTTTTGAAACCCTAGCCCAGAAGTAGCAATCCAAACCCAGTCACCCCCTAGCATATGGATGGAAACCACGATTGCCTCCCCTGCCACCACCCCGATAATTCGCACCAGGTTTCCCAGCATTCTTCGGTCCAGTTGGTGCATTTGCTGGAGGAGCACTTTGTGGTCCAGTCTGAGGAGGAGCTGATCCCCTATTGCTTCCACCACGATTGCCCTGGAATCCTCCACGGGTTCCACCTCCGGTAGGAACATTTGGCTGAGGAACATCATCATACATTCCCTCCCACGATGTTGGTCCACCGCCCATACCCTGTCCATAACCTCCGCCTTGTCCATATTGGCCTTGATCACGTCCACCACCAGCTCGTCGCATTTGCTGTTGCTCATACTTCTGCTGCTCGAACATTTGCTGTTCATAAGCGTTGTATCCTGGCGTACCAATACGTCCTCCTGGATTACTGCCTCCACCAGCAGCATAGCTATTACCCATACCGGCTCCTCCACCCATGCCAGCACCGCCCATACCTTGCATTTGCATTTGTTGCATTTGCTGCATCTGCTGCATCATAGCTGGGTTCATGCCTTGCATACCGCCCATGCCAGCACCGGGACTTTGCGGGCTTTGGCTGCGATTGCCTTGTTGCATCTGTTGCTGCATGGCTTGCATCTGCTGCATTTGCATCATCAGAGCTGGGTTCATACCTCCAGCCATGGGCATACCACGTCCGCCGCCCATAGCCATTTGTTGTTGCATCATGGCAAAGTATTGTTGCATACGTTGCCAGTATTGAGCCATAACCTGGGGGGTCATTCCACCAGGTGCCATCTGGTTACTACCGCCTTGCTGCATTTGGTTAGGGTTCTGGCTTTCGTCGTTGCCTCCCTTGCGAAATCGCCCTCCCCGGCCACCACGATCTTCTTCCTCTCTCATGTTGCCGCGGGGTTGGGCCTTCTTGACCTCGATTGGTTTGCCAAGAATCTCGAGTGGTGAGTCCAAGCAGGCATCGACTGCGGCTTCACTATCGAATGTGACGAATCCAAACCCTCGTGGTCTACCTGTGTCCTTGTCCATCATGAGGGTGGCATCAACAACTCGGCCGAATTGCATGAAGTATTCCTTGAAGTCTTGCTCGGTGGCCTCCTGGCTGACACCACCAACAAAGATCTTGCTAGTGCGCTCCTGCTCGTCTCGTGGTATTGCCCTTTTGGGGTCGATCTTGCAACGGGCGTGTGAGTTTATGTTTTTGCTAGAGGAAGGTTCTGATGAAGGGTAGAGACGTAAAGAATTGGAAGGAGTTTGGAAATCGGGTCTTACGATCTTGCCATCGAGATAGTGTTCCTTCACCATCACAATGTTAACGGTACGGGCATCTTTGAACGTCAGGAAGCCAAAGCCTCTTGAACGACCGGACGCTCCATCTCTCATTACAGTACATTCCAGAACCTCGCCGAACTGAGAGAAGTAATCTTTCAACGATTCTGTGATTTCCAGTCAGATGAAGCGTAGGGGTGAGACCGCTAGGATCTACTCACGATCGGTTGTCTCCCAATTCAAACCTCCAATAAACATCTTTCTACAAAGTCGTAGTGGTTAGCAAGTGAATCAGAACGATACTGCAAGACACGGCAACATGGAAAAGTTAACAAAAAGAAGCCCAGGGTTGCCGTTCCTGGGTTGGTTGAAATCAGAATGCGGCTTTGCTATCTCAGATCCTTGGTGTTGACACATGGGGGATTGCTTCGCTTGGGTGGCTAGTCGTGGAAATCGGACAATTTCGCCCTCTGACCGCAACAGCACTTATCGACTCGTTGAAAGGGCGATTTGATAAAATCGGCAGGTAGAGTCCAAGAGAATATATGTCCATCCGTTCTGTTTCGACAGCAGAACTTCCACTGTCACGCGTCCTGAGTAACTTGCCAGCCAATACCACTGCGAATCCAGGAGAAGTCATGCAATGAAGAATGACACTGCAAGATATCCAAGAACAATCGTGTCTTTTGCTATCGTGATGCTAGGTACTGGCGTCGAACGCTATGCGCTGCCTTCTGCTCTAGCCTAACTGTGGCCTCCTCTGATGCTCTATGAAGATTATCTCGACAATAGGCTATGTAGTAGGCTTGACTATTGCCACTGTTGATGTCGAATGCAGAGTCGATATCAGTTTCCTTGCAACCCTTTCAACACTCGTAAGCGTTTCCCGCTGCGGCTGTCCCATTCATGTTTCCACTGGCCTTCCAGGGTACCTCAGTGCGTTCTGGCATCCTTCATATACCCAGCCAGCACAGTAACTTCAACGATAGATAGTTGTCCCGTGTCGCAAAGACATCACCATAATGCTCCTAGGTACCAAATCCCCTCCCAAGGTCATCAGATCATCCCCATCCCTCGCGATACTAGCAGCCCATGGCTCTTCAAAATCCATTCCTAAACAGCCCAGTCCGTATCCATAGTGTCCAAGGACAATGTATCGACGATAGACAACAGATAGACCTCATGTGTGAGGTAGGCTATGACGGAGGAGGCCACATATACCTCCGGTCATTTTCAAATACTTGAAGATATACAATAAGAAAAATCCCACAATATCTTACCCGTCTTCCTTGATGCCAGGTCCATGGGCTTCATGGATGGCTGGAGCATCGTAATTGTTGCTATTGCCGTTGCTTTGGCCCAGGTTGAAATCAATTTCATCATCCATGTCTTGATCTCCACCATTGTAAGTCTCCTCTCCTCCATCACCATTTTGTTCGACCTGGTCGTGCGACTCTTCGGCTTTCACCTCCTCTTGGGCGGGCTCAGCCTTGGAAACAGCTACGGTTGCTGCTGATTTTGGCGCGGCAACTTCATCGGTGTACCTGAGTAATAAGTCAGTATTGTGAATAGGACAGCTACAGGTAGCAGAGTGTGAGAGGTGAGGGCATGCTAATGGGAATAGCGTATATGACGTTCGCTGCTCGTTGCACAGGGCTAGTCGTGAAGCTGAGAATGTAGTGCGTCTTAGGCATACGTACAGATCGGCGAAGAGATCCTCCTCGAAGTTGTCGGGTTCTGCCATTTTGGTAGTCTGATTTTCTGGAAAATCTGCTAGATAATTAATGAAGAGTGGGCCGTGGTCGTGAGTTTATCGTTTGCCTCGTTGGTTCTTTCGAATGGGAGGAAGGGAGGCTTTCAAAGAAGCCAGTGATTGTATGCAGAGAAACAGAAACTGTCCTAGAAGAACAAGAATAGAGGGAGAAAGAAATGAAGAGTAGAGGCAGATTTAGATTCAGAAAAACTCGGGATTGCTGTAGAGAAAAAAGAGGGGTGAAGGTGATGTTGGTGATAATACAGGCAGAGTTGAAGTGAGTTGAGGATGAGATTTGGCTGGAGCAGAGCTCGGTGGCGGGACTTGCCGGCGGCCGCTTCACTAGACGCTCTATGGGTGAGGTCAGGGCTCCTCGATCACTCTTTGAAGCTTCAGGAATGAAGCATATAACCAAGGTCTTCGGAGCTTGTAAATATGTTTTCTTCTTCAAATGGCGGTAAGAAGCCCCCGCAGCAGGTCAGTCTACTCATCAAATTTCCATTTCAGAGAAAACAAACTGATCATAGATGAAGGAGATGGTCCAAGTTGGTCAGTCCGAACCCCCCACCAAGAAACGTGGAGTGAATGCCCTGCGACTCTACCCAATTATGGCTTTGGATATAGGCTGACATGCCATATTTTTGATAGAGAGATCTGAGTATGCTACACTTTTCCTGTTTGGCATCACCTACGAGGACACCATCAAAGCGGGGCACACAGAGATCCTAACGCGAACTGTTGGCTGACTTGAAATGCCAGATCTTCCTCTCCTTTCTGGCGGACTAGAGCCGCAGAAGGACGCCGTGATGCGTCTCCCAAGAAGCAGTCTGCACGGGATCCTGGTCTGGTTGTTGGAGCCTCATACTCTCATGCCGATATGATGAGGTTCGATAATCTGTAAGGTTTGACCACCACTTTGTCGAAATGCTGTTAATATTAAGCGTAGATCTTTGTCCTCGTCTTCGACACGCCCTAGAACACCCCCTTCTAGTTCATCGCACAAGTCTCGGGGCGATACCCCTCCTCTGAACCGTGGAGCAGCTGGCCTTACATCCCCGCCGAGACGAAACTACACAGACTTTTTGTCGAAAACGAATAACGACTGGAACGCTGACGATGAAGCGGACGAATATGATGAGTACGGTTATGATAACGATGACGGGGACGATTTTGGATTACCCAGTATATCCAGCATGAAACGGAAGAGCAAGAAAGGCCCGCAGCAGACTAGCATCGACAATGGAGGGAATATATCGCAGTTTGGCCATGGCTTACAGGGAGGGTTTGGAGGATTTGGCACCAGGAGGCTTTCAAATAGTGCCGATATTGCCATTGAGCGCCCAACACCTAGTTATCCAGTCGCAAAGAAATCCGAGGGCAAGATTTTACGGCCACAATACAAGGAAATTCTCAGAGATCCCGCCAATTCTTTACACCTCATAAACCATCCGCCCGTCCCAATAAATGCTACTCCGAAAGACGTGGATGTGCACTCGGCCCGTATAACAAGAATCAACAAATTCAAGAAGATACTTCAAGCAACTTCAATCAGCTTGACGGAATTGAGAGCTGCAGCATGGTCTGGTGTTCCAGAAGAAGTGCGAGCAATGACGTGGCAGCTCTTACTTGGTTATCTCCCAACGAGCAGTGAACGTCGTGTAGGGACTTTAGAACGTAAGCGGAAAGAATACCTCGACGGAGTGAGGCAGGCCTTTGAGAGGGGTGGGAACAGTTCTGGACAGTCTGGTAAGATACGGGGTCTGGATGAAGCAATATGGCATCAGATTAGTATTGATGTGCCTCGAACAAACCCTCACTTGGAACTTTACAGTTATGAAGCCACTCAGCGATCATTGGAACGGATCCTCTATGTATGGGCGGTGCGGCATCCTGCGAGTGGCTACGTACAAGGCATCAACGACCTTGTCACACCTTTTTGGCAGGTCTTCCTCGCAAGTTACATTACAGACTCGGATGTTGAGAGTGGGATGGATCCAGGACAACTTCCAAAAGCCGTACTGGACGCTGTGGAAGCCGACACTTTTTGGTGTATTACCAAGCTGCTGGACGGCATCCAGGATAACTACATTTTTGCCCAGCCCGGTATTCAACGACAAGTCGCGGCACTCCATGATTTGACAGCTAGGATAGACGAGCCTCTTGCAAAACATTTGGAGCAGGAGAGCGTTGAGTTCATTCAATTCAGCTTCAGGTGGATGAATTGCCTCCTCATGCGGGAGATTAGTGTCAAGAACACTATAAGGATGTGGGACACATATATGGTATGTTGACCGAATCCTTTTCCAAATTTGTATTAACTTGAGTAAGGCCGAAGAACAAGGGTTCTCTGAATTCCATCTCTACGTTTGCGTAGCATTTCTTGTCAAATGGTCGGATAAATTACGAAAGATGGACTTCCAAGAAGTGATGATGTTTCTCCAAGCACTACCCACGAGAGACTGGACCGAGAAAGACATCGAACTTCTACTGAGTGAAGCCTTCATCTGGCAGTCACTATTCAAAGGTTCTACGTCCCATTTAAAAGGAGGCGCAAGTACAACACCGTCGAACGCTGCTCCTCGAGGATGATCTAGGGTGAACGATGAACATATCAAGTCACGATAAACTCGTTCATACGCGACGTTGTTCCGACGATCTCAACGCCCAAACTATTGTGAAGGTTGACGTGGCTCTAAACCAGCCCGAACACGCAATGAGCGCTCGCAGCCTTTAGCGCTACGGTGCAATGAGCACCTGAGATGGACACTTTGTTTGTGGATGTCAGCAACCCATCTCGAACTTCGATTTGAGATTGGCACACATTTGATGCACCCACGAGTGACATATGTGTCCAAAGCCATGCTTCCATGAGGCTCATACCTTGCGGCGCGGCTAATGTTAGCGATAGTACGAGCATCTCCAAGCTCCAATCACAAGGCCAGCCCTTGTTTGAAGAATAATGAATAGTGCTGCAAGAACCACAAGGAAGTGTTCGATTTGAGTGTGGAATTATCACGTGCACTAATGGTTTTGCAAATCAACCAGCAAGTGAAACCATATGCAACTTTGGTATCCTGTATCAAACGCCATCCCATTTTCCATCCCCACAGTCATAATCTTAGCAAGGCAATCCAACCGTCCCGTGAATAAAAAAAGGCACTCCCCCTACGCGCCAACCTCAGCATCGGGGACGTCCTCGACCTTGGCCTTCTTGCTGTCGCTTTCTCCAGCATCATCCTCTGCTTTGCGCTTTCCATTCGTGCCATTAGCAGTCGTCGTACTTGCGGGTGCCACCTCTGCCTCTGCTGGCTTATTTTTCTTGCGAACAAGGCCAGAAAGGTCAGTTGCTGTCTTTTTTGCCTCTTCTATTCTGGCAGCGGCTTCTGCCGGAGAGTCCCCTAAAGTAGCTCCAAGAATGCCACCGGCATTGTTTACTCCCGCAAGACTGGTTGGTCCGTACAAAACCTCTTTGACGTCAACTGCTGGGCCCTTCAGTTCAGTAAGCTAGAAAATGTTAGCATCAAACCTGTAACAGCTCTTGGTCAGTCTCCACGGCTTACTCTAGCTTCCATATCTGCGACAATCTCCTTGACCTCAGCAATCTGTGATCGCGTGACCTCGTTGTCATCAGGGGACGAGGTCTCAGCAAGCTCGACCTCCTTGTTCGCAAGCTTGAGCTTAGTGCTCTTAATAGCCAGCTCCAGTTCCGAGATGGCCTCATCCCTCATGCCTTGATCCAGATGCGACTCAGACTCGGTAGTTGGCTCTCCGCCATCCTCATCCTTGGTTCTGGTGATTGAAGCGAATTCCAAGGCAAGAGACAGCTTGAAATGAGCTTCGGCAATGATCTCAGACTCTTCGGGGTACATTCCTTGCTTGTAACCTAGGGCTGCTCTGAAATCGGTTACTGCGCCAGGAAATCTAGAAGTAGTGAGTAAAGTGTAATGCACTCGGACTAAATAGCACAACGTACCTCTCATTCTCGAGAGATATTTCAGCCAAAAGGTCATGGATATCCGCCAGTCTCTCATTGATATGTCTTGTCATGGGAGAATCTCCTATGTCCTTTCCCTTACTGTCACCGTCCTCTGGCTGTTCCAGCTTCTTCGTAAATAGAACCCGCGCTAAATCCAGTACTTCGAATGCAACAGCGAGATCATCTTCTTCTTCCTCCTCCTCACCTTCGCCCTCCTCTGGCTAATTGCATATTAGCATTTGATTGAAATCACAACACATTCCAAACTTACGTCCTCAGCATCATCATCAGAGTCCTCGAAATTCTCATCGCCAGTGAACTGGAATAAGGGTTTCTTTGCATCGACAGCTCCTTCAGCGGTACCATTTTGGCCAGCGACAATGGCAACGCCTTCCTCGGTGATCTTCTCACTCTCCGTTTTTGGGTCTTCCTTGGGCGCTTCAACTTTCTTCTGCTTCGCCATTCCATTTGTCTTCTTCTTCTCACCTCCAGCTTTGCCACCTAAAACATCGCTTTTACTCTGGCCAACTTTGAAGAGCGACCGACCGTAGAGAAACAGGATGTCCGCGTTATCAGGAGACATTTCACCATTGAGCTCGGCTTGCAGCTCTGCAGCTCGCGCATAAAGCTCCGCAGCCTCCTCAAAGTTCTTGTGCGCATATTGTGCCGTACCCTTTGCGCATAGATCTGCGAGTGATACCTTGACATTGTTGTAGATTTCCATTGCGGAGGAGGATTCCTCTGAGATGGTGGTAGGTGGCTCTATTGGTTCTGCCATTGTTGACTTGAATCGGATGATCGCTCTGCGAAAAGAGGAATAAACTTCTTCGTAGGGTCGTAGAATCGTTTGGACGAGGTGATTGATGGAAATCGCAATGGTAAGTGAAGTGAAGCGACTGAATTGCTTTGGTGACTTTTCAGCGCACGAAGGTTGATTGTTGGAGCAGGCCACAGAGAGGAACAGGGAATGGTGTGCCTCGCGAAACCACTCTACGCGTCTACGCGTCTGGAATCCCATGCACACCAACTTCAACGGCTTCGGTTTTTACAAAACAACAAGAATGTCTCGACCAAATCACTTTAAGGCTGCGCCAATATTTCGACAGCCTGCAACACCAGCGCCTTCGATTCCAATCCCTTCATCTTCTCCAGCGTTTGGTACACCAGTGCATCCCATCAGACCCTTTAATGTCGCGCCCCCTGCTGCCAAAGCCAGCATATTGCCAGTGATACTTCCTTCTGCCACCCTACGACCTTTGGCATTTCGAACATTTACGAAGAAGCACAGCCTGACTTTAACATCATCGGCGCTTCAAATATTAGCCACTTTCATAGGCAGACATTGTGGAACAGAATGGCGAGAAGAAGGGTTAGCGGAACGCGTGCTGGAGGAAGTTGCAAAGAGCTGGAAAAATAGGAATGGCGGGGTGATAGTTGACGGAGAAGGTGCCGAGTTGAAGGATATACTCAAGAATCTGGAAGGAAGCATGGTGGGGGGAAGGATAGTTTCAGCTCCCTCGCTGAGCAGGCAAAACAGTCTTGTCCTAGGTTCTTCACAGAATGGAGAAGTCTCACATACCAGACTCGGCATAAGACCAAGTCTCTTGAGAAGAGAGGATAGTCAGTCCAGTTTAGGTATGTCTAATTTGGACGTGGAGGACGAAGAGGACGACGAAGGGTTACGAGATCCTCGAAAATGGCTCAAAGTGATCGATGCATTTGAGCAACCGAGGCTGGTATATAATGTTGGCAAGAAGCACTTTGATAGGTGTGCACCCAGTTTCCAATCTTATACCAAAAGCTGACCTCCATTCAGAGATACCTCAAAGCCGTCATTTTTACCTCAAGCATCGCACAAAACCCAAGTCTTCCGTAATAGGTACAATCTCATCCATCAACGACTGCTCAGAAATGAATCATTCCAGACACCGACATTTGACGCAACCAAATCTACTCTGAAAAGATCGTCATCTTCTTTGGCAACAACTCAGCAAGCCTACAAATTGACGCCAATTGCAAATCTATTAGGCCGAAATGGTACCAGTCATATGCTTCTTGGACTACTAACCATATCGCCGACAGGGACATTGGCAATCAATGATTTGACTGGAAGTATTGCCTTAGACCTTACTCATGCCAAACCAATACCAGAAGATGGCGCATGGTTCGCACCTGGCATGATAGTACTGGTTGATGGGACGTATGAAGAAGAGGACCACAATGCCGGCAGTGGACTTGGCGGTGTCGGTGGTGTAGGGGGTACCATCGGTGGGAAATTCATTGGATTCTTCATCGGTGGACCTCCCTGTGAAAGGAGAAAGGTGACGCTCGGCCTCACTGGATCCGATGGAGAGGGCGGCCTGACGGCCGGTGGTGGGTTTGGATGGGTGGACTTCCTTGGGGTTGGCAGCGAGCGTGCTGTGGGATCCAAAATGCGAAAATTGGAACAGAAGTTGCTACGCACATCGTCCGTAGAAGAAGCTCTGGGTGGCCGAGGGCGGATGATTATCGTTGGAGAGTTGAACCTGGATCAGCCGCGAGCTCTACAAGCGTTAAAGAAGCTTCTTGGACTGTATGCTGCAGAGCCAGAAGAGGATACTCCTATGACATTCGTTCTCATAGGAAACTTCGTCCAGCACGCAGTCATGGCTCGAGGAGGCAGCGGCGGTAGTATCGAGTATAAAGAATATTTCGATGGGCTTGCTCAGACCCTTTCCGACTATCCGACTCTTCTGCAATCCGCAACATTCATCTTTGTACCTGGCGACAATGACGGTTGGGCGTCGTCCTTCTCAGCTGGGGCCGCCACGCCCCTCCCCAGGAAAGGCGTACCAGACATGTTTACTTCGCGTATCAAGCGAGCCTTCGCTACCGCGAATGCGGAGGCCGAGAAGGATCGCGGGAGGAAAACAGATGGTGAAGCGATCTGGACAAGCAATCCGTCGCGCCTATCAATATTCGGGCCTACCCACGAGATCATTCTTCTGAGAGATAACATGACTGGTCGAATGCGGCGAACAGCAATCAAATTTTCTTCTTCAACAGCAGCAGACGATGATGAGGACATGACTATGCCCAGTACACCACCTGTAGCAGCAACTGCAACAAGTCCGGCCGCAGAGATGGAGATTGACAATGACGTCGAAGCCGCAACATCGCACGTCCCACAGCCTACCGAAGACGAGATCGTTTCCAGTGACTTACACGCCGCAAGAAAACTGGTGAAGACGATCCTCGATCAGGGCTATCTAGCTCCCTTTGGTCTGGGTATTAGGCCTGTGTTGTGGGATTATGCCAGCTCGCTGCAAGTCTACCCGTTACCAAGCGCGATGGTCCTAGCAGATACTGAAGCCCCAGCCTTCTGTGTCACGTATGAGGGTTGCCATGTCATGAATCCAGGGAGTATTGTGGCGCCTGGGCGGAGAGGCGTTGCAAAGTGGGTTGAGTATGATATACGGAATAAGGTTGGGAAGGTTAGGGAAGCGATGTTTTGATATCCAGACTTTAATGACTTGACATGGGAATGAGGGAGGCGTTTGTATGGTATGAGACGGTCAAACTGTATAAGGAGGTATCGCATTGCATGGTATAGGGAGCCGTAATTCATGATATTTACAGTGAAAGAATAATCTCATGCGGTTCGCTGTACACCGCGGTGTGAATTACGCCTACTTATTGTCGAGCCTTAATTCTTCTGCCGATACTCGTCTCTACACCAGCGCCTTGTCCTCAAGTCAACTTGAACAAATTCTCGTCCATAACGCCAAAAAGGTCCTCGATATCCCTCTCTACGCGCTTGAGCTCTTCGCTCAGCTGGCCCGTTACCAAGATGAAGGCATAGATCATCTCATAGTCCTCGTCCTTCACCACTGGCTTATTTGGATCATCTTCCGTGCTCGTGGAATTCTTCCTGTATTGGAAAATCTTAGCGAGCAGTCTATCTCGTGCATTTGAGGTGTTAGGCAAGGCGTCGCTGAGAGGAAACTCAAGTTTCAGAGAACTGGCAAGGACTGTTTACTTGATTAGCTTAGCCGTCCGGCTTGAGTTGGTTCGGTCACCTTGAAATAAATGGCTAATTCTAGAGCACAGCTCCGCTCTTTCTTCTGCTGTGTACTTGAGAAGTATCGTTTCACCTTCACTAGCAGTCAAATCCTTCTGGATGACTACATTCATTGCATGAAAGGCGTCAAGCATTTTGTTTGTCGATTCCATGATCCGTTCGTATGGCTTGGAAGGAAATGGTCCTCGCAATTCAAATTCACTGGCAGCTGCAGTGCGCAGTGTATCTAGTCGGAGAACTTTTCAGGTATTAGCGGAGAGCTCTGGAAGCAGGGATTAGATGCTCACGATATTGATGGAGGGCAAATTCTTCCCTCAAATTCATGTATTCGTTTTGGGACTCGCCCTCCAGCACAGTCGATAAAGGATCCCGTTTCCAAATCAGGCCCATTCGAAGCCATAGTAGCGACAGTCCATCTTTGAATTTGTGGCGAGCGGAAATTGGCCATATGACTCTCGTGACAACAAGTCCCCACACACATCCTGCGATAACAGCGACAACTCTGTGTAAGGCAATCTCAGTGATGATCGGCACAACCCCTCCTTCATCGTCATCGTTGTCTCCATCTTGAATGGACAGACTGTAAGCGTACAGACAGGATAGGTTGTAGGTTAGCATAATGAAGCGTCCAAATGGTCCCTGGCCTTTGACAAGAATGATGTAAAAGCAGGGCAAGCTGACCAGCCATCCGCACAAGGCAAGTCCAAACGCATTTCCCTGGGTTATGCTCCAAAGGAAGCAAGCTATAGCCGCTCCAATGAATGTTCCAATAAATCTGCTCCATCCAGTCGTGTTCGAAGCTCCAATCGTCATAGCACACACCAACATGTAGGAGAGGAGTCCCCATTCTCCTCGCCACTGTGCTGGACGTCAGTACGGCAGGTTCTATCTTGAAGGAAATTGAACTGACATGCTGATAGAATGGTCTTGTCGATGGGATAAAGGCGAACATTGCATACAATGAAGCTCCTATCCCAACCTTGACGGCGAAGCGTACTATGGAGATGTAAGCTGGGTGATCCTCGCCTCACGGATGATAACTTGCCATCGTCTCTGGAAATAATCATGATGATGTTCAGTATTCTCCGATACAGAGCCCATTTCGTGTTCTCCGCCGGGGCTTGCCACTGTCGTGTCTCACGTCTATCAAGCACAAGATCAGGGAGATCTTTCGGAAGCATTGCCTCCTGAGGCTGCTGAATCAGCCTCTCCTGCTCCTCGGGTACCGCATTTGGACCATCAGCTACTTGTGGCTTCGGCTTCCTCCAGAACCGTATCCAGTTCCACGACCTCGCGCTGTCATTTTCAGTCCATTCCTTCAGATCTTCGAGGATTGACAAAAATGTCTGCATCTCTTCTGCGAAAGTTTGAAGCGAGAAACTGAAGTGGCCGCAACTTGCCGCAACTTCTTCGAAATCGGCTTGGATACTCTCTGGCCTGTCTCGGTCTAGTTCTTTGCTCTTGTACAGTGCTTTCAGAGCATCGGCTCGAGCACTGCTGTAAAGTTTCCTATACGAGCATAAGTACTTATATCATAAAACAACGATGTTACGAGAAGAAATATGGCCACATACAATGCCTCGGTCAGGCTGGTCTTGAAATGATCATTGATCTTGATCTCATATTGAGGTCCATCTCCGAAAGGCAACTCTTGTAGAATTTGGGAGAGTGTATATGCCAGCGACTTCATGGAAGGACCGAGGTGCACAATGAAACGGGAAAAGATATCTGATGGCGTCCGTACGGACGGCATTGTAGAGCTACTATAACTCAGATTACTGAATTGCCGCTCAAAACGTCTTGGAGGATCATCGTCTAGGTTTTCTGCATCACTACCCTCTTCTGAGGCCTCTTCGATTGCTGTTAAAACTGCAAAGCGATCTTGCCGATTGCTCGTAGGAGATACCAAGCCTTCAATTTGAGGTGAATGTGTAGAGGCAAGCGGCGTCACATTACCAAAAGTTGTGCTCTCTCTCAAAAGCGTAAATTGAGTCAACGCAGCACTTCTCAGCCCACCAATTGACTGTGCTAGCCTCTGCATACAAGTTACAAGGCTCACTTGTAATTTGTATTCTTCTTCCGTGCCAAGCAGATAGTGTTCATATTTGGCTTCCTTCAGATTTGTTTTCAGCTTCGTGAAGACAGCCTTGTGTTTCTTCTGAGCGTTAACAAACGTTGTAGATCTCAAATCTGTTTCGGAACCACTGAGGAAACCTCGAGTGATCATTGTAAGCATGTCTCCGAAAGAGTCCGTCACGCCGATCATAGTTTCTCTCAATTCTGTGCGTGCTGAAATTGGCCAAAGTAGCAGACTGACAACAGTTGTTGATGCCATGCCCATCAGAATCATTTTCATGACCTGGACAATCTTGTCGTTCGAAAATACGCCAACTTGAATAGCGTTTTCTTTGGTTATTACTAACAAGTCATTAGTAACATAATTTCGCAGTTCCTGTTCCATAAGTACGGAGTTCCGTAAATTTGGAATGCTGCGACTGATGAGAGTATGTACCTGTTATAATGGCCAAAGAGGCCAGACTACAACTCACACTGACTAGAGGCGCATTGTATCGTTGTTTGAACCACCCTACGAACCCCAGTCCACCTCCGATGAACACAATGAGTACCATGATATAGCCCTGTGTGAAGGATGTAGTTAGCAACATTCAACGAAATTGTTCCTGAAAGTGCAGGAGAGACTCGTCTTCAAACCTACAAGTTCAATCATTCCCAGCTGCGACTCGAAGAATACAGAAGTAGCCATGCTGGAAACGGAGACGAAGACGGCATAGAAGAAAGCCCCTAATCCGAGTATGATAGCCTCTTGCATCGAGCCTTGCGATCGACTCGGGTGAAAATAGACCGTGATGGTGCAGACTAAATGCTTCGAGTCCTGATGCCCCAGGAAGTTGGCAATGGGCGGTAAGAACGTAGCCATGCTTCCCAGCAGATACGCCAGAGAGCTCTTCAGGATACCCTTCGCAGCAGACGTATGTAGCCATGCCCAGAACTCCCACCAAGACTCAATAGAATTATCCACCGCCGTCCGAAAAGTTCCCGCCTGGGAGTACGTCCGTCGCAAAGGCAGAATCGAGCTTCCAGAATTGGTGCGGGCCGGGCCATCGAAATTCGAGGGGTTGCGGAGGGTTATTTGACGCCGTACACGTTCACCCGTCCCAGGGAGAATGAAAGTGCCATTTCTGAGCTTCTACGAAGAATGTTAGTCCGAGGTTGGGTGAATGGAGTCGGGGATGCGTACACCTCGCTTTGGGCGCGAGAATCTGCGGTTCGATGGCGGCGCAGGGCCATCAGAAGCCGATGGAGAGCTCATACTGTAATGATCCTTGCATGATCTGGTCGCGGTTTCGCCAGTGCCGTGCCGGGAACTGGGAATAGAAGAGAAGATAAGAGAAGAGAAGAGAGGAGAAGAGAAGAGAAGACAAGGTCGATGTTGACTTTTAGGCCTTAAGGTTACAGGGCTGGCTCGGCTGGGCTGGCTCGCTGGGTAGTAGATAGTATACTAGTAGGTACAGGTGATGGCGGCGTGTGCAGTAGCTTCCTTCCCGAAGCTACGGAGGTAGTACCCCGGATTCTGGTGTGGCGCATGTGCTGACTTGGACAGGGCATCCGTGTAATTTACGCCTGGGAGAGCTCCGGAAGCCTATGCTGCAGGTGCATGCACTGTCACCCTCACGGGCCATGCCGAGTCGCCGACAAGCAGATCCGCTGTGAGTTTGCAAGTGAGCGAGACTTACTTGTACCTTACCTTACCTCACCTTAAATACCTTAAACATCAACCAAGCCCATGGAACCATATAGGTAAAGTTCAAATCGGGCATTAAGGCGCGTGTATTTCTTTCTTTTGATTTCTTGACGGTATCATTGCTCGTCCTCTCATGACAGTCATAAATATCGCAGTCCGTGGATTAATCTGGTCTTCGATCTATCCTCCTCTACCTTGACTCAGAATCTACTCTACTCAACCCCCGAAACAGTCCAGATCTTCAAAGCAGCATCTCCACCAGTACTTGCAATCTTCTTCCCACCGTCAAGCCACGCGACACCATTCACACCATCTTTGTGCGCATTCGCAGCCTTCACTCTCTTACCCGGAGCCGCGAGGCTCCAAATGAAGACATTGGTGTCCAACCCACCACTCGCGGCACAATTGCCTGTAGAGTTCCATGCAATACTTGTAATTCTCGCGGTGTGAGCAGACCATCTGTCTGTCTTGACATCCCAAGAACTGGTCTCATACACGACGATTTTTCCTGATGAGTTTCCGACGGCCAGGAGCGATCCGTCTGGTGAGAATTCCAATGCTGTGATCTGTGCCGTTGACCGTGTAAGCTTCTCCGTTGCCGTTAGCTTGTTGTTTCCATCCACGGTATAAATCTGCACGACATTCGCATCGTCACCAACTGCGACGAGCGATCCTGAAGCTGCAATCGCAGTAGGAGTTTCATTCTTAGCGGGCACGTTGCCCACAAGTGTATCTTTCGCAAAAATGTCGACACCCTTGGCCGTGGCAACAAATAGGCGGCCATCTGCTGAAGCTATTCCCTTAGGCTGGGCCGATAACTTCGAACTCTCTCCAAGGAATGTTTTTCCACTTGAATCCGCAATCCTCAGAGTGTCATCCCAGCCAACGCTGTAAGCTCTCTCAGATGTGGTCTGGAAAGCGGTGACTTGGTTCTTGTGCGTCTCCCCATCGACGGCTGAACCGATACCCGATTCTGCGTCCCAGGAACAAACTCGGCCATCGAAACTCCCCGTCCAGAAAGTCTGTCCTTTTGTGTCTTGCCTCGAGCCGAGCGCAGTTATACTCTTGTTATGGCCTTGAACAACTCTGGTAGGCGTTCGACTGCCTTCAACGAGATAGTTGAGGTCACCGACTAAGTTCAAACTGACAACCATACCGTCACTTCGTCCAGTAGGCCAGACAACACCAACTTGGTGATCCGGAATACTGACGTTTCCTTCTCCAAATCGCCAAGTTTGGACAGCCTTGCCAGCTTCCACATCCCACAGCTTAACCGTCTGATCTGCACTCGCTGTGACGACACGTTTCGAGTCCTTAGCCCACGAAACAGCAAATATGGAACCTGTGTGTTCGCCCTCGCCGATCTGTATGGTAGCTTCTCCTGTCTTGCCATCGTAAAGCTGGATCCTACGATCGCCCCCTACGCTAACAAGATGATTCCCATCCGGCGAGAATCCTACTCCATAGACATACCCTTTATGAAAACCTCCGAGCTTGGTGGCGAATTTGAATGGTGCGCCGTGCAAGAAGACCATGCTGCTGTCGTCAGCTCCAGTAGCAGCTCGAAGGGGACGTTGCTGGCGAATGGAAACTGAATTGATAGCTGAAGAGTGTCCGCTGACTTCGCCCACACTATTTCCACTGTCCGCAGTTATGCAGTGACCAAATCGTTCTCGTCCATCACCAACAGCGATAATGCGCTGAGAGTCTCCATCCCAGGCAATGTCGTTAATTCTGCCAGATATAATGTGGTAATCGCCTTGACGCCGCCAGTCAGTCGCAGGCAGGGATCAATCACTTTGGGTCGCACCTTTTGTATTGACACCCTCCACAGCATCCCAAACCTTTACCGTACCAGAAACATCTCCAGAAGCAACATAGAAGCCGGAGGGCGAGAAGCGCGCAACGGATGTCTGTGTGGTGTGGGCGGTGTATTGTTTGCTTATTGATGGATCGTCGATAGATCTCAAAAAGATGGATTTTCCAGACTGTGGGCTATGTTCAGTGAGAATTCAGCGCCTGTACGCTTGTAACACTTACTGCATATGCAATTCTTTCTCCTGACGGATCAGCGCTGAGTTGAGTCGGTCGGCCACGCTCTGTGTTCGGGGATGCCGCAAGAATTCTGTCAACGGTGATCGACATACTTCAGGGAGTTGCCAATTGTTTTTGGATATGCCGTCTTTGTGAAGTAAGTTGTCTGGGTCAGCTTGGAAGTGTGTTGAAGTCGCCATGCGAGTTGACTCCAAAACATCGAGGGGCCAGGCTGACGCAAACAACGATCCCTGACGAGGCTGAGCCTCGAAGGTCTTGGCAGAGCTTTCTTGAGACATGTTACTGTCACTTGAACAACAGTATTCAGTTTGTAATATTTCCCGATACGAACTTGGAAGCATGTAATTCAGGTCATATATTATTCAGCTACATGACTTGATATCAATCGTTTTATTCGCCGTTATATGTTCAACGACTCAAAATCAAACCAGGGTATCGTCCAAGTACAGTATTCCATCCCTGACCCAGACGCCACAACCTATGCACCCATTTACAATCAAATAGTACTGTACATAGTCCAGATCCATGAACTCCGTACCTGCCATGCTATGCACTTTCCCAAAATAGCAATGCGAACGCCACCGATGCCAACACTCGCGGAGACAGCGAGATCAAGAGCCAATTGCGAGACAGGAATCTAGCAAGCTGTCGAGTGAGGTCTTGTCCTCCATCTCACCACCTTCCCAGCCATAAGTATCATCCTCTACATCGAAATGGCCATTTACACCATTAATACCATTGGCACTATGCATTCCTCCCATTTCGATGTCGCCGTCAAGGTCTTGATCGAAGATCTTGGGGTAAGTCTCAGGCCAGGAATAGTCATCCCAGGCTTCCACTTCCCCCTCGCGATAGCCCATCATGATCTGTTGTACCACAACAGGCATCTGTCCAAGCCCGCAATCACCCAACTCAAGAGCCGTACGGAAGTCCGCCATTCCAAGAGGTCCGCGCTCGCTAGCAGCTTTCGCTTCTATGGGCAGCAGGCCACTCTTATCCCGTTGAATCTCCCCGCGTAATGAACCTTCTTCCTCTCTTTCCAGCTGGGCCCGATATTTGTGGGTTTGAATCCAACTGGACCCACCTCCGGTACCTGCGCTGCCACTAGCACCAGGACCGTTGCTTCTCGTTTTACTGAAAACCGACGATAGTACCTCCTTTATGAAAGTCTCCGTTGCAACGGACATGAAATGAGCAGCATCCGGCACATGTCCGGAGACAAGACCAGTCTCGTAACAAATAGGCAGCATTCGCGACTCAATAGTAGAGGTGTCTGGAAACTCTCCTGATTCCGAAGCCAGAGGCTGAGCGTATCGCTTCCGGATTTCCAAATCCCAGTCTGTTTCCAGTCAGTATGAAGGTTTGGCGCAGAAAATTTGACTGCTTACTTGTTTTGTTCAGGCCGCCCGCACTCGCTGGAACAGGATCTACAGATCGTGGAGGCTTTGGCCTATGTTGTTCTCCGAAAATGTTGGCCATGTCCAGGCGAGGATCAAACTAACAACATTATTAGTATATGGTGATAGGTAGCATAGACGAAAATTGCTTACATCGTTTTGACTGAGATCTTTCAGTCTCCTTCTATCGCGACTCGGCAACTGCATGACCTCGGTCTTCAGTCGCTGCTCTGCAGCATCTCCACTAACCGGCTTGCTCCCAGCCCCTGTCGTAGGCTTATCATTTGCGCTGACCCAACTGGCCACGCCATGATCTGGCATCTCTCTTGTAACATTTGCGTATATGGCTGAGACCAACTGATTATGTAGATGCTCTATCTCTCCGGTTGGTGTTATAAGGAAACTGTCGATACGCTCGGATAGTTCTTTTTGGTTCAATTGGCCTGTAGGGGGAATATTAGCAATTGGCCAAAATGCGCAAAGGCGCAGTTTCCTCCGAGAATCTAAAACATCATAACAACTTGTACGAACCCATAACAAAAAGGCTGATAGATTCTTTATATGTCCCCCAATACTCGCCTATTGCACTCTTGAGTGCCGTGTAGAGCGGTTCGAGATCAATACGAGGTGGAACATGGTTGCTTTTGGAAACTTTCGGCGCAACCGGCGCAGATGCACTTATGGTCTTTGGAGGCAGAATCGGCGTCGTGGATATGCGACTCGAAGTCATCAATGCGGAAGGGTCTATGTCAGGCATCGTGAATTAGGCGCGCCTGAACAGGCCGTTGCACCGCGATTTGGGGCAAGAACAGAAGTGCATGAGATCTGTGAAGCCAGAGAGTTCCAGCGATGTAAAACGGAGATAAACGGGGCGTTGTTGCTGTCGTGGTCGATGGCTACAAATCGTGGATTTTGCTCCTTAGGAGGACCTTTGGAGAGGTGAGGTCTGACGACAGTTCGCTTGTGACGGTCCCATTGCGCTAAAAATGGGGAACCTGCAGGGCTGCACCACCCTCGTCGCGTCCCCAGAAAACGATAAAGGCGACGCGCAAATAACAACAGAATACCGACCCCGAACTCCACCTGCGCTCCTCACCGCAATAATGAGATGTCGTCCCGCAAGCAGCGCGTTAGCAACGGCATCAACTCCCTAGTGCGACGACTTTTGGTTGAGATTCCTGGTGAAGATCCCGCATCGGCACAGGAGCGGGAAAACAATGCGGTTGATTTCGTTACAGAGGTTCTGCAAAGGTACTTCCATACCCAGGAACAAAGAAGCACATTAATTGACTCCAAGATCTAGCTCAAGAGGCCCAGCCGTCATTGCGGATGTGAATCAAGCATCAGACCTGATCAAAAAGCGACTAATACAGACGAATCCAAGCCCTGACAAAGCCCTCCGATTCACGAATCTCTACAGCAAACTGCTCTCCATACCAGTCATCAATCAGAAATGGGCCGTACTGTATTTTCTATACCAATTGAGCGATCATCAGCCAAAGGCGCTGCCGGTCCTTACAAGCCCTTTCAAAAGCCCCGTGAAAAATGGACGACGACCTAGGAATTTGGAGAGCGATATTCAGAGGTCGCCAGAATATGGTCAAAAGAGTGAGGACAGAAGTCTAACCGAAGCATTTGCGCCAGAGGGTTTGAAGAAAATCCCAGAACGGGAGGGTGGTCAGCGAGATAGGAAGGAGGAGGCACAAGCATTTGCCAGATCTGCAGCTCTGCAACGAGAAGGGGTTGCTTTGAAGACGGCACTTCTTGCTGAGAACTATGTTGAAATCGATCCTCCGGAAACAGCGCTGCTGCGAGATTTACCCTTCACTCTCCAAGGCCTATCATCAACCCATTTTCCATTCTCCTCGGATTCGACCGTCATACTGCCAGCCACGCTGCCAGTCCCTATTATATCTATTCTCCATACTCTAGCAGAGCCATCACTATTATACCGAGGACTTTCTTCCTTCACTCAATCTCCCGGCGGAGGACTTCTAGGACAGAGTTTGAGGGCCGCGATTGGCGGAGAACTCAGATCATACCTTGGTTTAGTGGCTACTTTGGAAGGTCAAATCCGGCGAGCGTTATCTTCTCTGGACGAGAAAGAGCCAAGGGGTGGCATTGGGAAGGCTGGAGTGACCTTGAAACGATGTGTTGTTTGGACACGCGAAGCGACTATGGGATTACGATTGATGAGCCTGATAAGCGAAGAGTCGAAAAGCAAAAAAGGGGGCCAGCTGATTTCATTGATACATGGATTCTCCTCATCTCACGGCGATCCAATGGTCGGGGCATTTGCAGAACGGCTGCTTACTCATGTCACTCGACCTTTTTATGACATGTTGAGGCATTGGATTTACGATGGAGAACTTTCTGACCCTTATCATGAATTCTTCGTTTCTGAGCAAGACCCAAATGCGGTCAATGATACTCCAGATAGCAGGAGTCGAGGAGGAGCTAGCAGTGTTTGGGAGGACAAATACAAGCTCAACGAGGACATGGTGCCGACTATCATCACACAAGATTTTGCCCAAAAGGTCTTCTTGATTGGCAAATCACTCAATTTTATCCGATACGGTTGTGGGGACTCTCAATGGGTGGAAGAATATTCCAAGGCGGCTTCTAAGGAGTTGCGATACGGTGATACCGCCACACTTGAGACTTGGATCGATGAAGCTTACAAGACAACCATGGCACGTCTCATTCATCTGATGTCTGAGAAATTCCATCTGTTTGAGCATTTGAAGGCACTTAAGAATTACATCCTCCTAGGACAGGGCGACTTCATCGCACTTCTTATGGAATCACTTTCTTCTAACCTTGATCGACCTGCAGGGGCTCAATACCGTCACACGTTGACAGCGCAACTTGAACATGCCATTCGCGGTTCTAATGCTCAATATGATTCTCCCGAGGTACTTCGTAGATTGGATGCTCGGATGCTGCAGCTCTCTCACGGAGATATTGGATGGGACTGCTTCACTTTGGAGTACAAGATTGACGCCCCTGTTGATGTGGTTGTCACGGAATGGGGAAACCGTCAGTACCTCAAAGTGTTCAACTTTTTGTGGCGAATCAAGCGTGTTGAGTTTGCTCTTGCATCGACTTGGCGAAAGTGTATGACTGGTGCCCGTGGTGTTCTTCAGGGTGAAGATCAGAACGTGGCGAAGGCTTGGAAACTTACCAGAGGCGTTCTTGCTGAGATGATCCATTTCATTGGCCAATTGCAGTACTACATTTTGTTCGAAGTCATTGAAAGCTCTTGGGATGAATTACAAACATCAATCCACAAGGAAGGATGCACTTTGGACGATATCATCAAGGCTCACACGAAGTACTTGAATGCCATCACACATAAAGGACTTCTAGGAGCGAAGAAGAAGCACCACGGGGAAGTTGACGAGAACACTTTTATGGTACAGCTCGGGGAGATTCTTCGGCTTATGCTCACTTATCGAGATGCTGTGGATGGACTTTATAGCTGGGCAGTCTCGGACTTCACCAGACGCCAAGGTGCTGATGTCCGACAGGAAGCCCAGATGAGACGAGAGGATGAAGATGGCTTATTGGTCAACACTCCTGCGACAACCCGCCGTGGACCTCGCCATCTCCCCGATTCTACACCGGCCCAGATACCAGACGATATCATACCTGATGAATTTCCCGTTCTGCAAGAGCGGCTTCAATCTTTAGGGGGACACTTCAAATCCAGGGTGTGTTTGCTGCTGGGTGACCTGGCTTACCAACCCGACGTGGACATGAGATTCTTGGGTGTAGTGATGAATTTCAACGACTGCTATCAGCCTGTTCGGAAGAAGTCAAGCAGGCCAGCAGGGACAGCAAGGAGTTCAGCGAAGTCCGGATGAGCATAGATTCATGGGACGGCTCGGCGTTGGAGGTATTGGCGTTAGATATACGTGGAATGAGGATCCGATAATGAACATGCTAACGAAATTCCAGCCATTTTCTTTCTTGCTCATACCTCTGAAAATTGTGAAAGGAGGTAAATCCAATCGACTTCGTCGAGATCTCTAGAGCCCCAAAGAGACTATCATCCGACGTGAAGATGGCTAGCCAGGTAACAACATCTACAGAGACACACTCCGTTCTAGTAGACCACCAGATAGACCATTCAGTGGAGGTAACTCGCGTAGGTTCTTGGTTATTAAATTTTAGCCGCCAGCCCTCTGTGAAGTGCTCCACATGATTATGATGCAATTGGAGCTGTACTTAACCCCCACCTTTGTCCCTCTCCCACGAAAGCTAATCTACTTGGAGCGAACTGATGTAGGCGGTCAGGATATTCTGACATGTATTCCTCGTTCCACCGTCGTCATCTGTTTCTTGAGAATTTGTTGAACTTGTGATGAGAGATCCTTGCACAAGTAATTATTTTTGTTGCTGCGTCTTCTAATACGGTCATTTCCAATCATAAATCGACCTCATCGATTTCATCTCGGCTTCACTGCAACAGAATGGGCTTTCAGAAGCAACAGAATGGGGTGCGGATAGCAATTGATGTAAGACGAGCTTTATTCTCTGTGCTCGCTGCAACGATCTGTACTCAAATGTCTTTCAAGTATTGAAGAACCAAGTCCTCTGCCTGTCCTTGGTAGATAAATACATCTCCAAATTCCGCTTAGCTATGTTGCCCTGCTGACAATTGCGATAGCGAGGCGGGACATTCACTGATTGCGTAGCCAACCCCGGATCTGGAAAGATGGAAGACAACATTATCATTAAACTCCTCTCCGAAGACCCATCAAACTACGAAGATGCCCCTCTCGAGGGGATCAGAAGAATCCTGTCCAAGTTCTTGAACAAAGACATTCCCAGAGGCGAGCCCCTCGATACCACCAAAATCGAGAGTATACGCATGGGAACCACAGTAGCAACAAATGCATTACTGGAGAGGAAAGGCGAGAGGATAGCTTTGGTAGTGACCAAGGGCTTTAAAGACTGTCTGGAAATTGGTAATCAATCAAGACCGAAAATCTTTGATCTGGCAATCCGAAAGCCGGATGTTCTATACGAGAAAGTCGTAGAGATTGATGAGAGAGTGACGTTAGAAGACTACGCTGAGGACCCAGAACGGAATGTTACAAAAGTAGAATCTAAGGAGTCAGATATGAATATGTCTCTTGTGAAAGGTTTATCGTCCGAAGCGGTTCGCATATTGCAACGGCCGGACGAAAGAAAGATTCGGGAACAATTACAGGACGTTTGGGACCAGGGTATCAAGAGCATAGCAGTGTAAGTATTTAAGCTTCATTTCGAGGTCATTCAAAAAGTATTTGCAGGGATAGTGCCGCGTTTTGAGAGATCCTTTTTGATATGTACGCGTGTTTCCGACTAACAAAGCCTGCAGATGCCTTATGCATGGATATACCTTTAGCGACCACGTAAGTGATCGGCTGGTTTTATGACTTTGAATCTTTCACTTGTGGCCTGGGGACACGCTAATTCGCTCGTCCCAGGAAGCTTTAGTTGGCAAAATCGCACGAGATATGGGCTTTCAGCATGTTTCTCTCAGCCATGAGCTCATGCCAATGATCAAGCTGGTCCCGAGAGCAACATCCGTATGTGCAGATGCATATCTGACGCCCATCATCAAGAAGTATATCGCAGGATTCCAGAAAGGCTTCGAGGGAGGCTTGGGAAGTGAGAGTGTAAAGACTGAAAGGGGATCAAGAGGTGCTAGATGCGAGTTTATGCAATCAGACGGTGGCCTTGTCGACGTTGATAAGTTTTCTGGGCTGAAGGCAATTCTCTCTGGTCCGGCTGGAGGCGTTGTTGGTTATGCTCTTACCTCGTACGATGCGGAGACCAGAACACCAGTCATTGGCTTCGATATGGGTGGAACCTCCACCGATGTGTCAAGGTATGGTTCTGGAAGATATGAGCATGTTTTTGAAACCACTACCGCAGGTGTCACCATTCAATCTCCACAGTTGGATATAAATACTGTTGCAGCAGGGGGTGGCTCGAGATTATTCTTCAGAAACGGTCTCTTCGTTGTTGGGCCAGAAGTACGTACAGCCTCACATATCATTCCTTCCTCGGCTGATCTCTAGTAGAGTGCAGGTGCCCACCCAGGACCAGGCTGCTACCGTAAAGGCGGCCCAGCAACTGTGACAGACGCAAACCTATTCCTTGGGAGATTGCTGCCTGACGTCTTCCCAAAGATCTTCGGCAAAAACGAAGACGAAGGTCTTGATGTGTCAGCAAGTGAGAAGTTGTTGACAGAGCTTACAGAGCAGATCAACAGGGAGACAGGCAAGACCATGAGTGTTGACGAGGTTGCATTCGGTTTTTTGACCGTGGCTAACGAGACCATGACAAGACCCATTCGGTCACTAACCGAAGCGAAAGGTCATGATACTTCAAAGCATCGCTTAGCTACTTTTGGTGGTGCTGGTGGACAGGTCAGCATTTCCCTTCCTGTTTCTTAACAGTTTGGAAGGACCGGATCTCTGAGATCGGTGTCACAATATCAAATTCAATGTTCCCTCTACGTTTGATCCCTTCGAAAATGATCGGTACTAATGTGTCCACTAGCATGCGGTTGCTATTGCTGAGAGTCTGGGCATTCGTCAAACCTTGGTGCATCGCTACTCTTCTGTTCTTTCCGCTTATGGCATGGTAGGTCCCGTCTCAAAATATGTCACCATCCGGAACAACTTCGTCAATCGACCCTCCGTTTATTCAACGAATACTGACCCGCGTCTGGTAAATAGTCACTCGCAGATGTCGTTGAGGAACGTCAAGAGCCAGAGTCGAAGGTCTGGGCAGATATGGGAGATGCGAAAGGTGCATTGATGAAGAAAATCGAGGAATTGAAAGAGAAATCAAAAGCAGCCTTGAAGGAGCAGGGATTTGAAGAAGATTCTATCATTTTCGAAAAGTATCTCAACATGCGATATCGAGGTACGGAATCTGCTTTGATGGTCGTCAAGCCGTCAAAACAAGAAGCTCAGAAGGAGTTTGGCGGAGACGAAAATGCCTTTTCTCAGGCATTTGTCAAACAGCACCAGCAAGAATTCGGATTCACATTTGACCGAGACATAATAGTTGATGATGTGCGAGTGCGAGGTATTGGAAAGAGCTTTGAGCACTTGGGTAAGACTGTGGACCAGCAGCTGAAGGAGGTCAAGCCCAACGACGTCAAGTCAGGCACAAAAGAGTACAAGCGATCAAAAGTCTACTTCGAGGGGGGGAGAAAGGATAGCCCAATTTATAAACTCGAAGATCTTGATGTTGGTGATAAGATACAAGGACCAGCTATTCTATGCGATGGTACCCAGACAATCGTGGTGCCTCCAAATACTTCGGCGCTGATCATTGAGACACATGTGGTAATCAATATTGGCGAAAAGGGGCTCAGCAACAAAGAGTGAGTACCATCAAATGTCTGTGGACACTTTAAATACTGAAAAAGACCTAGAGTTTCTAATCCCGAGATGAGAAGAGACACCGATCCCATCATGTTGAGTATCTTCGCTCATCGCTTTATGTCCATCGCCGAGCAGATGGGTCGGGCTCTCCAGAAAACCAGTGTAAGTACAAACGTCAAGGAACGCCTTGACTACTCATGTGCCCTCTTTGATTCGACGGGCGGCTTGGTTGCCAATGCACCACATCTGCCTGTCCATCTGGGAAGTATGTCGACATGCGTAAAACGGCAAGCCGAGATATGGAGAGGGAAATTGGTTAAGGGAGATGTGCTCGTATCCAATCATCCAGAATTTGGCGGAACACATCTTCCGGATATCACGGTCATCACGCCAGCTTTCGACCAGGCCGGGAAGAACATTCTTTTCTATTGCGCATCCCGGGCCCATCATGCGGACATCGGAGGAATTTTACCAGGAAGCATGCCGCCACATTCTCGAGAATTGTACCAAGAGGGCGCAGCTATCAAGTCCGAGAAGCTTGTCAGTGCTGGGAAGTTTAATGAGGAGCGAATAACCGAGCTGCTCCTGAAGGAGCCTGCAAAACACAAGGGCTGCAGTGGTACACGATGCTTGTCTGATAATATCTCCGACTTGAAAGCACAAATCTCCTCAAATATGAAGGGAATCAACTTGATATCATCCCTGATTGAGGAGTACGGCGAGGACGTTGTCAACTCTTATATGGTTGCCATCCAGGAGAACGCGGAGCTCAGCGTCCGGAATCTTCTGAAAGATGTTAGCAAGCGATTTGAAGGGCAGGATCTGACTGCTGTGGATTACATGGACGATGGTAGCCCGATCAAGCTTAAGATCACGATTGATGCTGAAAAAGGGGAGGCAGACTTCGACTTTACTGGAACTGGGCCTGAGGTTTATGGTAAGATCTTACGTTCCTTTCCAGATCGACCTTCGCCCATTGTCCTAATATAATGCAGGAAATACAAATGCCCCACAAGCTGTCACATATAGCGCGATTATCTATTGTCTCCGCAGCCTCATATCCGAGGACATCCCACTGAATCAAGGATGTTTGAAGCCCATCAACGTCTTAATCCCACCCAAATCGTTCCTCTCGCCGTCGGACAAAGCCGCGGTTGTCGGAGGTAACGTCTTGACTTCACAGCGAGTTACAGATGTGATTCTCAAAGCTTTCCAAGCCTGTGCTGCCTCCCAAGGAGACTGTAACAACTTGACTTTTGGCTTTGGTGGTAACATTGAAGGACAGGAAGATGTCAAAGGTTTCGGATACTATGAGACAATCGCTGGAGGAAGTGGAGCCGGCAAGGACTGGGAAGGTACTTCAGGTGTTCACACACATATGACGAACACGAGAATCACAGACGCAGAGGTATTCGAAAGACGGTATCCAGTACTTCTGCGAGAATTCTCTCTGAGATCTGGCTCTGGAGGAGCTGGCAAGCACCGTGGTGGAGATGGCGTCATCCGAGATATCGAGTTCAGAATACCAGTCCAGGTATCAATATTAAGCGAAAGGAGAGTATACCATCCCTACGGACTCGCTGGAGGTGAAGACGGAGAATGTGGTCTCAATATATGGGTCCGAAAGGTTGAGACGAGTAATCCTGCGAGGTCCGATAAGACGTTGAACGGATCTGGAGACGATGTCGATGATGCGGTGTATGAAGAGCGGTGGATCAATATGGGTGGCAAGAATACAGCAGCTATGAAGGCTGGAGAGAGAATCATCATCAATACTCCTGGAGGCGGTGGATGGGGAAATGTCGGTGATATCAAGGAGGAGAAGCAGGCGCAAGATCCTAAGCATGCGTGGAGAGGTGGCAGTCATGCAAGTAGAGAGGAAATGGCATTGCAAGCATAATAAAAAAATGAAGTATCCCAATCCAGTGCCAATTTCCATCCGTTGCCTCTTATGAGTTGTTGGGACATTCCGAATTCGCTTCTTTGAAAAGTCTGTACTGTAATCAGCTGGCACCAGTTCACATGCGAGCTTCGTGCGGGCTGGTGGTAGATCTGGCACTGCTTGGGGCATTCTCAAATAGTCCTAAAAGAAGTAGGTGCATGTCAGAGTCAATGGAAAAGGGATATCAGACTTCGCTGTGGTGCTCAGTCTTTGGTAGTTGAGGGTTTTCTGGTAGAAGAAATACACCGCCACTTCGAGATATACACCGACATCGCTATTCATGACTCTTCACCAACTTGTGGCAGGCCACATATGAGTCTACATAACAAATGCTCAGAAGTTGATTCAAAGAAAGAAGAAGAAGCTTTCAGTCCAATCAACGCTGTTCCGCCGTTATATTCCCTTTACAACATTAGGTCAAGACTTGCTGCGACTTATGCAGGTAAAACCAGACAGACCACAAGGCACAAATCAGCAAACCTGGCGAGAGCAACAATGAATACCGGTTGCCTAATTCCTCATAATAGAGAAGAAAAGAGCAAATACTGTGCACATCTCCACATTGAGGATCTAATGAAAGGATACATAAAGGATGAACAGATATGGCATGATTAAGGGTGAAGCAATCCGCTGTTACGGTTTCCCTTGTGGCTTGCGGTGCTTTTGCGTCTGAGTGGAAGCCGAACGTAACTTTGCCCAATTATCCGGGTCGAAATACTGCACGTTTGTTCTCGCCAGCGATAGAGTTCGGGAGTAGGAGTCTTTCTGGTAAGACGGATATTTCAAGGGGTAAACCCCTTGTCTGGGCTGGCTTGAGCTACATCCTGCTGGAGCATTAGTTCCGGTACAGATGATTGTAGCTGCCGGCACTTGCACTTGATAGCAAATTGAGCGATGCTCGTGCTATTTGTATTCAAGTTGTGAGATACTCTTTCGTAACAGAAGCAGAAGCAGAAGCAATAATACCAATCACATAGCTGTATTCCAAATATACTTCCGCTCCACCAAGTTTGTCCACAGCGACGGGATAGGTCCTGGCAAAGTTACGACACCGACGCCCACTGTGGACGTGGGGAGTGCCCTGCAAGATCCACCCGAAAAGCCTGTAGCGATCTTCCGCAGTGCCACCAACCCAGCCAGCTACTTACTGTAGTCTCGGCAGTTTCACACCTTTACCGAGAACTCTAACTTCACCATGTTGAGACTTCAAGTGCCACCCAGCGCAAGGTTCTCGACTGATCCGACGTTTCGACTTGCACATGCACATGCCAAAAGACCAAATCATGGTCCAGAAAGATGCTTTCCCATGTCCGATCCTCCACTGAAAAGGACACCGGCCAAGTGGCATCTGCTTGTTTACAGCTCTGCCCAAACTCCAACACACCTAGCTAAAGCTAGCTAAAGCCCAGCTCTCTCGGGCACCAATGCGTCTCCATGCTTTCTAGAACTTGGAAAGAGTCTTCCAGTTAATGCAATGCAGGGAGACTAGCAGCTCTCAGACAGACCGAGTGAGCTAGAAGCCAAGGCACTGTACACGAGTAAGCTATACCGCTTGACTTTCTGAAAAGCTTATCTGTTCCGTTTCATAAGTGGAAGATCGTTAGCTTGACTTTTGTTCAAGTAAGCTGTCTTTCTTGCATTTATTTTTCTCTTCTGTCATAATCTCATACAGATCCGTTTCCAAATGTCTGCCCCGGAAGTTGTCAGTAATGGAGTTGGGAGCAGTCAGAAGGAGGCAACAGTCGAGAGGGACGCGGGTGTGATCCAAGCAGAAGGGCATGACGAAGCATTGCCAGAAGACCCAGAAAAAGCGAATCAAGATGCAATTGGATCACCAGAAGATGATAACATACACCCAGAGAACTCAGCAAATCTCCTGGAAAGTGTACATGAGGATCCGGAGAAAGAAGAGATAGCTGGGGCAATAGCTGCCCAGGACAGGGCAAGAGCTAGAGCAGAGAAAGAGGATGAGATCCGTCCACTCAGCCAGGTTGATCCGAATGCAGGTGACCCATCTGCATCTTCCGATTTCATGGGCGAGGATGCTACAACAGTCGATGGAATGGAATCCACTGTTGACGGGTTAGACGACCCTAAGGCAGCACCGATACCTCCCATACGTCCACCACTTGAGAAATTAGCACAGAAAAATCCAAAGCCTACGTAAGTCACCCTTCCCTAAACCAGCAATCTAAGAACCAGGATTGAATGTCTCAGATTCCTGAAAATAAACAAAGCTTTGCTCCGCTCATATAGTCTGCAAGTAATACTAATGGACGTGTTTCTAGGGACCACCTTTCCATCACCCTTGGACCCTTCATGATCATCCTCTTCGACGTCGTAGTTCCGATAATAATATACTACGCATGGGTAAGCCTTTTGGATGCTTTTACTCTATTTCACGATTGATGAGCCGGTCACTGATTCATTCAACAGTACAACACCCGAGTTCGACAACGAAATAGAGAATGTCGTCGACAAAACCAACCAATAGGTAATTGTTCCATCGTACAGATTGAGTACGACGAAGAAATCTTGGGATACGCCGTTATAAGTTTCGGGTTCGGCGAGCTCTATATCTTAATCGTTCGAGTTGCACGTCTTCTCAGATACCGCGAGCTTTGCGCTCCTCTCCTCTCGCGCTCAAAGTGGGAATTGGACGCAACATCCTGGGTGTATGGCGTCTCGATGATATGTGCCCTCATTCCCTTCGTAGTCGGCAGCACCCTGGAAATTCCACAGCTGTATCTGTACTCACCTGGATTCCTCATGGCCTTCCTCGGCTGCGTTATGCTGATATCGGTTTTCCCCATCCCGCTACCCATTGGCATCAATTCGCATGCACGAGGCACTCCGATGCGGCCTTTCATCTACTACGCAGCCGAGGACTTTATCGCTGTTGACGGCCTGCAAGATCGCGAATTCCGCGTGCGATACAACGCTCGCTACGACTCGTCGAAGGCTTTCAGACGTATGTTCACATACCTCACGTGGTGGTGGATTTCTGGCGTCATAATCTATCTCGGGTGCTTGTCAGCCGTCATCTGGAAACTGAGATTTCACTACGCATTTGGCCTGTCTTTGGGTGTCCTCTTCGCTTACCTCACAATCTGGGCATTGGCGTCTTATTACTTCGTGATGTGGTCGATGCATCGAGAGAAAATGGCGTGGGAGAGGGGAGCTTCGGCTTGAATTGGTCAGTGGTAATTGGCTAAGTAGCTGGTCATCCAACACTTGTGTTGGAACGTGTTGGAACATGTGTGGTTGTGTCCTTGGGGTGCTTAATGGTCGGAGGGAGATGAAGTGCACCGTTTAGCAAGAGTATACAGTCATTCCTGCAGGTTCGTAGGTGAAAGAGCGAAACAACATGTATTTCGATAATAAACGCCTGTCGCCACAACCTATCCGTGTAACCTTCCAGCGTAAAATACTGTGCGAAGATCCCATGTTCGAAGTGATGCATGTCGCTTGTAAAGTGGACTTTCGTAAGATAACGGACCACCCCTGGACAGACGCAATGTCTAGATGGATACTTCAAGATCTTGAACTTGAGAACTTGGCACATAATGCTTCTCTCTGGACGGGAATGGCAATCTAAGCCTTATCTCAGCGCGCAGTTACAGGTAATCTCAACTTGTGATACGGGCAATCTTGCTTCATACTGTTTTCTGTTCGTGCCATTCACCTTATTCTCTCATCTTGGAGGACTCTCGGATTACGCGAATGTGCTTCCTCAGAACTCCATTTCGCAGCTCGGCAATCCTCGTTTGTCAGACGACACAATGTAAACAGATTCACTTGCACACCAGATGTTCCGGGAACAGGACCCTTGCTCTTGGTTTTGTTTTGACGATCGGTTTTATCTGTTTTCGGCTTTCTCGCAAAAGGATATTCTTGAGTACCAGTTCTAGGATCGGGCTCTATGAACTTCCTTGAGGTGGCAAAGTAGTCTCGTTGATTCACAACATTCAAATGTCGACAGGAAGACTCCGACGCGAGCTGTTGACATTCAACAAATCGGGGGCTGGGAAAACCTTCACAGCGAGGAGGAGGAGGAGGCTGGGGGGACGTGACGTAGATTGGTGGTGGTGGTGGTGGTGGGCAGCGTGGTACCAGGCATCCCTGGAAGTGGTGTCTTTCAAGGCCAATCAACCCGGCCAAGTGCCTGGCCAGTGGCCCTCCCCGACGTCTCCGCCAGTCATTTCCTCCATCGTGACCCTTTTGCAAACCTACCCCAAGGGACCCAACCAGCCTGATTCTGCGATCTCTACCTCTACCTCTACCTCTCTACCTCTCGAGTCTCGACGACCTCAACCGACTGCAACAAAAGGGCTCGGCACCGCACCGCACCGGCGACCTGTCCTTCCCTTCCCCTTCCCCTTCCCCTTCCCTCCCACTTCTCTCTCCCTTTGTTGACGTCTTCGCAACTATGCAACGGCGCAACGTCGCACTTGTTTAACGCGACCATGGAGCCCGAGGAGGACGAACTCGAGACCCTAATCAGCGCAATTCCGACATGCTGCTCAACGACACCCAGCCTGCGCTGCTGCTGTGGTCGCACCGACTGCTCTTATCTTAAACACAATACAGTTGCCCTAGACGATCTCGAGAAAGAAGTTCGGACGGCGGCTTCTTTGGGTCAAGTATGCATTCCTTGTCCCCCCATTCTTTTCCGCCGGGAGATTATGCGCAACATGGAATATCCCAGGTCATATTGCGAAAAAGTACATGACTGTGGATAGTTCTGCAAGATTATTAACTCACTAGACTGGGCCGTTCACAGCGCGTCGAGATGAGCAAATCGCTGACATTCGCTTTGCAGGCTTTGCTTGTAAGACATGAACAATACATGCAGGATGCGGAACGCGATCGACTGGATATGAGTACCAAGATTGAGAGACTTGAGGCCGACAAGAGAGCACTGGAACAGGAGAATGCGAAGTCGGTCGAGGAAAATCGGGAGTTGCTGGATCAGTTGGAGGGGTTGAATGGGACTGCTGCCGAGTCCGAAACACGCATCAAGTCACTCGAAGCCACGCTGTTCTCGACACGCCAGGAGTTAAGACGGCTGGAGTTACTGGCATCTCGAACTCATGATTTAGAGATGCAACTGGCAGCACTGGAGCAGGAGCAAGACGTATTGCAGCGGACGATAATCACGAGTCAGGAGGAAGAAAGGTCGGCGATTCAACGATGGAGATCTGCGGAACGCAGGCTTCTCACTCTTCAGGACCAGCTGGATAAGATCGAGCGCGAAGCCACAGAGGAGAGAGAGAAACATGTTGAAGTTATGGGAAGGATGGAACGGCAGCGAGCCGTCGAAGCATCACTCCAAACAGCTGCTGGACGACTTCAAAGCGCAGCGGCAGCCACAACTGGCAACGGCAAGAATGGGAGCAATGTTGTCTCGCATTTTGTCAAGGACATCCTGCAGGACAATGCCAATCTGCAAATGGGCATTGTGGAGCTAAGAGAGATGCTGATGAACTCGAATGATGAGGTACAGCATTTGAGGGAACAGCTCCTCATGCACCAGCCTGTGGTGGAGGATAAAGGAGATGGATCTGGCCCACCGACTTTGAGAGCAGAACTCGCGCCCAAAGAGGAGAAGGAACCTGCGGTCATTTCTCAAGCCCTACATATCCATCACCACTATCACACACCAAAGAAAGAAGAGGTTCGTCGGCCAAAGAAGAAACGGACTTCACTCAACACGGCACTATTTACTCCTCCCAAAGGAATTCAGAGTCCCAGGACACCCAGAACGCAGGACTCTGCCAGTGCAATTTTGTCACAAACTTCTGTTACAATACCAGCTCCGATCACACCAAATAATCGATGGTCAATGCAGTCTGGGCAGATGTCCGACTTTGCCCCTTCATCAGTGCCGAGTTCTCCTCAGTCGTTGTATCGCCACAGTGGACTTTTCGATAGGCTCGACAGACTGGACATCGACTCATCTCGGCCTACTTCTCCATCGTCAAGTATTGATCCTCTGTCGCCACAGTTCCAGCCTCTTCACCACCGTAAACGAGGTTCGGAAGTGTCAACACGAAGTTTCATGCCCGCAAGCAACTTTCAGCCTCATGTAATACACGAGGAAGACGATGATGTTGACGAACTCGCGGCTCTTCAGCCCACACCCTCGCTGGAGAATGATGCGACTCCGTCAGACACGTCTCGTGATACAGAGTATCTTTCCGCCGATAATGAACAGGAACAACACTGGACGGCGTCTCTACAACCACGGCTTCGCCATTCGGCATCACATGAGTCTATCTTGTCGATATCTGGAATCGACATTCACACACTCAAATCAAGACCTTCGCAGATCACAATCCGAGATGGCAACGCTCTCATCCGTCCACGAACCAGATTCGGAACTCCAACCACAGTTGTTTCTATGGATACTGTTACGAGCTCGTCAATGGTAACTCCTCGGGCAACCATGTCTCGTCAGACTCGCGACAGTGCTACATATCTCCAAAGCATGCGGGCGAACAGCAGCGATTCTCGGTCCATTTCGTCGAACAATTCGAACGAGGGCATCAAGACTAAACTCGGTGGTTGGGTATTCGGCCGCTGGGGCGTGACTCCTCAAAAGTCCTCAGGCGATCTGAGAAGTTCCTATCTGGCTGTGCCGCCTCAGCAACGAGCTGTGAGCACAACTGATGTTGATCCATTGAGGGCATTCATGGGTCGTTCATCAGGTATCAATCAAAAGGGCCCTATACCAGGATTCGTGAAGAAGATCGAGAAAGCACCCAGTAAGGTCAAGCCAGAGGTTGTGGACCATGATGCTTTGAGGGAAATATTGATGGAAAGTGGGCTCTAACCAGCCATGGTGCTGTACGATTTTACGGTCACTCATTACGAGATCTACTTTGTCTATACTTGGCGCATATCTCCTTGAGTTTTTGTCCATATTTGCTGGCGTTTGGAATGGGCGGCCGGATACCCTGTCATTTGACATACATACCTATAGAACAGATTGTGATAATTTAATTTCTAAAGCAAAATAAAATCATTGTAATTGTGTCAATGTTTACTTCGGCTTGGGACAATGTTGTGCCAGTCAGCGTTGCACTTAGCAGCGCTCAACATCACACATCACACCTCTTTTTCCCATTCCGCTCCCATCCGCTCTGTTCCACTTCAGCACTCTTATGAACGAGTACAACAACAAGCAGTGGAGATGTACCAGCCCGCCTTGGGTGACGTAAATCGATATGTCCGCATTTCCAATCCATCAATAATGGCCGAGACTAGCAAGCAAGAAGGTGACGGACAATCTGATCAGCAGGGAGTACATGAATGCCGAGAAGTAAGATGCAGCGTTTGTCAGCACCGAATATGTTGTGGAACCTGTGGCAGCCAGAACGGATAAGGCTAACAGTACTAACTAGAACTGTCGTTAATGTTCTATGAAAGTTACCCTAAATTTCGTCTGACAAGCGTTCTATATTTCAATCAACCTTACCACACTTCCCTGGTTGTCAATTCTCGGTATTGTATAATTTTGAGGGATGTCTAGCACCTCTGGCCCAGCTATCAAGAAGCCCAAAAGAAGAGGCTTGCCGAAGACAAAATCAGGCTGCAGAACTTGCAAGTAGGTCGATCCATCCACATATCCCATGCTGCTGTATTGCCACCGTTGCTAAAATCCCACATAGACAACGTCGCGTGAAGTGCGGAGAAGAGAGACCCTTTTGCTTCCGCTGTATAAATTTTGGAGTCCCTTGCGATGGGTATGGCTTTCTTGACAACCCAGCCAACCTGCCAGGGCGTAATTTCTTGATTCTGCCCAGATCACAAAGCGCAGCCCTTCCACTCCCTGTTCTCAACAACCCAGGATCCTCACTCTTCAGCGCCGCGCAAGAAAGTCGATATTTCGATGTCTTCTGCAACAAGACGGCTTATGATATCCTGCCTACTTTCGACTCAAGCGCAACGGCCTTGAGGCAGGTCATTCTTCAGACATGTGAGAGTGAGCCTTCGATTCGCCATGCCGTTGTGGCACTGGGGGCATTGGATTTAGCTGCTCGGAGTCTACAGGACTTCTCCCCAATGTCCTTGGATGCTTGGAGAGAGACGCCTCTTCAGCACCACCAAAACGCACTGAAGCAGTATGCAACTGCCATTAAGGAAATGCGGCAAGCTGCTTTGACGACCAAGCAAGATTTACGGACTACGTTGCTGACGTGCCTGGTGATCATGTGCTTTGAAGCATGGAATGGGAACCAGGATTTGGCGATTAGGCAGATTCAGATGGGGTTTAAGCTTATCCAAGCGTGGAGAGAGGAGGAGGTTGACGAGCAGGACGAGAGAAGGTTTGTAGGGTTGGAATCTGCAATGTCCGATACTGTTGAGGATGGGCTTGTGAGAGTCTTCAAAAGACTTGATGTTCAGGTGAGTTCGATTTTGATTTGTTTTTCCCATAGTTCAACTGGCTGCTTCCTCTCAATGAGGCTTTGGCAGACACTTTCCATTTTCAGATGTATTCAGACGAACAAGAGGGTGTATAATCGTCAATATAAGAAGCCCATATTGGTTGACGCTCTGAACTTGTGACAAAATCCCCGGCACGCATCTGGCAAATGTCCATATTGTCATATCCTCCAAAGGAAATATCCATCAAAAAATATTATCGATCTCAATTTGACCTGAGAATTCAGAGAAACTCTGACTTCCGATGTCCAAGCTGTGCTTGGCAAGCTGTGCTTGGGACATTGAAGTTGCTTCTCTCTCAGGACTGTTCAAGAACTTTAGCAGGTGTCACCATTCGGAACTATGACGACGTACACAAGTACTGTCCGAGTTTCCCGGCTTGAAGAAACAGTCAAACACTTTCTTATCCAACTCACAAACGACAGAGCTAACCACACAGTCAGGCCATATCATTCTCCAGCGAATCCACACCAGAACGGCACGCCATCGTTCTTAGTGGCGAAAGGAAACTCCTAGATCGCATGCCTTCAGTCTTCACCTCTGCCCGCGACGCAGCCACATACGCCAATGCTCTCGTCCGGCAAACGATGCGTTTCTTCTCCGAACAGATACCCCTTCCCATCCCACCACCACCACCAGTATACTTTCCCATGCACGGCTGGTGGGGTGTCAAGATCCCGCACGTAGTATCCATCCAGCAACGCATCATGACAGACGTTCTTCGTTGGAAAGCAGCCGACGCACCCTTCTGGCGTCGGCTCAATATGCAATTCCAGGACCATGCTCATGATCATGGCGAGGATTACTTCCTCGCAAGTGTCTCGCGTATGCATGTGCAAATCCTGTGGATCGGCTTGGTTACCATCTGCATGGACAGCGAGAGCGAGTTTGATCAGTATTTCGACATATTCCGAGATGTCGTTGACTTAGCTGAATACACTCTCACGGTCCAGAATGCGAGATCCAAACAACCCAAATTTACTTTCGATTCGCTAGTCGTAATCCCGCTGTATTTGGTTACTTTCAAATGCAGAGATCCGACGATTCGACGGAAGGCTGTGAGACTGCTGTTAGAAAACCCTAGGAGGGAGGGTGTATGGGATAGTGTTCTTGGCGGCAAGATGGGAGAGTGGGCTATGACTGTTGAGGAGGAGTTTATGGAAGATGGGAAGGTTCCTGAGTGGGCGAGGATTCACTGGGTTGCGCTGGAAAGAGACAAGGAGCAGAGGAGTGCGATGCTGAGTTGTGAGCAGAGAGTTGGGCAGTACTCGGACGAGGTCATCACGAGGCGGAAAATTTTCACGTGGTGAGGTGAAAAAGCATCTGTCACAAGGACAGGAACAAGTTGCCTTCGAAAAATGGACTCTTTACAATACCATGCCCAACCTACTACGTTTATTTGTGGACTAGAACTACATCATATGTCCCTCATTACACAATGCAGTGCCTATTCATTCAGAAGTCCATCCGCTTAAGACAATCACTAAGGTCTACCAGAAGGTGTGGCATACACATCCTCCAAGTCATCCGGCCGGACTGGTCTGGGAGGTAGATCCAATGGAGGCGGCGCAAATCCAAGAGGATGCAGCTCCTGCTCAATATCCCTATCAGTCGCAAGCTTCTTCCACTTATCGAGTAGTTCCCAATACGCCTCCCACTTTGGAATGCTCATGCTTTTCGAGGCCGCGATTTTGCGTTTGGCATCTCGAGCTGTCTTGGTATACCGTTCTCGAGATTTTTGGGTCTTTTCGTGTTTGGCGATTATGTCGTCGACGTGTTTCTCGACTTTGGAGGTGAAGTTCGCCATGGAGTTTGAGATTTTTGGTGTGAAGAATGTTTCTTGTGAGATGAAGAATTGAGTAGATATACCCAGTGAAGTGGAAGTTGCTAGAAGTACATCCAGCACACAATGGCTCATATACACAACAAACAAATTTATCTGGAAGTCGTACAATTTCGGACAAAGTGACTGGATGCCACGAAATAGGCAACTGACATTCAGAGTATTCAAGTGCCATTAAGACTACCAACAAATGTCGATGCGTCACTCATCTGATGAATCAATGGTACCTGGCTCTTCTGCTGTCGCCTATCTTGAGCGTGCCCGTTAATGTTCTCCCAGTCGATCTTCCAATTCATGATGCTGTCTGTAAGCTCAGGATCATCGTCGTGGCGATGAATACAGTTCGTACACTGGACCTGAATTGCTTGGAGCTGGATCCGGAGAAATCTGAGTTCTGACTGGTTGGCTTGATAATTGTCGTCCCTGAGAACCATATTTAGGAATTGAACATATAAGTTGGTAATAAAAACCTACATTTCTGCAATGCGATATTCAAGATCCAAAATACGCTCCGCAGCTCGCTCTCCTCGTGTAACTAGTAGATCGTGTATACGCTGGAGTTCATGAATCAGTCACTAAATGAGATCATTGATGACGAACCAGTTCTCACATCAGATTCTTCCTTTCTAACCAGCAGCTTCTCAAGAGTACTTGCCAAGTTTGTGGCAAGTTCTTCAGCGGCTTTAGCCACTTCAACCGCCCGACTTGAAGACATCTCTAACTCGGGTTTTGATACTGATTTAGGTGACAAGTTTTGAGATATGACTGGGATTCGCATTTTCAGTCTTTGGGAGGGAGTTGGGGACCCCCAGAAATCATCCTCGCTCAAAGAGTGTCCAGATTTCTCCCTTGACAATAAGTGGTCCGGACTGTTCGCCTTCTCAACTCCCTTCACCAGACTTTCAATCTTATCAACCTCTCTGTGGATAGCTGAGACTGCGCCATCTTGAAGAGAAGTAACATTCGAGAGACGAAGTACCAGGTCGCTGAGCCTATCAATCAAGACATCCTTGCTATCTTGCGTAAGATCTTCAGTTAGTGATTCTGGAAGTAAAGCGCTGGTCGGCGATGTAAGTTGGCGGTGGAGGACCGGGAAGTGGGCTATTCCTAGGTGATAGGACATTTGATATGTAGTCCAGAGTTACATCTGATGTTTGATTCGAACTGATACGAGGGGTGCAGTGCAATTTGGGTGCTCGGAGCTCAAGGGTGATTCTTGACTGTATCGATCTCTGATCTGCTGATATGAGTCTCCAGGTCGCAAGTCAACTAGATGCTCAGAACAGACCAACACTGATAGCACTTTCATGAGCTGTTTCTTGCTTGAGGCATTCAAGCGAGAACAAGTCGTTGGCGAGGGGAGCAGGAGCTGGACAGGCGAGACACGCATACAGGCTGGGCTGGACTGCATACGCTAGCGGCCGCTGTAAGCCGATTTGTCGGGAAATTTATCTGTGGAGTGAGTTGCAAGTGACACAACTCCTCTGGATACCTTCTTGAACCCGTACCTTCACTTCTCCCTTCAACCTTGCGCAAAACTCATAGACATTGCTTTCGTTCGGCCGCCCGAAAATAATATCAGCAATCCCCGTTCAGATCTGGAATTGCTTCCCCAAAACAGACACAATGGGTGTGGGAGTAAGTAGTTTTCTGTATGACTCTATTCACACTCACCAATGGAAAGCTGATTGGTATGTAGGAAGAACTGCAACCGTCCCTGGAGACCATCCGAGAGATTCTACTGAAAGCAGCCGGCAAACCCAATCCTCCCAATCTAGTCCCAGTCTTCGCAGAAATACCCTCCGACCTGATCAAACCCTCTGAAGCATACCTTAAAATATCCGCCCACTCAAAGTCCGAATACTCCTTCCTCTTCGAGAGCGCTGCAACGGAGAGGGTTGGAAGATACAGTTTCGTTGGTGCTGGACCCAGGAAAATCATCAAGACAGGAGAAGGACATGGCGAATCTGTTGACCCTCTACCGTTGCTCGAGGCGGAGCTGTCGAAGAGTCGGGTAGCACACGTTCCAAAATTGAAGCTGCCACCTTTGACTGGCGGGGCAATTGGTTATGTAGGGTATGACTGCGTACGGTATTTTGAGCCAAAGACAGCAAGGCCCATGAAGGATGTACTGAAAGTACCGGAGTCACTCTTCATGCTGTTTGATACGATCGTCTCGTTTGACGGCTTCTATGAGAAGATCAAAGTTATCACCTACCTAAAGGTTCCGAAGGATTTGTCGAAGCTTCAAGAAGCTTATGAGCAAGTAGGAGATGCCATCAATGAGATTGTGGAGGTGCTGAACTCAAACGAAAAGATCCTGCCTGAGCAGCCTTCTATCAAGCTTGGTCAACAGGCTACCTCCAACATTGGTCAAGCTGGCTACGAGAAGCATGTTACGGACTTGAAGAAGCACATCGTAGCTGGGGATATTATTCAAGCCGTTCCATCTCAGAGATTTGCCAGGCCTACGTCATTACATCCGTTCAATATATATCGACATCTTCGGACGGTCAATCCCTCGCCATATCTGTTCTACATTAATTGCGCCGAATTCCAGATAGTTGGTGCATCACCAGAGCTCTTGGTGAAGAAAGAGGCCGGTCGAGTCATTACACATCCAATTGCTGGAACCGTGAAGAGAGGAGAAACCCCCGAGGAGGACGAAGCGCTTGCTGATGAGTTGCGACAGTCGCTGAAGGATAGAGCTGAGCATGTCATGTTGGTCGATCTTGCAAGAAATGATATCAACCGAGTCTGTGACCCAGTCACTACCAAAGTAGACCGGTTGATGGTCGTGGAAAAATTTAGCCACGTGCAACATCTGGTTTCTCAAGTCTCTGGTGTTTTGAGGGAAGGTATGACAAGGTTCGATGCGTTCAGATCTATATTTCCAGCTGGAACTGTATCTGGAGCTCCAAAGGTCAAAGCAATGGAACTCATTGCAGAATTGGAAAAGGAAAAACGTGGAGTATATGCCGGAGCTGTCGGATACTTTGGCTATGCTAGCGTGGACGCCGAGGGTAACGAAGTTGAAGGTGAGATGGACACATGCATCGCATTGAGGACCATGGTGGTGAAGGACGGTGTGGCTTACTTGCAAGCTGGTACGTTTCTGCTCCATATTTGCCTACCCCAGCCGCATTACTGATATCCTTTTACAGGAGGTGGAATTGTATTTGATTCTGACCCATACGACGAGTATATCGAGACTATCAATAAGCTGAAGTCAAACTCGACGACGCTAGAAAAGGCCGAGCAACTCTATTCGAAGAAGCAGACTGCTGAAAAGTCGAACGGAGCGCGCAAAAAAGCCCATATCGATCTAGCCGCTGGATAATCAATTCCTACGTTCAATACACCGATAGATCACCTTGCACTCTCGTTTTGTGTTGTTTTTGTGACATTTCATCTCGACGACATCGTTTCGTGGGAACAAATATTAGTGTCAAAACAGCCTCCTCGACTCATGTTAATGTTTCATCCCATTCAGAGTCCGGAGGATGTTCAAAGCTCGAAGTTTCGAGTAGTTCTTTTCGTCCCCAAGATCACGATCAAAAAGTTACAATCGTTGAATCAAACAATTCGTTCGTCAGCGGCTTGAAGCTTGGACAACGGCTGGATCTCGGCATTTTCATATGTGCAGACCATCCCTGACAATATCATCACCCGCACTTCTTAACCAACACGTCTTCGACGTGGAGTTCCCTTCTCCAAAACAATGCAGAAACCGAGAACGCGTTCCGAATGACTCTCATCACGTTGCTCCACGCTCTTCCCTGTTCCGTTCCACCCGACCCCTTTCCTCGCCTGCTTAATAGATACCCAAACAGGGATATGTTTCCTTCATCGTCAATGCATGATTACCCAAACTAGCAATTTCTTGCTGGCAAAACTGTAACTCACACCGCGTTTTCCTTGTCAGGTGTGCAATCGTTGGCAGGTGCGCGTGCAGCATGAAAAGATAATTTCTTGACCCAATGCCGCTGGCAGTGGATATGGCGAGACTACGTGAGTCGGTAATCACATCTAAATTTTGACTTGGATTTTTTAACTTCTCAGGTATCTCTCCCTGTCCCCGGGAGCCCATAAGTATCCCAAGATTCCCGTTCAATTCTGCGCTCTCCTTTCCACCCTGTTCATAGTCTATCTTAATATCCCTCCCATCTTAAGCTTCCACCAACCACAACAATGTAAGTACTGTCGAGAGATACACACTGTCTTGTAACTTCGATTAAATTCTTTACCTGCCATCTTGAGAGACAAAGATACGGCAGCTGCTCAAAATCACCTAAAGCGGAAACACTAACACTTACTCTCAGGGCCGACGAAACCGCAGCAGCAGCACCAGCAGTGCCAACCTCTCCTCGCTCTCCAGCCAGCGCTTCCGGTCGCCCAGGAACGTCTGGAACAGAGTTGAACCTCCGAACAGACCGCCAAAAAGCTCAAACCTCGTACCAGCGCGCCGCCGAAGCAGAAAAAGCCTACCGCGCCAAACGCCGCGCAACCTACGCCCGCAAGGACTTCAAGGCCGCGAAAGAGCACTTCGCTGCCGCGGGTGTTAGCATCAAGGAGGGCTCCAAATGCGTGTGGAGCGCTGTCCGCGCTGGCCCAGCTATCATCAAAGAGAAGCAGGTTAAGATGCGCGAGGAGCAGAAGATGAAGAAGAGGGAGACGGCTGAGGCTGTTAGTATTTTCTTCCTTAGTGTTTCGGGGTTGCAAATGAGATTCTGGCCTCGGTTTTACTTGTTTTTCTGCTGCTCATTGTTAGATTTGACTGTCGCTTGCTCGTTTGTTTTCATTTCTTTTCCGAATTATTTCCTCTAGCCTATTTGTATTTCCGACTGCGAGTTGAGAATTGCTAGCGAGTAAAGTGAAGAGTCTAGTGCTAACAATCCTGCGAATCACAGAAGAAGAAGAAGTGGGAAGAGAAGGCCAAGAAGAGTAATGAGTCCTCCGCTTCCGAGGAGCCTGCTCCAGCTGTCGTGGCCGAAGCAACTCCGGCTGCATAGAACGATACACGCATATTACTACAGCCGGGCCCCGATGATCGATTTCTGGACCGAACGAACAGGAATTGGGATTGGGTAATAGTGCCTGGCTGCAGCTTGAATCGGGAAAATTAAAGTATGGTGTTGGGAGCAGGAATTGGGAGGAGACAGAATGGACAGACCGTGGCTGGCGATTCGAATTCTTTCATTTGTTCGGTGGCTTAATATACCCCATGCTTTTTGTCTTTAAATTTCATTTGTCGTTCTCATTACCCTGCTGCATACGAAGCTGAGGATATTCCCCTCTCATTTTGCAATTTTGTTTACATTTCCTTCTGTTCAAAGCTACCCGAAACAACAACAAAAATATAGAACAAATGTACAAGTTTTCTCGCATTGACATCCCTTGAGCTACAATTGAACTGCTTTTGGAAGACATCATCGTCGCCAGTCGTGATGATGCCATAGGTCTCTGTTGAAAGGGGCTTTACAAGGTTGCAAGAATGTGAATGTGCTTCCGCTGTCGAATACGTGAACAGTCATGTCTGCCTAAACCGACCACAATTTTTGAGCTTTCCGAAGGTGTGACAGCGCTTTCGCTTCTTTCAAAAGACTTCAGGGCCGAGGCGGTAAAAACGATCATGAAGACATGAATAACGTGCTACTTCATGAGATTTATCATATCTTAACTGAAGCGAGGCAAAAAACTGAAGGCTAGGAGGCCAAGAACATCGGCTTCCATTTTTTTGCCCAGGAAGCCAGGAAGCCGATGTTCTTGGCCTAGTGGCCTAGTGGTATGAGGAAGGAGTAGGTGAAGTCTCTTGGGAGGAAGGAGCGTTGACTCTAGGTGCCAGGTGCGTTATTTAGTGGCTACCTCGCCATTTTCATTGCGGGTTGATGAAGAAGTCTAGGTAGACTTCTCTGATGTACACGAGACATTTCAAACAGCCGAGAATGGGGGACTTACCCAAATTATTCATCCACAAAAGAAATCTTGGGAAATTATGCTTAGAAATGAAATGCTGAAGTAACTTGTTGTTGTTGTCACTAAGGAGATTCGCTTACTCAGACTTGGTAGTTTTGCTTCAAGGGGGAAAGCACCAAAGAAAACTTTACCTGCAAATTGCTCCTCATTTAGAAGAACATAAGTAATTAAGTCTTACCGACAGTCACCCAGCCAGACTCAAATGGATCATCAGTAAGATGCCTCTGCTTGGACTGGCATTGAGAAATAACCGCGGAGAACACGTTTTGGCAAAATTCCGTCGCCAGAATGATTATCTAGCTGAGACATACCCGGGCATAGAAGATGTCATCAAGACAACCATTGAATCGTACACCGTCTAACATTCAGAGGTTCGACCTAAATGACCATAAATGCCATAGCTGAGTTGATGATATGAGAACAGGTTCAAAGCTGCCTTTGCAAACGAAGTTGTCATATGGAACCACAACAAATACAGCATATCAGGATCAATAAACCGACGGCCGAGGTCACACAAAGTGCTTCAACCTGGAGGTATGGGATATCCCAATCCCGGCGGTAAATGCGCATGGCCAAACATGAATCATGAAAAGTGGCAAAACCACTAGTTGAGCTCCACAGCAACAGCATAACTCGCGAGTAATGAAATCATCGACACAACAAAATCACGCATAATTCAAACAGATCATGTGCCCAAGGAACAACGAAGAACGCTTTGTATGTATATTTACAATCAACCTACACTCAACCCAAGCCCGTCTAGCAAAAAGAGAAAACTCCGTTCATATCCTGTCTTGTGCTGGAGAACTGGAAAAGAGGAGAATCTGATATTTGATTGCACGGCGCCGCGCGCACGCAGCTGCAGCGCAACCCGTCCCATCAATGCTATCTAACCTAGAGTACAAGTGTCTATTCTATCATACAAGTCCAGCCGCGTCTACTTGGTCTCTGCCTTGAGGTAGCTGTGGGTTGTGTTAGTGAGTATTCCCGAATTCTACACTACGATAGGTATGGGACAAGGCAAACGTACGTGATCAGATCGTTCCTATCCTTGTCCTTCTTCAATCCACCGAATGCCATCTTCGTTCCTGGAATGTACTTCTTTGGGTTCTCAAGGTACTCGAACTATGGCATTCGTTAGTACAGTTCCCCAATAGAACTCCAGAGACATTGTGCATACCAGGGTATCGTTATCCCATGTGATTCCCTTTGCCTTGTTGGCATCGGTGTATGAGAAGCCATCAACGGAACCAGTCTTGCGTCCAAACAGACCGTGCAAGTTAGGGCCGATCTTGTTTCCCTCACCCTCACCGAGAGTGTGGCATTGGGCGCATCGTGTCTTGAAGAGGTTGGCACCCTTCTTAGCGTCTCCTGTAATCAAAATTCCGTCAGCAAGAATTCTTCTCCTATGTCTTGAATTGAGGAAATCAGGGCGAACCGCCGGTCGCAAGTTGGCGGCAACCAAGAGAAGAGAGAATTGGCGGCTACTACTCGAACAGATGTATCCCCTCGATCCTTAGCCCACTTGTGCCAACTATCTCGGAGTTTGATAAAGCGTTGGTGGTATCATGACTGTTCCAAGGTCGGATCTGTCGGGTGGCGTGCAGGACGAAAGTACCCCCAACAACCGCGGCAGAACGTCTTGAATCATAACTAGAAACCGTCGACCCATCGATCATAATACATCTGACCAGCAGTCCAGCTCTTGCATCATCCCATCCTGCTCGCACAACTCAATGGCTTTCCGCTCGCCCTGTGACGTGACCCCTTTCATGCCCAGCAAAGCCAGCCTGCCAGACGGGAAAAGCAACAACAGCAAAGCAAAGGAGTAACGTACCATCCTTGAAAGGCATTGTGAAGTATTAAAAGGTGTGTAAGGTGGAGGGTCGAAAGAATGTGAGGCGTGGAAGAAAGTGTGGTGTGTAGTAAGAGCGAGCGGATATGAGGTTTTAAATATTAGTTGGAGGATGGGAGAAAGGAAGAAAAGTTTTGGTAGCTCCCAACCAGGCCGACAGATGACACGGAGATCCAAGGCTAGAGCCTAGCGCACCTGTGCCAGCACCAGCCACAAAGGCACTGCAGATGAACTGAATAAGCGGAGCTCGCCCTGTAATGGAGGGCCTGTGATTGGCGGAACACCGCTAGACTGTAAAGCCCCCTGTCAAAGCCGACATTTCTTGGTTCGCGGCTGGAGCAAGCCTGCAAAAGCCCGGGTGCGTCCGGAGGAGAAATTCCAGTCCCAGAGTCCCAGTCCCAGTCCCAGTCTCCAGTCCCAGATTTCTCGCATGATTCTCGGCTTTGTCCCACCCAAGGTGGACTTGTAGGCGACCGTAGTCATGTCAGATCCAGCCAGAGCAAGTTGACCATGAAACCTTGAAAATTAATCAAGAGCGTCACAGAGCTCTCAGCCATCAACCGAAATGCCTCCCACGACTTCAATACCACGCTTCCTATTGCCTCAAAGAGGATCAATATGGCGCACTCGACTTTCAACTCCCTCTTCAACAGCCCTCACCATCCGCCATGCCTCAAAAGTGCCCAAACCGAAAGCACCAGCAAAACAACCTGCTAAGCAATTCGTTCTCGAGAAGCCCACAAAATTCGTCCCTCCATCTCATGGCGCACGTCTGAGAAAAGAAGCGCCGCGATACCCAGGTCCGCAATTGTCAGAGGAAGAATCAGCAGCGCAGAAGTCGAAGAAATACCCGAATATGATGCCGCCGGACGGGACGTTCATGCATTGGTTTGTCAATAACAGAGCTATACACTTGTATATCACTCTCGTAAGCCTCCCATATCAAACATTGATTGCCACATAGCTATTGGAGACGTTTCGAAGCTAATTGAGCGCAGGGCACATTATTCGGGTTGGCAGGCACAGTCTGGGTGACCAATTTCAAGCGCAATTCCCCTTTCGCAGACATGCTCCCCGCATGGTCACAGCTCTTCGTGCACCCCATTGCTTTCTTCCGAACGTTCCTGGAAGTCGTCAAGATGAATTCGGATTATGTGACTGCGGAGACAATGGAGAGACGGAAGCGCAAGGTGGAGGACGTTGCAAAGAGGGCTGCGTACAGGAAGGCGCATGGGCTGGACAGAGATGAGAGCTTTGGAGGCTGGACCGCGAAAACCGATAAACAGTTGCTGGGACCTGGTATGCCTGTTGAAAGTGCTGAAGGTGTGGAGGGAGAAAGGCAGAGTGAGCCGGTCGTGAGAGAAAAGCGACCATTGAAGAAGTGGTTCGGAATTTGGTAGGACTTGGAGCAGGATGGGTTGCATATGGTGGGTATCTTTGTAGAAAACTGTACTGTACAACTAACCCAACTCAACGGCATCAAGGCCGTCTAATACCTCTTCAGCTACCCCTCCATGTTCTAGTACTTTCTGGATCATAGCAGCTATTAACTTCCTCTTTGCACCTCCTCTAGGTGGTTGCCATACTCCCTCATCCTCCATCGTCTCCCTCTGACTCGCAGCTTGCTCTGTCATGGCCGCAGCTCCTCCTGTAGCCGTATTCAAGGCATTGGGCACACCAGGAGCCGTCAGCCTCGATGGTGGGTCAATGGTCCGAACCGACAATAATCTCAAATCCCTCGCCTTTCCGTCTATATCCATGCCACTTCCACCCCGACCCTGTGACCTTTCTCCAACGGATACAGCCAGAACCACCTCTGCAACTGCAAGCTCCTCTTTACTCGGATCAAATATGATGTTGTCTTTCACAGCCATGACAAGTAGCGTAACCGGCGGCCGAGCATGTACAGCTTGTGAATCCCGAGGATACACATAGACGGAAGCATCCCAGTCATCGTCGAACAGCGGATCCTCATCGCCTTCCGACTTCAGTTTCGGGAGTCTGGTAGAGAGCAGTGCCAAGTGGGTAGTAAGTGAAAGTAATGGAAGAGGATAGGATAGCGGCTGTGATAGCAGTAAGATCTGAATTTCCACACGATTAACATAGTTTCCCAAATCCGAGATATAGCAAGAGAAACTCACATCCAGGTACAACTTCCAATGAAACCTCTCATTGATCCACAGCCTCTTCGTAAACCCCCCATCCGCCAATAGCGCCTCCCCAAGCAACGCACTCAGAAATACCGGCATCGAATCATCATCCCTAAATCCCGGAATCTCGACCGCAATCTCCACCCACTCATTCAAGCCCTTCTCTCCTTCCTTCCCGCCTTCACCATCCACCTCCTCACCAACAATACTATAGCTCGGACGAGACCTCTCGACTTCAGCCTTAATACCAACAATTGCCTCCGTGCCGTCCGCGAAACATATCCGCGCACTACCATTGGTACCTGGCAGGATATTGCTTTCTGCGATTAGCGGCCGGAATTGAGAAGGTGCGCGGCTGTCGGGGCGGATTGGTGGGGTGAGGGAGAGGGAGCTGTGGAGGTAGGAGAGCTCTGCTGGACTGAGCAGGATTTGCTGCGTCGGTGAGGGTGCCATTTTGGCCTCTTTGTTATCCTTGAGGAATTCACTGTCCAGTTCCTCTCAGTACAATGGACCTTGAGGCGCGAAACAAAGTATTGTATGGGGAGTCGCTGGAAGCAAGTTGAAGCTTCAAGCTCAAAATGTTTACTGCCGCGGCCGCTAGCGCAAGGCTACGTGACGAGGCTGCGAAGACATTACGCTTATTGTGTCTCCCCCTCTTTGCTCATTCGTAAACCACAAATAGTAAACCACTTCTCAAATTTACTAATATCAAGCGGAGCAATTATGTTTCCAAGGACAAGTGTCTCATTCTCACTTGCTGATCATGGCAATGGATTTGGAAGCAAAGGCTCAGAACCGGGACAATTGTTGCCCCACATTTCACTATGTCTCCGAGCAGCATAATAATACAGGACTGCTTGCGCATTTGTAACAGCACTTGCTCGTTAGATATAAATGGGACAGCATCTCCCAGAACTGGCATCTTGTCATAGATCCCACTGTTGTTCAATCCTTCCTGCACCTGAAGCCTGATACCTTGGTATTACATCCTTCCAAACCCAACCTTCTCACTGGCGAAGACGCCTGCCCTGTCCTGTTCTTCCATACCGTGGTAAATTTACAAAACTCAAAATGCTCAAACTCCCCAAACTCATCTACGCCAACAAGTTCTGCCTCTCCCCTCTCCCACCGCCAGGAACATTCACCAACCACACCGTTCTGGTCACAGGAGGCACATCTGGTCTTGGTCTGGCAACCGCAGTGCACTTCCTCAACCTGGGCGCCGCCAAAGTGACCATCACAGGCCGAACACTTGCCAAGGGCGAAGAGGCCAAGAAGTCCATAGAGACACAAGTTCACGTGCAAGATGCCGGTGAGGTTGAGGTGAGGGTTCTGGATATGAGCACGTTTGTTGGTATTAAGGAGTTTGCAGATAAGGTAAAGGAGGAGGTGAAGAGTGTGGATTACGTCTTGTTGAACGCAGGACTTCTAGCGACGAGTTTCAGAACAGGGAAGGAGGGGTACGAGGAGAGTATTGCAGTAAACTGTCTGGGTACTGCATTGCTGGCCATCTTGTTGTTACCCTGGGTGAAGGTTGCTGGAAGGGGGAATGGACATCTTGGTGTAGTAACGAGTGGCTTACATAGAGGTACGTCCCGCCCATCCATCTGAGACTTTGACATGCGGACATTTTGGAGTTCTGTCGTAGGTCCGGAATTGCCATGTTAAGCTGCTCATCATCACCCAGGTATCGATATCTCCCCCGGGAAATGGCCGCAGAAAGACTTTTTCACGTACTTCAGCCGAGAAGAGAATTGGCCCAAAGGATCTCCGAACATGTACTCAATTAGTAAACTGCTAATCCAATACTGCGTGAACGAAATTGCGAAGCTGGCCGTTGATAAAGACGGAACGTACGTCTCTCCTCACCACGAAAAACAATCTGAAACTGAGAGCCTGTAACAGAGTCCAAACGGTCGTCAACCCTATGTGTCCTGGCATGGTCAAGAGCTCGCTGGGACGGGAACATATCACCAGCGCCATTATGGGTGTGGCCGTTGACATTTTCATGGCGGGTGCAATGAAAAGTACAGAAGGTGGTGCGAGGAGACTCGTTGTCCCTGCCTTAACGACGAAAGAGGAGAATGGAAAATATATTTCGGATTCTCAGTCGCATGAGGAGTATCTCGTGTAAGTAACCCAAATGCCACTTGTGTTCCATGGCTGCAGGCAAAATACTAATTATCAAAAGAGCGGTACAGAAGAACATCCTTGGTCCTGAAGGACAGAAGATGCAGAAACAAGTGTGGGAGGAAGCACTCGAAATCTTGGAGCAAAAGGTGCCTGAAGTCAGGGAAATTGTAAAATCTGGAGCTGTGTAAAAAATGTTTCGCAATTCCGTCCTGTGCTGTGTCTCCTTTCATGCTTTTAACTGAGTGAAGCGACCTAAAAATCTGGCCTTTGCTGTCGTTTATCATTAGTCGTAACCCCGTAAAGATGATCAATCCTGCCACTCAAGGTATCTGTAGCAATATCTTGTATAATGCGCATCTTCAACAACCCACCTTCTGATCACCAATTCCTCTTATCAGTACGCTACAGAATACCGAGAGTACTCGTCGAGCATCAACGAAAGCTGACAACCATTTCTTTTGCCAACGAAGGGCCGACCGCCGCAGCAAGCTCTGCGATAATACATTTTATGGAGCTCGAGCTGTTTATGTCGCTTGTGTCCCAGCAGAGAAGCTGCTGAGCTTCGGCTCGCAGGCCTCTCACTTGAATATTGATGCTGTCCAAGTCAACTTGATGCTGAAGCTGATCTATGGTGAGAATTCCAGGTATGGAGCGTGCAAATAAAGGCGTGTCTGGGTCTGAGAGTGGAGGATCATCTTCATCGGAGTCGTCAACCATATTGGCTTCGTTTGGGGTGTCTGTGATATGCGGCGGCTGCTTCGTTGTGTTTGACAAGTCTTCAACGAGACCAGATCGTTCGCGTGATAGACTAAAGAATTTCGTCTTGTCCAGTTTCTTCTTCAATTCGGTATCGAGGGGATCCCAAGCATAAGAATCTGGATCTAGCATATACTGTGGAGAAAAATCTCCTTTGTATCGCATCTTAATGCAACTGTGTATGTAAAAACCTGCATACCACCATCGATATCCTTGCTCCTTGGCTAAGACAATCTCTCTCATAGCCCCAAGCTTACCAAAGCCGTGTTCATGGACCGACTCGTGGTACATGAAGTAGACGGCACTCACACATTGTGGGAGGAGATCGAGCACGCCGATAGCAACGAGCTTGCCGTCAATCCGATAGCACTGGTGGTACGATCCGAGTCGCCGTACCCGCCCCTCATCAAAGACTTCTTCGCTTCTAGGAAGTGGCGAGGAGCAGAGGAAATTTTTGAAGCCGTGCTTGGTGATCTTTTGAGGCGGCTCGTGATGCACAACGCGCTGATAATTCTCAAACAAAATGTACTTCTCCTCCGTGAAGTTATCTGGTTCAAGCGTGACAGTCAAGGTATGGGCAGGCTCAGGCGGCACTTTCACCTGCTCTTTTTCGCACTCATGAACACGCTCCGCAACGTTGAAGTCCTTGTTACGCTTCTTGGCTTGCTCGCGTGATAGTGGATGACGCCTGGCAGCCTCTTTGATGTAGGTATCTCCCAGAATATACTTGTTGAACCGGTTCTGGACTTGTCGTTGGTCTTTCGAGGCATGGAATTGGTCGGAGTCTAGTCTGATTGTATAATGTGGACAACAAGATGCAGATTGGTCCGGTTTGTACAACAGGGTTCCAGATCTCCTCCAGCCGCGGTCAAGGAGAGATTGGTAGAACTTTGCAGTCAAGGAAGTAGTGGTTACATAGTACGAGAAGCCTAAAAGGAAGGTAAAAAGTAAATATTAGGCTCCATATGCAGCAAGGATAAACGTTTGTAGGCCATGCTAATGCTCGAAATATTGAAACAGGGAATGAAGGAAATGTGTCCTTGGGGTTTCTGATACTCTTTGACAAAGAGGGTGGGTGTTTACGTGTCCGGAACTCACTTCCTGATTTATTGCAGCAATAGCCGCATCTGTTGTTACTATATCCTGCTTCAAGTCAGCCATCGTACCCAGTTTTCTGTCCAACAGGAGGAACTTTATTGCAGTGCACTGCGTCTTGAGATGCTTTAGCTGCGGACATATCAAGTTGGGTAGAATAGATAATAGCCACTGGCCAAAATCTCAGTCCCTCAAATGCTGTCGGGTATCAAAACCCTTCAAAGCACTGCAGTACACACGGTATAAATTGTGCATTTGCAGGAGCGTTTGCCAAGAAAGACTTTGTACCATGCAGCAGTTAAAGTATCGATTGCTTTGGAGCGATGACTTTGGGCCGGCATCATGATCAGTCACTGCAATTGTGTAATATCGATCTCAGAAGGAGAAGGGCGACTGGCCAGCCCCAATCAAAAAAGGACAATTCAGGGTTCAGATCGATAACTCAGCAGCACATCGCAATGCTGGTAATAGCGTTGTAGCGCTGCACATGAGAGTGGGATGTGCCTCGCATACGGACCAGGGTAGAAAAGCCTTCCAGAAGATGTCTAAATCAACGACATCGAAACGATCGACCACGAGGCCAAACAATTGGAGAAGCATTCAAGCAGGCGAGAACGGGAGGTGGACTGACCAATAGGTGACAATAACGTCGCAGCTTGGGACTGCATGGTGCAGACACTGCAGGCGACCCCCGACTGGCGAGGACGCAGATGTGAGCTGCAGAAAGTTTGCGTGCAGTGCAGTGCAGTGCAGCGCAGCGCAGCGCAGCGCAGAGCAGCTAAGGTATCTATGCACCGTTTACTCGTACCGGTGGGTCGGACAGCAACGCGGCGACGAATCTGATATGGCGCTTCAAGTACTCGGAATTTTGGGACTGCTTGAGCTTGAGAAAAGCTACCCTTTTCGATGAAGAGGGTATGGAAGTATAAGGTATGGTGATAATTAGAGCGCCGGAAGCCTGCCTCTACCTAGTTGAAGAGTCAGACTCAGCCAGGCAGGCGCAGGCACATGCACGAGATTGGTGACTCGAGAAGACTAGCGAGGCTGGATGCTTTTCCTTAGTATGGAGGGATTATCGTGAGAACCGTGGGAGTGGGAGTGGGAGTAACTCGAGACTTGCGGCTAGAGCGGTCGGTGTGAAAGGAGGTAAGATAGTGAGTGGCATTACCAGTAAGGCAATCCGAGATCAGGCACCAGGAGGCACCAAGAAAAGCAAGGCAAGGCAAGGCAAGGCAAGGCGGTGGGAGGGCAGGTTGGTAAGGTAGAGGGTAGGTAGTGAGGAAGTCTAGTTGCGGTGAGCAGAGCTGAGTGGCCAAGGGGAAAAGATGGCCGTAATGGAAGTGAAGGTGAAGGTGTAGATCTGGTCCGAGTCCCGTTGTTGCTTTGGACCTGACTCTAACCCTGACTCTTGCCTCTGAATCAGAAGACTGCTGTGTTTGTGCTAGGTAGGTAATTTACCGTACCTTCCCTAAGGTAATTGATATTGTAAATTACTGTAATTAAGTTAGAAGCTCGAAGCGAAGCTGCCTGTTGAAGCCGAGAGTATAAGTATCGTGATCGCAGCCGCATCGCCTGAAATAAGGTAAGGTAAGGTAAGGTAAGGTAAGGTAAGGTAAGGTAAGGTAAGGTAAGGTAAGGTAAGGTAAGGTAAGGAAAGGTAAGGTAGGGCAGGGTAAGGTACCTAGGGTAGCACAACAACCAAGCCCGGCCAACTGAGGTTTGGAACCGTCGGGAGCTTCCCATAGGTAGGGAGGGCAGCGAGGGCAGGTAAGTTTAAGCTGGGTCGCCTCAACTCGTTAGCCCAGTTTGCTCTGAGTGCTCTGAGTGCTGCAAATCGTGGTTGGCAATAATGGCTTCTAGCCCATCTTGCTTCCGTGGTGTTGCAGTGGCAGTGGCAGTGGCAGGCGGGGTACTAGGATCCAACCTCGCCGTCCGCCGATTCCTTACCCTACAGTACACAGCAGCAACCTATCGTAAGGGGCCTGGAGGCGAAGAGACGAGCGAGTAACAGCAGGCGGGCGTAGAAGGATGTGATGGGATGGAATGGTGGGATGGGCTGAAGATCCGAATTCAGTACCCAAGATCTGAAGGAGAGGGAGCTGTTGGGAGGAGAGGAGAGGAGAGGACGAGTAATTTACCTAAAGTTCACAGGATACTTGCGAAGTTAGGCAGGGAATGGAAGTCAGCCATGAACCCCCACAGTGCTTGTTACCTTTACTCTACCTAGGTACTGCATTAAGACGAGCTGCACGGTGATGCACTCCCACTCTGCCACGACAAGCATGTTTTCAAGCTCTTCTTCTACCTAGTCGCAGATAGTTACTGGCTTCAGTAGTGGTAATTTACTGCCAAACTTCATCCTTTTCCGGCCCCTCGACAGAGAATAGGTCATGTAATTTACCTAACCTACCTGACTTTATTAAGTACTCCTTGGAAGAAGTGAGATTTCGAGCCCGAGCTAGACGAGTCGGACCCAAACAGAAGTGCAAACCTTGATGAAGGATTCCTTCCCGTGCAAATATGTCGAATATGACAAAGGCAGTAAACGAGAGCACTTGTTGCGAGTGAATATATTTCAGTACCTACCTTAGGTACCTACGTACCTAGGTAAATAGCTGGGTAGACTGGACAGGTAAATACTTAGGTACCTAGGTACATACCTAGCTAGGTAACTTAGGTCAAGCAACTGTTCAAAAGGAGAGGACCAAAGGCCCGGAAATACAAGGTATCGGTCTCCTTATTCGTTACGAAGTTAGCGGGACTGGCAGGCCCCTGGCTGGGGGGAGAGGGGAGCGGGGGGGGGTTGTGGTTGTGTTATCCCACTTCCTCTCCCAATTTGTCTCCGTTCTTTTTGGCACGACGCCGACGCCGCCGCCTGAGCTCGTCTCGCCTCTGCCTCTGCTTCTGCTTCTAGTACTCGTACAGTCCTAGTCCCCAGTCCCAGTAGTAGTCCCACTACTCGATTGACGTGCCCTGCCCTGCCCTGCCAGCGGAACAGCAGCTGTTGGCACAGGCTGGCACTGGCAGGGCACACGAGAGCAGAGCAGGCCGGTCAGAGGAATATTCCGGTGAATTACTGAACTGGTGAGCCGGCTAGTCCTGGACCCTTCTAGCTAGCGCTCTGTTGGTCGTAGAAAGGTAGGCATTCTGGTTTGCGCGGTGGGCGGTCTTGCTATTTCATTTCATGCCCTGTCTTTTTCGTCGTTCGATATCACATCACTCACTACCTGCAAAACTGCCCTTCCTCGCCCACCACCACCCGCTTCTTCTCCTTCTCTTCTTTTCATATCATTCTTATTTCTACAACATTACGCAGAACTCCAGTCAATACTTCATTTACCTGTCGACAATTTTGGGGTCGCCAAAAAAAACTTACTCGCCAGTCGCCTTACCAAGAGAATGACGCTTCCCGAGCACTAAGAAGCCCACCCTCCATCCCACAGCCGACCTTTGCAACCACGCTCTCCTCTTGCTCTTGTGCCTTCGCACCCAAACGAAGGTCAAGGCCTTCATCATGGCGGCAAGTCGCTCCATGGAGTCTCGGGTAGGGAGAACAAAGCAGCGTAAGTTTATAGTCCTTTTACTCCTCCAATTCCCCTCTTTGAGAAAGAAAAGTTGCTTGCACGTGGGGCAAACTTTTTCCCCCCAGCTCTTGTAGGCGCGACCATTTGCTCACCACCTTCGCTCTTCTAGGCTACGCAGAGACCGGAGAACGTCTCGTCGCAGGCGTGGTACCTCTCAATGCCGCGAAAACCCACGTACTTCTGATCCAATCGACTCGACGCGCAGGCTGGGTTCTGCCAAAGGGCGGCTGGGAGTCTGATGAATCGTGTACCGAAGCCGCGCAGCGCGAGGCATGGGAAGAGGCCGGAATTGTCTGCACAGTCGACTACGATCTTGGTACCATCATGGAAACCCGAGCCCCGAAGCAGATGTCGAAAGAGGCCCCCAAGGCGCTCTACCAATTCTACGAGGTTACTGTCACAAGTGAGGAGACAGAGTGGCCAGAGAAGCACAAGAGGAATCGACAGTGGGCAAACTTCGCAGAGGCATCGGAAGCGCTCAAAGCCCGCCCAGAGTTATTAGAAGCTCTCAAACGCTCCACCATTGCCAGGTAGCCTCGCGGGCCCGTTGTTCTATCACAGTTCATAGAACGGCGCACAGCAACTTCTTCTTCCACCTCTTCCTCCTCCTTCTCCCTTCCATCAAGTCGAAATATACGAAGTCGCACAGTGCACCAACTATGATCGAGCTATAGGATACCGGGTTCGACACAAGAAACCAAAAAAAAAGAAGAATACGCGGTGAAAATTCCAGCCAGATTTTGGTTCAAGGGTCATCTCATACGAAGCGTGGGCTTATTTTGCTTCTGTTGAGTCCAAGTTGTTCTGCTTTCTTCAAAACTGCATAGAAGACAAATCAAGACGGAATGGACTTCTGCCGTGATCTTGATGACTTTGGCTGTCCTTTTGAATTGGGATTCCTTCATGGCCATTCATTCATTCTATTGCTATACAGTCCCAAAAGCGCCCTCCCAAAATGACTTGGTATATTTTTCTCTCTGTCACTTTGCATTGCAGGCGTTTCAGATAGCGGCCAATACGTCGAGGAGTTATTAATACGCACTGGAAGGTCCGCATGTGGACATGTCGGCCCTGCATTACAAATGTATTGCTACTTCTGTGGAGAGACGCGAGAGGCAAAATAGGCGTGCTATTTGCTAGCATTAGAGCTTGCTTTACAAATTAATCTGAACCCTAAGAAGGCATTGCGAAAAGAAAATTTCGAGTCCTGATTTAGATCATATTTGAAATCTCAAAATTTCTCAGTTCTAGACGACATGATCAATTTTTGAAATTCCTCAACCAACCAAAATGCTGCCTCTTGTTGACTGCTTCAACGCCGAATGTTTAAGCGACGGAGAAATTCTCAAATCACAACGTGCGCAGTCCAAGGTAAGCATAATAGCCAAATCGTTTTACCAACAACAAGTTACTATGATTCGAGCGACTTTGCAGCACCCCACAGTATGAACTATCCTCGATAAAGCCGATCCCAGACCCCGAAATCTCCTCAACAATCCTCCTCCGGAAACAGCAAGCACGTGCATCTATCAAAAACGAAGGTCTGTCCGTCGGCCCACTCCGAGATATCGTCATTTTGACAATCCCGTCCATCTCCAACGCGTCTCCCATCACCTCAACTCGATCCAGCAGCCAGGCACGCGTGATGGCCCAGCCCAATCGCAGTTTCAACCAATAGCGACCGCCTCTCTCTTCATTTGACCATTCCATTTCACTTCTTCCACCGTTCTCCTTCGCTTGACATATCCTTGACTTGACACCAAGACTTCCAGCAGACAACAAGCAAGGGAGCTGGAGATGGAGAACCTCACGCTGGACGAGAATAATGCTGGAGGGCCGCCGCAGCAACAGCAGCAGTTACTCGGCCCCTCGCCGCAGAACCAGCAATTGCCTCCGCAGATGTTCACAACTGCTGCTCAGCTGCTAGATTTGACAGATAGTAAGGGCTTCTCTTTTTGCCTCTCGAGAACTCATTTTAGCTCCGATCATTTTTCTCTTCACTTCTCGAATCATCACCCAGATACAACATTAACCAAATATACAGAAAAGCTCATGGTAGCCCTCCGCGACGGCAGGAAACTAATAGGTGTACTCCGCAGTTGGGATCAATTTGGTACATCCCTCCCTCCACCATAACTGACTCCACATATATACACACAATCTAACACACGCCTCCCTCAGCCAATCTAGTCCTCCAGTCAACAATCGAACGACTCTTTGTCCCCCCTCCCAACTCCTCGCGGACATCAACGCCCACCAAACCCGGTGAAACCGCGCAACCAGGTCTCTACGCCGACATACCCCGCGGCATTTTCCTCGTTCGCGGCGAGAACGTCCTCCTGCTCGGCGAGATTGATCTAGACAAGGACGACGACCCGCCGCCGGGCTACGAGAAGGCCGAGGTCGAGCTGGTGCATAGGTTATCCAAGGAGCGCAAGGCGCAGGAGGCGAAGAGGGAGAAGTCCAGGCTGGTTAAGTTGAGGGCTTTGGGGTTTGAGGGGGAGAATACAACAGAGGCGTCGATTTGAGTAAGTTTTGGAGCTTGAATCTTGAGATATTGAAGGCTTGAGATGAGATGTGAAGGGAGGGTAGAGGATAAACTATGGCGGAAACAAGCATTGATTTCAATGGGGAGAGGACTTGGGAGAGCGGGAGAGAAAAGCACTGGTACTATGCAGAATATTGTGAAATGCATCAGTATCAGCTGGAGGTGGATGAAAGAAAAGAATAAGCATTGCATTGTGCAAAATGCAATACGACATAAAGTATTTTATGAATCAACTTGCAATTGCAACTTTGGTCGATCGTTTGTGTAGATGTTTCTAACTTTCTCATGTGCTAAATGTTTATTCTTTGATCTGCTCAGTCAACTTGGCGTTGGTATGTTACGGCCATTTTGGAATTTGCGATGTGGCAGGATAGGATAGAAGAATGAGCTAACCGTTGAACTGCTCACCCAGCTTTCCAACAATTACAGCTCTGAAAAATGAAGATCTTTCTTGCTACATCGAAGAGTCTCCCGTTTCCGCTTCTACTGTAGCGACTTCGAAGCCTTGCCCATGACCAATTCTGGAGCATCCTTTCGATTTCTAAACAGTCGAAGCGCTGCAATAGAAAGGTAGTGGTAAAAGATCGGAAGAAGAGTGTTGTTCTCAGATGTTTATAATCCTGCTCCATGTTCAGAGCTTCATAGAAGTCTGGCGATATCAGCCAGGACAAAGCACATGAGATCTCGGCATCGCTTCTCGTTTCTAGAATCGCATAGCTACTTCTAGTCGAACCCCGAGTACTTGAGCTGTGGTCTTGGATAAGCTACTATTTGACAAAATCTTTGGGACAACCACCACTCTCTGCAGTTCATCCTGGCCATGCAGCTCTGAATTAAACATCAGAGAGCCCTCACAACAGTCATCTTATCAGCAGAAGCTATGGATTATAGCTAGGCTCTCTGCAACTCTGAAATTGAGGTAACGCTTACTATATCTATATCAATTTCGCGTCTACGAAACATATCAATCCACACCAATTGAGCGCCCAGCATCACCTCTCACAGTCAACTCATGCGCCAGGAGTTCACTTACAGTCATCCACCCATTACTGCAAACCAAAAGACATTTGTTGCACATCGCAGTGTTGTTTACATTCCGTAAGCAAAGCCATTCAGCCTCGGTGATGCGGAATTCATTTTCAATCCAGTATTCACTCCATTAGCTTAGCTGAACAGCATTTTGTTGCACATCGCAGGCATGTTTACTTTGCTAAGCGAAGATGTTTATAGTTGCTGAGGAGTTCACGTCTGTCCATGGGAAAGTGAATATTCAAGGGTTTTTTTTTGTTGCATGTCGCAGGGTTTGTTTACTTCCCTTGTCAAACGAGGACTGGGGACTGATTCATTTGGACCATTGGCTCTGCCCTTGCTTGGAAGAGGCTTGAACCCGCAAAATAGGGTTGAAATATTGGAAGCATAAAGCAAGTGAGGGTGACGCATCTAATTTGCTTGACCCCAAGTGATGGTCAAGAAAATACTTGAACGACTACTCTTGCATTATCACATTGACAACCAGCTAGAGAATAGAGAATCAACCAAATAAGACCATGAATCTATTCTACTTATTAATCCACTTCAACCTTGCATACCCCTCTCCTTAAGCCTCCGATACTTCGCTGCATCCTTAACACTCGGCTTAACTTTCCCAAGCGCAACCTCCCAATCGACCTTCTCAATCCTCAAATCCTCCGTCTCAATACCCAACTTCTTCTCCCTCTGGATAGCTGCCACACCAGCTGCTTGGTGCAGATTCCACAGATCAGCACCACTGTAATTTGTACACCTCCCATCCTCAGCAACGTCTTTCAAAGCAGCTAGTTCCTCTTCTGGTGACCCAGGCAGTGCTTTGACGTACAGCGCTTTGAGAATCTCGACGCGCTCTTCTTTGGTGGGTAGGTCGACGAAGACAGAGAGACCAAGACGGCCTGGACGGAGCATCGCGGGATCGATCATATCAGGGCGATTGGTTGCGGCGATCACGTAGATTCCTGCTCTACTTCCTAGACCGTCGAGCTCTGTCAGGAGAGTGTTGACGACCTTGCTACTGGCTTCAGAAAGCGAATCTTCCCTCTTAGGCACCAGAGCGTCCAATTCGTCAAAGAATAGGATACAAGGTACGGAAGAGCGGGCGCGCTCAAAGACTTGTCTTACAGCTCGCTCGGATTCTCCAACATACTTGTTCAGTAGTTCTGGACCTTTTATGGAGATGAAATTTGCCTTCGACTCGTTCGCGACGGCTTTAGCAAGGAGCGTTTTGCCGCAACCAGGAGGTCCCCAGAGTAAGACTCCGGCTGGCATGGTGATGCCCACGCGTGCGAATCTTCCAGGGCTTTGAATGGGATTGACTATTGCCATTTCTAGCTGCTCACGAACTTCGTGTAATGCACCGACATGTGCCCAAGTAGTGTCGGGGATAGTTGCAAACCCCTCACGCTTCGCTGATGGTTGGACTTTTGGGATTGCGGTCAAGAAGTCGTCGTATGTGATTGAGAAATCGCCATCTGGTAGTAGTTCTCCTGCATTGGCAACCAGAGACCTGAGCTCCAGAAGTGAAGATGGAATATCCAGTGTTGGGGATGTTGTATCAATGTCCATAGCTGTCACACTTCGCTCCTTCAAGACAGCATTCATGCGCTTCATAGCATCAGTACCTGCTACGGAAACGACATCATTCAAGTCCGCTCCCACGAATCCAGGAGTCAGTTTGGCCAGCCGACGGTAGTCAAAATTCTCTGCCATAGTAAGCTTCTTCGTTAAAGCTCGAAGAATCTTATCACGGGCTTCCTCATTCGGAACACCCAGGTTGATCTCCTTGTTAAACCTCCCAGCTCGGCGAAGAGCTGGATCCAAACTGTCTGGCCGGTTGGTAGCTGCCAGAATAATGACTGGCTTTCCACCAGTCTTCTCCAACGCCATATCGTCCATACATGTCAACATTTGAGCTACAATGCGCTTTTCCATTTCCCTCTGTGCACTTTCTCGCTTGCCCATGATAACATCGATTTCGTCAATGAACACTAGACATGGGGCCATCCGCTTCGCTTCTTCGAACAAATCTCTGATCTTCTTTTCCGACTCTCCAGACATGCCAGCAACTAAAGATGGCGCAGAAATTGGAATAAAGGACACTCCAATTTCTGCCGCAAAAGCATTTGCAATCATCGTCTTTCCGCATCCAGGAGGTCCATGGAGAAGCACACCTCTTGTAGGTTGAATGCCAGTCTTTATATATGCCTCCGCATACAACATGGGGATGGCCACCAGGTCAGTAAGCTCCTTGATTACTGGCCCAACTCCACCAAGGTTCTCCAGCGACACATCGGTTGGAGGCGACCGGTCAACATCCTTCCTTGTATCCGCTTTTCTCCGTTTTTTGCTGGGCTCTCCATTTGCTTGCCTTTCCGGTTTAGCTGGTGAATCCGTTTCCACCGCTGGAAGGGTTTGAATAGGTAGACTTGGGGTCAAGGTCCCGTTCAGAGGCGGCGTTCCTTCTCTCATAGGAGTCATGCTGGCAGAGCTCGGTTTGGCCCACATTCGAGTTATGCTCTTGTTCATAATATTATGTTCCTAGCTCTGTCAGAAGTCTGCTGTGTCGGAAATAATGGTTTACCCACCTTCAATTGAGGTACGGGCTCTTCAATGCCGTCGAAGTCTCCATCTAAAGAGTCACTGTCATCGTCAAGCTCCTCCTTCATGACATTCAATACCCGATCGATGGAATCCTCTAATAGCTTTTTGCTTCTTCGTTTCAGACTGGAATTTGATCGTTTGATACTGTCGTAAACAACTGAAGTAGTGAGCCGTTTTCCGCCATTCTCAAATTGTGCTTGCTCATCGGCCAGCTTGCGAACGACCTGGTAGATCTAGCGGGGTATCAGCACCGGATCAAGGAGCTTTGACGGTGAAGTATTATGGTCAAATACCTCTTTGTCAAGACCTTGAGTCAAGCTGGATCTTGGACCCCTTGAGACCATCATATCTAGGAACAAGATAACTCGTGGCTGGCCTTCAAATGTCACCACTGAAACTCAGAAGTTGAGTGATTTCTCGACCCCAGAAAAAAATATAAACAATTTTGGGTTGCGCCGGAACTTGCCGTTCTTATCGCTTCCTTATCCTGGCACGCGAGCATATCGCCGATGACGCCGCCGAGGCAGCGTACACACATCTGGGCTTCATGACTTGTCTCTGTTCCATTCTTGCGACATGCGCTTGATGCGTGCTTTTGGATCAATATACACAGGCCAGCGACCAATATGGGGAACTCAGCAAGCTCATCAAAGATTTCCGCCCAGGATAAGTAAGAAGACGCTCATTCTTGGTGAGGACTAACGTTGTTGATATCAAGGACAGGGCAATCCTGGACATGAAGAACCAGCGAGACAAGCTACACCAATATCAGCGCCGCATCACAGTGCTCACCGACCGAGAGAAGGAAATAGCAAAGCAGATGCTTGCTAAGGGCGACAAACCGAAAGCATTACTGGCCTTGCGGCGCAAGAAGTACCAAGAATCATTACTCGAGAAGACGGATGCGCAGCTAGAGCAGCTGGAGAAATTGACAAGCAGTGTGGAGTTTGCTTTAGTGCAGAAGGATGTTGTCTTTGGGTTGCAACAGGGGACGAGTGTGCTACAGGAGATACATAAGGAGATGGGAGGGCTGGACCATGTTGAGAAGCTGATGGGAGAGACGGCTGAAGCGGTTGCGTATCAGCAGGTCAGTGACATTTTTTCGATACAGCGAGCTTGGCTAATACATGTATAGGAGGTGAGTGATATGCTCGGCGGAAAGATATCGAATCAAGACGAAGATGAAGTGGAGGATGAACTCGCAGCGCTCGAGGCCGAGGTCACTGGCATCCCTCTGCCAGAAGTACCTACTACCGACTTGCCAAGAAAGGAGAGGGCGAAGGTGAGGCAACAGGAAAGAGAAGAACAACAAAGGGTAGCAATGTTGGCATAAATATTGGATTAGTGATTCAATTTACGGGCATTGGAAGGCGTTGGGGGCAGGTACATATCATTTTATCGAAGATCAATACCCTAGCGGAAGGAACTTGATTTCCAACATAAACATCCAAGAAAAAATGTCTAGAAAGTGAGATGACTGCTTCAATTTGTTCATATAGTGACTGTCAGATTAAGAAGTAACGATTGTGATTAATGTTCTTGATCTGGAACTTTCCATAATTCCCGCATCTCTCCCATTTGCCTGCTACGTACAATTGAAGCTGCTTGCACCTATTGAAATGCATCCAAGACTGTGGGTATCGTCCCTCAATTGAGCTCTTAACGCCGAAAAATGCTCATTCGTTCCCGTTCCCGTCCAAATGCATGTACTCCTTACTGAGATGCTGCTGCCCAAAATATGTTGTTCCAATGTCCACCTCATTGTTGAGCCGTATGCAAAAAGCGAGCCCAGTTCCCTTGCGGGTATATTACATCTAACCACCCAAAAACTCCGTGGGACCCTGTAACGTAATACATCCTCCACTGCCCATTTGCACCTAAGTTACATCACAAGTCGCTAGAGGCTTCCGTATTGCTTTCTTTATACAGGGATTGAATCCCCGTTCTACTTATGTCCTTACTCGAGGTAAATCACCGAACGCTTATTCGCGGGAGGTAGCGTCCTAACATACACTGGCACTTCCTCAAAAGAAGCCGGTTGTCGTTCTGATACAGGGGCTGGTGGTTCGCAGTAGGTGTGACGACCTTGACGAGCCGGATGATCGCGATCATAGTAATGCGGTTGTTGTGATGGCTCCTGGACTTGCCTAGGTTGTAAATCTTGATCAGTAAATTCACACAGCACAAAAATATTTGGGACTTACGGAGGTCTCTCCACATATCTGATTGGAGACCTTGCTCGACTTGAAGCGGTTGGTAAATATGACCCAGCTTGATGTCCCTGATGATAGGGGAGATTGCTATGAGCAGCAACACTCTGTTGAGATCTTGCAGGAACAATACTGTAACCATCTCTTGAATATGAGGGGCCATCAAGGCGAGACTGAGAAAAACTTTGTATGAAATTCTGATCTGGTCCACCAGAACCTGAGCTCATGTCAATAGAACGAGATGGTTGATGAGACGCAGAGACTGCCGGTGAGGCGTGCCTCATTTGTTGCTCATAATAGTGAACAGACTCAGGATGCCGAGCATTGCTACGAGAGGCATATGAATCAGAAATCTCACTGCCCTTCTGTATATTGGTCGGCCGACGGTGATAGAGATCATCATGAGCTTGTGGATGACCCGTGGGTCGCATGTCATAATCGTCTTCCCGTTGAACCGTAATGAATCCACCTTCACCTCTTTTCAATGAATTAGGATACTTTGGCAAAAACCCAGGTTCTGGAGCGTCGTATATAGGAAGCCGTTCTCCAGTAAGAGGATCTGTATAGAAGGCTTCTGTGTCCCTTAACAAACCTTGAGTGGATTGAATCGGTGCTCTTGAGTGTCGAGCGATAGGAGTGGAAACGCGAACTCCGGGTTGAACAGACGAAGATCTCAATGTCAATGAATCAGAATGTGAAGCTGGGACATGAAAAGGAGGGTCACGAGACGGAAGAGGCCTAAATTGGCCAGACTCATCCTCACGAACTACACGGCGCCGCTTTACCTGAGGACTGTCATCGTCGATGACAATCACATGGTGAGGCGCAGGTGTATGAGTTCGGGGTCCAGCCGCTGGTGGGTGGTTGATATCATGGCCACGAGGCCTGTTCCACTCATGTATACGAGGAGACGAGACATCGCTAGAAGCTGTCTCAATGGAAGGCACAAGATAGTCTTGAAGACCATGTTTTACTGGGGACCGTCTCACTACTTGTGGCGGTTGACCTCCCATAGCCGGGTATTGGGAGCCAGTAGTCCCGTAGTGCTTCGGGACAGCTTGGAATGGTGGAGCTGGAGAGCGTCCTTGGTGTTGTTGATGTGGCACATCCTGGTAGTACACAGCATGCTCAGAATGGGGAACATTTACCTCACTTCTCAGTGTTCCAGAAGGCCTATACCGCGTATATGTCGACTCCTGCTTTCATTAGTCCTCCCGCAAAGTATAGATGCAGAACATTTGGCCTCTACTCACCAGTCGTGATGATTCGCTTGGTACATAACGAGAACCAGGGACTTGCGTTGCTACTACTGACCGCGGTCGGTCAATTTCTGGTTCTTGGTACGGGGTTCCAGTATGGGAACGAGGAGCCTGTCGCCTATTGATGGCATCCTGCCAGGCAGCCTGGTAACGTTTGAAACCACGTTGCTCTTTCTTGTCTCTAGGATCCTTGGCTCTGGTGCGGGAAGAAATCGCAGATTGGTTAGTTCGGTTCGCCAGACCTGTAATTTTTGAACTTGGTATAGCCGATGTCATCTGGGGTCTTTGTTGGTTCCTGGAGTTGGGCTGGGATGGTGGTTCGGTGGAGCTGGAGGAGGTGACTTCACCTTCCTCATCTGAGCTATCTTCTTCTGAACTATCGTCTTCGTTTTCCGAGTCGGTTATTATCACAACCTCACGAAGTATCTCGTCCATCTGATCTCGTCCGGTCTCTTCGTCCCCACGCCACTTGATGAGGACGTCCAAGCACACAGGCTCGACTGCCTTTCGAGCATTCATCCAGGTTGTCTCCCTGAGGAGTTTGTCATATCTTGTGTGAGTATGTCTGATATGGGCAAGGACTGCGAGCTGTACTCGGCGTGACAAGGGAATGCCGGGTTGCAAACCGACTGTTGGCTCACCATGGAAAACAGCACCCTAAACAATTAGCACCATGTTCGAGAATCACTAGAATTGAAACATACCTTCTTGAACGCATGTTCAATGATCATGACTCGGTCGGGATTTGGTATCCTGGGGAAAAGATCTCGTATCGCCCCATCAGCTTGCTTGTTGATCTCTTCTTGTGATTCGGGTATGGGTTCCACTGTGTTTGGTAAAATTGTTGGCTTCGAGATGACAGTCTCGCCAACAATTTCCCGGGCTTGTTCAACGATAGACTCTCGAAAATAGTAACCTGTTCGATGGACATGTTCCGATATCTTGGTGTTGTCTTCTTTTTGCATATGCGACTAAGGAAACCTGTCAGACACGAGTATACTACACAGGGAGAGCGTTCATACCGAAACAATAAAAATCATTGCACCTTGGTCCCGAGAAAGCTCTTTGCAAGCGTTGGTCAAAATGGGATCTCCTACAGCAACGAATGCATATCCGGGGTATTTGTCGAGAGATTGGTTGGTGACCTGGTGGGGGGAGAATGAGTTGCAGTCAATTCACAGTGACCAAAAAACCTACCTGTAATTCCAACTTCTTCTGCTTCTTTTCTGGGTTGTCTGCGAACTCGAAATAAGACTGATACTTGGACTGGACCTTCGGCAGATCCAGCTTTGCCACGAGATGCGTGGGCGCGGGCGCTGCCCACATCTCCGCTGTCATGTTCTTTTTCTCTTGCTTTCTCTTCTCAAGCTTTTGAGCTCGACGCTCTTGCTTGTTGCCTCCACGGCGTGAAGCCTTCGTTGCCGTGCCCGCCTCCGCCTTCGCGCGGTTGGCCGCCTTTTTCTTCTTCCCCACCATCTTGATGACGGATATTCAGCTTCTTACCATGGATGATAGTTGTCTACTTCACAAGGTTAGTGCAAGTAAAGCGCTGGCAGTCAGATACAGTCTCCTATGTATGCACCAGCAGGTTTTGCGTGGTGGATAGCAAGGAACGTGTTCTTTAAAGTTAATGATCTTGGAAGGAATGACGGGGCGAACTCTCGGGCGCACAAGACGCCTCGACTTTACCTTAGCGTCAAACGTAAACTATCACGTGCTTCTTGCCAAAACTGGTGTGCTGGATAGTTGTTATTACCTGGCATGAGAAGTTTCAAGGTGTGGAGTAAACAATAAGGTATTGTGATTGTGAGATTGCCTAGATGGGTTGTTTTACGCAGTGTATCTTGAAAGCTGTGCGACAATACCTGTTTGCAACGCTAAGACCAGTCATTCCCTCCCGGTTTGATTGCCTACCTCGCGGCGGTTTCATTGTGCAGGTCTGACGATCAAAGTCTTGCTGCTCTTTACAGATCAGCAAGACTTCAGGAGGCATTCCACTAATCAAGATTTTCTGATTTGGCAACAATATTCTCACAATTGAACATATGATCCCAGAATATATGGTCCATAACACTCAAACAGCAATGCCCTCAAAAGACGCTAGACTGTTGAACTCAGAAGGGGGGTCAGGGTATCATACATGACAGGACGCTTCGAATCAGTCTTTTGGTTTTGTGATAAATTTGGTATCTTTATTTCTGAACTCCACAGAAAAGCTCATCCCACGTGCTGCCTAGTTGTTGCTGTTTGCCATCCTAGTACTCTTCGCATATCAAAATCCCGCATCTTGTTCAGTGCCCAGCTGCTGGCACAAGTCCCCTGAAATCCAGCTGTGTACAAGAATAGGTACCATAACACCGGAAAATGCTCCTTGCAATATCAACACAAAGGACAATCTAGTCCTCTATGGAGTTTATCTGCTTCTTGATAAATTCAAAAGCAGAAAAGAAAATCGAATTCACGACGCAACTTCGTCCCATCGAAACGCCAAGTCCGCGGTACATCCTCTTGTTGAAAAACTGTATCTTCGGTGCCTTCTTGACTTTCTCGCCTCTGCAGTGCGTGAGACAGTTTCGTTGGTAGATGCTCTTCGCGGAATCAATCGGGTATATCAACGCCCAGGACGCAACGCCACATAGCCCTCCGGCTACTACCACAGCAAAAGGATTGGTTGGGGACTTATCACCACGGTAAGTTGTAAGAAGTTGCTTGCTGCTCTCGTATGTCATGAAATAAATCGCTGTGCCTAGAGTATCCCTCACTATCAATGGTCAGTGCAGAATCCAAAGGGATAACCGAGGTACCTACGGAGATGGAGGTTGAACCCGGAATACAGCCCTGCGAATCCTCGATGCTTCACGATGTTCTTCGCTGTTTTCCAGGTTCCTTTGTTCTGGTAGCTTGCAGCTATAGCTCTTCCGGTTGATGGTTCGGAAACACTCGAAACTTTCCTATCAGCCATAAGAACAGAGACCTGGGCGCTGAGTTTGGTCAACTCGAAAGGACCTAGGACACGATTAGCCCACTTTCAATTTACGTGTTTTTTTTTTGGTTAATTTACATGCTACCAGAGTGATGAAAGACCCAGCCGTCGCTCCTGCAGCTCCAAAACAAGCAATTGTAGATAGATTTGGATATGTGCCTGGTGTATTCACATGCACGAGGGGATCGACCCCGAAATTTCGCTTGAACCATTCTGCATAGGTGTATTTTGATCTTTGGTAGACGGAAAATGATATCGTACGGACAAGAGTGACACTTGCCATGGGCGCCGTGACGCCGCGGAAGAATCCCCGGAACCTCTCCGTCTTGTATGTGTGTCGGACACAATCCGTGAAACTCTCGTACTTATAGGTCTGCATTCGTGTCTTGACTGAGTCCAGTGGGAACTATGGAGTATCAGTAAAGGTAAAGGTCACGGGGAACAGGGACGAGGAGAGGGAGCACTCACAGCAACGAAAGTACTTAGAATCGACGACATTGACGCCGCGACCTCAGTACGATAACGTTTGACCCATTTCTTCTGACCTCCATATTTCGATTGAGAAATAGCAGCAGGACTTCCATCGTTCTTTAGTTCGTCTCGCGGACCAGGCTTCACAGCCATCATTTCAAGCGTACAGGGGCACTGCGAGGGAGACAGAGTCTCCTCAGCGCGGTCTGGATACCAAGCAATTCCAAGGATAGTCCATTAGTCTGTCGATTCGATGATCGGACAGAAAGATGTCAACTGCGGTCTCGCAGCCGCGAAGGGGTGGGAGTTGAGGATGTTGATCGAGGAATGTTGATAGATTGTAGATTGCGGGGTTGAGAGATAGTAGATATGGCACGGTACTGTACAATACTGTACGGTACAAGGTACAAGACCAACAGCTCTCCCTAACAGGAAGAAGTAGGGATCATCCGTGGTCAGCAAGCGCCCCTTTTCACAAGCAAATAGCTCAAGCTTGCCTCTGCTAAGGTTGGTAGAGGCAGGGAGGCAGGGTGGAGGGGCGGCCCTGGAGGTGGAGGTGGAGGTGGATTTCCGCTAAGTGAGGTCATTGGAGCTTCGCTTACCGCGGAAATCAACCCCCTTTGTCGGAACGCCCCGGGGACAAAGCACAGCAGACACCTTTAGGGATACCTTACCTACAACATCTGGAGAATTCCCGTGATCCTGATATGATAACTGTTGGACTTCCAATGATTGAAAGTCTTTGAGCAAGTTGCGAATATTCGTTGTCAAATTATCTATTTACTCGTACCTAGCGTACTATTGCCATGTCGTCTCGACAGGGCCATGATGTCCCTGCCTGGGTGCTGCTACACACCCAATATGCATGCTTCCCGCATCTCTACCCAATGCAAGCCACTGCTGTACCACCACTCGACTCATACCAGCACTCCATGCACATGCTGCAAGCGGCTTACGATCTTGGAAATATCGCTCGTGCCGCAGGTTGGCAGTATGCTCAAGACATTATGAAGCTGTAACATTTCTGACTGTGTTTCAACCGCTGGTGAATTGCTCCGAGCGCATCTTGGTTACCGGTTTGCGTTTGGGTATAGCTTCATATATGGGACCCGCCCTCTTATGTTGAACGCCAGCTAAATATATACACCTTGACGTTTCCATTCTTTCTTATTCAACATGGCTAATCTATTGAGTCCTGCAATAGTACAATTACGTGTCCTGTTCTGATAAGTCCTTATCGAATCAAACAAGTCAAATCAGATACTGCTCACTGCGCGTTCGCCAAAGTTTTCAGCATGTACATGTACAGAGCCGAGTCATAAATGGAACATGATCATCGTCTTGCTGCACACTATACCAGATCAATCAGGATGATATGCATTTACCCGAACCGAACCGACAACCAGTATCCGATTTCGATACAGTACTCCCTTTTCAATTCCCAACGCCAGACTACACTCGTCTCCTCATCCGCACCCGTACATTGCCCTTCGGATTCGCGCTTCCAGTACCATTATACGACTTCCCAGGTATTTTCCACTGACCGCCATCAACAGGACTGAAATCCCATGTGACCAGCAGGCCAGCAGTAAAAATTAACGCTTCTCGCTCTGCAAAGAACCTGCCTTTACAGACAGAAGCCCCGCCTCCAAACGAATGCAAATTGCCCATTTCTGCGCGCATCCTATTCGGAGTCGTTCCGTCGGGAACGAGAAACCTGTGAGGGTTGAACTCGGTAGGGCGGTCCCAGATGCGTGGATCCATTTGCATCACTGCGTGTGGTATGACCTAAATGTCATGAGTGAGTCAAAGTACTTTACAAGTGTTCGGACATGATTCTTTCTTCCGCTTCTTTAGAAGACATAGTAAGAGCTACATACGAGGAAGTTTCCTTTCGCTATATGGTAAGTCTGCGGCATTGGTTTGCCAAACGTGGCAGCGTCCTCCGCGCTTTCGGTCAATATCACATCCTGAAGAACTTTCTTGTATGAGAGTCCTGAGGTGTAGAATCTCATTGTTTCGAAGAAGGTGGCTTTGAGTACTGGGCAGTGCTTCAAGAGGCTGTCTATGTCCACCTTTAAATGCTCCGCATCAGAGGCGAACTTGGCAAACGGCGCGATCTCTTCTCGAATGGTGGAAAACAGCTTCGGGGAAGAGATGATATGAAGCAACATCCAGAAATTTATTTTGTTAGCCTGTTCTATGTCAACTGCTCCATCATGTATTACCAAAACTACATTTCAAACTTACATTGACCATTAAGCCCCAATAAATCGCTAAGTTCTGAGCGATAGCAAACGGTTCAGGTGCGTCGATGTTCTGCAATGACACAAGTCTGTTCCGCATTGACTCGGAGATATCAGACATGTCCGTCCATTTCTCATCGACCTGTTTTCCGTTCATTGTATCCATCGCCGCATGATTCCATTCGGAAATGGCGGAGTTCAGCCTTTTCCTGGCTGCTTTCGCTTTGCCAAGACCGGGGGCTATGCCTGGTATGCCATTCAGCAGAGCATTGAACTTGCTGTCGAACTCCCAAAGGTCTTGCGTAATTCCAGGGTTGTTTTTGAGAAATGCATCTCCCTATCCGTCGATTTAGCTCATTTCTATTTCGTGGTACAGAGAAGTGACCAGAAGAAAATACTGGATACGCCGACGTAACAGGACTCACCATGAGAACATTGGTAGCAACATCCGCAACGAAATTCATCATCAACGGAAAAAGGTCCACCTCAGCCGATTTTCCATCTCGAACAATATTGGCCATGCTTTCCCATACTGCCTGCGCCGTAGCCTTGGAACCGAATGAGATCAAAGTCGGTGTATGTGTTTCAACGAGCCGAACGGTCTTCTCGGTGGCGCTTGAAAGAAATGGTTCTTTAAGTAACGAGTTTATACTCTGGTGGACTGTCTGAAACATTTTAGAGTCCATGTTTGCGGTTGCTCCACCATCGCCAAAATACTTCGTGAAAATCCACCCTAGAAAGTCTTGTCCAGAGAGAACAGTGGACCGCTTGCCGAATAACTGATGGACAAGCGAAGGCATAAGGACCATATACTGCGATGATAGGGAGGTTAGTAATTACTCAATTGCGTGTGTCTCGAGAGAACTATCGGGGGTAAAGTATTCCTGAGCCAGATGTTTAGGGACCAATGGCTACTGCCCGAACACCTACATGCTTCGATCCCAGCATATGAAGACCAAACATTCCATCTTTGGTTGTGTCCCTAGAGATCAATCAATATTCAGTTCTGGAACCATCCCCCCCCGCAGATATCTATCGATTTGAGCACTCTATTATACCTGCGACGCCACCAATGACTTGAGCAGGATAGGGCCGGAACTGACCGTCCTTTGGCAAGCAGATCATCGAAGGACCAGGCAAATTCAGTAGCATGCCCAACGTAGGGTATCCAGTACGGCAGTATAGGAATGTTCTTTTCGGAAGAAGAGACCTGGTTCTGAATTTTCGACTTCTCTAATCCAGTTCTCAGGCGTGTAAAGAGCACCGAAAGGCTAATCAAGAGGAACGTCGTGAAATAAGGAGATGACTTTGCTTGTGTCTTGAGCCCCAAGATAACGCTGTGTAACCACGATGATTCATCCATGATTGCTGGCTGGAGCATTTGACGGGAAGGAAAAATATGGGAGGAGATACCTACATTCGACGTGGGGGAGGTTACATTTATACGCCTAGCGCAACGGCACACGACCTGGTCAACTCTAATCGTCCCATGTACAACCTGGAAGTGTATTTCTTCGAGCACATGAATTTGTCACCGTATTGCTGACCGACGCACGCACCTCGTCCACCGGAGCCAGTGATTTCATTAAGTTCTTCGCCATACATCCTTGTGCATCAAGTTCTATTACGAAACATGACAGAAAGGATTTCGCGTCCTTTCAAGGACTTCTTATTGCGGTCAAGTATGGTGTGTAGTGGGAAGGAAGCGGCGTATCTTCAAGGGACTAAGAGCTCGCACTTTCAGCAACCAATCAAGTGTATTCTGATGATAGGCACTGGCTCTTAAGTGCTGACTGATCATGTAATCAAGATCTCGCCTTTGAAGAAGACGCAGCAGACAGAGATTGTATGAACAGATCGTTGGATAGTAGTAAAGGCATAATTTCGGGGACAGAAGATCATAGCTAAGAGGGCAGGAATGTGAAAGAAAAGGGTGGCATGCGAGTCGGTTTGCAACGGCCCCAAAGCTGGTACCTAATGTCTTGCAAGAAATCGAACGACCTCTCCAAAAAAAAAAAAGACCTAGAGTTACAGAGATGGGGCTAACATGCACAAGTCTTAACAGACACTCAGATGCATGCTCTCGCCAGCTGCTGTAAACATGCACAGGTTCTTTAAGGTATGAGGATGGCATTTCTCTCTATCACATGACTTAGACTCGCCTGCCACATCCCCTGTGGCTCATGCCTGTAGAGCGGGCGGAAGGGAGTAGGTCGCTCGACATCATCCAGCGTGCCTTAAAACCCAGGCAGCCGGTCATTAATCATGGCTTCACAATAAGGTCCATTGCTTGACTCAAGATGCGGCTGTTGCGTGTTTACATAAGTACGGAGGTAGGTAAGGTACCTTCGTAGTAGTCAGTCAAGTCTTCAGGTCCTGTGAGGTGAGTGCCTTGAGAGAGGGGCAGCGCCAGCGGCAGCCTTGCCTGTTGCTTAACATCTCGGAAAACGTCAGCCTTGCGCCCACGTGGGGTGAAAGTCATTTATCATTGGCTGAAATCCGTCGAAAGAAGAAAATTTTGGGGACTGAGGGGCGTGCAGAACCAATCCTAATCCATGGGCTGCCCCTGCCCCTGCCCCTCGGAAGCGAGAGGCTTCTTTCCTTTTGCAATGCTGTGGAGCCGGCTGAACCACCTCACTCAGGTGCCCTGCCTGCCCTGCCTCGCCTGCCCATGCACCCTGCATCTGCATCTGCATCTGCATCTGCAATAATATTTCTGTTTGTCTCTTCTTACAGTACTGTAGCATGCTGCTGCCGCTGCTACCCCTCACTAAGACCTCTTCGGTTTTCCCGCTGGACGACGATTCGGGAACTGTCACTTGAGGACGCTGCGGTACGTATACGTAGTGCTAGTGTCTGCCCTGCCCACTGACTGAATCATTGAGCTAGATATCCGTACCTTAGTGTCAACAGGAAAACAGACGAGGCGAGACCGAGACCGAGAACCTCTCTTGAGACGAAACAAGAGCAACTCTGCGCACCGCACCGCACCGCACCGCTCCATCCACCTCGTCAACCAGCTCCATTCCATTCTCTATCCATCGTTGAACCCCCACTTGTTGCCCACTGCAGACAGCTTCTACTGTATGCATGCAGGGCTAGGCCATCCCTAGTACTGAAGAGCACAGTGCTCCGACGCTGGCCATCCACTCGCCGGAGCCACTAGAGCGAGCCTCACCTGCCAACGGAAACGTCACATGCGGCCTGGAGCTCGTTCGCACTGTCAGTCTGGCGCTCTACTGCACTGCGACACGACCTTCCCTCACCTAACTTACCTTACCTTACCTTACCTTACCTTACCTTACCTTACCTTACCTTACCTTACCCTACCCTACCCTACCCTACCCTACCCTACCCTGGACCCTCATCCCACCTTCTGACCTCCAAAACTCGGATTCGACGTCATATTGGACTTCCTGAGCTGCTTCTTTAAACTCTGTTTCGCAGTGCTGTCCTGTCCTGTCCTTCCAATAGTCGAGTCCAGACCAGTGAGCATGAACACCTGCATGTGACCTTATCTGCTACTGGATTGTTGAAATACCACTTCTTCCCTCCCCTTCTTTTGCAAGCTCTCGCTCGTTTCCAGCCCCCGCAGGGCTCTGCGGGTGCCAACACCGCACCATGTACGTTCTTCTCCGGCACGCTGCATGTTACATAACTCCAGCTGTTGTATGTTACATGAGAGAAGGCGAGAGAAACTGATAGCATCTCCGTGTATTAGGAAGTTCGGCAAGCAGATTCAGAAAAGGCAGCTCGAGGTCCCGGAGTATGCAGCAAGCTTCGTCAACTACAAGGCGCTCAAGAAGGTATGTTGATGTCCGCGTTTGCCTTCACCAACCAAAGAAAAAGCAATGTCGTATTAGGCTGTTCATGCGCTCTTTCTGTCCAAGAGGCGCTGCATGTGGGCTAACTCTTTGCTGTCAGCTCATCAAAAAGCTTTCTGCGACACCCACTCTCCTGGCCCTGAATGATGTCCACCGCTCGGCGGGTATCGTCGATTCTCAAGCGGCCTTGCAGGCTAACAAAGCATCTTTCTTCTTTCAACTTGTAAGTCAAACAATGCATTAGGCTTCTTCATTCGCCATGCTGACGGCGGATCAGGAGCGTGAGTTAGAGAAAGTCAATGCCTTTTACCTTCAGAAGGAGGCCGAGGTATGTGGATTCTCTTACTAAGTGTCGGATCGCCACGATTAACCCGACCAGCTCAAAATCAGACTTAAGACTCTTTTGGACAAGAAGAAGGTTCTTCAGTCGCGAAATCAAAATACATCTAGACGCTCCGCCAAGTTTACGACCCTTGAGGAAGGCTTCCAACAGTTCGGCAACGATCTCAACAAGCTTCAGCAGTTCGTCGAAATCAACGGAACTGCATTCTCGAAGATTTTGAAGAAATGGGACAAAACTTCTAAATCGAAAACAAAGGAGCTCTACCTTTCGCGCGCCGTCGAGGTTCAACCATTCTTCAATGCAACTGTCATCAGTGAGCTGTCAGATCAAGCTACTACGAGTTTACAGGAGCTTGGTGCGTGGTCTGAAGGCGATAATGTGAGCTTCGAAAGGAGTCCGGACCACATTGTCAGTAGCCAGCATCTGTTGGGGACTGACGAGGGTGACGCCGATACGCTCCTACTCGAGACAGTAATCTCTGGTAATATTGAGCCTCTCAAAGACCTTCTGTTGCGATTAAAAACTGCCGACCCGAATGGCTCCCGAGACATTGCTCTGCTAGAGCGGATAACTAGGACATTTCTCGCAGCAATCAACGAAGGACCATTGGACTCATTACAACTTTTGTTGGACACTGGACTGGTCGATGTGCAATCCGAAGATGATATCAACGAACGCAACTGCCTCCATCAAGCAACTATATATGGTAATGCGTTTGTCTTAGGAGTCGGACTGGAAAAAGGTGTCGCCGTGAACCGAACTGATGTGTATGGACGTGTTCCATTACACTATGCGTGTATGCACGGGCGCCTGGATATGGTTGAAGCTTTGTTGAATGGTAAGTTATTTAAACATTCCGTGGGATCTTCAATTGACGTGAGCAAGCGGATCAATCTACCATCGACCTCATCGACCACGACAACTTTACGCCACTGATACACGCCATCATCCATGGACACTTTGAATGTGCTGAGAGACTCCTGGCACGATCTGCTAGAATCGACCCCACATCTGATGCAGACCATGTTCCGCTGAATCTGGCCTGCGAGCATGGTTCGGTTGCTATTGTCGAACTTCTACTCAAGCATGGCGCCAATATTCTCCCAGATGCCGAAGGTTTATATCCACAGCATCTCGTTGCCCGTTCAGGACAAACACCGCAACTTCTTCTCCTACTAAAGGAGTACGGGGCAAATCTCAACCAAATCGACAAGCTGTACTCATGGACACCTATTTTCCATGCCGCAAGCGAAGGCAATGTACCTTGCATGCAGACTCTACTTAATGTCGGCGTTCAAACGACCATCCTGGATGAAAAAGAACTCTCCGCTATGTACTACGCAGCATGGGAGGGCCATTTAGAGTGTATGAGACTCCTCTCTTCGATACCCACAGATGTGCGAGGTGGTCGGAAAACATCACAAACAACTGCCCTTTTGACTGGGAGCAGTGCGCCGGCTCCTATGAGTCTGGATGTCGATGCCATTCCCGATCTCGAATTACCACCCCCCATCATCCCACTTCGACGATATGGTCACAACTTCCTCGATACGAAGACCTTCATTCAAATCAGTTTTGACGAGAACGGCGATCAACCGATGACCTTCTTCCACGACAGCAAATATCCTGCAGCCCGTCTCACCATTTCTTCGAAACTATCCGATTTAATACCGAAGAACATTTTACTTCCGTTTCAAGAAGATACCCGCCTCGTTTCCTTCCAAGTTGATAATCTAGATTCTTTTGCCATCGACTTCGATGTATTCCCTACATATGGTGCTAAAGTCATTGCGAAAACGGTGGCACTCCCAAGTACTTTCCGAGCACTGATGAGCAGTTCCGGCCATTGCTCTCTACCTCTGTTCGACCCCAGACTAAGAGCCATCGGACAGATCACTTTCAACTTCCAAGTGATTAAACCATTCCGAGGGAAGCCTTTGGAAATTACCGACTTCGAAACTTACTGGAAGGCCACCAGCCAGTTTGACCATAGACCGAGTGCTTTCATCACTGGGTCTAGTTTGTCAGGGGATTATGTCCTGCTATTTGTGCAGCATACTTGTGACGGAGTGCCAGTTCTCTGGCCGAGATGGACCATGGACTACATGGACATCGAGTTTCCGGTCAGCAGGTTGACATATGCTCAGTTTATCAGTGCCAGTTCACGTCACGCAAACAAAGCCGGAGATCTATTAGACCTACCAAATCAGCCACTCGAAAGTATCGCTGATGTGCACCGCGTGCTATCGAATTCTGCAGTCTCGCTGCAAGATGCCCTAGCACTTCTACCCTCAGGGATGCACGTCAATCTACAGGTGTTGTATCCATCCGCGGAAGAAGAGAAGGCATTGCGACTTGGTCCTACAGTGAACATCAACACATTCGGCGACGCAATTCTAGGAGTCGTGTTTGACCACGCGAGGACATTGCGAGAGCAAACCCCAGATGCCACGAGATCCATCGTCTTCAGCTCGTTTAACCCTACAGTGTGCACGGCTCTAAACTGGAAGCAACCAAACTACCCAGTCTTCTTGTGTAATGACTTGGGCCGCGAGGGTGAATCGGCACCTGCATCTTCGGTTCTGAGTAGTGGGAGAAGAACAACGTCCATCAAGGAAGCCGTCAGAATAGCTCAGAATAACAATTTCATGGGCTTGATATGTTCTTCCCGGCTACTGGTAAGCCTGCGCTACATCCTTGCGGATTAACGGAGTACTAATGATTATGTAGGACATGGTACCAGCATTGGTCGAAGCAATCAAAGCACAAGGTCTCGTACTCGTTATAGACAAATCTGCAGAACAACAAGTAGACTTTGGGATCTTAGATGATCCATTCCCGAGATTACCAGAAGGTATTGATGGAGTTCTGAAAGCGAATGGTGTGTTGCGGTTCAACGAAAGCATTGATATGTAAGGGGTGGAATAAGAGAAGATAAAAGTTTGCTTAGCTTTATCTTAGAATATGCTCGTACAAAGAGCGCTGAAATCTTGTCTTTGTTGTCGTCCCAACAAGTGTTTGAAATTAAGCGAGTGATCATTGTGAGGGATGGATGACTTGGCTACGTGGCGCTGCGATGAGATTGGAAACTAACCTAGTACAATCTATGTGAGGTGATTGTTGTTTCAAAGTAGGTAAATGATATTGCTGATGTGATTTCACTTCAGGGACAGAAATGAGGACAATTTCAACACAGCTCACATCTGGAGGCATGCACAATGGATCAGCCTTTCTGCTTTGCAAAGACTGAGAATCCAGAACCACCGTCGCAGTATCTAGAGGCACGTATATGCCAACATAACATCATATCATCTTCACATGTCAGACTCCATACTCCTCGCAATACGAGACATTCCCATGACTATCAAAGTCTCTTCTCACGCAACAATGTTCACCACCCTACGCACCCTTCAACTCATATCTTAAACTCCCCAGCTCTCCTTCGGGATCCACACCCCCCATAACCCACTTTGCCAACACCGTGACTCCCCAAACACCTGCAGGTAGCCACTCAAACCCCCACCAAAGCCCGCTTCCACTTCCACCCGCCTCCAACCTCCTCCCCACGACACCTCCTAAACCAACAAGCACAACGCACAACCCGCAGTTCAACAAGGGTAAGTACTTCTCGACTGGTCCGCCACCGCCGCCAGCTTGCAACATTGCTGCTTTCCTTGAGGCGAGACTGCGAGGCGCGGAGGAGGATGAGGAGGAGCTGTTGAGTTTATCGAGGTATTGGAGGCCTGTGATGTGAGGTGGGAGGATGTGGATCAGGTAGGCTGTAGAGAGCAACGAGGTTATGCTAAGCAGTGAGAGGAGTGCTGTGTGGGGTGTGAAGAGGGTGCGGATGTATGGGAGTGTGCTGAGGAGGGAGATGGCTAGGAGGAGGAGTGAGTATTGGGCGTTGCGGGTTGCGTTATCTTGTTGCATTGTTTGGATGAGATGGTCTTGTTCTGTTGATACATTAGCAGTTTGATTATGAACTCGCGGTGTGCCTTTGCTATATTTGCTCTGCTTCGAATTATGTGAAGGTATTGTAAGAATAAGAGAAGGCTGAAAAGTGGCCATGGGAGAGGGGAAATGTACCGTCTTCATCCATCGCCTCCGGACCGTCATCCTCGGAATCCGTATCCGTTGGATACTTAAACGTCTTTCTAAATCTTGCTGTGGCCATTTTCGCACTTTGAAGTCTAAGACTGGCTGTTGAGGAAAACGCAAGGCAAGAGATGCGAAATCTGATAAAATCCTGGCAGCCTCGCCAAAAGCAAACCAAGCAAACACCAAAAAGTCGAACCACTCACAGTCGATTCCACCACAAGCTCCAGAACAGCACTTCGCCGACGAGGGCTTCTGTAAGATGTTGCCATTTCAGCGATTACTGCGCTCGCGGGCGCTCTTTAGAGCTAGCCCTGTCATTTCGAGGAATCTAAGGCCACAGAAGAGGACTTTGATCGCGCCGCCGAAACCTGGTGATGGGCCGTTAATGGCAAGGAGAGCTGATCGTGAATTGCCTGGTATGTATTCCTACTACCTCCACATACAAGACAGAAGTCGTAGTGGACTAACACGAAATACAGATATCCCCGAAAATGGCATGAAATGGGTCCGCACGATCCCAATCTTCCTCGTAATCCTCATCTCCTCCACCCTCGGCATCTTCAACTACCAAAAGTCCTCCAGCAGCGTGGTCTCTTCGACCATGTACGCTCTGCGCACCTCCCCAAAGGCACGCGAATACCTAGGTGAAGAGATATATTTCAAGAGCCAGATGCCGTGGATTTGGGGCGAGATGAACATGTTGCACGGCAAGATCGATATTCATTTTGCAGTCAAAGGAAGTGCAGAGAGTGGCACGATGAGGTTTAAGAGTCATAGATTGGGAAGGCAGGGCATGTTTGTTACGACGGAGTGGAGTTTGGAGACCAAAGATGGGAGGAAGATTGATCTGTTGGATGGGAGTGATCCGTTCAAGGGCATTGAAATTAGTGAGGACGAGCCGAAAAAGGTCGGGAGAGGGAGCTATGCGCCGAACTTATCATAGATGTTTAAGGAGCGAGACTGCAGATAGGCAAAATGTTGAGGAAACTGGACTGGGACGGTATGCTTGGAAGAGAACGGGATTGAATGCATTGCAAAGGCGTACTTGGGATTTTCTTCTCAAACGCCAGGTCTATGCCACATGTATTGTACAAATAATCTACTGTACAAAGATTTTCTTCTATGCCGTTGCTGTTTCCAACTCCTCCTTGATCTCCTCTCCTGGTATAACGGGCCATGGTTTCTTGATCGCATCCTGGATCTTAACAATGCATCCCTTTGGTCCAGCAAGACACCCATTCAGAATCAACAACCCCTTCTCGGCATCCACCTTCAACACCTTGATGTTCTGTATCGTAACTTGATTCCCTCCCATTCGACCCGGCATCTTCTTTCCCGGCAAAACTCTCGAACCACTTCCCTGCGAGGCACCAGAAGATCCCATAGCACGATGCGTTTTCGAATTTCCGTGCGAAGCAGGCTGACCCTTAAACCCCCATCTCTTCATTCCACCTGCCCATCCCATTCCTCTACAATCCGATCTCGTGTCAACGAATTGTCCCTCAAGGAACCACTCCGGTCCAATGGTCTCTCCAACCTTTAGGAGACCCTTCTCATTCTTGACCCTGAACTCCGAAACGAATCTCTTCGGGGCAACATTCGCACCAGCAAAATGTCCTAGCAACGGCCTCGTCACATTATCCTGATGTTTCCATCCAGCTCCAATCTGAACCGCATAATAGCCATTCTTCTCCCTCGTCTTATGAGACACCACTTGCACTCTATCGAACTGCAGAACCGTACAAGGCGTCCTGACTCCCGTCTCGGGATCATACAGAGCGGTCATACCCTTCTTGACGGCCAATGCTCCCGTCCTCAATGGTAGTGTGAATTCTTTCCGTTTGAGTGCCGCGGCAGGTGAGTGTTCGAGGACTGGTAGACCAGCAGTCTTCTGGTTGAATCGAGCTGGCTTCGCTCGGGCTGGTGCTGTCGTCCAGCCATATTTGACGCCGCGCTTTGCTGTCAACGGGAGGAATGCGTCGGGAAGGAGAAATGATGGTGGCAGTTGCGCCCAGCTTGTCGGCAGCTTGGGTGCCATGATGCGTGGGCTTTGATGACTGGCGTGAGGTTGTGAAGCTGCCGAGCTTGGAGTTGAGTAAATATTCTGGCGAACAGGGGTGACTACGGCAGCCGAATTGCGCGTGACACTCAATACAGTAGGTATCAGAAATTCCTCGGTAGCCAAAACTGCCTTTGTCTTTTGATGGACATGGAACGGCGATGAGAGCGGTGTTCAAGTTGAGCCACCATGGTTTACTATTTTACATCCAATACGGTATCACCTTCCGCTGAGATTTATGCTGGGAAAGACAAGGTCGAGAGTACGTAAACCTGATCCGTCGGTTTGGCAAAGTGCGGTGTCTCGGGTATCTGCTTACATATTTGCGATTTGTAGACGAGGATTTGATAAAATATGGCCTTGAAGAGGATGTATGGTTCCACGCAGACAAACTATCCAGCGCACACATTTACCTTCGCATGAAAGAGGGCGAAAGCTGGGAGTCTATTGATGAGGGAGTCTTGACCGATTGTGCACAGCTTACAAAGGCCAATTCAATTGAAGGTTTGTCACAGACGAGCTTCGAAATATGAGACACGTGATGCTAATTCCTTTCAAAGGCAATAAGAAGGACAATGTCACAATTATCTACACTCCATGGTCAAATTTGAAGAAAGATGGCTCTATGGCAGTTGGTCAAGTTGGCTTCAAGGATCCTCGGAAGGTATGTTTGTCTCCAAATGCTTCTAGAGAAGACCTTGTTCAAAAGTAGCTCCATAGGTAAAGAGAATCCTCGTTCCACAACGGGAGAACCCAATCGTCAATCGTCTCAACAAGACCAAAGTCGAGAAGTTCCCAGACTTGCAAATGGAGAGAGAGGAGAAGCTGAAGGCTGTGAGGAAGAAAGATCAAGCCGCCAGATTAGAACGAGTACGTAAACCCACCATTCAGCATATTATTGCATTGCTAAGTCTTGTTGTAGAAGAAAGAAGAGGCCAGAGTAGCCGAGGAGAGAAAGCAGAAAAAGTGGCAGAAGGACCATGCCTATGATGAGCTTTTCCAAGAACAGGATTCGGATGAGGCGAACAACCAGAATCGTGAGGAAGGTTACTTGAGTGATTTCATGTAGTTGATGAAACTTTATAAAAAACATCAAGAAATTCTCAAAAGATGCTACGAAGAACCGCTTCACCTATTCTTCTGTCGAGCTAACATTCTATGCTTTCAGCTTCTCTAGCAGAGTGGCATCATCGCAGTGTTTCTGTGCTGATGAGTGACGTGGCAAAGAAGCAGTGGCAGCAACTAACCATATGTATGACTTATCTTTGTCTGGCACCAATTTCATAGAAATTTTTGACATAAACACCTGCTCAATGCCCTCCCCCAAGATGACTTCCCATTTGATTTATCGAGGTCCCTTTCACGGCATGATCACTCGGATTCGCAGCGGCCTCATACAAGATGTTCGTCGGAGCCCTTCCCAACTGCATCCAATCTCCCTTAAATCCCAGATAGCTAATCCTGCTCTCATGCTCCCCATAATTATCCTCCACAAACAACGTCAAGCTCTGCACCTTCCCGAACAATGCTCTCTTGACCTGAATATCTTGTACCTCAGATGTCTGCGAAAGCTTGAATTCTTGGATTGGGGAGAGGTCTGAGGCGGTCGAGAAGTCGAGGTCGTCACGGTTGATGAAAACTTTGAGGGTTTGGGGCGCGGAGGAAGAGGGTGAAGTCCGGACCAAGATTGAGTGAAGTTTTACTTGGCCAGTGAAGCTGTTGTGTTTGCATGGTTAGTTCATCGTTTGTATGCAAGGACCAAAGTACTCAAAGTACTTGAAATGAAGAATAGCTTCTAACATACGGAACGTGGATGAGAAGCTGCTCATCAGCATCGCTAACAAGCTCGGGTTCGGACTCCAATCTCTCCGCCCATGTTTTCTTGACGATAGCCTTTCCAGAACCGACTTCTGCTTCGTTCAGTGCGGTGATGTCGTCGAAGTTGATGTGTTGGTATAGCGAATATTGAAGAGCTGGGGTTATGTCATCAGAATGATCGTGTCCTGCATGATCGTGACCGTGACCTGAGTGGTCGTGCTCGTCATGGCAGTGGCCAGACATGGTGAGTTCGTGGTTTGTGGTAGATATTGGGGAATGTTCTGGGAGAGCTTTGTTGAGCTTTGGCGGGGTAAATGAGGGGCAATAGCAAAAACAAACTGCCATTTATCTGCCTACATATCGCAATGTCACAATTCAAGAGTCAAAACGAAAGCCACGATTCTTACCAGCAAGCTAGGTATTTATTCAGTGCCTTGAACGAGATAGTCCGCTTTCCGGCTCCCTAGTCTTGCGGCTTGATTGCTGGTGGCGCTTCTCTAAATGTTGAGTGCGACGGTTTGTTCAGACATGGCAATCCTGGAAGTGCTGCTTTATGCTAGAATGAAGGGTAACATTGATTATAGTCGGAACTTCACTAACTAGCGAAAAGACTTCAGATATAAGCAAGAAGCAAGAGTTCTTTCCCCCCAAAAATTATTCTATGACCTACAAAGGCCGCAACCAATTTATGGCTACTTGAATCCAGCCGTCCTTACTTTCTTTGGCTTTTTCTTAAGTTGCTGTACAGCTCTACTTCCAAAAGTGCCTCTGTCTGGTTGTGTCATCGGAACTTCATTAACTCCTTGTGAGCTGAACATCTTTTCAATGATAGCAGGCTGGCTACCTGCCGTCAAGGTCAACCGTCGCGATACAGCTGGCTCAATTGCTTTCACAAATTCCTCCGTCCTCCTCCGTCTTCTTGCTTTTACTTTCCTGCTAGAACGCACGTCATCTTCTCCGGTATTTGCAGCGGCCCATGCCTTCTTTGCCATTTCGTAGGAATATTCAGTAGGGTCTGCCAAAGCAGAAGGCCAATGGGACAGTACGGATCCATTGGTACTGGCGCCGAACTCAGCTTTTGCCTTGATAGTTGGCGCATACTGTCGTAATCTTGCAATTACAGGGTCCTCCATGATTCCAGATGTCGATGTAGCTTGGGAGTATAGCGACGGAGTCTGGATGGGTGTGGGTAAGGTCAAACCTGGTTCATCTTGCGTAGCGAGTAGCTGTGAAGAGAACACCAGAGGGGAACTTTCCCTGGTGAGCCAACCATCTTTGCTGAACGAAGCTGCAACAATTCCATGATCCATCGGCGCATATTTCGCAACGTGATCCAAAGCTTTGTCCTGAAGGGATATTCCGATTGAGTTGAGGCATAGATCCATGGCTAATTGTCGAATGACCTTGAACTTTGCGTGCCGCACAAGATTAGGCACGTCGATTGGTAGACTTGTCATCCAGTATTCGACCAGCTGATCAAAAATCTTAAGCGGATCTGGATATTTAGATTCCACATTCTTCGGAAACATTATACCAGTGCCCATTGTGCGATCCTTTACGGTTAATCTCCAACGGTCCTCCGGGTCTTGCTCCTGTTCTAAAGATTCTAAGAAGGCAAGAAGAACTGGAGAAGCTTGGTCTAGGTCCTCGTTCTGCCTCAGATCTCCAATTATCTCAGCTAAAGTGATGCTCATCGGTTCTTCCAGATCCTTTCTTTGCGAAATGTCATCAGCCGCAAGGCTAAGAAGTTCCGGGAAATCCAAGCCCGGCTCTCGGTCGAGATTATGAGTCGGCAGGTCTTCCTCAGGCGGCTTATCAATAAAGACTTTCTGGAAAATTCTCCTCCAATTTAGTCGGAAGCGAAGATCATCTTTCTCAGGCGGGTGTAACATGCAGTGGCTTGCTTTGTTTCTGAACATAGTTTTCGAGTGCACTTCATCAGGAACCACAAAATCGTCATCCTCATTGACGAACTTGGGTCCGAGAAACCGGGACGATAGGAGCAGCTTCGTGTCTGGCGCTATAACAACACGACTTTTGGTTCCATGAAGTTTTACAGCAGTCAAGGTGGAGAGTAGACCCAAGTCAGTTGTGATTGCCCAAAGCTGAAAAAACTCTACGCCATCTTCGGCATACCTCGGGCCTGGTCCAGAAAAGTGATTGGCGCTCAACATCAGCTGACAAGGTAGAAATTTGACCGAGTGGAGGAGTATATTCCGATCTCCATTTGGATCGGAGGACAGAAGCAGACTGAATGTGCCACTTGACGAAGAACGGCCCTGGGATTGAGGCTTTTGGAAGTCGTAGTAGGTGACGACTTGATTCTTTGCAGAAATTATGGCAACAGATACTGGATATTATCAGCTCAATCCCTGCCAGGATATGGAAAAAAGCATTACCCTTAGCACTAGCAAATGTAGCCAATTTAAGAGTTTCATCATCGACACTCATAAAGTGAAAGTATGACAAAAGTATTCTACCCCCAGCCTCAACATGATCATCATTGTTTTCGCTTGCCGGAATGATCTCCAGCCAAAATATCCGGGTCGTTGTCAGAACATACAAATAATGCATATTGTTGGTGCAACGTTGGATATCAATGATCCAGTCATTGTTACCGGCAGGGAATAATTCCACCTGGCCAAGTGGTGTTGATTGTGCCTTGACATCAAAGACCGTAACATGACGCCTGTTAGACACAACGATTGTGTTGAGGTTGGACGCCCATAGAATTCGATACCAGCCATCAAAATGACCAAGTGACGGCACCTTTAAGAATCCGTCATTGGCCCAGCAATCATAGACCCCTCCAGCCTTCTTGGGGACCAGGGTTTCAGATGTGTTTTTGCTATGATTGTTTCTTGTATCAACCTCCCAGACAGTCCAGTAGCCGCGGGTGTCAACCACTGCGATTTGGCGAGAGAACCACGGGTTGAATGTGACATCAGCATGGCTCTTAGATCCAGTTCTCTGAGCTGTCAAAGAGGTTCTTGGATTGGCGTTTAACATGGACGACGCAAAAGTTGAGTAGCCGGTGGGCACAGGATGTTTATGGATTTTGCCATAGATGGGACGGAAAAGTGTGATAACAGTAGCCTGACGCACCGCAAACCAACAATCCTTTTCATTCTCGCCTTCTATTGCAACAATCTGACGAATGGTGCCGCCAGTGCCCATCCAGTGCCCGGCATCGAGGAAATCCACATTCAGAAATGAAAGCCTGGCGCCGCTTGATTTTCCCCAACCGCGGGTCTCAACACGTGGTCTGATAAATCGAAGCACATGGCCTGCTACGCCACAGGACATAGCTATAATTTGAGGTTTTCGGATTCCAGACACGCGCTCTGGATCATGGGCGTACCCAATGGCCAAGAGGGAGCCAAGCTCATTGGAAATCTCGGAAGATGCTTCCCAAGATTTCCGGACAAGATTAGCTGCAATAGACTTTGCAGGAATCGCTTCTGGCAAAGCTTTGGACAGCCATCTCGTTTGATTTTGTATAACGAGTGAAGCCTTCTCATCACCCTTGGATGGAATGTGGTCGGAAGGAGGAACCCACTCCTTGAACGGAAGAAGCTGTTTGATAGATACTCCTACAGAATGTGAGCAGAAGTATGGACTCTGATCTAGCATAACTAACCGTCTGTTAATGTTTGTGAAAATTTCCATTCCTGTTCCTCGGTATCATAAGTTGCCTGACCAGGGTGACCAATAGCCAAGTCAGTAACCCGGTGATCAGCCATTTGGTTTTTGAGGTCTTCGAGCTTCAGAAAAGACTATCTTATTCATTTCGATGTGTTGTGTATCAAATCACGATGCCGGTACTCATGCGCTGTAAGTCGACCGGTTTCAAAGTCATGTTCAAGAGTGAACTCGGACGCCTCAGAAATTTATTCAGTCTTTATCGAGCGGGAGCGCGTTACCAATCTGGGTCTAGTTCAATCTGGTCCCCTCGGCAACCGATAACGCGAATCAAAACACCTGCGCATCAAGATTTCGAAACATACACAACCTTCGCATCCAACTACATCACTAGAAAACACTGCACTGTTCACGCCCAAAATGTCTACATTGTTCGAGCCATCACTTTCTACCAGCGCAATGCGGCCCCCTCTTTCCTCCGCAGACGCGCCTTCAATGGCAGATTCCTTGCCAAGTATCAATTTCGGATTCGATGAACTGCGCGACCGTATGACGAAGTTCACAGTCAAATTCGATGCCTTTATTGAGCAGGGCCGCAAGCGTGTCTTGGAGGAGAGAAATCAGTTTCGCATGAACGTTGCCGAGCTCAAAGGTCGGTATTTTGACACAAACGCGGGCGACATGGAGCTAACAAATCCACAGAGGACCAGCGCATGAAGAGGAGAGACATTGAGATCCTCTCTCAGAAATCCAGCACCCACCAACAGACAGTTGCAAAAGAGGAGGCCGAGACCAACGAGATGAAGACGGCTATTGCATCCCTTAGCGCACAACGAGATGGCCATGTTGCAACTCGAGATAGTCTAAAGCAGCAAATTGCAGACACGCAGAAACAAATTGACATACGTCTTGCAGCACAGCGCGCTCATGCGCAACATATCGATGCGCAATCCCGATTCAACATACCAGAGATGGATTTCTGGACCTCTAATTTGTGCATGACACTTGAAGGAGCGGGGTTGAACGACCGACTGAAGTTTATGTTCACACACATTGATGACAGGGACTGGACTAGGGAGGCATGGTTTGAGTTGGATACGTCCAAGTGGGAATACGAAATTCCATATTGCAAGCCTAAGTTGGAGAAGGAGCAGATCGAGAGAGTGTTGGACAAATTGAACGAAAGTAGGGACCTGAGAGTACTGCTTAAGGGAATGCGGGAATTGTTCGTCGAAGCAGTGAAAGGATGAGAGCATTGAGACAGGGATGAGTACAAAACAAGTATCTGGTGTACGGTGTATATTGGAAGTTTGGTATAAGTCGATGGATTATTGATTATGCAATCCCTGCCACTCGGGCGCAGTACCTTGGTTCGTACGGCTCGCGATAAGTTTCAATACGATCTGGCTTTGCTCTCAGCATGATGCTACCCTATGATTCGCTAAAGACTTTACTTCAACCTAATCCTGGTGACAAGAACACTTTCTTCCAACCGTCCACTTTCTTCTGGAAGTTCGTCGAGAACCTCTCAAACTTCTGACACTTCTCCTTCTCGTCTCCTGGCATCTCACTACTTTCTTGTCAATCTATACTCATGCAATATTTAACAAGAGCCCAAAAGAATCAGGAGTTCTTACTACCAGCTCGCTTTTTCGGACAGAAAAATATGTTGAGAGACCTTGGGCAAAGGAGCCTTCAAGCTCTCCTCATCAATGCTTCCAGCCGTGATACTTATGTTCTCAGGTTGGCATTTGTACCGCATAGAAATCGGGGTTCCGCAGCCAGAACAATGTGCTCTGTCCCCCAGCTCCGAGTAGCTCGTCTTGGCCAGGGACGAAACATCTGAACTGTACGTGATTGCAGAGGTGGGAAAGCTGGCAAATGTAAGGAAGGGTGCTCCCGATAACTTTCGGCATGTTTTGCAGTGACATGCTGTGAGACTTGATGGGAGCACGCTGCTGGAGTAGGTGATTTTGCCGCATTGGCAGGACCCTGTGAGGGCCGGTCTTATCGTTGAACCAGAGGAGATCGACATAATGCCGAATGTCTATGGGACAGAAGAGATGAGAATGTGAGAAGTGACGATCAGATATATGAGATCCTCCAAGCAGCTTACGAGAGCAAATTCACCGCCGAGATGACTTAAGCTACGAGTAGAATTAATACTGACGTGGGGGCTATCTTCGTTCCTGTCAGCAATGCGGGGTGCCCATTGGTGTTGAGGATCCGAATGCGGAGTCGCGTCCCGCGCCACATTCATCGTCGATCATAGGCTAAGGTAGAGTAGGTACTTAGGGAACCACAACAAAACCGTTCCATACCTAACTTCACCACATCTCAACATGCCTGCCGAACCGGATATCAAGAAAGATAAGCAGGCCAGTGCTGCACAAGCACTTGAAGTCATCGATGTCTTCCATGAGATTTCAACGTTATTGGTTTGCCCTCTGGCGCATACTTGAGCACAGTACCTGATTACGTCTAGAACGCGGACCTCGATCGCCAGACACTCTCAATCTGCATCTCGTTGATCGAAAACGGCGTCAATCCAGAAGCACTTGCGGTATGAAGGCCCTTATTATCGTTCTCCATATATGTAGGCTGATGTTATGGCAGTCTGTCGTCAAGGAATTGAGGAAGGATGCGGAAGAGACAAGGAGGGAGATTCACCTCGGTGATCAATGACAGATATCGATATAGAGATTGGAAGATGACATAAGTTACGATATGAGCATTAGAACAACCTTCTAAATCGGCGATCGTCTTGGAATAGGATTTCAGAGCTGAAGCACAGAGATGTACGGTATCTGGGGAGATCTTTGTAGAGCCTTGAAACCCCTGAGAAAGGATTAGTAGGCCACGGACAGGTCGAAGAAGCTATAGGCGGCAGATCATTGCGAGGGATGAAGTCAGGCAGGTTGAAGGCTTGCAAATCTGCCAAGAACAGACAAAGGACGAATGTCAAGTCTACAGGGCCTTATGACAACGCTCTTGACACATCAAATAAGTACCAAAAATAACTCTTCAGAATCGCCTCTTGGTGGCATTTGATAAAAACCCCGAATTCCAAGTCATCAAGTATATCCATAGTAATCCAGTGTTGTTACCCTGTTCCGGCTACCGCAATCTCATGTGTCCAATATGCACTCTCAGCTTAGACATGGATCATTTCCCTACTACTCCAGGAGCTTCATATCATCCACACCCCTTCAACCTGGTAGCCCTTCTTTCTGATTTAGGTGGCCACTTGGTGAGGGTCATGTTTCTCCGTGGATAAAGGACCTTGCAGCTCTATAGCTGGAGCACACCCTAAGTCTTTGGTAACGAGAGGTGTGAATCTAGTTACTCCAAGGTCAAAGTTTCATCGCAAACAGAGCCCCATACTATCATTGAGCATAGCCAGGGTCATCTCATAATGCGTCCTAGCTGTCCTCCTAATTTCCTTCTGAGCGGGAAGTTTTGCCATTTTTTGTCTGTCAAGTGTTAGCCAGAAGAACTCAGCCTCTTTGTGGTGATACTGACAGCACGTGTTCTTCCCTCTTCTCCCAATATTTCGTCAGAAATAAATTCTTGATAATTCTGTGCTCAAGACCTCTTTCCTGAGCTGCATAATTGAGGAATTCCACTGTCCGAGTTACTTTTTGCTGGTCGAAGGTAGTTGGGTCTCCTTTGCGAAAGGCGTTCCTCAGTTGGTCGCGCGCAATATATCTGGATGGTTTCGAGAATTGGACGGCATGGAGGAGGCCGCGGTAGAGTTGACGATATGCATGAATCAGCTCTGTGGAGCTCGGACTCGACATTATGGTGAAGGCAACGGTTCTTTCTGGCCTCACAGTTCTAGAGTTAACGGAGCATAAATCCATTCCAAATATTGAGGTTCACCTCCCTTAAGCACGACCCCTGCAAGCTGTCCGTCTAACACGTGCTTGCACGGAGGATGGGTTCAAAACAAGCTAAAGCCAGAGCAGGGGGGTAGCGTCATCGGCAGCTCTCCGCCGCCATAGAGACGACCAAATAGTTGGGTACAGGACATTAACAATCTCTCCAGAACAACAGAATACCTGCCGATGTCCAGATGAGACACATGCCCACCAAATGAGCTCTCTTGTATCCGATTTTCTCATCAATCCAGTTCTACGCCAAGCCCGCCGATTCTCCCGTTCGAACCCTCCAGACAGTCAAGTTGACCCTGTCACGAATCAGCGAGCCGCTCTCGAAGACACCCATGAAGTCGCTGTTGAGGATATAGCTGAGCGCTTGGGGACCCTGGGGGCTTCAGTATCTGGAGATGGTGATGGTTCGGCAAGGATAACTGAGGCGGTCTTGACATCGTCCCCGATCGAAGAAGATGGAGGGCTTGATACCGAGCTTCGGGCTCTTGAGGAGAGGAGACCCCCAAGTGCGCCACCTGTACTTAGTGGTGCCATGCCACAGAGAATATCATCTCTGCTATCAGACTATGGTCAGATCGACGATGACATGTCGGACAACCCGTCCTTTGGAATTCCGAACAGATTTCGAGCAAATTCGGCTGCAAGCACTACATTCAGCAACCACAATGCGATTAGTGCGAGGATGAGTCCTGCTGAGGGTCCATCTAGGCGCAGCACACAGGATAGAGTCCAGTCTGGTTCGAATAATCGTCCGAGGAACAGCTCTTTGCCTGAAGATGATGGCATGGGAGCATTGAGGCAGCAAATAATCCGAATACAGTCTATGGACATTTCAGGGGACCAAAAAGCTCGATTTATGCATCAACTTCTTACACAGCAGTATTTTGAGGCTCAGGAGATTTTTCATGCGAAACAGCAGCCCATAGCGCCTTCTCGAACAAATATGATCAGTCAGGAGAGGCCTACAACACCCGGTTCACTAAGCTCATTCATATGGCAGATGAACGGGGCTCCTGAACCAGCAAATGCAGATCAACAACACACATTTCACCTGTCCCAAGATGATCTGAAGCGGACTTATGCTCCTCCGGATCCACCAGAAACAGACGATGACGGGAATGTGATTATGAAGGACGAGGTCGAAGTACTTGGCTGCAAGCACTACAAACGTAATGTGAAGCTGCAATGCTCTGCATGTGACAAGTGGTACACATGTCGATTGTGTCATGATGAAGCCGAAGATCATATATTGAATAGGAAAGCTACAAAGAATATGCTCTGTATGATATGCTCGTGTGCTCAGCGAGCTGGTGAGTTCTGTGTCAACTGTGGAGAGAGAACCGCATGGTACTACTGCGGTGTCTGCAAGTTATGGGATAACGATGCCGACAAGAACATATACCACTGTAACGACTGTGGAATATGCAGGAAAGGCCGTGGTCTGGGGAAGGATGTTTTTCACTGCAAGGTATCATAGTCCCCAAGTCCATGACCGGGTTGAGTTGCTGACAGTCTTAGACTTGTGGTACTTGTATGTCGATGGCTAACGAGAAATCCCACAAATGCATTGAACGAGTCTCCGATTGCGATTGTCCTATATGTGGAGAATACATGTTTGATTCTCCTTCGCCTGTTGTCTTCATGCTCTGCGGGCATGGGATCCACAGAGCATGCTACGACCGACATATGAAGTCGTCCTATAAATGTCCCATATGCAGCAAGAGTACTGTCAATATGGAAACACAGTTTCGCAATCTAGACAGAGCAATCGATGCCCAACCCATGCCCCCCCAGTTTCGGGACACGAAGGCCATGGTCTCGTGCAACGACTGTTATGCGAAGAGCGCCGTCACCTACCACTGGCTCGGGTTGAAATGTGCTATTTGCGATTCTTATAACACCGCTCAATTGTCAATTTTGAGCGATCCCGCGGTCGAAGTGCCACCGATTGAAAGCAGAGAAGTCGACCAGGCTCCAATTCCCGATCATCCAAATAGGGATTTCCTGTCGCCCATCAACCATCCTCCTGGACCAGTTCGTCACAGAAGGCACTCCGCACATATTCACATGTCTTCGTCATCGACAGGGGACTCGAATAGATATGAGCCTTACGCCAGACGAGCACGCATAGGCAGATCTGTGTCTCCGGTCCGAGGACTCGGTTTCTTCAACGAGCCCGTTCCAATTCAGGCTGTCGAGAGTGACGATTCAGCAGATGAGGATGATATGGACTTCTGGGGGCGGGATGAGCCACGGAGTGTTACTTCATTCGAGAACATTGAAGATGAAATGGGGGACGATGAAGAATCAGATGAGGATTCAGTAATGGGAGACTGCGATGAAGATGATGCTGATGATGAAGAGGATGAATTTGAACTCTTTGGGCACCGGTGATGATTTGGCTTGCATAAAGGATGATAATCAACGGTTTGGGAGTTTTGTAAAAATGTTCTTTGCACACAGGATGGGAGGTTATCATGAACCGACAGTCAATGGGGGAGTTTGGGGTATGGAAGGGGTGATCAGGCGCAAATCCGTAGAGTCAACGAAATGCCTCTGCTCTGCGTTGGGGCATTTCTTTCGGTTGTTTCAATAGAGCTGGTGTAGTTGTGTCTGTGATCTCCAGTAAATCTTGGGCCGCACAGGAAGTCGTGGATGAGATAACAGAAACATCGTAAATCACCCGTCCAGCTGCCTGAAAGGTCACTGCATCGCCAATTTCACAGTCTTGCATTGGTGTGGTTGCTGATCTGTAAGCTGAAAGGCAGATATGCGGGATTACTTGTCCCCAGCCCCTGAATTAGACACCTCTCGATTCTCAGCGCTGCGTGCTCGAGATCCGAAGAATGTCGCTCGCATCAATCAAATCTTCTAGGTTCCTCTCAGCGTGGCGTACATTGTCCGAGATTACGCCTCCCCTTTCGCCGGATAGAATACCTAGGCAAGGTAGGATAGGATGGGATGCGCTTGATGTAATCCGGATCCGGATGATGTGAGAGAGAAGCCTCCACTGGCTTTTCCTTCCTTTCAACCTGAAGAGAGTCGTCCGACGGAAGAAGTGGGAACTTTGACAATAAGATTCCGAATGCTTGCCTAGATCGGTCAGTCCTCAAACTTTGCGCGTCCCGTGGAAAGCAAGCAAGCCAACAGAATGGACGATGGAACGGAGCGAGGCCCGCCACTCCTGGGATGCGAGCAACGCCAGGAGAAGTAGAGAAGTAGGGACAGATGTTCATGTGAATCACTCGATCGGTGCATTTTCGACCTCTATTGGCATAAGTACTGTGAATAATTGATTCGGACATGATGTCGTGGGCCATGGTGGCACAAAGCAGGGTGGGCAGGAGTGAGTGGTAGGGGCAACAAAGGCTTTCGGGGCGGGGTGGTGGTTGGAAGAGGAGGTCGGGAGGTCTGGCTCTGGCTCACGTCTTGGTTCAGGATCGCTCGCTTGCGGCACCACCAGCCCCAGCACGCCTCTGATTGGCCCCGTGCCCCGTGCCCCCGTGCCCCCATCGTCCAGTACTTCCTTCCCAGCAACGTGGAAAGTGTGCCAAACCCGCCAAACCCTCACTCAAGTCAGTCGGCGCGGTTCGTTCTTAGAAGATGCCCTGACTCCCCTCCTGAGACCTCGAGAATGGCGCTCCGCTTCGCCTTCTCCTTCGCCTTCTTCATCCATCTCGTATCTCCATCCCCCCCTTCATCCGTAATCACCACTGCCCCGACGCATCATCGCGATACCTCTCCTGCATCGCCGCGTCCTGTCGTCGCCGGGGACAATAATTCCAGAAGTGCTGCTGGGACAGACTGACGACTTCAAAGAGCCAGCGAACCAGCGAACCAGCTAGGCCAGCCCTGTCCACAAACACCAACGGCAATTTCTCTCGTCATCCATCCTCCCTCTTCCTTTCTTCCTCATCCAACAGCACAACCACCATGACACCTTCAACCAAGACAACTGCTGCTGCTAGCGGCCGAAGAAAATCCTCGAAGGCGACCATGATGGTTACGCTGAAGCTGCCGCCCAAACTCCTTACACGATTTGGACCTGCTCCGGTCGCCGAGGAAAAGGTTGCAAAGGTCGAGAAGGATGAATCCCCATCAAAGGAATCGTCCTCAACCATCGCCAATACGCTGCCCGTCGCGAACAGCACGAATGGCGACGCTCTCTCCGAGTCTGCCGCCAACACTCCTATTGCTGCTAGCACTCCTGTCCCGTCCTCGATGCCCCCTCCTACGGAGATTGTCAAGAAGAGAGGTGTTAAGAGATCTGGACCAGCTCTAGGTCCTGATGGGCTCCCTAAGCCTCGAGGCAAGCCAGGACCCAAAAAGAAGGCAAGATTGTAAGTATATATTCTACCTCACTGTTTATTCACGCATATAAATCATCATCTGTTATCTTACTTGATGGCCATGCCATTGCTCATCTAGCTTCGATCTTCTACGAGAATCAATTTGCTAATGCACCCTTCTTACAGAGAGGACGGTTCAATCGATCACTCAGCCAGCGCGCCTCGAGCAGCAAATGGTACCGCAGCCCACAAACTCGGACCAAAAGCCAACCAGGGTGCGATCAATGCCGGTCTTCGCGCTCTCGACCGGTCAGGAAAGCCATGTCGCAAGTGGCAGAAGGGGTCGTTCAAGTTGAAAAGCTTCACTGGTGTTGTGTGGGAGATTCCACGATGGACTGCACCACCCCGAATCACTATCCAAGCCAATTCCGAGAGCTCTACATCAGGGGACAGCAGCAGCAAGGAGAACAAGGACAACAGCCAGATGGAGAGCGAGAAGAGCGAGAAGAGCAATAATGGTGTCGATGTCGACATGAAGAGCAATGTCAGCAACCTCGTCTCATCGCCTGCCCCTTCGCTTCCTCCACCACCTTCCTCGGCCACACCTGTCACACCAGCTCCCGCCGTCGAGACTTCCGCTTAAAAGATGTAATCCGACCATAGATTTTTCTTCTTCAGAACTGTATCAGTACATTATTTCCAACAACAAAAACAACTTTATCATACACAGTGGGATTGAGCAGATAATGTGGCCCAAGTCTCTTCTACTAATGACTGTCGTCGGGTCTCAAGTACTTAGAGGGTTACTTGGGAGTTAAGCTCTTACTACCGACCGGCTAATTACTTTATGGGCATAGGAAAATTAGGGGCGTTGATATTATAAGGCATGGGTGCTCTCAGTGAACGGGAGTGGCAGTTATGGCGTTTTCTATTCGGCTCTGGCACTGGCTGGAACTGGTAGTGGAACAGGCTCGCATTGTACTACAAATACGCATCGCTGTATGAGTGCTCAAGAACAAAAGCAAGAATGTTCTCTCGCAGGTGTTGTTTAGTTGGGTCTCACAGTCTTCATGCTCACTACTTTTATTCTTCATTGTCTAGCTCATGGTAAGACATGTACAGTGATGTCTTTGTCTTTTGCACCTCTTGTTCTCGCAATTTTGTGCCCTTCCCGCGTCTTGCCCCTGCAATGCAACCCTATTCTTCAACCTCCGGAATTTTGGGATAGCTAAGTAGTTGAACGAAGCATTCACTGCCGAAACTGTGTCGTCTGACATTGCCTCTGTATTCTACTTGGGCCTTTGCTTCACTTACTACAAGCTATATCGAAGCTGCAGGTGGCCTACGTTTGAATTGCATACGCGTTTGATGAGAAGCTCGAGGGCTATACACTTCTGACATGACCTCTCGTCGGGGCATTGTTGGCTTTAACCTACTTTGAAGGCCATGTTTTGCAATTACCTGTTTCAAAGGTGGGCTGGAGAAGACCATTTGTAGTCGTCCCAAGAATATCACGGCAATTTGGAGATATATGGTCACAGCAGTTCGCATCGTTCAAGCTGTGGTTCTTCGCGAACAAGTGTTGAGCAGAATTGAACTGTGGAAAGGAAGAAGACCCTTGACGTCTGGGGACAAACTACTGTCTGCAAAAAACCAAGCTGGATCTTCCAGAATGGAGGAATTGTGAGGACGAAGGTGGATTGAAGGAAGGGGGTTCACATCCTAGTCTAGATTGCAGCTGATAGTTATTCCTTACTGAACAGCACGGGTGGAACCGCAATCGAGTGACACTTCCTAAATTCGTGATAAAGTTAACGAGTGTATTTAGACATGAGCATTCAAATGTACTTAATGTAAATGGAATGTGTGAGTCTTGTCATTGTCCGATATCCAAGGGTCCGACTGACGCATCAGGCTCGGGTTACCGACCTTGAGGACGACTGTCCATAGTACATTCAACAACCATAACCTATTTAAAAATAAGCAATCCATTTGGGAGAATAACTCCACAAAACAAAGTTTCACCGAAAGGTTCTAACATCCTACTACTTCTATTGAGAACGGAATATGTCGTTCGAACCGTCTCGTGATCAGACCCACCACTGTAAGCTAGTCGCAACCGCATCGGCCTCCCATCATCGTTCATGATATGTTCCTAACATCTCTCAAAACTCTCAACTTTCCAAAATAATAACATATCAAAATGAATGCGTATGCTAGTCTGCAGCTTTGGTAGAGCTATCCGTAATCTATTTTGAAACTACCGCTGTCTTCTGGCCATGAAACGACATTCACCACGCCTACAACCCCCAACCACAATCCGGCCTTGATCTGAGGGCGTCTTCAACAGTCACAGAGCTGGAAACCGTTTGCCAACCATCTATTGCTGCAATCTCTGCAATCTCGTCCCCCTTGATAGCCGACCAAGGGCCAAAATAAGACGCTTTGACAGCCTCGACATGTCAAGCTCCAACATGCCAACTGGGGCGTCCGGATTCATGCCACGAAGGTCATCTTACGCCTCAGTCGTTTCCGGTGCAGCTGTAGGAAGCCCTCATCAATATTCACAAGTGATGAGATCAGGGGCATTTGCCCACCTCGCACACCCCGAAGCCGACCCTGGCTACGACTTCACCTCCTACCACAACCTGAGCGGCCACTCGCGACACGACTCCCGAGCATACGATATGGACTCCAATACAAATGGGGGTATGCATGGGCGTTCTGGGTCGTGGGGGCGTGGTGGACAATTACCAAGTTTCTCCAGCGCTTTTGGACCTCTGGTTAACGGGCAAGGGTACGGCGGTATTGGTGGCGGACATGGCGATCAGTTCTTTACGCCATCATATCTCAAGGGGTCGAAATATGTACAGCGGTTGGAGGATGCGCACAGGTCGAAGGTTGCGGCACACAAGGAAGGGCACTCAACGCAGTCATCTCAGCCTGGCTCTCTGTCCACAAGTGCCAGCAGTATAAATCTACATACCAAGATCGCCCCTTCACATCGAGGCATGACCTATGACTTGATTGAGAAAGCACCACCTATCGAAGATGAAGCCCTGGCTCAGTTGCCATCAAGATGGAACAGTCAAGACAAGTATGGAGGGTTAGAGGTCTTGTCAGATGGGCAAGAAGTCAAGTTCACGGGTCCAAAGTCAGATCGCGATCGAGACCTGGAGGCTTGTGCTATACGGGCGGATCATCCCATGCCTCCTCAGTGTGGTATCTACTATTTTGAGGTGACAATAATATCAAGGAAGAGAGAAGAGTATGTCAATAATGATATTAGAGGTTTCGAAAGGCTACATCTCTGACTCGACGTGTAGGAGTTCTATTGGCATCGGTTTCTCAAGCAAGAACGTCCCACTTTCAAGGTTACCTGGATGGGAACCAGAGTCTTGGGCTTACCACGGAGATGACGGTCACTCGTTCTGCTGTAACAGCTCAGGTAAACACTACGGGCCACCATTTAACGCTGGAGATATTATAGGATGCGGCATAAACTTTAGATCAAATTCTGCTTTCTTCACGAAAAATGGAGATCATCTAGGTTCGTTACTGCCAAAGTTGGCAGCCTTGATCTTTGCTAATGATTCGAAGGTACCGCCTTCCGTGATATAAACAAGGAGAAACTCTATCCTTCGGTGGGTATGAAGAAGTCGGGAGAGCACATCCGAGTGAATTTTGGGCAAAGTCCATTTGTCTTTGACATAGATGGCATGATGTCGGCAAGTAACAATCTTTCTTATCCCCAAAACTCTCTTGGTCCAGACAGCAGCAATCCCTCTTCGGCTGTTTCAAGCATTTCTGGACAAGCACCAATACAAGCAATAAATCCCGAAATAGTAGCTGCGGCGTACTTACAGATTCTTGATAACGAGCAAGAAGACTCGGGCGACGAGCCACCTCCTTTGATATCACCGTCGACTCATTCATTTGACAACTCAGGAAGCAGCCACGGTACTTGGCGTTTGGAACGGACCAGCTCCACTGCAATCGACTTTATTTTCAGCCTGGGAGATCCGGTAAATGAGAATCCCCCTAGGAGCGCTCGTACAATACTACTGCTTCAAACTTTGCAAAGGCAGTCCAGGAGAAGGGCTTTGAATAACAACGAAAGGCACATGATACGTATTGCAGCGGGTATCGACGAGCATCGAGCATCATTGTTGGCTTCCACGAGCCCGGTTCGCGCGATACAGTGGACTCGAATTGCCACAAGTGAGCGTGCTTTGGATGATCTAGGAGATCGTATAAGTGGAGAGTTGTTCCCAACACTTGCAGCTATTGGATCCCAGATGGCGGCTGAGGAGGATTCACAGCGGAGTTTTGTGTCGAATGATGGAGAGCGGATAACGATCACAGCTGACAGTCTGCTTGCTGGAATTGCCAGGAATAGAGCAGCAAGCGAACGTCTCAGAGGACTGGCGAACGATATCAGAATCGACAATCAATTGAGAGGACCCGGTGACATTCGAATCGAAAGAAACCTACCCCCTAGGCCGCACAGCTTAGAGGATGATAGAGCCGATATTCCGCCACTTCCACATCCGCCACCTGAGAGGGATTTGCTGCCGAAACCAAGAGATTTGAACACAATGACTGACTTTGAGAAACAGCAAGAAAGAAAGCAAATTAGACAACAAATTGAGATGACGAGCACTGAGAAGCTTGCGCCACCGATGAGTGAGACCGACTTGATTCAGTCGTTGGTATGTTTACGTGCGCTCTACTCTCTTATCCTTCGCTTACTTGACTCGTTCTCGTAGGTTCTCCAGTTCCTCACACACGACGGCTACGTCGAAACTGCCAGAGCTTTTGCGGAAGAAGTCTACTCAGAAAAGAGAGCACTGAGCTTAGACCCGAATGCCATCATAGAAGGCGTCGACGTGAAAGAGGATGAAGATGCAGGCCATCGACAACGTAAGTTTCGTTGCTAGAGGCGTATGAGGTTGGGTCTAACTTGAATACAGGAATCAGGAAGGCGGTACTAGAAGGCGATATCGAGAAAGCTCTCAAATACACCCATGCCTTCTATCCGAATGTGCTGAAAGACAACGAGCATGTTTCATTCCGACTGAAATGCAGAAGGTGGGTGCCTCAGACTTGATCTTATTTTGGTGCGAGAAAGTTACTAAAACGTTTCCAGGTTCATCGAGATGATTCGTCAAGGCGCAGAAATGCAGAACTTGACTCACTCGAATGGTGTCAAGAAGAGCAATGGTCACAATGGAGACTGGTATGACGAGGTTGCCCAGGGAATGGACCTAGACGATCATCAAAGTCAAGCCAACAACTGGGACCGAATGGATACAGAGGACTCTACTGAGAATCACATGGAATATCACAGGTTATTGCAAGACACCTTAAAATATGGACAAGACCTCCAAGCAGAATACAAAGATGATCCACGGAGAGAGATTGGCAAGGCTCTTGAAGAAGCGTTTGCATTGATGGCATACACAGATCCACTGAATGCCAAGGAGGTAGCGCATCTTCTGGATCCCAGTGGACGAGCAGCAGTTGCGGAGGAGCTTAACTCTGCCATCTTACGTAAGCTGAGCTACACAATGTCACTATCGCACTTTTGAGGCTAACTATTCACAGTATCTCTGGGCAAATCATCAACTGCTGCCCTTGAAAAGTTGATTCAGCAGAGTACGATCCTTCTCGAAGAGCTCGGAGAAGCTGGTGGCCCTGGCGCTTTTGTCAGTATAGACGATTTCGTCAAGATCAAGCCCACCAACGACGCATACGCATAGGCAGCAGACTTTCGCAGCAGTAGCATCGGCGGATAGCGTTTCAAATTATCACTCATAGAAGACAAATTCTTCAACGGCGTTCATTGTTTTATTTCCTCTCTGCTCTAGCATGCATACATTGTGGATACGGTGTACTGGATCTGAGTCGCTCCTCTTTGTTTGCAGTCGTACAGGTAGTCGGTCGGGTCTATCTGGATGGGGTTCGGTTCTGGCGAGGAAGCGCACAAGGCTGAGCGGTGATTCTCTTGTTTCTGATTTTACGGCAGGTTACAATTGGCTTCATGAGATTATGGGACGGTCTGGTTTTGACAGACCATTACGCTGCGTAGCTTAGACTCGGGGCCAATGGGAATGGAGGGGTGTTTCTGCCTAAGCCCTTTGCTGTGCATGAGCTTTTAGCTGGCTGGAGCATTGTTGGTTGGCTGGTGGCTAGGCTGGATGGGTGGATGGATGGATAGCATGTGCTTATCCTTTGCTCGCTGACCACGACCTAGATGCTGATAATAGGAATACTACTACATCCACACTAGTGCTTCTGCTTCATCTCTTTGCCTTACCACTTCTGGTATCGTAAAATCTCGAATGAGTAGGGCCATGGACTGACACGTCAAGTTTTCAGGGTTGTGGGAAGGTAGCGTCTCCAGATTAACTTTCGGTTGCACGACGTCGGTTGTTGATGCTGGTAATCTTGTCGAAATCCTCCTGCCAGGAAACTTGCATGCTGTCCTCTTGGACAATAGCACATAAAGTCTAGTTTCAGAGACCGGATGATATGGTCTGACTTGGAACGACAATATACAGGTCTTTAGGCTTTTTACAATATAGTAGGGTATTGTAGTGATGCTGTTGCGTTCTTAGACGAGTCTGAAAGTCTAATATCATGGCGCACCTGCTCCCTCAGATGAAAGAGCCAGTGTGAAGTGAGATCAGCGTGAGCAAGATGGTAAGGATGTTTGGCATGGGCTTGCAAAATCTTTCATGCCAAGAAAGCTGTTGGTTGTGAGGTGTACCTCCGGAGTTGTTGGAAAAAACTGTTTAGTGTCGTTGGTTTGCAGGTAGAAAGGCAAGGATTGGGAAACTAGATTGATGCAAGAGAGCGAGAAGGGTGGTCGCTTAGCTTTCAAGTTTCAAGTTAGATTGAAAGCACAGTGGAAAGGACATTATTTGAGATATGTATGGGCGAGGCAGTCAATTTTGCTTCTTTCCAGAGACTCTCGTCGATTGATGTGGCGACTCGCCAGCGGAGGTCGGTCAGATTAATTGAAGCCTTTCAGTAATTCGTTGCTCACATGGAAAGGATACACGAAGTCACGTTGGACAGATACATGAATCTTTGATTGTATTAAAGGGAATGAAACCCATTTTAGCAGCCGGAGTCCTATGCTTGAGCTGGGAAGCATCCCCTGTCGTGGTCAAATGTGAAAAGTCATGGATTCGAGACTTGCATTGTAGTGATTCTAGTGTCTGGTAACACGGAACACATTTTGCTGCTGACTATGTTTATATCCCTATGCCTGAAGAATGGCATCTCTTCTTTCCTCTTTCCTCTTCCCTGCGGCTTATAGAAGCATATAAATATATATAAAAAAATGAAGCGGCGCTGATATGATATATATTCCCCGTTAACTCCAGGAACCCCACGGATAATAAAACGCCTTGATATGCTGCAATGATCGCACGATTGATATCCCTTGAATCCCTCCTCTTTCCGTGTGGATTGAACGAGATCTCCCTTCATTTCCTTCTAATACGCTCCAAACCAGTACTTTAGCGATTGTGCTCGGCAAACGAGAGGACAAGATCCGAACGCAGATACGAGCACTGGATCCAAGTCGTTGCCTTCAAGCAGTCCCCAGCTCAGGTCTGGCCTGCATTAAAAGACCCTTAGCTTTCATCAATAACCTCGCCCCTCTCCGTCCCGAAGTTCCTCCCCGACCGAGTACGGACCGAAAAGTCCACTTCCTGCTCTCCACATCAAATCGCCACACCTTCCAAATCTCGCATCAGACATTGCATCTGAGCTCGTTTCGCTGCCTCGGCTACCAAATTGAAGTCTCGGAGGAAGGGCGACGTTGCGTCGTTCGTTCGAGTTTGGACGGGAGGCGGCTGTGGTAATTGTTGCTGATGTTGTTGGGTCTGGGATTGTGGTGCAGATGTTGGACCACTGGATTGAGTGGAAGTATTCGCAGATGAGAAGTAAGAACCCTGGTTCTGCGAGGGCAGGCGGGGAGAGGAGAGTGGCGCTTCCATCTTTGAAGTTATCGTGAAAATAAAGGCTTGGTGGGGTGGAGGCGACTCGGTATATGTATGCTCGAGGCTGGCAGAGCAGTAGCCGAACAGAATATCCGAACGGGATCCCTGGGCTTCTCGAGATTTCAACAGTTATACTCGAGCGAGGACTTCGTGATAAGGGTGAGGTGAGGCGAGGTGAGGTTCGGTTCGACGAAGGAAGAAGTGATCGTGCGACGTACGATAACAGGTACCTAGTAGTCTGAGAGAGAAAGGCAGCCGTGTTGGTGTCTGCCTCTTTATGAACCTCGGGTTGACGCCGGAATGGATCAGGCTAAAGCGGAGGGCAGATGCCGGGGGTTTTTGATGTGGGTGGGACTCGGACTTGGCTCGAAATAATAGTTTCTCCGCAGAGATGCTGATTGAGAGAGAGAGGGGGGGGGGCCGAGGTCGTGCGACGAGGCAAGATACAGTAGGTAATATAATATATTCTATTGTAAAATGGAGAAATGGAGCAAGAGAGAGAAAGGAGGTTGCAGGCACTACCTACCTTAGGTAGCAAGAGGCCGCATCAAGCAGGGTGCATTGCATTGCATTGCAGGAGGCGCTCGCTCTGTCTGTTTGTGTGTCTGTGGTCTGTCTGTCTCTGTGACAGTACAGTACAGTATCAGTTGGCGCTCACTGCCGAATGCAGCACCGCAGGCAGTCGCAGTGCAGTGCAGACAGCCCTGACATGAACCTTTCCTTTACGGAGTATGAATAATATGAATATGAACACGGGCGGGCAGAATCCCGCCCCTCCACCTCCACTCCACTCCACTACTACTGTACTGTACTGTACTGCTCGCGGTACTGTGCCGTACTGTCCGCCGTCGTCTGTGCTTTCCCCACGCCCACATGCACGCCCGCCTACGCTGCGCTGCGACTCTGCGAGGCTGCAGGCTGCCTATCTGGAGATGGAGATGGAGCTGGAGAGCGGGGCGGGGCGGGGCGGGGCGGGAGTGGAGTGTGGAGGTTAGACTGCGCACACTGGCACTGGCGCTGGCCAGCCACGCTACAAATCGAAAGAGAGGCTTCAAGCCTCGACTCTTGCATTATTGAGATGGGATGGCATGGCAATGGCAATGGCAATGGCAATGGCAATGGCAATGGCAATGGCAATGGCAATGTGTGCTTGACTAGGTATCTTGGGACATCTGATGATATCGGTCGGCACAACTTCTTCTTGCATGATTGAGGCGAATAATGAGGCCGAAAAACGTGGGCATCACCCCACCCCACTGCCCATCTCCACCTCACTGCCCTGACCGTCATGAAATGAAGATGGATACAGTACTGTACTGTAGTGATTCAGGGTGCCCCAGGCAAGGGATTCAAGTCTTACAGTACCCCCAGGTGGGCACCACTGAGGACTCTCTCTGCTAACAAGAATGATGTGGCCATAACGAATAATCTTGGACTTCCACAGTATCTAAAGAAAGAACAGCAGTTCATAGTGCAGACTCGTTGAGGGCTTTGAAAAGTGATTGCGCTTCTTCGAATTTGCCCGTTCCACCTGATACCTACACAGAACGATATACATCTACCTCTACGTAAATTACTGGGTACCTAGATACCTTAAGGAGGGTACGGTAGATGACTTTAGTCTGACATGGCCATGGCCCTTCGCGGGCGTTACTTCGGAACAAGGCGCCGTGGCTCCGACCTAAAGCGGTCTGCTGGCAGAATAACCCGAAACCTTCTAGCTCTTGCAGCATTGAAAGTCGCGAACGCGCATCACTACTCGGGATAGATCTCCAATTCCTCCCCAATGCCGCCCAAAAAGCCTTCCGAGAAGAGCCAGACAGATGAACTGAGCTCCAGCGATGATAACCAGACGTCTTTCGCACGACAAACGGGGAAATTGAAAGAGATATTTTCAATCCCACCTCCTATCAAGAAGTTATTCGACCTGGTCCCAGTCGTGGTATATCCAGCGAATCCGCTCCCACAACGTGCGCCAAAGTCCGCGAGGACACCAAGTCTCTATGTGTTCAGTAAAGGTCAGGATGCCGCTGCGGGGAGACCATCTTTCAACCCCAGCTGTCTGAAGTGGCAGGTTCGTCTCATGTAGTTTCTCCAGAGGGCGTTACATGTCCACGTTAACAGCTTGTAGACTTTCTTGAACATTGCAGGAATTGACCATCGCCTCATATCTTCGAATAATCACGCCTCTCCCACCGGTGCCTTGCCATTCCTGCTTCCAGCAGTACGCAGCTCAGACAGCTCGCAAGAATCGCTCCTTCCTGTCCCCTCAAATAAATTCGTCAACTATGCTACAGAACATGGCGGTATCGTGGAGGAGTCCTCTAGCATGCGGTATTCAGCTTACCAGTCTCTGCTAGATCACCGAATACGGAATGCTTGGGTGTGTGCAGCCTCGTCTGCAGTTTTGCGTATATTCTAACTTCTACCCAGCTTTTTACTCTCTACCTCGAACCCTTGAACTTCGACGCTGTCGCATACCCACTCTATATTGCTTCAACTTCTTCGAATCCAATCGTTCGAGCATCAATATCATATCAGCTGCGAAGTGCAGCCGAGGCGGAACTGTTGAAACACACGCCAGTTATAGATATGGACGACTTATACAGCGAAGCTGATAAAGCATTCGAAGCTCTCTCTATCTTACTTGGAGAAGACTCCTGGTTTTTTGGAAGCGATAAGCCAGCATTGTTCGATGCCAGTGTTTTTGCTTACACACAATTGCTTCTTGATAATGATCTAGGGTGGAAGGAGAGGAAGCTCTGCCGTGCGCTCAAAGTCCGAGACAATCTTGTACAGCACCGGGAGCGATTACTTGTCAGATATTATGGTGGATCATGAAATAAGAAATATTACCAAGGATTTCGATTCGTCTCCAGAATCGTCGGAAGTTGCTATGCCGATGGCTGCACAAAGAGCAGGTGACTGGTTTCTGGACGTTGCTCAGCCCCGGGTTCCCTCGCTCTCAAAAGTCCTGGAATGCGTTTTTGACATCGACGATTCGTGCAACTGAGGTGGGGTTGCTCGAATGCTTTGAGCACTTACACTCTTCACGAGCCTTTCCCGTTGCAAGTCGAGCAATTCAGAGGCGAGGAACAATCCAAGAAATTACACAAAACCTGACTACATTAGGTGTCCTATGGCATCAGAAAGCCTACATCTTCATCGCAAGTGCGATTGTCAATTTGTCATGTTTCTTTTCTATGCCCAGCGCCGAGCATTCGGATGATGGAAACCCCGCGATGAGCATCACCCAGTACGGGATGTGGCAAACGTTTATCGCTCCACGGGTCGGATTGAGCTAAAACATTTCTTGGCAGAGATCAAAAGAGTCTTTGTTTCTGGATCTAGGAGAATAAGCTTATTCCGGTTCTAGGTTGGTGATCTTCTAATAGCTCCCTTAGCGCCAAAATGCGCTTGGCTGACGGTCTCTCCAAAGATCGCGTCTTCCATCTGACGATGCCTCTGGACGCCAATGCTGAAAGATCGCTCTATTTATCCCGCCGTCACCTCGATGTCCTATGTTGCCGTCTCTATTTATCACGTATTTCACTTGGCAGGATTTGCGGGGTGCTTTAGTCAACCTTCGTCCTCCGGAAATGGATCTTCTGTGCAATGCCAGGGTCTGACTGCTTCTAGCCAAGCAGCAGAATGTCTTCCAAAATGCAGGAAGTCAATATTCGTAGCTGATTACGGGCTTGGCTTTCCTTGTGCTCAGCCTCAGTGACGACACTGAGATCTCGAAAACTCGGCAACTATGTTGTACATGATCTTTGCCTGCCTTTTAAGCTATTATCTTCTATATAGAGAGCCAGAACCCACCTTCAACGGCTCTTCTTGTTCCATAACAACTTCTCATATACTCCTACAAATCTAAGTGCACATCCACCAAAAGCAATTTTACGTTTCCCACACTTCACTATCAACACCACTTCACCATGAAGTTCAGCACAGTCGCTTCAGTCGCTACGCTCCTCGCAGCACCGGTACTCTCAGCTCCCACTGACATTAAGTACGGCCCGCCCAAGGGCGGATGGGAAAGTGTCGAGTATCCCAAAGGTACTGGCGAGAACCTTGAACATTACCCAGCTCCTCCTGGAGGCTGGGAGAATGTCAATTATCCCAAGGGCACTGGCGAGAACCTTGAGCACTATCCACCACCAAAGGGTGGATGGGAAAATGTCGACTATCCTAAGGGAACTGGCGAAAACCTCGAGCACTACCCACCACCAAAGGGTGATGATGATGACAAGAAAGACGAACCGGAATTCACCAGCACGTACCACATCACAGCTGTTGGCGCGGAAGTCCGCAACGGGACTGTTTCTGTACCAGGTCCTGCGGATGCTGTTGGATACTTCCATTACGGAGTAAACTCCAAGACTGAGAGAATCTGCTGGGTGAGTCTTCTATTGCATAATTCTGACAAGACACTAACCCTGCCACCAGGAAATTACTCTTCTCAATGTAGCAGGCACATATGTTTCACCCGCTCGCACTGCTACTCACAGTATGTATTTTCTTTGCCTATTTTTTTCTTCAACATCTGGCTTTTGGATCGAAGACACGCCTTGGGACTTATGTTTTAGAAATCGAGTTTCTGATCTTCGGAGTTTGATTTGAGAGTGTGATTTGACAGTGCTAACACTCTCAAAGTCCATGAGGCAGCTCGTGGCGCATCGGGCCCACCTCGTCTTGCTTTCCCCAATCCGCAGGGTGACGACAAGAAACGTGTCAGCACAGGATGTATGACTGGTCCATTCACCACCGGCCTAAATGGTACCAATGGACAGGATACTGGTACTGGCTTTAAGCTGGCTCAGATCGAGGCTAATCCAGCTGGCTTCTTCACTGATGCCCACACCAATTTGTTCCCATTGGGAGTTGTCAGAGGTCAACTTGCGTAGATATGAAGCAGGCAAGATGATACTAGATTGCATGGTGTTTTCACCACATTATGGTTCTTGCATTGTATGGGGTGTAGGATAAATCACTTTTCTGCGGAAATTCGACTTGATTCTGCAGGTGAATGACTATAATGTCAACTTTCAATTATCTATGCTTCCTTTCATCCCAAAGGGGTGAAATAAATGTGAACTTGAGGAGCTGTCCCTCATATCAGACTGCAATAAAAAGAGCGTACGCGGTTTCTCGGATTTTGGAATGTTGCCCCCGAACTTTCCATGTATTCGCCACTATATGGAACTACGTAGCGCAAATATACAAGAAATCTCTCAAAAGTCCCAAGGTTGAGCCTGCCGGACGAATTGTTGGCATGAAAAGGAGATACCGATCATGTGATCACCTGTCACCTCATCGACTCCCTTCCGTTTCTCTTCGTTTTAGGAACATGATAGTGGACCAAAATTCGAAATGGCGAATATCAACCAACCAGCACCATCGCGTGTAGCTCCAACGCTGCTCGATATTCTTGAGCAATATGGCATTTTCAACGCGCTCTGCTGTCGTTTGGACACTGCTTCTCTGTTTGCTCTTCGACGCGTTACCAAGAGTCTGCATGGCGACTTCGCTGCTCATGCTAAGGAGAGGTGGAATGTCAATCGACGCTTAAAGCACTTTGTGAAGCATCCACAAGGTCTCCGGACGATGATGGCTCGTTATAATGCCTGTAAGTACAGCTTTCAAGATTATCCTCCGCGAACTACCAGTGCCAACGCCATGCATGTTTTACTCTAATCAGCCGGCTTCTACGACATAGAAAACTGACTCTGCAGAAGTGATTTCGGGAAGCTTCGTGATTCAGTTCTTCGATGATGATTTCTGGAAAGGCTCTGATCTTGATATTTATGTTGAGAGAGAAGCAGCGGCAGCATTTGGGACTTATTTGGCACAGAACGAGGAATATCGATTTGAGAAGTCATCCACCATTGAGCATAATTATGACCTGTCAGGAATATATAAGGTAATTCACTATATAGGCATATTTTTCACTCCTGTAGCGCTGACTCGTTTGGAAATCATAGACCGATACATATCTTCGCGGCGAAAAAGACAGTGGCAATGAGACCAAAATACAAATTATTTCAACGAGAAGTATACCTGTTAGCTGTATGCTAGGTTGCTTCACTAGTACTGCCGTCATGAACTTTATGTCATGGAATGCAGCTTACTCGATGTTTCCAGAACTAACGTTCCTTGAGCCTCGCAGGCAGCTCAAACTCTGTACTGGTCAGGAGGATGACAACGAGATGGAAAGAATCCAAGCACACGTCGAAAAGTATCGGAAATTAGGCTGGAAACTCCTCCCTCAGCAAGACACCAAAGAATCACCCTCTCCATCCTTGCAGGTCGAAAGAACACGACGAGTCGGTGATCATTTCTCATGGAAGTTGGCCCTAGATGTCGATGGTGTTCAGCCATCCTCGGTTCCAGATTACGTTCTTGAGCATTGTCACTTCGGAATAAGGTGTAGTAATAATTCTATGGGCACGGAAGCCAGGGAAGAGAGCTACGAATCTGGAGCATACGACCTCACATCCCATGTTCTCAAGTACAAATATACATATTCGACCAGCAAAGCAGATTTCTGGCATGCATTCATGTCTACGCGGCTGCATGGGTTGATCATAGCTGAGTTGAGAGAAGTGGATGAGGACACACTTCCAGCATTTTTAGATCTTTCGGCTCCGGATGGCACCCGCAATTCAACAACTTCATGGCACGTTTCGTGAAACCAGAGACCTGGAAGTTCTACGACGAGCAGATTCCCGCGTGGTGCGATGAATGGGAAAAGGGACGATGTCTGGGCGAGTTAGTGGAGCAGATGGCTGCTGTAATTATTCAAGGAACTGCTGAGGCTCAAGGATAGGATATGCTAGCTGGTTTGCGTTCATCAACATTTGATCTAAAATCGAGGGATTTTCTTTGGACGAATTTTGTCAGATACATCCGTTGATACAGTGCACAAGGTTACTGTAGCATTTACAAGCGTGCTCCTGAGCGAAGAAGACGTAGGCTTTGGTCTTGTTTGTGACACAATGTGCATTTCTTCGGAATCCGGCGTTTCTGAGGAAACGATCTTGTGGCGACAAATGACTCACTGAATTCTTGAGCACACGATATTAACAGATCAGGGAGACGATGTGTTCTGAAGGCACAAATAGTTTTGAGATTCTTCATTGACATTTTGGCCAAATGTGGCATCACACGTGAAAACCAATGTTTACATACCAGGGCCTTTAGCGAGGCTAACTTTATCCTCTAAAATCTCACCAAGAACTGGCTATGGTTTTTTGCACATCCGGCATGCAGCGGAACCATATAAAGACCCTCATGAGATCTGGGATCCAGTATAACAAGATAAGGATGTTTCACGCTCGGTGAAGTCCGTTGGTCGTGTCGTCTGGAACTGCATTTGGCAATAAAGGTCAGCAACATGCTCAGTATCATTTGTTCCAGACAAGTACTTCGACCAGCCCTCAACGTCCAAAAATAAGAAGTCGTTGTATTGCAAACGTTGCTATCATGGTGAATGTGAGTTATTATACAATCCTGTTCTTCATTGTCATTTTGCATATTGACAATACGTTGTAATCCAGTCCAGTCAGACTTCAATACAAGAAGCTCACCAAGTTACAGTCTGTTTTCAGCACAGCCTTCTACAATATCTACTTCCAACCACTTTCCGCATTTCCCGGCCCTCCTACTATCCAGAGCCCTCTACGCTCCCTTCCTCCACTATATGCTCATGGGCCGTCTTGCCCACACTGTCAAAGGATCTACACGATCACTATGGCCCGTGGTTCGCATCAGTCCCTTCTGAACTGTCGTTCACCGACCTTTCCGTATGGACAGCTATTTACCAAAACAAAGCTTTCATGCGACCTTCCTGGTAGTGGGGAAACCTCCTGGTTTCCATGTAGGCAGTTTGATTTCTGCTTTACTGGAGACCATGCGCAGTTTGGGAAAGTGCTTGCTCCGGCTTTCCCGGAGAAGGCTATTGCTTTGTATGAGCCAATTGTCAGCATTTACGTTGATAGTTTGGTTAGCAAGTTCGAGCAGGAAGTTGAGAATGGTTCTGTAGCGCGGGTGGTTGATATCGTGCCTTGGGTTAATTGCACTACATCAGACATCATCAGTAATCTCGGATGGGGATTATCGATTCGCTGTCTGGAGCAGCAGAATTATCACCCATGGGTTACAGTCGTTCTCCATTTTGAAGCTATGATAGTGACTGCAGCGCGGAGCTGCTATCCCACCCCCAAGAAACTGGTATCGCACATCACGCCGAAATCAGCACTTGCCGGACCCAACTTGGTATTGTCCCCTTTGGAAGCGAACGTTAAATCACGACTGCACCGAAAGACAAATTGACCGAGCACAATCTCATACATCCTTCAACATAATGAGGCATGGCCAGGAACAGGGATATCGAAAGCAGAAAGGATAATGAAGTCGATGGCACTGATTGTTACAGAGAGCGAGACGTTGACCGCTGCTTTTGGCTTGAACGCTCAACAATCTGCTTTCTCATGCGAAGGAAATGGAGATACTGGTCAGTGGGGTCAGCTCAGCTTTCAATTCAGAGTCAGAGATCTGTAGACGGACGACAAAAGACCTGCCGTACTTGACAGCGGTCTTGAAAGAGGGGATGCGGCCACGTCCTTCGATATCAGAACAACATAAGCCGTGGATTCCCAAAGGAGGAGCTATAATTGCAAGCTATCTGATTGCAGACGATATGACGGTGGGGATTTCATACCTCTCGACGTTCAGATGGAAGGAGAACCTTGATCTTGCTGGTGACTTTATCCCTCAGCGATGGCTGCCAAGGCCGCCGATTACTCTTTTACATATGGAAACGATAGTTATGATACATTTCATCCGTTTAGTATCGGAGGATATGGCTGTCTTGGGCAGCAGCTCAGTTTATTGGAGTTGCGTGTGGTTATAGCAAGGCTATTGTGGAATTTTAATTTGGAGCTTCCAAGGGCAACCAGACAGTTCGAATGGACTTCTCAGAAGGTCTTCTAGGCTTGGGAAAAGAAGCATGTCAGCATCACATTGCAAAAACGAGAAGAGATTTAGACTGTTCATGTAAACACTTAACTTGCTACTTTGGAGCTGGCGATTGTTAGGCAGGAGAAGGAGGCAGCATCAATGGCTATTGACGAAATACTGTCTTTTAGCTGCAAATATACATACTGAATGCATCTCAATACACTAACAGCTTATCAAATTGCCCAGCTCTAGCAAATGACTGGTGTCATGAAGCATTAACATACCCGATCTCTTCGCATCAGTAATAGTCTATCTGCTTTATACTGTCTCCATGGCAATAGCCTTAAGCAGCTTTCGCATTGTCTTCTCACCCTTCTTGGCAATGCCTCCCCAGGGAACGGACACGTTGCCATCAGTATTTGGGTATATGAGGTTGGCAGAGACCGAATCCTCCTCCTCAATGTCTGGCCCACTAGATCCCATTAACATTGTCTCGTACTTGTCCAAGCCGATTTTGTGTCCAATCGCCAGAATATGGGTAGCTTGCATGGTTTCGTCCTCCCAGTTGTTGTCCGTCAACTGCGAAGTCTTGATCCCAGATGTTTTTCGACGAGCATTGTCAAACTTTTCGACGATGAGCTTGGCATCCTGAATGATTTCCTGGCTTCGCTCAAATAAAGTAGCGAATGAGACGTCTTTCGACTGGCCCATCACCTGTGATCCATCACTCGCGGAATGGGGAAGTGGGCGCGATGCTGCGTATGCATCTTGGAAGGCCTTTGTGAAGTCTGAATCTTTATTAGTTCTGTAGAATGTCAGTTCACGGACCAAATTAGTGTGAGCTTTCTTGGTCCATACGCCTCGATGCCCAGAACTTGGAGACGATTCTTTATTGATTCCTCTGCCTCGTCAACCTTGCTCCCCAATGTGCCCAGGTAGTTGGAAGCTGCTTTAGCTGCTCGTATGTTCTTCTTGTTCTCGCCGTAGAACTCCACCATTGCGAGGAATTGCCTATGCATTATTAGCTGGCGGAATCGCAGTGAGAGCTAGCCCATGGTCCAGGCAGCTCAATGACAACAAAAACGTGGTCTCTGGACGAATGGTCCTGCACATACTTGCTTCCCATGCGACCCTCATCTTCTTCGTATTCATCTGATCGTGAAGTGCGCTTTACTGGTTCTGACTTGCGCGTTCTCATAGAGCTCTTCTTGATATGCTTGGGCGCGACAAGCTCTTGGTCAACGAACAGCTGATCGCTCGACTCTCCAACTGCCGAATCCGACGCATCTTCCGTCCTGGCAGACGTCTTGCGATGCTTGCTTGTACCGGCCGGCAGTGCGCCTTGTTATTTGTTAATCGCCGGTCTTCCACTCTGTAGCGGTACGTGAAAAGGGAAATTGGAAGGGTATCTGGAAGGAACTCACTTTCGGATTTCCGCTTCGTTGTGGTTTTAACCATGTTGCCTTTTTTGCGTGGCGATGCTAGGGATCAGATGTTGGATTGTTGACGAGTTCGATGCGCGACAGAACAAGATGGAGGGAGTGATTATCTTGGTCTTAGTCACCTGCAGTGAAGTGAAGTGTCGCGTCGTCGCGTCGTCCCGTCGTTCCTTCCCTTTTTGTGTCAATGGAACACACTGCAGCCAGCAGCCAGCAGCCAGCTCGCTGCCAAAGTACACCAAGCCAAAGCCCAAGCCCAAGCCCAAGGTACAGACAGTATCAGCGTCGCACAAGGAACTCTCACCAGAAAAGAACTTGGAAAGGAAAACCGCACGCATGTCAAGTGACCGCTGCAGTGGGGAGACGGAGACACCTTATCGGAAATAATGCACATATCTACATTCAGATTCTGCTAGTGCCAGGTGATTTATTTATCTTCGCATTTTCCTTCCCTTCACAAGCCCGCACGCATATAAGAAGAAGAAAAAACAAAAAAATAAAAACAAAAGCCATTCTGAGAATAAGGTATCAGTCGAAGGCCCGTTATCCTTTCAAATTACCCAACGTGTCTCTCTTTTAAATATCCCATGCCCGTCCCACTTGCCTGTGGCACCCGTGCCCGAATTTTGATTCGCGAAATCCATCTAAGCTCTCTCCCCGCGAAAGTGTACCCATTTTGTCGTTAGATTCGTAAACGATTGTGGGAAAATAAAACACAAAAACACAAAAGCAAGAACGCCCCGTCTTGATGCGCGAAAATCCACCTGCTGGAACAATGTGCAAGAAAGACAAGAATGACAAGAAAGAAAGAAAGAAAGAAAGAAACAACGAAAGAACAATCAATCTTGCCACCCAAACCTGACCTGAGCCGTGACCACGCCTGGTGACGAGCCTGGAACGCAAAACAAAATTCCTAGATCTCTGAAGGTGAATGATCTGTCTGGGGGACCAACGGGATCAGTTAGGTTGCTGAGATTCGATTCTGATGTAATGGGAGGACTAGACACCACGATCCCACGGTGAAAGTCGTGGTGGCGAAAGATTGTATTTTACATGGCCATCCAGTCGAGAAATCGGACGTCGGATATCGTCATGTAGTTCGAAAAGCCGGAGTAGAACAAGATGGTGAATAGAGACATCTGGCGTGGGTCGACGAGTTATTATGTCTGTTGTATGTCATTGGAAGTACAAATTAGGCCATCTTGGGACGAAACCCAAGGGGCACTTTAAGTTGAATTTCTGCAGGTCCAGGTCTAGAGATCTAATTTATGGCGACGGTCCTTTCTGGAGAATGTGGACATTCGTATGAGTCTATGAGGGTCGGTAGAAGAAATGCATGTGAAATGGTGACACCAAGAGAATGCAAGACTGCAAGGATATGAATGGAGATAGAGAAGGTTTGCAGTCTTGTCTGAGTGCTGCCATTACTAGTTGTCGTTGAATGTTCCCTAACGACTGTTCAAAGACAGACCTTGAAACGTTGAAACCCAACCATCATTGGGAGTCGGGATACCACTTGCATGTCGGCCAAATTCCCCTGCATCAGCAGCTTCGGGAGGCGATGGAAAACGATGCGGAAGTCCTTGGTAACCAGCTTGCGACGGAAAGCCACCGAATTGGTCAAGAGGGACGAAGCTGCCTGGTGCACGTGGAGCTGCATTGAATGGCGTATAGCCGTAGGTATAGCCAGGCGGCTGAAACGTTGGTGGCGGCATTGAGTTACGGTCAAGACTAGGAGCAAATGGCTGGGCGAAGGCTCCTTGATAGCCTCGAGAAGCTTGTGGGTAAGATGGCTGATCAAGGGCTTGTGGGCGTCTCTCTGTAGGGGTTCTAGTAACGCCAACAGCACCTGGGCCTATACCGCTTGGAGCTTGAAGGCCAAGCGATGGGCTGGCAAATGAAGCTGGATTGATTGCGGACATCCAGATTCTCGTCTTGTAGACTTTGAAGAGGTCGGTGACAAGGGAATTGAAGTTGATATATGCATCGGCAAAGTAATAGAAAGTCAATTTCTTCCAATCCCTGCGACAAGTTAGTAGACCCTCCTTTTCGTTCCTAACTATGCTTACATTTGGAATTCTGCATCAAGGATCTCCATATGCAGTCCATGCTCCTTAACTTTCTGCATACATACTCTCTTGGCCTTTGCCTCATTGCCTTCTTTGTCTCGTAATGCCTGTATCTCGTGCTGCTGAGCCAGTCTTTTAATGATCTTCGGCTTGATTTCGCCAGGATTTGGTTCTTGCATTCCGTGTTGATTCGGAGGGCCCATACCACCCACAGCACTTCCTTGTAGACCATTGGAAGCCGCCATCAGTCCGGCTCCAGTGCCGTCCTGATTACCTGCAGCGCCTTGAGAGTACATCATCAACCACTTGTAGTGCTCTTCGGCGTAATGTTCCTTGAGCTCCTTGGCGGTGTTCCAATCAACGTTGTCTCGAGCAACAGTGCCAAGGTCTGTCCCTCGATCAGCCTCAACGATGACTAGATCTCCAGGTTTAACAGCTAATCCAGTTCCTTCTTGGACGTAGAACACATCTGCACGTGAGCACTTGAACAGCACAATATACAGAAGTTGATTCTGTCGTGGCTGAGGAGCACCATACATGCTTCGATGTGGTGAAGCTGAACGGCCACTTCCATATTGGCCGGTAGGATTTGCATATGGGTAGGCTGGTGTTTGATAGACAGGGGCGCCGTAAGCATCGACGTTTCTAGGAAGGGTTGCGATACCACCGAAATAAGATGTAGCTGTTTTATATTGTGAGTCAATGATTCCACTGTATCCTTCTTCGAAAAGGGTGTTCAGGGGCTTGTTTTCATAGAGAGATGAGCGGCGCAACTGGATTGACATACCATGATCATTGAGTGTATAGCCAGTGCCATCCTGATACCTGCTTTGGTAGTCTTTGGGTGATATGGTGTCTTGAATACTGTTTTCATGAGCAGAAAGTGGGTCGCCCACGGAGCTGATCGAGCCTTGCCGAGTAGGGACATCAGCAAAAGAATGACGTCTACTTTGTGGAATATCCGACAGTCCACCGAATCCAGGTGAGCTTTGCCAGTAAGCCTTTTTGACATTCTCAAGCTTGCGGTTTTCCAAAGAAGTATAAGATGGAGACATCCGAGGCTGACCAGCGGCACCGTACTCGCTCATTCTACGTCCTAGCATAGCTTTTGTTTGCATATCTTGCTGAAGTTCCTCAAGCTCATCAATGGCGTAATCGGACTCCTCTGGAAGAGTTTCCTGGAGTCCGTAACCTCCCAAACCATAAGTGTTGCTTGTTGAGGATCGTGGTCGGATGCGGGAATGGTACTGTTGTTGCCGCAAAATGGCATTTTCTCGAGCGAGAATCTCAATCGTCTTTGCTTCATTAGACTGTTGCAATGTCACTCCATGATTGGATCCATTCGTGCTTTCATCGTCGTCATCATCAACCTCCTTTAGGTTACTCAGACCACCCTCGTTGGACATCTCGCTAAGCATGCTCGGTCTTGATGGGCGGTGCTGCAGACCAGAATGCTGAAGTGGTCTACCACGGCCAGTGAACATTTGCGCCGTACCAGAAGAAGCGATTGATGCCGGTGAGTCTGGATCAAGTTGTCCTACGGAGTATGACTGCGATCTATAGGTCTTCGGGGTAGGATGAAGGGGGATGGCGAAAGGAATATTGGGGTTTGATGGTGGATCGCGCTGAGTGTTATTCATATCGCCGAAGTAACTATTTCCAGAGGGGGGGTGTATGGAAGTCGGAGATGGTAGCACTTCAGTCAATCTCGAAGGAGGCTCCTTCCGGGAATCATTATTCCAGATTCCACTTCCCCAGGGGAATGCAGTCGAGACTGTAGTGTGACCTCGGCCAACTCCAGAGCTTCCTTGACCGTGAGCACCCCATGTACTGGATTCTGCAGAGGGCGTACTAGGATGCGACGTGGTTGGCGACATGGAACTTGAGGCAAACGAGCTCTTGCGGGGTTGAGGACCTGTGGGCGTTGTCGTATCATTCAGCCATGAAGCTCGACGCGTGGGCTTTTGGGGTTGCGCCGTTGGCTGGGGATGATCTTGTCGCTCAACCTCATCATCCGAGCTTGCCAGAGCTTCCGAATCAGGTGTAGACCGGCGACCGTTGAACTTATCGAGTAAGATCGATGGATTGCTCGAGGTCATGGAGGAAGTATTTGAAGGTGCATTTTTACCTCCCCCGGCTCCACTCTTGACGGCGTTGGAGGCCATGATGGGAACCTCTTATTCAGAAATGGTTGCTATAAGTTGTCAGTTGGCAGATTCGATCTACACCAAAAGGTTGGCTGAGTGAGTGAATGACGAATGGGTAGTGAGTGGGCGAGTATTGATACGTCGCTTGAAAATGGAAAAAAGGAGGACAGCTTCCGCAAGGTGAAGCAAGCAGTAGCTGCGCAACAGTGTTTACGGTCGTGATCTTCGGAGACAAAAAAACTGAAAATCTAACGCCAAGTGTACGTCTCTGCTGCAAAAGCAAACATCAAAGGCAAGCCAAAGACGCTGGCGGATATGTATGGGGAAGCAGTCGCCCGCGAACAGAGAGTCGTGAACGGGAAGTAGGAGGTCGTGCATTGCATAATGACATCGATCTGACGGAAGATGGGGAAGATGGAGCAATGGAAATGTAATTCATGAGCTTCACATACCCGTGGCTTGAAACAGAGTCAAAGTCTGCAATATGGACGGTCAATTAGTATCCGGGTGAAAGAATGGCGCAAAAGCCAGGATCTCGGAAACTCCTCCGAAGGTTGAAAGAGGAACTTGTTAAAGTGTTCCGATCTCTGATTGAAACGGTTGTGGTTGCGATTGCTGACTAGATAGTGAGTGACGACGAGTGTCGTGAGGTGATGATTTGAGGAGCGATATCACCAAGCGAAGAGGTAGAAAATGACCAGTGGAAAGTGAACGGCCAGTAGACGCCTCAGTCGTGATAGAAAGGTGTACACAAGACGATCAGGTTATATGAAAGCCAAGTAGTGATGAGAGGAGAGTATAGGTCGATTAGAGGGGAGGGCCTCAATGAAGTTGGTATCGCAGTTGACGCTGTCTTGAGTCTTGTGAGAGCTAGTATTAATAGTTATGCCGATATTCTGGAAGAAACAGTACTGTATCAGCAAAGCAACCAAGACAAATCTCAACGTCATGAAAAATAAATGTCTGCCAAGTACAGTAACAGTTACAGTATGACGAGCTATTTGGCGCACACGTATAAACTGAACAAAATATCAACTGGTGGCTTGTACAGTTCGTAACGCCATTGGGCATTGAGAAGTTCTTGTAGGTTGAAATTTCTCAGAGACGCTAGGAGCTGATAGTAGAGTGTTGGTCGGAGCCCTCTCATTTAGAGCTCTGAGTAACCTAGGCAAGGACATAGCCGTTGGAGGCCGAATTAAACACTAGTTTAATTTGATCTCAGCATCAGATTTCAACCTTGAGGCTGCAACCCAGATAACAAGATCATTGTCACAAGAGCTAACGTATCTCCTTGTTGTCTCGTGGTAGATACACCATATGTGAGGAGGTGATGTGAAGGGCTGAGTTACGGCATGGAAGTAGCGCACTTACCACCACCGAGTTATTAGAACCAATAAGTTGAAATCCGCAGAAGAAAATAAGGAAGTGGTATCTATGGCCATGATCATGTTAGCTGTTGCTCTATGAGGGACAGAATATGTGTTGCAGGTGACCTGCACCCAAGGCGCGCTCTCACCACAAATCCAAACAACCGCAATTGCCGTGTAAATAGTAAACCCTTCTAATGTATTTGCCGGATTCGCTTTTGCACAGTTTATGTTTTCAATCCAAAGACCTTCTAATTCGCCGTGGTGACCAGAGTTGAGTAAAGAAACAGTAGATCGTACAGCCTTCTTGCGCAAAGTGCGTTGTTGGGTGGAGGCTTGGTTCGCCTGGGCTATGCGTAGCCCATGATCAGGTTATGGGGAAGCTCACTCTCGAGAGCCGCTGCTATCGCGTTCGAAGACAGTTGGAGGAGTAATAGGGCGAGCTGGTCTGGAGTAGGTAGAGGAAGTATGGGAGGCGTAGGTTTGGGGGGAACGGGTATGATCACGCCAGTCAGTGGTTCCGTCCGGATGCCTCACGAAGCAGAGGTCCGTCCCTCTTTGTACTACGGCGCTGCTGATCCACAATCGAGGACCCGTTGGAAGAGGGGATTGGGGAGTTTCCAGCCGATGTTCTCCAGAAAGGAGAGAGCAGTCGTGCAGTGTAAGAAACAAGAAGTCAGAAGCAGGAGAAAGAGGATGCGGATGCGATGTAGAGTAGTCGTTGGGCGATGCACAGCACATTAGCTTGGTGCCCTGGCTGCCCTGAGCCTGCAAAAACCACTACGAACGCACTAGCCGATGGAGCTACGGGCGGGGGCGACAGGGCTCCTGGCTGCTCCTGGCTGCTCCTGGCTGCTCCTGGCTGCTCCTGGTGCTCTGGGGATGGGAGAGGGCTTGGATGCATGAAAGTGCTCGGAACTTCAGGAGATCGGGTTGCGTGCACAGTGCAGTGCAGTGCAGAACAGGGGGCATCTCCTCTGCGCTGCCTCTGCCTCTGCCTCTGCCTCTGCCTCTGCCTCTCTCTTGTCGTCTGCCATCTCTCGCGTGCTCAGAAACCCCCCCAATTAGCGAAGCGATACGGCCCAGAGAGAGCTGGGGCTCCCCAATCTATTCCCCATAAATGTATGCAACTGAATAAATGTACTGTACGACAGTCTAGATCTGGATACTGGGATTCTGGGACGGCACAACTGGAATGCCCTCATCGCCCTTCCCTTGCCTGCTCGCTTTCCACCAATCGTGAGGTGGCTGTTAGTGTTCTGTTCTGTTCTGTTCTGCTCTGGAGCGAGCATTCTCTGCTGGGCATGGTGAAGTCACACGCCTTGTCTGAGGAGGAGGGGAGATAGAATGGGATGGGATGGGATGGGATGGGATGGGATGGGATGGGATGGGATGGGATGGGATGGGATGGCCTGGCCTGGGGTGGCCAGAGGGGAAGCTGAGATGAGGTGAGGTGAGGTGAGGTGAGGTGAGGTGAGGTGAGGTGAGGTGAGGTGAGGTGAGGTGAGGGTGAGGTGACGACCATATGCTCGCGTAGGACGAGACCTCCGCCATTTTTGACCAGAATACAGATTATTGGAGATCTGGTTTTCCGTCTTACGTACGGAAGCCGAGTCCGATGCTCTGCTGGAAGACGGCGACGGCGACGGCGACGGCGACGGCGATGGTGACGGCCACTCGAGGCAAAACGGGTGCGCTGTGTTTTGAGTTCTGCACTTATGATGCCGAATGATCTGGGGATCTTGGGGTGAAACCCCACACTGGATCACACCTACTGTAGCTAGACCCTGAACGTTGTGCTCACCCATACAGTAGCTCACTAGCAGCATAGTTGCCGCCACCCTCCCCTCCCCTCCCCTCCCCCCCAATAATTATTATTGGGCTTCTCCTCAAGCGTCGTTAAGCGGCCAGCGGGTGGATCGGGACCTCTCCTGGACCCTATCCCATCCCCTCCCATCCCCATCCACCCATCCACCCCTCCCTCTTTTCCCAATAATGCTGCCCATGTTTTCTCCCTCTGGACCTTTGGCCCTCTGGGCTCACGCCGTGACGCCACACTCGCATCTGTCAAGCACGGCCGAAAGTGAATCAACTTGATGGCGCCCGCCGTGAACTTCCCCGGATTTTCGTTTAAGTGAGTGGCCACTGGATGCTTGGGGGTGTCTATTATTCGCCATCTTGCTGTAGTGGAGCAGCAGATGCACTTCAGCTAGGAAGCATATTGGCTTTTGCGAAGGACCCGACCTTGAAAAATTGCGGGGGAGTGTCTGATCGCAACCTGTTCCGTTGCACAGAAGGGAGCCTATCATCTCATCGCAGGGGGTTGTCCTGGAAAACGGCGGCACTACGTGACTAAAAGCTTCCAACACAGGAAGGACACTTGTATATCCAACGAGCTATACGTAGATACGAAGCTATGGAAGCGAGAGAAAAAATCTCATGAAATCTGTTCTGGAAACGGAAGGTTTGTGTTTGGACTAGCTATTTAAATATGACAGAGGTGCTGGTGAGGGAGACTGTTCAGTGCCGCTCTGCACATTGCAAAGTGATTTTGCAAATTGTTCAAGGATTCCGGCACAGATCATCCTACAGCTGCAACCCCTTGGATCTTGCAGCTCGAATGCTTGAGGGTGGGTAGTAAGTCAGAGTTGTGATTCGCTGCCGGATCATTTCACCGCACCCCTCGACGATGGCCATTGGACCGATTGACCGAAAGGACTGGAGGTGGTTGTAGAGTTGAGGATGCCTCAACAGGGCCATTGCCTCGAAGCTGGCGAGGAGGGAGTCTAAGCGGGTGCTGAGTCAATTCCAAGTCCAAGAGCTAGCAACGGGATGATAGCAAAAGTTTTGAGCTTCAATATCTCGTCCAGTTCTAGGGCTTGGTAGCATACTCGCCTCAACATCCTTCGTGGAACAGTGGCGTCGAAGCAGAAGGAAGGGTATCCGAAGCAGCCAAATAATGCACGAAACCTCATATGGATAATTATGAAGCTGTGAAACAACAGGTGGTCCAAGTGCAATATAATTCAAGAAACGTCTGAAGCCATATCCACATCCAAAGCACCTGCCAGACTTCGGCTCACCCGGCGGCACGGGAGGTGTATAAGTCTCTGTCGTGATAGCCTGTGAGAAAAGGAACAGCTGGTCATTAATCCGTGCCTACTGCCACACGGGATCGTCTCGAAAGCATTGCGTTGCAGCATTGTTAGACGTGTTGAGCATTAGAATTACGGATACCTGATCCCACAGACGACAGTAGATGCCAAACTTTATCCTGGCACGGTATCCAACGACCCTTTACCGATGGTTGAAGGGGCTGCATCTGGCCCTTTCTGTTGTCTGAGCTTTTCCTCAAACTTTGCAAACTCAAGAGCCGCAATCTCCTCCTCCTGGTCAAGAACTTGGGTAACACCTTTTACCTCCTCAATCTAAAGTTATTGTCAGCTGCTAGTCTATGATTGCGCTCCTCCCAAAAACTCACATAGTGCATCAGCATGCCTTCAATGCCGTTTTTCAATGTGACTGTACTCGAGTCACAAGTTCTGCATGCTCCTCGGAGCTTCAGTAATACCATTCCATCTTCGAAACCTCGGAACTCAATGTCTCCGCCATCTTCTTGGATTGCGGGTCTGATCCTCGTTTCCAATAGCTCCTTGATCATTCCAACAACCTCACTATCGTTCTCATTAAAACTGAGACTATCTTCTTCGCTCCCATCTTGGCCTTGCTCCCCCGACTTATTTTCGGTAATGTTGACAATCTGTGCTCCCGACGTCACAGCTTCTGTAATGAGACTGAACACCTCTGGCTTGACATGCGCCCAATTCGCGTCTGCCGCCTTCGTGACGGTAATAAAGTCTGCTCCGTAGAATACAGAGGTAATCCCATCGATGTTCATCAATTGCGCCGCAAGAGGCGAGGGATGTGGAGGCGCGAGAGTTGCTCGAGGATTGAGGTATTCGAGAAACGGGGAAGAGAGACCGGGAGGTAGAATAGGATGGTTCGGCAGGAATTTGAGGGCATCTGGATTGGGTGTATTCTCTGTTTGGATGAATATACTACGACTGCCAGTGACTGCTGCTGGCCGAAGCATCCTTGAAGGTTGATGTAAAGCATGTAAGGTCGGTCTTGTACGGGCATTTGAAGCTGCCATGGCTGGAAGTCGGGTGCTTTGATGCACACATCTGGCCGAGTTGCGGTGTTGGGATATGAGGGCCTTTGCTGGGCGACTAGGCGTAAACAACAGGACAGTAGTCCGGGATACTCTCCTCGAAGCCATGTTTGCGTTGGATATCGCAGCGGTCGAAGTGTTGCGAATAAAGAAGCTTTTCATTGGATCTGTAAGGCTCTCGGATTTTGTAAGCTCTCGCCTTCCGATGACGAAACTTCGATGGATCCCTGCAATGCGCGTTCACCTCGTCAACACGCGACTTCAATTTTTTAGGCGATTCAGCGAAGCTCTTCAAGAAAACAAACATGTCTATCACCACGCCAGATGACAACGACGCCAGAAAGAAGGAATTGGAGGAGTTGACGAAGTCAGAGAAAATAAAGAGTTTGCCAGGCTTAGGCATGGCCGAAGTCAACACTGATCTCCCTGCAACGACTTTCGGTGAAGCTACCGAGCCAGTCGCAAAAAGTCCCTCACCTCCAATTGAGCCGCCCAGTAAGAAGCTTTGCGGAGTCTGTAACGAAAAGGATTATAAATACAAGTGTAGCCGATGCTATTTACCATAGTGAGTCTGAATGATGGAGTAAGACATGAAGCTGAAGCTAATCCGTTGAAGCTGCTCCATAGCTTGCTCTACCATTCACAAAGCGACACATCCCGCAGAGGAGCCAAAGCCAACTGTGGAGCTGAAAGCACATCCAACCTTACCGCCGAAGCCACCTGTTGCTAGACCAGGAACAATTGCTGGCGCAACGAATGCTTCGAATGCCGCAACTGCCAATCCGTTTGCTGCTTTGGACGAGTCGAAAGAGCTCAAGGAGCTGTTCACGAGATTCCCACGGCTACAGCTATTGCTCGACCGAATTAATAAAGCTACACTTCCGCCAGTACACAGCATACAGCAGAGCTTGAATGGAAACAGGCGGAAGGAACAGCCTTGGAATTCGGATCGCGGCCTCGAGAAAGGAGTAAAGGTGCTGGACGACTTAAGGAATACGGGGTCCAAGGATGGCAGGGCTATCAGGGAATTTTCAAAGCTTATACTGCGCTTGCTCTCTCCAGAAAATGGCCTATCTGCAAGGGAGGTAGTTGAGCAGGAGCTTGCGGCAGAGAACCAAAAGGTTGTCGAACAGCTACTCAATGGGGAGCTGTGAGGATAGGACGCTGTTTTGGGGTATGCAGTCTTGCGTAGTCACTCCAATTGCGCCGCCAAGGACAGATATTTGAGTATCATGTGTGAGGAGAACGAACAGGTATTGTATGAAAGCCTTCTGACATGACTCGGAAAATAACAAAAGCTAATATGCCGTTTGTAGAACTCCCCTTATGCCGATGCATGTATCGCTGTGGCGGGACTTTGCCGGGGCAGCAATTTTCACCACATTACCGATATTGCTCACAACAAGATTCTGGCCGACATCTCACCACGAGAAGAAATTCGACGTCACGCCCATTACCTGAGACGAAGGATCTAAGGGCATCACTGGATCAGCCGGCGCTTCTTTCGGAAGATGAATGGAAAGTATCGGCTAGTCTATCATAACTCATTCCGAGTTTGCCAAATCTCAAGACTGCAAGATATTGCAGTTATCGCAGCCTACCCGGCTCCCTGAAACTCCATAGCCAAACAAATACATCACATCGTCATGTCAGCTTGGATGACGCTTGAATAGAGCCAGAAAATTAGCCTTCCTATGTCCGTCTGGCAACGATCCAAGGTTCCCAATATCCTGCTTCGGCGATATTTTATCTTTCTTGCCCATCAGAATCCAACTAGATTCCATTTTCCGCAAGAATGGACTCGTCCGCTCCTTCTTTCTTATTTCTCCCACTTCTTCTCGTTGTGCCCAGTCATGTCGATCATGTCCATCATTTTGTGGCTTCAAAGGCACCTGTGATTTTGTCGGTATATGAGGAAGATCTTCGTCCCAGCAAACATCTCCGGTGCTCAATGGGCGCGGGGCACCTTTCTTATGTCTCCCTCTCAAATGCGCGAACTCTGAGGTGAATGTTCTCTGCGGTGGTCTGTACAAGTCTCTCTCGATATCTGCATGGGCTGCCTCTTCCATGTCATGATCCCACTGAAATTGATTGCGATTCCGTAACATTTCCCTCTCCAGATTTGCTTGGTCCATTGCTTGGGTCCTTTGGAGATTTGTGAATGGCTGTCTTGGGGCAGCTTCTTCGAGACTCGGCCGCTCCAATTGAGCCTTGATCACTGGTTTGGAAAGCTTGTGTACCTGTCGCATCGCCTCAGGCGTTGTTGTTCTCTCAAACGCCAAAGCAGCCACGGCTGGGACATGGTGATATACCTTGAGCTAGGTTAGCTGTCATCTCTGATCGAATAGCTGCATGACAAGACCATTGGGCAAAACAGAAGAGAACGGAACGAGGGGGCAGATCAGTTCAGGATCAATCTGTGAAGAGTATGGCTTACATTCTGTTGAGCAAGGGCCGCAGCCTTCAGAGCTCTGGCTTCCCTTCTTTGCTCCGCCTTCAACTTTTGCTCGGTAAGATGCTCCGTGAGACGACGACTTAACTCCTCGGGATCAAATGGCTCTCCTTTCTTGATTTTTCTTTTCCCTCCATTGCCCTTGGGGTCGCGAAGTGGATGGGTCATTGCTCGTGTGGGCTTGATCTGTGAAGGAAGTTAGAATCATGGGGAGCTGCTATAATGCGTATTTGAATTATTGGCTTTTATTGCCATATAGACGGCTAAACTCACAGAGGAATTGCTTGTAGCAGCTGGTAAACTCGTCACTGTTGCCATTATCCAGCAGCAACAACACCAACTATATGAATAATTCAAGGGTGCACAGGAACGAAAACGGCGACACAAAAGCAGTTCTAGGGCGATCTTGGGATCTGTAGTCCGTGATACATAGCACGAATCGCAGCAAATAAATGCACGAAGTCAAGTATGAAGCCCAGCAAATACGATCCTGGCCGTGAGCGATGACCGGCGAGGCGAGCCGTTGTACATGTACCCTCCAGATATCGAAGGTTTAGTAGTCGGGTAAAATAGCGGTGGCTAGTTCAAAAGACAGATCCTTTGCCCAGGGAGTTTTCGGAAGAGATGAACATCAAGAGAGGGCGAACAAACGTTTAGCTAGCTAGCTAGCTAGCTAGGATGGGATCATGGGAGGCACGAGCTATTGTACTATTCTCATCTAGAATGTGGGTATGTTTCTCGATGCGGTTGGAGCCGTGGAATCCAGCGGCGCTCTCTTGGGCGAAAGCGCCACCTCCGAAACGAGATCTCGGCATGAGAACAAGCGCTTGATATGGCGTCGGCGTCCTTGAGAAGCCCATTCTCATGACCGTTTTTAGCATTGATTGCGCAGATCTGTTGGGTCTGCTCCCCAGTTTTGCCGATGCTGCATCGCATCGCATCGCATCGCATGATGCCCTCGCCCCTCTGCCTGTGCTGTCTCAAAGCTCGCTACGCTCCATTTTGGGGAGCGTGGGAGCATTCTAAACTGGGCTGGGCATGCACTTGGAACAATGTCCTGAAGCAGCACAGTGCATACTTAGCAGTGGTAGTGCGAATGCATCGATTGTCAAGGATGGCAGCCGTTGTCTCCCCATGTCTGGAACATTTGATTGAGCTCTTCCTGGACCTTGGATGGGATCTTGATCTTGAATGATGTGGTGACAGAGGCACGCGAAGAGACTTCAGCAAGAAGGGGTGGATGGATGGATGGCCATGAGGATTCCCGGCCCAGGGGCATCGAAATGAGCCATGGCCTAGAATACAGATCGTTGTGAGATGGTCGACTGTAATTCGCCGGGGCATGCAAAGTTGGAGTGTGGGGAAGAATCCCTGGCTCCCCTACCTAAATTTGCCTACAGTAGGTACAGTACTGTACGGACGTTACTGTACAGACTCACGGACTGGACTGGACTACTGGACTACCGGTAGGTACTGGACTAGAGTCTTTCTGGGTGTGTGACAGTATTATTCGACCTTGACCACGCGATCATTTCTTCGACTTGCATGCCTAGGTAGGTAGGTAATTTACCTACTGTACGGCCGTGCACGAGGCGGTCTTGATGACCAAAAAATGGAAGTCTCGGCAGTTAAAGTAAGTTTACCCCTTCTTTCCCTTCCCCTTCCCCTTCCCCCCCCCCCCCCCCTCTTCAGTCTGAAATTTACAGTACAGTGCGCTGCACAACTAACCCGACTTTCTGTAGCGCGCACTTGGAATGCTAAGGACTACCTTGTACTCGTTCCAAAAAATGCTCTTTACGGTTCTTGCACACTTTTGTTTCCACTATCTTCATGTTATCAAAGATTCGGAAGCAAGTTTCCCGTCCTTTCTTAGTGTTTTGTGCCTTTCTGCGGCTTGGTGGCTGCCCACTGCCAGTCGAATGATTCGTTGCTTGCCCAAGACGTTATTTAACCCAACTTCTTGGTGTTTGGTAGACTTGCGCCAGTAACGCCTCATGGCGTGCGATTCGAGCTACTTACGCCAAAGGCACGATAGGGTTTCAAATTTACCTATCACCAGGAGACGGACCTGACGAACCTTTCTTTTCCTGTTAACATTCGTCGTCAGAGAAGTCCCATCGTCTCAGACTGAACTTACCCCGCGCCACCACGAACTTTCGAAAGAGGTTCTGAAGTCCGGCCCTGCTAGACTGTCTCCGAGATTCACATGCAAGGTTACTCCGGAGAATTCCACCACCTTCAGGTTCTAACAAGAAGTTTGTGCTTTCATCGGCTTCACACCACACATGTTCAACAACGCCTCGTCCGGAACATCTCAACGCTAGACTCGGCTCATATCTGACAACTTCAAAACATCTGACTCGATGATGGCAAGCTGCATATCTTCCGGACTCTACGGACGCTCCCGTCTTATCTGCTTGGCTTTCTCGTATCGAAGTGCCATTATTGACCATGCTTGATCATGATATCAACTACTTCCAAGCTGCCAAAGCTTAACGGGTAGCTATGTCCCAAGTTTCATGTGCAGTAGTCAGTCCCCTGTAGTCAGTCCCCTTTAGTCAGTATTTCTTGGAAGAATTTATACTCGAATCGCTTCATCGGAACCTTCCAGTCTCCACTTCGAGGTGAACAGTAAGCTAGGTTTTGGTACAGAGAGATGCAGGGCGTCGTACATAAGTTTGTCGAGGAACGGCAAGATTCAGCCTCTTTTGTGTTCCGTGTGATCTATCATGAGTTGAGCCGATTATTGAGATATGACTTGAAGACAAATCCGAAATAAATAGGATTGGTGAGGCGAGGCATGGGAAAATAGCTGTTCTTAACGCCCCAAGGCCACTTCACATATTGAAACAATTGGGAGGAGCCGATACCAACAGATAGTCTATCTACGTGGAAGGCTTCTTCATAGCTTCCGCTTGATGCTGATAATGGTGTCTCAGAGTCTCACAATCTGAACTGTACGATTCAACACGAAGAAGTAGTTGCTAGCCAAGGCTAAGGCTTCTCTTTGCCAATTAGTCCACCACGTGAATGTTCTGAATTGAGACGAGCAGCTGCAGTTGCATGATTTCTTTTGGATATTTGACCAGCATTCGCCATCCTAGAGTAATGCCATGACTGTCAGGCCCAATTAGAGCTCCACGTGAACGGCCTCAAGATCGACACGATTGTATTGGGGCTGTAGTCGTGGTCGATGTGGTTTCTTGTCCATTGTCTTGGACAGAGAGGCGCGAGGCGGGATTACATTGCTCTTTGGTGGGGCCAGATCAACTTCTTCTCTACGCATCACACTTCCTTGACGTAGCTTCTACAACTCCACTGCATCGTCGGCCACAAGCATATTTTCTCCTGATTGACCACGACGAACTCTCGTTTCCGTTCCCTCGGCAGTATAATGCCGTGTCGGCCTTGTAGGCGATGCGAATAAGCTCAATTTCCCCTGTGTCCGGCATGGTCTCCGAAAGCTGCACCCTCCCGAGTCAATTTACTTGTACAGCAGCAGAGCAAGAGCTATGGAAGATGTAGGCCGCCCCCCGGAGAGGACGAGGTCGAAACGAGATCGAACTACCAAAGGCTCAAGAGGAGAGCGGACGATAAAAATACCGAGTACGGTATCGAACTCAACTCCACGGACCAGTCTGCGACCAACCCTGGTGTCTCGAAGTTCTGCCCCTCTACCTTCAGCCAGAATCACGGAACAGCCTCCGTTCGAAGACGACTTACGCGCCTACGTCCACCGAGACTCAGTGGCTTCGATCAAGGACGATCCGTTCTTCAAAAACTATCAAACTCCTCACTCAGTGTCTCTGGGCCGCGAACTGAGATCAGCTACCTATGCAAATGCAACTCCCTCGACAGCTCCTCTGGGCCTTTCGATCGAAACAGCAGTGAACAATAATGTATTTTCCCCTTCATTTAAGATTGCGTGAGCACGTCGACTGACTGGCAATACTTTCTAGCCCCAAGCACGGAGTGGAATGGCTGACATCAACATTGCGGTTATTGGAAGTGCAGGTGTTGGGAAAAGTACACTTATCCAACGCGCCTTTGGCTCGCGAACGGTGCCGACCTCCATTGCCTCAAGCCAACGCATGTCCGTTGACAATGTCATTTATACTGTTAGCTTGATTGAGCTTGATATCGAGTCCTTCGACATTAAATCCGATGTGCGAATACAATGGCCGAAGCAAATCAACGGACACATTGTGCCGCGGATGGACGGTGTTCTACTTCTATATGATGTCATGAATAGGGAGAGCATTGTTGACTTACCTCAAGCTCTAAGTCAGTCTCTCCAAAACAGAAAGGTCTTGCTGTGAATGTGCTAATGATTTTAGACGGCCTCGTCCATTCCTCTCTCCCAACGATCTTGGTATCTTGCAAATGTGATAATCCTGAGAATGCACGCCAAATAGATGTTGAAAATATGGAGTCAGCTTGTCACGCGTGTGTTGAGGCTGTCAAAACAGCTGAGAATGTTCCGGAAAGTGCACGACTTTGCCTCTCTTCCATGCTCAGAGCTATCATGGCGAACAGGAGTGGGCAATTGTGTGAGTCTCGATCTTCTCTTGCTATTCCTCACTGGATATTTACTTCCTTTCACCTCAAATTACTCTGCTGTACACTCTCAGCAGCAAAATATGCTCTTCCTGTACTTGTGGGCACACAAGTAGGGTGCTTCTCCATATTCGCTCTTCTTGGCATCCGAACTTCTCCATAATTTTGACTTCGCAAACGCGCACTGGTGGAACTCTGTGTACCAGTTTGCTCGTGTCGCATTGAAGAATCCTAGAGTAGGGCTGACACTCTTTTTGTAAAGCGGCGTCTGCCCAAACGACATCAGTTGCCGATGTCCAGGGCGCCAGACGTCGAGCAACCTCAACTTTGGAGACACCTCCTGATCCTTTATCTAGACCCTTGAGTCAGAATTCCAAGCATAGTCGTGCAAGTTCGGAGTACTCCCTCCTCCGAGGGTATTCCTCGCCGACCCACAATTCTTCACGGGGACAGCAACCCGTGTTTCGGACTCACTTAAATCAGCAGCTTACCTTACCGTCGCCCCACGAAGCACCGCCATTATCTTCGCATCCCGCGTTTCGACATGACAGCTTTCAAGCCACTGAGTCGAGTACTGGTAGTCAGGTCTTAAGACAGCGCTCTCCTATTCAGTCTCCTGGCGCCGGTGGCCTAATCGATAATTCCTTCCTCGACATGGAAGAATCGGATCACGATTCGTCGTACCGCTACTCGGACGACATCCCAATCCTGCAGCGTGATGACAGCAATTTTTTTGACAAACCTGCTAAAGTGGTTGGAGTTACCTTTGACGAATTGGTAGACCGTCTTTTAGGGCAGAATATGACAAGGGCTGATAACAATTTTTCCGACATCTTCCTCTGCTTATACAGAAAATTTGCTGCCCCGTCAGAGCTATTCAACGCAATCATCAACCGACTGGAACGTATTGCAGATGACAAGAATATACACTACCTAACAAGGACAACGACTCAACTGCGGATTATAACTGTGGTCGCAAAATGGGTTTCAAATTATCCTGGGGACTTCGCCAATCCAACTACGAGTGCCAAGCTGGATGCTTTTATTGGACAGTTATTTAATGATCCTGTATTTGCTGCCGCTGCTCAAGAGATGAAGTTGCAGCTCCAGTCACGTGTATTTGAGGATGATGATACAGGATGGGCCAGGACAGATGCAGATGTGGAGAATGAAGCCGGGGGTTATGAAGAACCGCCATCGCCAACTTCCTCACCAGTACGGCAAAGGACGCACACGAAAAGCGATTTTGAGGACGAGATCGGTAACTTCCACATCGATGATGAGGGAGGCGAGGAGATGATGCGGAAAGAATCTCGAGGCGACTCGTCCATATCAGGCCGTCCTCTCTCAGCTACCCAATCTTTATCACCCTCGTTTCATACCGTAGAAGACTATGAACGAGAAGCGGCTACGATGATACCAAAAGGGACTTTACCTCTTACAAAATTTCGCTACCACATTTTCATGGACACGTCGGACGACGACTTTGCGGATGAGATGACCAGGATAGACTGGGTCATGTTCTCGTCGATTCGACTGCGAGACCTTGTACGTCATGTCAGCTTGCCTCTGGAGCAGAAGGAGAAGATGACCAATGTCCACCGATTGATCAACCACTTCAATCACATTGCTAAATGGGTGACGAACATGATCTTAATGAGAGACAAAGCGAAGCATAGAGCCCTGATGCTGGAGAAATTCATGATGATTGCGTTGAAACTGCGGCAATTGAACAATTATAATGGCCTCGCCGCTGTCCTCGCCGGCATCAACGGAAGCGCCATCCATCGACTGACACTGACGAGAAACCTAGTCCCAGCGGATGTTCAGAAGCGTTTCGCTAGACTGGTCATACTCATGGGCACTCAAAAGAGCCATTTTGCCTATCGTCTAGCGTGGGAAAATTCCTCCTTACCTCGGATTCCGTTCATACCCCTTCACCGAAGGGATCTTGTCTCTGCCGAGCAAGGAAGCAGGACATTTGTAGGATCGGACAACGAACGCATCAATTGGAAGAAGTTCGAGATTCTGTCAGAGGTCATCTTGCCTATCATGAAGAGCCACGTAGTACCATATCCAAATCTATCGAAGCACGAAGCAGCCCGAGAACTGATTTTGGATTGCAAGATGCCTGTAGATGACGAAGTAAAGACCCTTGTATTCGTGTTTGACTTTGTCTGCTCCATGCTAACGATCTTCAGGAATCGTATCAGCGAAGTTTACAGCTAGAGAGCTCGTCGGGACCTGTGGAGGTGGGAAAGAAGAAATTCCCATGGTTTCAGAAGGAGAAGTCATGAACATAAATATGTATAGCATTTTTGAGCGGCTATTTGGCTGGTATTCTAGTTCATGGATGGAAGATTCTCATGTATGGCGTTGGGGTGTTCTTCACTTGGTGCGCATACCCCTTAGTTCAAGATTTTCCAGATGAAATTTTAGTGGATATTCCAAAGGATCGCATTCTGCTAGTATTGTAGGGAGGCACCTTATGCCAAAGCATGGATAGCTTATGCTGGATATAATCAATTATGTTTGGCCACAACAATTGAATCATTTTCAACCATCTGTGAGATGTTGTTAATGACTATGTTTGTGCAATTCTCATTTTCGTCTTCTAGAAGCTGCCGGTGTCAGGGGATGATGAATCTGGGGCACCGATGATGTAAAACCTTTATTTTCTGTCCATCTGTGTCTGTTCTATCATCCCGAAACCGGCTGAACTGATGTGAAAGTAAACAGACTTTGGAAGAAAACTTAGAAGGTAGTTTGCACAAACTTAAATTGATCTTGTATTGTTCAGGGTTTCAACATTGACTTGTGTCCTGCCTCTGGAGCTGCCGCCAAGCTAGGCTAGCAGCCTTCCTACTTCGTATTAGTTACATATTCTGAATGGTCAAAGCTTGACGCTAGTCTTTGATAAGAACGTTAAGCGAGCCACCTCCCACGACAGTTTTCCATTTTGAAGAACTTCAACGGCTGAACTACAACGACAACCACGACAACCACCCATACACCCCATCTCTCAGTCAAGGTCAGTTAACTTCCCAGCTCGCGATTGGAACTCGCAATATTTTCCTTAGTTCAGATCTGCCACTGCGTATTCCACGCTCCTCTACCTCGAGTTCTGATTCTTTCGCATTCAACCTCGAGCTTGTCAAAAGATTTCAAACTTCATTGTTAAAACAACGCAAAGCTGACAGCTTTCTCGCAGATGGGTGCCCTTAAGTATGTCGAGGAATTGCAAAAGAAGAAGCAGTCCGATGTCCTCCGCTTCCTTCTCCGTGTTCGATGCTGGGAGGTAAGATAAATCGATCCTTTCGCAAATTGGAAACCCGAACCAATACTTCGAATTTGCTCTCCGGACATATTGAAATATTGTGGACGTGGAATCAAATGTGGACATCTTATGATGCTCCTTGCTATACACTCGTTGAACTTTGCTGAGAGTGCATAATATAGCTTCGACAACTGAACGTCGTCCACCGTGCTTCCCGCCCATCTCGTCCGGATAAGGCACGCCGTCTTGGTTACAAGGCCAAGCAAGGTTATGTTATCTACCGGGTCCGTGTTCGCCGTGGAGGACGCAAGCGCCCAGTGCCAAAGGGTGCCACCTATGGTAAGATACTTCTCTGGGATTATTTGGGTCAGAAAGAGCAATGTTGACCTATTTCTACGCAGGCAAGCCAACCAACCAGGGTGTCAACCAACTCAAGTACCAACGATCATTGAAGTCTACTGCTGAAGAGCGTGTCGGACGTCGCTGCGCCAACTTGCGTGTATTGAACTCGTACTGGATCAACCAGGACTCCACCTACAAGTACTTCGAGGTCATCCTCGTCGACCCTCAACACAAGGCCATCCGCCGCGATGCTCGTATCAACTGGATCGTCAACCCAGTCCACAAGCACCGCGAGTCCCGTGGACTCACGGCAACTGGCAAGAAGTCTCGTGGTTTGGGCAAGGGTCACGGATACAACAAGACAACCGCTGGCCGCAGAAAGACCTGGAAGAGACACAACACCCTCAACCTCCAACGATACAGATAGATGTGTTAGCGAGAGTTTTGCTTCGTTTATGCTTCTTCGAAATGTAAGGGTGGATATTGCCCTGGTGTGTGGCCTGGCAAAAGCAATCTGGCGAGTTTGCTGATTTCATACATGGATGAATGAATGAAAGAATTGAACCCAGGAAAATCTTTAATGGTGATGAGGGAAAATGTACATCTGCTTCACTTAACTCTTGCCAGCCAGCCGGGATGGATCTGATATGTTGTTGATCTCTGAACCCTGGTCTTCCTCACCGCTGTCTGCTTGTGGAGGTCTGCAAGTGTGGAATCTCAAGCTCTCCCAACTGACTTACCCACCTTCGAAAAGCCGATTCAGCGAAGAAACCCCTTTCTTTTGTCCGTAGACCCGAAAAATATTGACTGGGATATATCTATTGCAACCCCGTCCGATAAGACAAACTGTACCAATAATCAAGCGTGTTGTTAGAAGACTACCCCTGCTTAAGTGCCCCTCTACAGCTATTCTTCAGTTTGGCGTGATTCTTTAGTAAATAACGCCGACTTACCGACTTTTACTATAGACCCTACTAAAAGATAATAACTTAGAATTATAACCTCTATAACTCTATTAAATCCCTATTAATTTACCTCTAAATTAGGTTATTTTAAAGCTCTTAAACTCCCCTCTCTATTTCTACTTAATATTCTTAAATATACCTTTAAAGAAAGCTTAAAATAGTTAAGGGAAACCTTCTAAAAAGAAGGCTCTACGTACTTTACTTCCTTTACTACTAGTAGTACTTAAAATAACCCTTAACTTAGTATAAGTTAAGCTAGTAGTTCTTTTATCGGTTCTATTATTAGTACTTCAGCTTCTATACCTAATTTAAGTATAAGAGTAGTTATGCTAGCTATAGGATTAGTAGAGCCTTTATTACTACCTCCCCCTTTACTTTCTAAGCTTTTATCGATTCTGTAAGCTCTCCCTCCGCTAGAACCTCTTATTATATAGTCTCTTACACCTTCGCAGATTGAAATATAGGCTATAAACTTTAAGATTTAGTAGTACCTTAATAGTAAGCGAATAAGTAATATAATAAAAAAGGTAATAAATAAGCTAAGCGTTAGAGTTACTTATAAATCTATTAAAGAAGCTATAAAGACGTTAGTATAACAGTCCGGTATTTACTCGCTGTAAATACAGAAGGCTATAGTTGATCTCTAATAATTAAGAGGTAGGTATATTATATAGATAGGAAGATAGTTACTAAGTATTAGAATACTATTTAAAGTTAAGCACGAAGCTCTTATCTAATAGTAGATATACTAGTCTTATATAGAACTTTCGTTCGCCTTAGATCCCTTAGAATACTAGATCCTTAGATCCTTAGATCTGTTTTCCTATAAGGGGATCTAGGGATCTAGGGATCTATTACATGACTTATTATCTACTATAATCTAGGTAACTATTACTACTGAAGCGTAAGTGTATAGTAGTACTACTCGCTTACCCTGTATTATTCCCTAGCTAATACTACCCCTTAGCTAGTACTACCCTATTAATAGTACTGCTCTCTCGTTAGTACTAATACCCTTATAGTACTACTAATAGTTTTATTATTATATAAGTGCTAACTGAACTATAGCGCTAAGGAGTTTATAATACTATCCCTCTCTTAGCCTAGCGTGGTCCCTTACACTTAAGTATAACCTTAAGAAACGTCGATAGTTACTAATAACTATCTTCCTTATCTATTATATCTAGTATTATAAAGAAATCGAGTGTCGCCTAGATAAAGAAAAAATAGAGTATTTAGCTCGCGCTCTATATCGAGCGTGCTACGTAACTCGTAAAGCCTTATTCCTTCTACTATAGCCTTTCCTATACCTGCTTCTTAGATTTATCTATTTTAAAATAATACTCCGAGTATATTCGCTTAAAGTGTTATAATTATAATACCTCAGGGTATATTAAGAGGTTTACTCCTGAATAACTTATATGTTAGTTTAAGATAAGAAAAACCGTGACTCTTACTTACCCTTTAACGCCTTCCTCTAAGCTTATTAAGGATAATCCTACTTCTTAGTTCCCTACCTTTAAACCTAATACCTACTTAATATCCTTCTTTAAGGGCCTAGCCCCTAACCTTAGATCCCCTTTCTTCTAGGTAAACCTAGATTTCTTTAATAAAATCCCTATAGAAGCTTAAGGTAGCGGAAGTTAGATTTAAGTTCCTAAGTGTTTTCTAATTATAAGTACCCTTTCTATTTAATCAGATATTTTAGTTTACTATAGAAATACTAATAGTTAAGAATAGCCTCTACCTTATATTTAGCGTTCGGATTAATCAGTTATATTTTAGTAATAGGAGTAAGCGGTACTCCTAGCAGTACTAGTTCAAGGAGAGATATATAGAATACTAGGTAGATATTTATTATCTTTAGTAGAGCTAGTTAATAATTGACTAGTCCTTTAACTTTAGTAATCCTAAATAGTCCTAGCTTCTTATAATCTAATTTATAACTTAGTCGTTTAGTTATAATATTCTTTCTAAGTAAGTAGACTTTATCTCTCTCTTTAAGCGTTAGTCTTATACTACGCTTTCTGTTATAGTAGATCGCAGATCTCTATGTAATAAAGAGAATATTAGCTAATAATTCTTTATAGAGCTACTTAAGCTTATCTGCCTATAGTATAGCTTCTTGCGCGGTCCCTTAACTAGTTATTAGTAAATTATATACCGTAGGATTATACTTATAATTCGCGTAGAATAGTGATACTCTAATAGTCTCTTAATCCGCGCTATTATATATAAACTAGGTAAGTAGGAGCAGTTGCACTTAGTCGTCTTACTTATAGTTCATATAGTACTAAAGATAAGTTTCTATTATCTAGTTAATTTATTCTATTTGTATATTAGTCTAAGAATAGAATATAGTTAATATTTTCTATTTTATTCCTAAGAGCGCGATAAGAGTTTTCTAGAACTTTAAAGTAAAGAGCTTATCTTTATTTAAGATAATCTTATCTGGTATTCCGTGGCTTATAAAGATTATCCTAAGAAATACTTGCGTTATTATAGGCATGTTTTATATCTTAAGTACTAGTACTATATACGTGTACTTTATAAACCTATCTGTTATTATATAGATTGAATTATATACGATTCTTATAACTAAGTCTTTCAAGGGTAGTAGCTCGACTATAAAATCTAAAGCGATTGATTTCTATAGGCGAGGTAGTGTTATTAGTGACTTTATAAGCCTATACGGAGTATAGTATAATACCTTATTCCGGATATATATATCGCACGACGCTACTATGTCTTTAACTACCTTCCTTATTCCTAGGAAGTAGTATTCCTTAGATAACTTAGATAGTATCTTAGCTACCCCTTAGTATCTATAAGTAGGTAGCTTATACTAGTACATAACGAATTTAATCCTATCCCTAGTAGGTATATAGATTCGTCCTTAGAATAAGAGAGTTCCTTCTAAGGAGAAGGAGAACCCTTCGCCTAATTAGTGTCGCTATTCAGCTATAACTAGGTTATTAGCGTAGCCTTTCTAGATTTTCTCTATAACTAGCTATCCTATCGCAGCTAGCTATTAGCTATTAATAACTAATAAATCACTATCCTTCTATAGTATAGTATAAGATTCATGGGTTTTATTTATAAGGTATTCTAGTTTCTAGCTTAGAGCGTTAGCTTAAGTATTTTCCGTTCCCTTAATATAAGAAATTCGAAGCTTAATAGTAAAGAGTGTTTCGTACTAATGAACCTACTATTAGTTTAGTTCCTTAGTAGTTATAAAGTAAATAAGATTCTTATAGTCTATTAGGATTTATACTTCATAGGCGGCGCCCTTAAAGTAGACTTTCTATTCGCGTACTATATCTATAATTACTAGTAACTCTTTATTATATATATTATAGTTAAGTTCTACTAGTGATAGTTTCCGCGAATAGTAAGCGACTAGTTGCTATCTTCCGTCTTTACCTAGCTAGCTAAGTATAGCTCTAATAGCGTAGTCTGAAAAGTCTATCTCTATATATATTTCTTTATTAGGGGTAAAGGAAGTAAGTACTAGTTCCGCGATAAAAGCCGCTTTAAGTGCCTTAAACGCCTTTTATATGTTATTAGACTAGTAGAATTCCTTATCCTTATAAGTTAACTTTATAAGTAGCCCGGTGATTTTTAAGTAGTCTTTAATAAATCGCCTATAGAAGTTAATAAACCTAAGGAATAATTATACTTCCTTAATATTTATAGGCCCTGTTTACTTAATAATTACTTTAATCTTTTTAGGATCTATAGCTAATCTTATAGCAATAACTATATAGCTTAGAAAGATAACCTTATTCACGTGGAAGTTATACTTCTCTAGTTTAAGTAATAAGTAGGTATCCTCTAGCTTCTAGAGAATAGCTATAATATCCTTTATATATTACTTCTCTGATTTAAAGTAGACTAGTATATTATCTAAATAGTATATATACGTTACGTCTAAGTAAGGCTGTAAAATATTATTAATTAGACACTGAAATATAGCTAGTACGTTAGTTAAGCCGAAGGGTATAACTGTATACTTATAGTAACTGAAACGAGTGCGAAATACTATTTTCTCTTCTTTACTCTTAGCTATCCTAACGAGGTTATATACTTCTCTTAAGTTAAGCTAAGTGAAAATCTTAGCTCTAACGAGTCTATCCCGTAGCTCCTTAGCTAATAGTAGTATATAATAATCCTTTTTTATAGTATTATTTAATCGATAGTAGTTAATATATATTTATCGTTTACTATCTTTCTTTTCTGCGAATAAGATATTACTCCCCTATAGAGATTTAGACTCTTAGATAAATCCCTTCGCTAGGTTTTTATTAATATATTACTTAATCGTTATTAAGTTTATCGCGGAATATTCCCTAAGTAGTTAGAATATTAGTTTAGTACCTAGTTCTAACTCGATCTGATAATTATAGTCCTAGTGTTTTAGTAAGGCCTTAATACCTCGTTCTTCTTTAAATAGTACTGTAAA